TCACTGATCTCAGATCTAGCAGAAACAAAGCTATCCTCGGTGGTGATGGTGTCGTGAACCTCGGCAATAGCTTCGAGAACCACACTGCAAAATTCGGCCTCAGCCGCAGAATCAGGCCCGCAGACACAGCGGAGTGTCTCGACGACGAGCTTCGTGCTCTCTTCCGGAAGTTCTGGCACAGCCAAAGTTTCTCGCAGCAGTGAGAACATCTTTCGTCGACCGACCTCGTCGCTGTAATCTAGAGTGATTGCAATGTGAAGCAATTGTTCAACAACGAATTCGTGCTCGACGGCATCATCGTCATTTGCTTCACCAGACTCTTTGGAAATCCTCTTCCGCCCCAAGAGATTAGTGATGTATTTCCCTAGGAAATGGGCCATCGCGGTGACCTCAGGCATCTTGTCTTCTACTAGGCTGTCATATTTGCCTTCGTTCTCCACGCGACAGAAGTCGTTGAAGGACCGGAGCAAGAACGCAGATTCACCAGTCAGATTCTCCCAGAAAGGCTCGTCAAAGACAACAGCTTCACGATAGTCAGCACGGCCCTCCCAGAACCCGCGCATTGCCTCATGTGCAATTCCGCTCTCGACTCCAGAGTTAACAACGTCAATTCTCTCCAGGAGTTCAAGTAGCGCGTCGATATCGGGCTCAGAGCGCTGACCGGTCGGTCCTTGATCCGGGTCATTATTCGTGCCAGCACAATCCTCGATCCATCTGTCGTAGAACAATTTGGCCGTAGCCTTGCGAACACTTTCGTCGCGATCACGTAGACCCCATCGAAGGAGCTTTTCTCTCATCGATAGAGACAGATGGCGGAAGTCGCCCAGGGTAGGCAGAAGACGCGAGTATAGTGCGCGCCTGGTGGGAGCATCTAGATCGCGGGCACGCTCAAGAAGATAAGGGAGCGTCATTGGGGCGAGAGGAAGATTCGTGAGGAGCGTTTTGCGAACATCGGCGCTTGTATCGTTTTGCATGATTTCGATGAGTTTTTCAAGGAGGGCAGAATTGTCGCTGTCTTCTCCGTCGTCTCCGGCCAAACGTCCTAATCCTAGAACCGCCTGCACGCGGATGGAGGCCTCCTTGTCACGGAGACGCCTCAGAAGGCCCTGTCTTATCGTATGATATAGCTCGTCGTCGATCGATTCTAGTGAGTTCACGATGTGGGCGGTAATTTGAGTTGCGCGGAAGCGCACCATCTTATCCTTAGCACCCATGATGGGACCCATTAGCGCAATGAGACTAGATGTGAGGCGTGCGGTCGGTGTTTCGGGATTGTGGTCATCGTCATCTCCGGAAGCAAAAATCTCATTATCTTTCTCCACAGCATGACCGAGGAAAGTACCCAAGAAGCGCAAAATTCGGTCTCCTACAGGCTCACTCTTCTTGATTGTGAGAATGCGAAGCATGCAGCGGCCAACTTCCACGTTAAATTCCTTCTCGGCGTGCGTTTCCTCGCCAGGAATCAATGCTTCCTCGGGCTCTTGGTCCTTTCCCTTGCTGTTTTTCTTTTGTAAGATACCACAGGAGAACTCTTGGAGCTTGCGTAGGCGAACAACAAGCTTCCTGTGGCCAGTAGTCGAGCGTTGAGCATCCGCAAAGATCAAGCACACATCGCGACGTAAGGTGGGGGATAATTCCGGCTCTGTTGGTTCCTCGGGAATCGCAAAGGATGGAGTAACGGAGCCAGCACGCCCAGACGCAGAGGGTTGTGCTGACGACCTGCGTGTCGTCGCAGATGTCGAACGGGCGGCGACTCTGCCAGGCATGGTTGTGTTGTTGTTGAGCGTTGATTATTCGAAGGCGAAAAGCATCGCAGACTGCGGGACCGATCAAAGGATTGGAGGCCTTGGCAGTAAACAAACAGCCCAAAACGGGCGACCGATAGCCGATAAGGGTAGCACTAGCACGTGATCTGACTAATGCCGATCATCGGAGATGCGGGAGCTCGTCATTTCCCGAGGGTCGATTAGACCATTCGTTCTTGCATTGCAAGTCAATTCAAGATGTTCCGTCAAAGTGTCCGAAGGTTCGCCACTACGGCGGCTCGTGCTGCTTCTGAGGGATCCACTGCCTACTGCACCCGGGTGTCAACAGCCCAGGGCGTTGTCAATGGATTGACCGAGGGTACGTCTAGCTCGCACCCTTGCATATACTTAATCTGACGTGGATAATGCAGCGATTGGCAATACCCCGCTTATCCGATTGAAGAAGCTATCCGAGCAGACCGGCTGCAACGTTCTTGGCAAGGCAGAGTTCCAAAACCCCGGTGGCAGCGTGAAGGACCGAGCAGCGCTGTTCGTGGTCAAAGATGCGGAGGAAAAGGGACTCTTGAAGCCCGGTGGCACTGTGGTTGAGGGTACGGCCGGAAACACTGGCATTGGATTGGCGCATGTCTGTCGGTCAAAGGGCTACAAACTAGTGATTTATATGCCCAATACCCAGTCGCAGGGCAAGATCGACCTGCTCCGTCTGCTTGGTGCTGAAGTATACCCGGTCCCGGCGGTGGCCTTCGACAACCCCCAGAACTACAACCACCAGGCGCGCCGGCACGCCGAGTCATTGGAAAACGCCGTCTGGACCAACCAGTTCGACAATACTGCCAATCGTCAAGCACACATCGACACTACCGGACCCGAGATCTGGGCACAGACCCAAGGCAAGATTGATGCGTTCACCTGCGCTACCGGAACCGGAGGTACCCTGGCTGGTACTACCTGCTATCTGAAGACTGTCAGTGACGGACGTGTCAAGAGCTTCCTCGCCGATCCTCCAGGCAGTGTTCTCCACAGCTACATCCAAAGCGGTGGTACATTGATCGACCGCTCTGGCAGCAGTATTACTGAGGGTATTGGCCAGGGCCGTGTGACTGATAACCTGCAGCCCGATATCGACTTGCTGGATGGCTCTGTGAGCATCAGTGACGAGAAGACTATCGAGATGGTTTACCGCTGTCTGGATGAGGAGGGCCTGTACCTTGGTGCTAGTTCCGCGATGAACGTAGTGGCCGCCAAGGAGGTTGCCGAGAAGTTGGGCAAGGGTAACACTGTTGTGACCATTCTCTGTGACGGTGCTTATCGGTATGCGGATCGCTTGTTCTCCAGCACCTGGCTCGAGAGCAAGAACCTGCGTGGTTCCATTCCCAAGCACCTGGAGAAGTATATTGTGTTGCCTTAGGACTGTGTATAAATTGAACAAACTGTATTCTTGTCCACAATTTGGATCTTTTAAGGCGTAAATTGGGACATGGCTTGGCTTATAGGGATTGTGCTGGTGCTGCTCAACTTTGCATTTGGGACGGACATAGTGAAGACTGCTACAGGAAGTGGCTGCGGATTTGACGCGAGCTGGACATTTGCGGATTGACTAAGGGATTTATCGAGGTTCTCCAAAATTTAGCTAATGATATGAGCATGAAATAATTTGGTATCAAGTGTGAGAGGTGAGTCTCGAAAGGCCAGTGGTGTATGTAGTATGTCCACGCGTGGTATTGTACATAAGAGTAAAGAGTCAGATCCAAAAGGATCTAATATGGAGAGGCCATGCAATGCAGGCGTCAAACAAAACATGCAATGCAAGGGAGGCAGGCCATAGTAACCATGCTCCCTGAGAAAATCAGATAAGAACAACCGAAACGCCCGCAATGCTTCCGTTCTATTCCAGAACACCAGATGCCGTAGAAATATACAAGTCGAAAAGCGCAACAAGGTCATGCCTTCAAGTCGGATCCGAATTGAGCGTTTACTCATCAGCGGGCATTCTCATATAGGCATCAATAGCCGCACTGAACGCCGCGAAACCAGCGCAACCGAAGGCAGCAGCCTGGGGACCGGCCTTTGCGCCGAGAATACCACCAGTGACACAACCCGCGGCGACGCTGTTGGTAAGATCGTTCTTTGCACGCAGGCCCTCGATGCAGCACTCGGTTCCGGAGTAGAGCGCACCGACAATACCGAAGTTCTTAGCAGACGACCAGGAGCGGGCTCCCATGTCCTTGAAACCGCGACGGACTTGTTCGCGCCAGGGGAGGTCGGCGATAGCGCGGCCTTGGGGTGTGAAAGTCGAATCGTAGGACATCTAGAGCGGAGGGTGTTAGATATGAACCTTGGAGGTCGATTATTCAATTAAAAACTTACACTGGCCATGAAGAGACCGAAAGCACCACCAAGACCGAAACCCATGGTACCCGAGATGACTGTCTTGATAGGACAAGACTCCATACCACGTTGCATCTATACGGACCTTCGTTAGAATTGGACAAAAACACATCGGGGTCGACAACGAACCATTTTGACCATAGCCTGTTCTTGTTCATTCATTCCCTGGGTGTCCGGATTACCTCCTAGGGTGGCCATCGGCATCGCGGCGGTGCCTGTGGTGAGTGGAAAGGCCATGTTGGAAGCTGACGCAGATAAGGGTTTAATTAAATGAGGTCGTAGATCGTACTCGCTGGATCGAATCCAAGCTGGCCTAAATGATCAATCGACTAGACCTCGGCGAGTAAAGAATCGCGTAAGCAAGTAAAATATAGAACGCGGAGATCTTGCGGAGGCGAGTAACTGAATTTATTTTACGGGGTACTAAAGAGCCCCAAATAGCATTTCTGCACGTGATATCCCGGCTCCGCAAAATCATCGTGCCGTTATCGGTGTAAGTTGTATGATGCATTATTGAATCTGAGAAGAGCTGTAACCTAGGTATGTACGTGGAGTTATTCATAATAAATGATATAGCAACCTTGCAAATTCGTTTGTATTCATAAAGCTAGAGAACAAAAAGAAATAGCATTCGTCGTGATCAAATCAACTGGTATTTCAGAATCTTCAAAGCAAATTGAAGGCAGATAGTTGGAAGGTAGCAAAGGAAAATAATTGTATCGACAAGAGAAGAAGCAACGCTCTCGTATGGTATAATTGGGAAGTCGTAGCCCTACGTAACTCCGTAGATAGGGCCGAAGAATGGGTAGCAAGTATATACAAGAAAGAAAGGAAAAAAGAACCCTACTAGTCCCTCTTGCTGTCCTTGCGGGTGAGCGAAGGAGAGGCAGTTCGCTCTGGAGAGGGTGAAAGAGAGCGCTCCCATTCTGCCATCAAATTGGATGCAGTTCGTTGAAGCTTCGAGGGGGCCAGCTTGGTAATTGCAGGCCAGGGAATGCCTTCGGAGACACCAGAATCTAGTGCAGAGGAAGCTGGGTTCAAATCGCCAAAGCTAGGAGCGTGGTCAGCGCATGACGAGGTTGTCATAGATGAAATCAGAAAAGGTCGAACGGTACCTAGCGCTGGTTCGAGGGCTGCTACCCTGTGTGACGGGCGATTGATCACGTTTGGATGCAACTGTTGATCGGCTCGACGAGGGCGTGTGCGTCTTCTGCGCGGATAGGGGCGTGTCCCAGCTATCCCAGCTGTCGAAATCTTCATCCTGCGCGTCGAGTGAATTACTGGAGAGGTGGACGCGCTGTTCGGCTTCGTTCGCCTCGTTTCGGTTGGCGGGTTTGCTGTCGGAGGGGGTGCGCGGAACGTTCGGAGACTTCTGAGCGGGTGTATCAATGCCGAATTCGTTCCAGAAAGACGTGGAAATTTCCGCCGGCTTGGTGTCTTTACCAGTTTTTGTCTCGGCCGCTGGCCCCCTTCCCCGCGAAGACGATGACGATGATCGCGATAGCTTGCCATCCGCTAGCAATCGTTCTCGACTCCGGGATCCCGCCAATGACTCCCGCTTGCGACTGTTTGGTGGTGCCAATGAGTTGGATGGTGAGCTTCGTGTTTGTGTGCCGTTGATTCCTTCCTCGCCCACCGTAGCTTGTCGGATATCTTCCAAAAATGTCCACAGACCCTCGCGCAGATCGGATGCCATTTGTTTGCCTGTGCGTACCAAGGCCTCCCGCGAAGGGGGAGGCAGAGTCTTCTGCCACTGCGCGAGGAGATGTTCCGGTACCTGGCTTTCGTCTAGTTGTGCACTCATCATAGCTGCATTCTTGCGATCGACCGATGGTAGTGTTGCAGACCGTGGAGTGCGGCCCACACGTTCTTCCGAGGGACCTGATTCTCCACGGGAAGAAATGTTGGGGCCTGAGACTGGCGACAAAAGAGACAGAGTCCGTGTATGTGCGCCGTGAAATACTCGCCGACCATTAGTCCCAATCTTGGTCCCGGGTGCGGCGGCAGCACGTATACTAGCACGTCGGTCTAGATCTCGGCTCACCCGTTCTTGTGATACCGTGGAACTTGTGACTGAGCTCATGCTCTGTTCCCGGCAGTGTGAAATTGAAGCCTCGGGTGTTGCGGAATCAGGTGATCGAAGGGGGATTAGTGGCTCCGCATGATTGATTTCCGCCCTCTTTCTAGACTTTTCAGACATTGCCCATTGCTTTTTAATTGTCACTAGGTCTGCTTCGGCTCGCGTGAGCTCCTCGCGAAGCTCCATGACCTTCCGTTCCTGCGAGGCGATGGCCCGCAGGAAATCGTAGCCATCATCCGGGACATCAAATGCCATAGGGGTTCCCGGAGGTTGAGCGGGTGAGGGGCGAGTTGCGGACTGCGTGACTGGGGTTATGGAGCCGGGGGAGGTGATGTTGGAATCGGGTGTTTCAGGATCGTTCAGGTTGATGGGGAAGTTCAGAGTAAGGCGTTTGGCATGACGGGCCGTACGAGGCAGTGATCCTTTTTTCTGAGCGAGAGATGATGAGCGTGATAGAGTGGAAGGGCACTGCTCGGAAGCAGAGTCCGGAGTTGAAGTCTGGTCCGGAAATGGACCATAGACCAGGCTCTCCGCTCCCGGAAGACTCTCCATTGTGGACCAGCCAGTAGGAGAGATCAGAATCAATCAAAAAGTCATAAGAGAAACAAACAAAATCAGTAAAATGCAAAAACAGAGGAGAGTTGAGAAGGGGAAAAATAATAGCTGTTGGTCTCCTGAGTCCAGCCCACAGCGGGTCCCCACAGTCCACGGGCTGTGTTTCAGGGGGAATTAATTAGCCTACCGGTCTTGGCATCTCCCCCGAGGTAGAGTATAGATGTTCAATCTATACAGAATACAAGGTAGAATAGACCATGACTTTAGCACTCAGTATGTCTCCTAACTGTTGAGATATCCGGTTGTTGCTAATCCAAGGCCGAAGCATGCCTGTGCTTCACTAACAGCCGAGGTTTTGTCATGTCTTCGGGTTTCAGATGAGCTCCTGCAGAGCATTGACCGGTATGTTATATCCTTCAATTAAACCTATAGCATGCCTCGCAAGCAGCTGCTTTACGAAGAAGCACGGCTAGACGAGATGGGAAGTGATGGAAAGAACCTGCCAGGGAAGGTGCGATCGAGTAAGTCCGAGATGTCAAAACGGCAAGAGCAAAGGGTCATCCATTTTGGGAAGGTACGTGAAAGGTGAGGATATAAAAGGCCTCCCCCCCATCCTTCTTTCTCTTCTCTTCTTCTCTTCCTCCCTCCAGCCCTCGACCCCCATCTCTCCGTAGCCCACCTGAGATCGTGTAGAGGGTTGTGCCTTACTTACACACAAATGGATATCAACATGACCAATTGTTGAGGTCCATGTGTAGGTCCGTGCTCACATCAAACTGGGAGGTCTCGTGGATGTGCTTTGAGAAAGTCGATGGCTGAGCTTGGGGCTCAGTAGCCATTGACAGGTCCCACGGAATACATGGGGGGTCCCCACTATTGTGATACACATTTACCCAAATGTAACTAGGTCCAAGTTACCACTACATTCTAGTTTCCAGTTCGGTATGTCTAGTGACCAGTGTATGAGTCGAGCCTGGATTTAGCCTTTGTCACTGGGCGGCCCCAAATGTTATGGGGTCATCTCGGGTGCCTTGTTTAAGCTTATTTTTAGCTGCACGCTTAATTCTCATGAAGTGGAGGCTGAAGAAAAAGGCAAGTCACCCTTCCGGTGTTGAAGTGATAAATGAAAGTTGAGATATAAATAGACCGCGGGGATATGCAGGGACCCGTCCGCCATTCAACCGCATCTCCGTAACCAAGCGCGCATTCGCCAACCGCGTCTTCGTCATGAACGGGAGAGCAGGTGCCCTGCGTATTTGTTCTAGCGTTAGAGTCATTCACAGGGGAATTTCCCACCAACTTCCCATCGCCGCGTACCGACTGACCTCCCCCTTTGATCCAGCCTGGTCGCGTCGATGCTCATCACAATGGACGTCCAACCCGAGAGTTTTCCCAGTCTTCGATCTCGGGTTATTGGATTCATCTCTCAAGATTGAGGAAGAGATTGCGATGGGATATGAGCCCAACGAGACATACACATATCCTGCCGAGGAGGAAGAAATCCTGAACGACAGGTACCAGATTCTACACAAGATCGGCTATGGGCCCACGGCGACTGTTTGGTATGCTGTGGATTTAATGTGAGTCTTTTATGTCAGTGGGAACAGCACTGCTCTAACAGTTAATGGAAGGGAGCCTAGAATGGTTGTTTTGAAGATCTATGTGGTGGACCACATGCTTAAGGCTTATGGGCGTCTCCATCCACCACAATTGTACGACCAAAGCGAGTGCCCTCTTCACGAAGTTAGCGACCGTTTCTCCATTAAAGGTCCTCGTGGTTCTCATATCTGTGTTGTTCACGAGGGACCCCCGATGGACCCAGAACAGATGCATTCAGGAGACAAGATGTATCTCGAGTCGATAAGGTCTACAATGAAACAATTACTGATTTTGATGGATTTCCTACACACCGATTGTTATCTGACTGCCCGTATCGCTCCTAGCTATTTTTTTCGAAGGATGGATGACTGATCATATAGCAGGCATAAAGCCAAACGAAGCATTCAACGTTACTTCCGGCCACAGACGAGATGCTGGACCCAGCAATGATGAGCTTATCACGCCGACGATACTTCCAGGCGACGGCGTTCCCTCCGTCTGGATTTTCCAGACAGTGATATGTCGGGTATCGTCGAAAAACACAGCAGGCCTCCTGAAGAGGTCTTGAAATCGAAAAGTGATCACAGGGCAGATATCTGGGCTACTGCTCTAGTTGTGAGTACCTTTACATCGGGGAAAAGGCAACAAGCTTACAAATTTTATCCAGGCGTGGGGCTACGCTAGTTCCCAGGGACTCATCGACGGACGAAACTCAGTTGGGGCCTTTGATGACCGGGTCCACATCGCAGAGCTGGTTGCTCTCCTTGGCCCGCCTCCATCAGAGTTCCGCGAGAAGGTGCGACTGGGTTCCTTGTTCTGGGACAAAGAAGGAAATTGGACGGGCCAGGCTCCCATACCAGAGCGAAACTTGGACACCCTGGCAGGTGACAATATCGACGGCGGGGATGTGAAAGGTTTCGTGCAGTGGATGCGAAGGGCACTACAATGGGATCCTGAAGATCGACCAACGGCTCTGGGGCTTTTGCGTCATGAGTGGATGGCACAGAAGACGAAGCCTGTGGAGAAGGAGACAGTGGATTTATCCGAGGATAGCATCTCGACCTAGTCTTTGCATCTTGCATGGCATCTGGCCTGTATAAGTACATGTACATAATATGAAAAACTCCACTCAGTCAAACTCAACTCAACTAGAGGCTTGGTGGACTATACCCACGGAAAAAAAAGAGGTTTGCGATGAAAAGTACGGCAAGACAAATACTATACATTTGTATTCAGAAACCCCCTGACTGTAGCAACAAAGCCCTCCCTTGTCATTGCCTCGCTTTCTAGCAGAGCTTTGTAATGTTCAATCTTGTCCAACTTTTCGCTATACACCTCCAGCTTGCTCGGCCTTTTTGCCAGAAGGCCTCTCGGCTCTTCCTGGTGACGAATCTCGTCTATTTGTTCTCTGCATCTTCCCGTACCAAATCTCTGCCGTAACTGCATACAGGGGAAAGTAAAGCAGTCAAAAATGTACTGGAAACAAGCAAATGAAGACAAATGGCACCCGAATCCTCGGACCATGCAACGAGCTTGGAAAATTCTTTCTCATGGGGCTGTGATATCTTTCCCTCTTCTTCATCTAAGACACGTCTGAGCATTTCAAGACGCCTGAGAAAGCGGCTTGCTACCTCGGGAGGTTCTCCATTCATAGAATCCCAATTTTCATCAATAGGCCGATTAAAAAGAAGCCACCAAGGCGCCGAAGCGAATAGCTGGGCTGGACCTGCGTTAGCCCATTCTAGATCCAGTACTGCAACTATTGTGAGATCAGCTTGACTCCTGAAAATCACGTTTGCTGGGCTGAAGTTGTCGCAGGTAAGTTTGAATGGGGCTTTATCATAATCTTGATTTACCGTCTCGGGTATCATGGATTCCGGAATTGTTAGCGATGCAACATTTGACTGTGCATTCTGTTGCACAAGAACTGAGTTAGGCTGATCTCGAGGTTGCTGCCGGTCTTGGTGGAGGGTATACCCTGGAAGTTAACCGCATGCTTTCCGGCACGAAACGTCCCATTTTTCGATTTTTATTCCTCGCCTTTCTTTTTCAATGCTTGAACAATATCGTTCGTGTTGAATTGAAGTACACCTTGGTCCGGCGGGATGAATCCCTCGACGATGACGCGCTCCTCGGCTGGAAGCTTCCCATGAGCCTCCAACCACAAGTTATCGTTCCGCGAGGTGATTATCTTTGGGCCTTGTTGAAGCCAATTTTTCGAAGTTTGTCTCCGCAATGGGTGGTTTTGTGGGGGCTCTGGCGCTGAAGTGCTTGTCAATCTCGACGGTGGGATCGATCCATCATGCCGGATGGGGAAATAGGGATTTTGAGGAGATTTCCTCGAAAGATAGCAGTGGTATTTACCCGTGAAAGATTTCTTGAGACTCGAAATACCACGCTCAGACTCGGAAACGAAGATATCTCCCGCTTCTCATCCGGTCTGATGCAATAAGGGAATTGGGGCGATATATCTTTTTCGCGCTGGGCTGGCGTCCAGTTCGGCTGAGCCAATGGCCGGAGAACAGGCCATGTGGCTGAGGTGTAGCGCCGATGTAATCCAGAGGAGGAATTACGGAGTTATTCTTACTTCAATGATTGAGTGTCATTGCGTCTTCTGCGATTCGTCGCAGTAGCTTGCATGAAGTTGAAAGTAGGCGCTTATCATGAGGTATTAACCAGGAGAGTACACTTAGATTCCATGTCTTATATTTAACAAGTCTGAAGACACCTTTCACTCATAATTCGATCCCCTTTCCCTTGAAGCCCATCAGACGCGAAACGTGCAGAAAGATCAAAGCGGCGGCCTAGACTGTGGACCTGTGGATCGTGTATTTGTGAATAGGAAAAGTTGAGATGGTAATTGAAAACGTTAGCCGAATGGCATCGGAGAGAGGAAAATGATCTGGTGTAGTCCAGATTTCCGACATAGCTCTTTCCATTCTAGTCTGGACCTCATGAGCAGAACCTCACTTCTTCATTAAAATTGGGCCATCTACACATCACCAACGAATCAGCGCTCTGATTCACCTGGTCCTTCAGCATCATTGGTCTAGTGGTAGAATTCGTCGTTGCCATCGACGAGGCCCGTGTTCGATTCACGGATGATGCACTCTTCTTTTTTGCTTTCTTTTTTTCCCGCTTGTATGGGTCTATCGGAAGATGATAGAAATTGTTGTACAGGCCCTTCAGGGAGCTTTGAAGAATACCATAGCTCTCAGCCCATATGCATGTGTTCAAGCTCGAGAGAAATCTTTCAAAAATGCATTTGATATCTTTTCACTCGACTTTGAACCCCACCTGTAACACATCCATCAGCCTGGGATATTCGCCGGTTTCAACTGCGTCGATCCATTGGAGAATTCTCTTGAGGGCGAAACCATCATCACAACGCAATACTGCGTGGAAAAAATCATCCTTGAGTGTGTTTTCTTTGACATCGGCGGCCCAACCCGGTCGTAGCTGACACATCCACCTCATGTAAAGGTCCCTCAACTGAGTGGTCTCGTATTCCATCAGGTGCACCCAGTACAGTTCCGTTTTTCCCTCATTGTCAAGATCGGGATCTATAGCAGGCCCCACTTCTTGTGCCTCTTCGGGGGTTTCATCTGCATATTTTTCACGCTTTGGTTCTTCTTCCCGAGTTGATCCAGTCAAAAATTCTGGCATTCCAGTAGCCATTCAAGATGGCATGGCCGAGACACATTCCCAATCAATGATAGCGGTGACTTTTCCTTTCTCATCCACCAGGATATTGTTGAGATTGAGATCTTGATGCCAAAGTACGGATCGTTCGGGGGGTTCTGAAGAGCGGGGAATATTTTGGGCAATAATTCAACCAATCTGTTGGCAACCGACAGAGCGAAGGCAGCGTCCTCCTTGTCTTCCTCATCCTCGGCTTCTTCTTTCACCAAAGTGTGATTTTTGATAACGAATTTGAGGTAAGATACAAGCCAATCGTGGGTTGAGCGGAACGGCCCACGGGGTATGTCGAAGTTGAAACGGTTGCCCGAGAAGAATGAGGTCGAAACAATCTCGCCTGGCTTTTCATTCTGGGCAGCGGCTTCTTCGCCGGGAGTGAGGGTTCCAATTCCGGAGAACGTATGTTGGCACATCTGAGCTTGAAATTCAGCAATTTGTTGGACAAGTGCTGCCTTTTGGAAGGTGGTCAAGGTCCGCCATTTCTTATACGCGGGAACACCGGGCTTGAGTTCCATCAGAATCCATTCATATCCGATTTCATTGCTTGCTGATTCATCGTATGCAAAAATTTCTGGTACAGGGATATTTGTCGCGCGGCGGAGAAATTGTAGCGTTGTAACTTCGCCCAGCGTTTTGCTGTGGGGGTGGACGGGCAGAGACACTCGCATGAGGAACAGGCGGTTGCTGGTACGAGCTAGGTAGAGCTTGTTAAAGGAACCTTCGGCATAGAAAGTGACATCGCAGGTCTCCATATCATCTAATGAGAGACTGTTGCGACACACATTTTCGATGGCTTCCAGCTTTGGTTCTCGGGTCCAAACCGGTGTGAGGTCAAATCCACTTTCATCCCACGCGAGCCCATCGCGCGCGTCCACGTGCATTTTGCCAGCCTCAAACTGGATATAGGTCATTGATTCAATGGGGCTTTGGGGGGCCAGAGACATCCCCTGTGTTGCTGTCGGTGGGAGTTCTTCGCCACTAGTTGACATAAGTGCGGGGTAGATATAGACAGCTCACTCATATGTTTTCATCACACATTAGTCTGAGGCTACGTGCAGGTGCCCAAACTTCTAGTCCAGGGAATGTGATCGTCTTGCCAGCCACACGCCGGTGAGTTAGTAGCTGGGTGGGTGTTAAGAACTGCGCCAGTTGCCTAAACTTGGAGTTATAGATTAAGTAAGAGACTAATTTCTACCGGGGTAGGCATGCCTTACCATGAAGATATGGATATAAAATAGATAGTTCGACTGTCCTTTAGATTATTGTTTCAATCCTCGGCTTCAATAATAATCATGGCTGTTAGATTCTAACAAGAAATACTTCTTCTCTAGCTTTCAGGGTTAGCAATGTCCTTTGTCTGATCAGAGCCAACGTGTTTCAACCCGGTCTGGTCTAACGCATTCACCCGTCCAAGCATGAGAAGAGGGGTGGTTACAGCATATCAATGTGAGATCACAGCTTTGTGTCCCCGCTCATATATGAACGATCAAGATATGATAAAGCAGAAAGACAGATCGATATGACCATACTGGGGCTTCGTCCCAACAGAAACAACAATTCGAAGCCAAATCCAAGACGGGATCACATAGTAGCCCCAAAAGAGAAAGCAGAGACTGGTTTTGAAACTAGTCTGATCCAATGGCAGGGTGGCAAATGTAGTTCTATGCATTGTCTTGCTGTGGGTGCATAAAATCCTGTAAGCCGGTGTGTAGCACATGGTAGGATAGGGATCCTCTTGGGTATAAGCCCTGGAGAGCACTGGGGCCGATGGTCATGGCCGCCAAGCCTTTATGGTTCAACCACTAGTGCAAGAAGTTTAATGCTGGGGCTCCACTACCTTAGGTATGTGCTTACCTAGGTATGTACGTACCTAGATACCTACCTAGATACTACTTAGTTACCCATATGAGGCCACTCCGTACTATTGTCGTCCTATAGCATTCAAATATGATAAAGAGAATAAAAAAATAAATAAGTGAGCATGGCCGGTCATTTTGAGAGCAATGTTAATTTTTTCTTTACTTATGAACTATATGCCTTTTCGATACGCCTTTTTCATGCTCTGTTCGAAATATTTTCTGCTCTTCTGCTTAATGTCCTTATATCTGTATATTGTAGGTAGCCTTGGAAGGGTGTAGATCTGAAGAGATTAAAGTGGAGACTTCGGGAAGGATCCACCTTCCTATTTGGTGTATAAATTCAAGGTGAAGAACCAATAATGTCAAGATGCCCCCGGGTAGCTGAACTGGTGCTCCCCCCACGCGGTGTCTCAACGGAAGTAAGTTGCCTTCAGGTCGTGATGGAGATGGTTAGGTTTGTGGGCTATCTGGTTAGACCCCAGGGGTGTACAGACCCAGAGGGCCTCTTTTTTCTCTCTCTTCCTCTTTCATATTGTACTGGAAAAAAACAGATCAACCTCTAGCTTCTCGCTTATCTCTAGCTATAGCATAGAGATATATACAAAGTCTTCTCTGGGATAACTGTTAGGAGCAATACAGATTCGAGACACGCTAAGTTGTGCAGCCGCAGTACACCCAAGTGAGTGTATGGCATAGTGGCTCCTTCTTCGGCCACAAAATCCTATCAAACCATTGGTGTCCGACACAACCATATCGAAAGAGAATTAGACAGAAACGTCAACGATCCAATTCCATTTCCAAAAATCAACATGATCGACAAACACAATGATAGACATGATAGAAGATAGGGAGGCCATTCGACAAAGCAGTAGAGCTTTCGCTTTCCTGTACCCCCTACCTCCCGCTCAAGCGTCCCACCATGACCGACTTCACTGTGGACGAAGACCTGTGCTTTGGCAATTCTAAATATGGGGAGCCAGGACTTATTGCACAGCGTTGGATAAGTTTGGACCAGAAAAATCCGTCGAAAAGCTTACAGAGCAATTGTGAAACACCAAGGAATCAAATAACCAAAAGATCAAGACGTTCATCACATTTCAGACGTAGTATGTTCTAGTACTCGTAGAAAATACCTAAAGAAAATCACACAAAAGACCAAGGGCCAAGAGAAAAAGACAGAAGCACAGACAGCATTCTATCGGGAGAAAAGAGGGTACAGAAGAAAGCGCAAAAAGATTACACCAGATCATTAGAAACTCCGGGACCAGTCCCACCAGAGTAAGGGACACTAAACAGAACGAACGGACACCAAGGATGCAGCCAATGGCAAAGAGTTGTACAAGAGTCAGAACGCCAAATTGGGTCTATACAGCGAATGGAAGAAAGAGTAGCAGGGTGTGATGAGGGTTATTTCGGGAGTGTGAGGGTTGTTGAGGGTAAGATTAGGCACCGCCCCAGCGGTTGCGGAGACCCTCTGACCATCGCTGGTAGAGGACGTCTGAGAGTTGTTTGGTGTGTTCCATGGCGGATGTCGCCGGGGCAGGGACAGATGGGGGCGACTGGGGTTGGGGTTCGGGGACGTATGATTGGCGACGACGGTGGCTCTTAAGATGTGGGTTGTTCTGGGCCAGCACAAGGCGTGGCCGCGAGGGGGAGTCGGGTTGTGTGGTTGGGAGAAGAGTAGAGAGGCGGGAGTCTGCTTGAAGCTTCTCGTTCATGATTCTGACAATGTGGTAGAGGCCTTCAGGGTCGACCATTTCCAGGTCGCTCCAGGCTTCAGCCAGTCTGGAGATTGCCTCGCGTTTCTCTCCATCTCCTGTGGTAGACAGGACTTCCTGGCAGGAAAGTCCTACTGCCTTACTGTATGCACGTCGTCCAATCTGAGCCTCCTTGCTGGAAGAGTCGATGGGCACTGTTTTCGGGCTTTGGTTTTCATCAAAGCCCTGCTTGGCTGGGTTCAGATCATTGGGGACTTTATCTGATACCCGGCGGAACTGTCTGACGGTAGATGGGCTGTTACCGTAGCTCAAGTCCAGACCAAGGGGTTGTTTGACACCACTTGAGCGACGCTTGGTGTTAGCCCGTCTGACAGATGGAGATCGGTCAGTAGGGATCCGGTCGGTAGGAGCTCGGCGGACGGTGGAATTTGCTTGGTGCTTAGGCGGTGCGGGTGGTGGTGGGCTGATATGTAGTTCTTCTAACATTTGAGCTGGATCGGGCTGGTTTTCGTCCTCCTCATCGAATGTCATCCAGTCTGTGCCCTTGGGCTTCCACATTGTAGGAGGCTTAATTGTATCAAAGACCCAGTCATCCTCGTCGAGATCACCGGGCCTAGTCATGGTGTGCATAGACTCGGCATAGTACTTCACGTCTCTTGCCTCACCACGCCCACCATCCCAGTCCTGCTTACGATGAATCAATTCTTGGAGTGCCTCAGGCTTTCCCGCATTGCGAATAAACTTGTGTCTCAATAGCTCCTTTGCACTCGGTCGAAGATCGGGGTCTTTCGTCAAACATTGCGCAATGAAGTCCTTGAATGTGTTGCTGTACTCATTTCCTTCGAGACGAGGGGCGGGGTTTTTCGGGATCAGGAAGAGGACTTTCATCGGATGTGTGCTGGCATGCGGGGGTTCTCCGTTTATCATTTCAATCGCCGTGATACCTAAAGACCAGATGTCTGCCTTGAAGTCATATCCAGCCTGCTGGATTACCTCGGGTGCCATCCAGAAAGGGGTTCCGACGAATGTATTGCGCTGCGACTTGATGTTGACCAGCTGTGCGGCGACACCAAAATCCGCCAGTTTCACCTTTCCAGTCTGAGAAAGGAGAACATTGGCAGCCTTGACATCACGGTGGATTTTGCCTTCATTGTGCAAGTAATCCAAGCCCAGGAGGAGCTCTCTGCAGACGATGGCCACATGGGCTTCGTTAAAACATCCAGGTTTTAACTAGGACAATTAGCAATTTATCTCACAATAAGAATATCAGCAAGGAACGTACCAAATCCAAACAAGAGCCACCTCCTAGGTATTCCATAACAATCCATAGTTTGTGCCCTTTTAGAAAACTGGCCTTGTATTGTGTAACGTAGGGGCTAGCGCAGGTAGCCAAAACGGAAATCTCTTGTTGAATCTCCTGAATATCGTCCTCGCTGGACTCGAGATCGATCTAAAAAAGGGGTCAATTATGAAACGGAAAGGTGGGGTTTGACTCAACAGGTCGAAGAACATGAGCGCGTACATGTTTAATGGCAACGATCTCGCCGTCGGTCTTGTCAATGGCCTTGTAAACGACTCCGAAGCTACCGCCTGCAAACGGAGAATACAGTTAGCCGACGGAATGACAAAAAAAAAAAAAAAAATTAGAGCTTCAACTCACTCCCCAGCTCCTCCATCACCTGGTAATGACTCGCCATGTCGTCCATTGTGCAATAATTCAGCCCTGCTACTCCGGTCGGACAAGGTATATCGACAGGGCTCATCCAAGTACTTGAATAGCTTTGGACTGAGATGTCAAGAGAGTCAAGAAGCCCTGAACGGGGCAAGGGGTGGAGAAACCCCAAACAAGCTCCGTCTCACATGGCAACGGGCGGCCTCAGGCAGCAACCGGGGTATATCTGCAAATCTGCAAGGGATTCACTATGCCATGGAAGATCATTTACTCCTTTTGCTATTACTTGGTGTACATTCATGTACATGTATATGTCTGTGCTTGTACATGTGATTAGATTATTCCTTGGTAGCAAATGGCTTTTGTTATTCCAACTCCTATACATTGTAAACACCCATGCAACCAGCTCTAAATATATTTGTAAGGGTTCATGATCCCATTCTAAGAATCAAAGTTAGCAATTGCACCGACATAGCAGCTATTAGTCCACTTACCGGGTCATAGAGGTTCTTCAGCTGCTTCATCAACTTCACCATCGTCTCGTTCTGGCTGTAGCCAATGAACTCACGCTTGGCAACGCCAAGCCCATGCTCAGCACTGATGCTGCCCTGGCGCTTCTGAATCCACTCATACACCCACGGCTCAATCGCCTTCTCCACTTCCTTGCTGTACTGTCGCACGGCAACGTTCAGGTGCAGATTGGAGTCACCCATGTGACCGTAACCAACAACAGCACGGACAGGGAACGAGTCATCATCACCGACTAGACCCTTCTCAGTGAGGCGGGCCTTGCAGTCCTCCACAAGCAGGTACAGGTCGGACAATGGAATCGACACATCGTACTTGTAGGTGCCACCCAAGTGGCTCAGGGACTCGGTGATACCCTCGCGCCAGCGCCACAAGGCCTGGAACTGGGTCTCATCCTGGGCCAATACACCGTCGGCGACAATGCCATCACCCATAACGTTCTCCAAGAATGACTCCAGCTTGGCCATATCGTGCTCGGCGTTGGAACCGCTGGTCTCCACCAGACAGTAGAAGGGATACTCACCCTCAAGAGGGTGCTTGTTACCCGTAGATTGGATGACCAATTGCTGGCTGCGACCGTCCATCAGCTCGAACGCAGAGAGAATCTCCGAGAGCTGACCCTTGGCAGCGAGGTAAGCTTGCTGGACCTGCTCGAAGCTCTCAAGACCAAAGTAAGCCACATTAACCGCCTTGGGGCGAGGGGGGCACTGAATAGAGACAGCAGTCACAAGGCCAATGGTACCCTCAGAGCCGATGAACAGCTGCTTGATGTCGTAGCCAGTGTTGTTCTTGCGTAGAGTCGACAGCGCATCCACGATGGTCCCGTCCGGCAGAACCGCCTCGAGGCCCAGCACGGTACCGTGCAAACTGCCGTAGCGGAGAAGGCGCAGGCCACCAGCGTTGGTGGAGACGTTTCCACCGATGTGGCAGGATCCCTTGGCACCGAGGTCCAGAGGGAAGAGATGCCCCCGCTCGGCGAGATACTGATCAGCAGTCTCAAGAATGACACCGGCATCAGCGACCAACACACCGGAGGCAGCATCGAAAGAGCGGATCTGGTTCATGCGGGAGGTGTTGATGACGATCTCATCAAAGACCGGGACCGAGCCACCGACAAGACCAGTGTTTCCACCCTGCGGCACGACGGCCAATTTGCGCTCGTTACAGTATTTCAGCACCTTGCTGACCTCCTGTGCATTCTGGGGCTTCAGCACAAGCCGGGTGTGGCCACGGTACTTGCGCATCCAGTCGCTATTGAAGGGTTCGATATCGTCCGTCGCATCGGTAGTCACGCCATCAATCACGGCCGACTGGGAGCCCAGAAGCTCCTTGAAGTGTGCGACATCATCGGCGGATATCTCAGCGAAGTTGGGATTGCGCTGAAGGTTGGGGTAGGCATCGCTGGTGAACTTAATCTGGCGGGAATCGGAGTTGCGGGTGGAGCTGACGCTGAAGGCGCGCACTGTGAAAGGTGTGATGGATTGGATGGGGCGAATGGCAAGGTGAGGACGAGGCACTCGGGCCCGCCGCAAAGCAGCTGTGAGGTTCCTGGTACTAGACATGGCTGGGGAATTGAAAGAACAATTTTGAGAATGTTCAGTGAAGATACTCCGATGCTCCGATCGGCCTCCGAGAGCCAGGTCCCGGCCGATTTTGATTCGACCTCGGAGATTTTCGGCTTTTGATATTCAACGCTTGCAGAGTCTTCATGTTGTTTGGTGTTTAAATTGGCCTTGATCTCGGTATGCAAATTTACTATGTATATTAAGTATACTCTAAAGTATAGCGGTCAAAGTTGTAGCGAGATATATATCCCTGAATGCTGTACCTGCGCCACTCGACCTCCAAATGCACGCCGATCATGATATCATGCGATATATCTTACTACAATCTATATTGTACTCTCTACAAGATATACAAAAACAAATGACATTGATGGAATTGATCGAATTCCCATATGTTCAAAGTTGGCCAACAGGCTGATCGTGTAGTAGCTATATCCACATCTGGCAGAAGTCAGTTACGTCACAGTGGCTCTCCACGTCCACAAGGGAAAAATGGCTTCTCTCAACTTCCTCACTTAACCACAACATTCAAAATGACATCGACAGTTCTTGTTACTGGAGCCAGTGGCCTCCTTGGCCGTGCTGTTTTCAATACTTTCCAACACTCAGGCGTGTTGGTTGTCGGCCAGGGATTCTCCCGCACTGCCCCGCCTACTATCTTGAAGGCCGATCTGGAGCAGGATGAAGACATTCGGATGCTCTTCGATGAAGTCAAGTATGTATTGCCAATTGGATCTGAAATATAGATATTGATTGACTTTAATATAGGCCTCAAATTGTCATCCATTGTAAGCTAATGAGCTCACGCGATCACCCCATCCTCGACTGACAGCTCACAGGCGCCGCAAACAAGTCCCCAGACCTCTGTGACAAAAACCCAGATCAAGCCCGCAGGGTAAATGTTGAAGCCACTCGAACATTGGCCAAAGAATGTCAATCACGCGGCGCTTTCCTCATCTACATCTCGACCGACTACGTGTTTCCCGGCACAGAAGGCGACGCACCTTATGAGAACGATGCCGAGACCAAGCCTCCGAATTTGTATGGGCAAATGAAGCGTGATGGCGAGCTGGCCGTACTAGAAGCAACTGAAGCCTCTGGCATGGGCATTGTGCTGCGCGTGCCGGTGCTGTACGGCAATGCCAAGGAGAACTCCGAGAGCGCGATCAACACACTCGTCGACGCGGTCAAGAAGGCGACGGATGAGAATGCCGGAGTGAAGATGGACGACTGGGCCATACGCTACCCAACCAACACCGAGGACGTTGCGCGCGTCTGTCGGGACATTGTCATTAAGTACCTGCGCGAGAAGGAGAAGCGCAAGGACTTCCCTCGTATCCTGCAATTCTCGTCTGAAGACCGCATGACCAAGTATGAGATTTGCCAAAAGTTGGCTCAGGTAATGGGTGTCGCTATTCCTGGAATGATTCCCAACAAGCAGGGCAATGATCCTAATGGGGGTGTTGTACGGCCTTATGATACACATCTATCTACCAAGGCACTGACTGAGCTGGGGATTGATGTGCGAACAGTGGATTTCATCGTGTGGTGGTAAGTTCTCTTCATGGGCTGTATCTGCATAGCTGTACCCCTTGCTCATAGGTTTATGCTAACAACTCACAGGCGCCGCGAATTGGGTGCTTATAGGAAATAGGGTCGACTTAAACGCATTTACCTTGTAAGAACGATGAAATATAGAAGGACTTGGGTCCGATTGAAAATCAGAAAGGAGATTTAAGCCTATCAAGGGCAATCAGCCCCAGTGACCACATTGCAACTATCGCTTCACGAAACTTGTATACTCTGTATAAGGAGTAAGAAAGTTGATCTAAACCATTTCCACGGGATTTGGATGTCCATGATATCGGGTATTTATGAAGAATAGCAAGTACACCTGGAGTTTAGTATGTGATCGTCTTGTGGACCCCCATATATCATCCAATAATAGTGTCACATTTTGCATTGAACAATCTAATAGTGCCACTGGCGTCAATAGTACCTGTCGATCACATACCTTCATATATATATACTCCGTACTTCGTACGGAGTGCTCAGGTCAACCTCGTATATCCTGGCGTGAAACCGCATCCGGCGCGGCAGATCCGAAAATGTTCAGCCCCCACGAAACCAGCTGGAGTACCAGGACAATTGTGTTTACTTCTCTTCTCTCGATGATTGATATGCCATGTACTTTGAAGTTCAACTCATATATGATCTATCGAAGAAAGTGAAATCCTATGCACCCTCAGCCTAGCCCGGCCCATTTGACGATCGGTGCGGGTCACTTTTGCCCCCAACGAGGTGCGTATGGTCGATTGACAACAGGCCGGTTTGATCGTGAGAAATGGGATTCTATTTAGTCTCTGTGTTTTTTTTTCTCCCAGAGTCGTGTTTTCCTTGCACTGAGAACCCTGAAAGTCGCAGACTGCAGAGCAAAGTCGCAAAGCCGCAAAACCGCAGCCTGGAACGGGAAATTGCTGTTTTGAAGACGCTAACCTTATTCTGTCATTAGGCCCTGGGAAATTACGAAACGCTCCTGGCGGAAAGAAAACTCCAGCATGAGTGAGAATATGGCAGCGCAGTCTGTGACTCGAAAGTTCTCCCGATATCGTGCGCGAGGTGCGACAACCGGCGACGTCGAAATGCCCCCACCTGCACCTGTCGCTAGCGTTGGCGAGCAAAACCCCTCGATCGCGAGAAGCAGATCTCGATATCGTCGCAATCGGCCATCGTCAAATGGAAATATCGCACCTCCTACTCCTGCCCTTCCAAGCTACGCGCGACTTCAACCGAACCAGCGGAGTGAAGGAGAAAGTGTACGTGCAACCAATCGCCCTTTGGCAACACAAGATGAGGTAGCATACACACGCCAGGCGCACCGACAAGATGCGATGGAACAATTGACTGGAGAGGATACCTCGGCGCAACACGTTGGGCAACCTCAGGCCTCCGTCACGCCAAAACAAGTCGCGCCATTACCCCGATCGCAAACGGCCCCGGCGCACCCCCCGGCGCATCCACCGCGCAGTGCCCACTCGGAGAACGATGGTTATCGCAAGTCTTTCTTTCAGAAGGTCAAACTTTCAAGATCCAAGGACCATGACAAGAAGAATGAGCCCCTTCCGAACTACATTGGGGTGGGAGGAACCGGAGTGGTTCCAGGACTTGATGCTCCTGTCAGCGCTGTCAACGCCGGAGAACGACGTGCACTTGTCAAATACGGAGATGCCACTGCGGATATCACTGTCACCCCGTCAACTCAAGTCCGGGATATATTGCTAGATGCCACGAAGCACTTATCTCGGGACATTGACGCAGAAAAATTTATTCTCATGGAATCTTACTCTCAAGTTGGCCTCGAGCGCCCTCTCCGCCGCTACGAGCATGTGCGAGAAGTCATGAATTCCTGGTCACATGATGCGGACAACCAGTTCATTGTTATTCCCCCCTCTAGCGTGGACGCTCTGACTCAGCTCGATGCTGGACATGCTCCCAGTGGGCAGCCATCCCCAGTGACTGTCCATATTTATCATTCCCAGCGCCGTCGCAAGTGGGATAAGCGATATGTTACCTTGCGTTCTGACGGACAAGTCACAATATCGAAGAAGGAGAATGCCAAAGATCAGACCAATATCTGCCATATATCCGACTATGACATCTACTTTCCCAGCGCCCGAGCGCTGAACAAGGATATCAAGCCACCCAAGAAGTTGTGTTTTGCAATTAAGAGCCAGCAGAAGTCATCTATGTTTTTGTCCACCGAAAACTTCTTGCACTTTTTCTCGACCAGCGACAAGTCCATTGCCGATACATGGTACAGAGCAGTTCAGAAATGGAGAAGTTGGTATCTTGTCAATAAGAAAGGCGTAGGCCAGAAACAAGAGACTGAAACGCCAAAGCGCGCTGGAACGAAGAAATCGACTAATCAGTCGAGAAATGTGCACAACGAAGTCCCACTTCTACAACGGGAGACTCCTACTGAATCCCCGAAGCGTGGAAGCTCCGATCAACAGAGACCAACAAGCTCCAAAGACATCTTTACCCGGAAGAAGACCCTTCGTGGACATGTACCCCCTCCATCTTCATATCCCCAGCCCCTGACACTGGATACCGATATGGAAGGGCCCTTCACCGACAAGCATGCCTTAGTTTCAGGCATCTCGCCCGAAGAAGTGGAAACTTCTACTTTTGCGCCATCCGGACTCCTAGGCCGAACTTACACCCAGCGACAAACTGCTATGCGGGAACGGGATGATCGCGATAGGAGGGCTAAGCAGGAAGCCTTTACAGGCACTGGCTTTATGAGCGGAGGATCCACCCAAACCCCGGGCTACGACTCAAGTCCTAATAGCCGGACTAACACCATGACTCGAGCTCCCGATTCATCCCATTTCAATAAAACCCCATCCCTCAACCAGAAGCCCCTGATTGATCTCACTCCAGTCTATGCCGAGCCACCGCAGCATAGTCGCAAGGGCAAGGGCCATGGTGTCAAAGTCCAACCAGGCATGCAACTGATTGACGGCGCCACTGGCCCAGATCAGACGCCGGGAGGAATCGCCATCCCACCCTCGACTTCGTGGCGCCGGCCAGCCGCACCAGTAGAAACCACACCTCAGCGGCGCAACACTACTCGCAGTATGCGTCATCAGCCAAATGCATATGCGCCTCCTATTTCTGCTGAGGGAAGCCCGGCACTTCCCACCGCCCAGTTCACCCCACACAGTCTGCTGGCACATTCAGCCAGCACGACTAGCCATCGAAACCCGCGCAGTGGACACGGCGTCGCAACGGGAGACCGCAATGCCACACGGCCGTTGTTGGATATGTCCCCTGAGAATCCCTTTGCCGATGGCAGTCTTCTGCGGCACTTGTAGCATTTTTTTTTTTTGTTTTCCTCTCCTTTGTTACTTCTATTGTCACGATGATCATGATTGTTATACCGCGGGATTTGGTTTGGTATACCTAGGGTTTATTTGATTCGGGCCGCTGGCTCCCCACACTGCGACAGTGCGAGGTTGAGTTCAATCTCGTTATGTCTCGATGCATTCTGTGTCTTTTGATCTGGGGATGAATGATTCATAGCCGATTGTGCTTGATAGACGATTCATCTTTGTTAGAGATACCCACTCCATGTTTATTAGTTAGCACCGAAGTGAAACTGAATATCTATCTCTCATCTTTGTTCCGCATTATTTCAACTCACATTTACTGTCGTTCAAGGATATTCTGACATCTCCATTTTCTACTAGACTTCAAGAAAGTATAATCACCATCTGACTTGCCATATATCGCGGAGAACTATCCAACTAAAATAACCCGCTTCCTTATTCCATGCATAAAAAGACAATTGGCCTGATCAACGGCCGTTTTGACTGTACTCGAAACAATACAATTTTTCGCGGGAATAAATCAAGAATCCTCAAGCCAACCACGCGAACCACATAAATCACCAGGAAGTCTCATTTACAACGAAGCAACGAAGTTTGCCTTGATCCGAAGCGACGAGGGAGAAAACCATTCTTTGGTACTATCAGCACCGATCTAGGTCTCGTCGTCAATAATGCTCAGGAGAGTGGGTGGTGGGGCGATATTGATAATAGGGAGTATGAGGCCGATGGCGAGGAGTGGTACAGTGATGAGAGTGATGAGCCGGCAGCGCAACTTTCAGTGGTGAGTTTTGTTTGAGAGATTGTTGGCTTCCGGCTAATGAAAGGACAGGTGTTTCGGAGAAGAATCAGGAGCAAGGGTCTGTTGAGATGCGTTCACCCCATTGTGAGTCCAGCTGTAGGACCCGATTTTCTCTGCTCTGTCTATGAGATACCGAGTCACTAGTCAGAAGAACAAGACAAGACACCTTGGAAAGAACATGAAGTCGAAACCTTTCTGCTTGGGCGCTACCTACATTGACTTCTCTCATATAAGCCCGAATATCTAACTCCAGCAAAAGCCGATGGAATAGCAAAAAGCAACACGCTGTAACGAGAAACATTCCTCTTGCTACAACCCAATCCAATCATATCATCTGGTATATAGCAAATAGTAAAACAAGAACAACAGAGAATTCTTATCCCTCAGCCCTTTCAAACTCAAGAGGCACGATATACCTTGAAACTCCTGAACTCCCAATAAGCATCAACAAAGCTGCCAGGATTGGTCGCAACGAAACCCGAACAAGTCGCCGGACAATGATACAAAGTATCGTAATACTGCTTCTGAGCAGCAAGCTCACCACAGAGATCAATATTGATAATGATACTCAGATTCTTGAAATGCGCCGCAATATCACAATCAGTACCGGGGAAATCCGCCAGCGCGATCCCCCAGCGACTTGGATCCGGATTTCCCTCCGTGATATCACCAGGAACAGCTCCAGCCGGAAAGAACCAAGCGCGAATGCCCGCATCACGGAGCTCAAGCACATAAACACCTCCACCCCGGTTATTCATAACCTCCCCATAAGTATACTCATCCCCGATGACACCACACCCCGAATTCCCGTTCGTGACATTATCACAATTCGTAAAGATCCCCTGACCAGTCTGTTTGCGCTTGACATCCATCTTACACCCCTTGGTAGTATGAATGGAGACTTCATTGCCATGACTTCCAAGATTGGTAGTTTCGAGCACATCGATCTCCCCATTCCCCGGCCAATTATATCCATCCGTTAACCACAACGCCGGCCAAGTCGCGCATCCAAAAGGAGTATGAATGATATCGAAGACAAAAAGACCTGAATCATAGGTATTCCTCGACTCGACGCGAACCGAGTTCCGACCAGACCGGGCATGGGGTGTCGATGCGTCTACGCGTAGGATTGCCGAGTTCTCAGCTGCATAAGTGAGGTTAAGATGTCTTGCCATTGATTTGTTGACGTAGACGACGAAACCTTTTGTTGGGTCTTCATCTGTGAAATAGGTAAATTGGTCGAAGAAGGTTGGACCGGAGTATGTGTCTGCGAGGGTGTAGTTGAGGGGTGTGTAATCTGGGTATCTGTTTTGGATTATTTCGACGGGGATGAGTATTACAGCCAAGATGGTGACTATGGCTATTGTGCTGGCGATGAGTTTCGTGCATAGGGACCAGCCTCGTGGGTTATACCAGGGTGTTTGGGATGGAATGTCTTCTGGTTGGATGGTTGTGATTGGGGATTTGGTTTCGGTGGGGACTGTTGAGGTCCCGCTGTAACGATTGAGATATGGCTGTCGGTCCATGATGATATTTGATATAGTGGAGATGATAATTCTTGTAGAATACTTGGAGATGAGTTGCGTTTTAGAATGTAGCCTTTGTCATAATTCTCAGAAAGCGATGTTTGTCGTCATGGATAGCACATCTACTTCTCTTCTGTCCCAAAATGGACAAGCGCAGATCTTTCCTGATCCATGGATCACTTGGCTATAAATAGTCTAGTCGATTCCGTCGTACACCAACCATGCAGGGTCACCTGTTGATATCAATCTCTACTTTCCTTATCAAGTTACAATTCATTTGACCACCATCTAGAGAGATGTAAGATTGATTAAAAGGTGCTTGGTCCCTGCAGTTAGTGGCATGCTGCAACCCGTGAGCTTTATTCTACTAAACAAGCAAAAGTCCAATATTTCCAAAATTATGTGTACAATGAATTATAATGGAACCACCAGGGCACGTATATATGTAGAACGCCAAGTCATTGTAGGTATAAACAAAATATCGAAAGGTTCCACCCATTTTCTATCGATTGGATCGGACAGTCGAGGAACGATGCACCAGAGAGTCTGCATTCGGAGCGGGATGGGTTTGCCAGTCGTGGGTTTCCATGCCAGAAGACAGACCCGCATCATTCCTTGCCTGAGATAAGGTGCGTGATTGCGACTGGGCAAACGATCCACCGCCACTGAGGTTGGATGTGCGGCGGCGCATGCGGCGCTCTCCCTCTTGGGCCTCGTGTCGGTTGAGGGCGTCAGAGGGAAGAAGAACGGCGCGGTCAAGCGCATAAGGTAGACCACGGTGACGGCCGCGGAGTTGCATGGCAATGATCACCAACTTGGAGACAACATTGAACTGTCCCGAGAACGAGGTGTCGGAATCTGGGTATCCAAACGACAGACCCACTGTACCGTATGCCGAGACAACCTCAAACAAAACAGTGAAGAGCTGGAAGGCGTAGTCGTTCGGATTCTGTAATTTTGATCCTTCTGAAATGGCAATGATAAACAAACCTAAAAAGACGTACCACAGATCGAAACTCAGCTGACGTCGCAAGTGAGCTCCAATATAAGTGGGGGCATTTGTATCTTCGTCGTCGTCAAACTCTGCGGCATCGTAGATGCCCAAACTCTTCTCTTCATAGACATTGGTCCGACGCATGGAGATAGCGATGGGGAAGACCGAGATATACATCATGATCAGATAGGAGACCTGAATGGCCGGGTGAAGTTCTGAAAGACTGATGATTCCAAAACCGGCTGTTCGTGTCGCAGCAGCTTGGAAGAAGCCGTCCACAACTCGAATACCCGGTGGTAGTGCAGTGACAGCAGAATCATTGAGCTACGGAATCGTGGTCAGTAAAAAATTGTGTGGAAGGAGAGATATCCCCAAACTCACATCCAGAATAACAAAGAAGATCAGATCAATGCCGTTCAATGCGATAAGGATCGCAAACAGCCACCAAGTGGCATTGCGAGGGAATAACAGAGTGAAGCATCGACGAGGATGATCCAGAAGGAACTTCAATTCTTCCCATAATGCGCTCCCCTGGCGAGTAAGCTTAGAAAGAACCCAAATCATCAGACGAAGCATACATGGAAAGGCGGTATTTCCAATAATGATCAAAAAAGATAGCATCAACAGAGGGAAAATGGCCCTTTGGAAGGAGTACATCGAGTCAGGTGTCAAGGTGAAACCCAGATCGTTGAAGGCGGACGCAGATGTAAAGATTCCCCACCACGGCCGCCCAACTCCATCAGCCCGGACAACATCGCCCCACTTGTCATTGGTCATGATCCAGCCGATCATACTGACCATGCCGATGAGGTGGAAACCGAGATAGTAGGTGATGAGAACAACGGCCAACGTTTTGAGCGCACGGTATTCGATACCGCCTAACTCATCACGCTGCTCCTCAGTCAAATCAACGAAATTGGAGTTACGAGCCACTGTCGCATTCCAACTGAGATATGGCTGAGTGGACATATCACGTTCTTGTGTCAGAGATCGGAAAATACCCCTAAAGGTATTTCTCGTGTTACTAGGGCCGAGAGTCGTAGTCTCATTCCCGTCCTTAGTCTCCCGGAAAGTGGGACGAGTGTCAAGACGGGGGAACGTACTCCCGCGGGGACGGGTTCTTGAAATATCTGGCTCGTTGATGGTGATGTGCGGTCCTTCAAGTGGGCCAATCTGATCGAGCTCCTCGGGGTTTGTACCAGGGCTTATTTGGTCGTCCTGGTCTTCCTGGTCACTGGAGTGCTGAGCCTGTTCACCCTCCTGAGCCACATCTTCTTCCAAGGCCTCAGGTGCACCACCACGGTCGTACTCTCGGGGACTTGGAATGCGCAGCGCTCCTTTGTCCTTCCGTTGCTTTTCCAGGAAGGCAATGTGATGCTCAGGGTTCAAGTGGGTTGGCACCTTCAAGCTACCGAGGCCAAAACGGGGTTCATTACTCGTGTCTGTTCCATCGGAGCTGGAGTCGATGCTGCTACCCCGGGCTTCTGGTGTGTTGGCGCCGGAATTGATGTTCTTGCTACCAGGATCCGTCAACCGCGTGTCTCGCGCATCCCCTGAATCGTCCCGTATCACCGTAATCGGTCGACCGCTGACTCCGCCCTCCGCACGGTTGATATTGATATCCTCGCTATCTCCATCATCGGTCACGGTTTCCATGCGTGATCGGGTTCGTCGCATCGCACGAGCGTCTCGGACCACATGTTGGAAGCGCTTCTCGAACCAGTATAACCGGATGAACACCAGGGCGCTGTTGATGAAGATCGGTGTGCACAGACATGTGATTAGGTATAGAATAATTTGTTGATATAGCCAGAGATTATTCAAATTGACGGTGTTCAAGCCACTTTGGGTCGCGGCGCCGGCCGATTGGAAGAGGGCATCGATGTAGTCGATATTACCACCAGGGTAAACGATAATGGAGCCGATTATAACCCAGGATATGATATAGGCATAGTGGAGGAGGATGAAATTGAGGTGAAGTTGGTTTAGAAGCGGGACCTTCTCCTTGAAGGATGTCACCCGGCGAAGAAACGCCGAGAACATGTTGAACGGACTGCGGCCAGACCGTTGCCGAGCGGAGACCACTGGCACTGGCCGAGGGAAAGATGCCGAGATGGGATTCTCTCGAAAGGACGGGAATTTATCAAACCTAGGACTATTAGCTTCATCTCGACTTGCTTTTCGCACGGCATACATGTGGTCCCGTCGATCGCTACCAAGCGGAGAGTTTTGACTGCAGGAAAAAAAAAAGACCACCGCTAGCCGCGTGGCATTGAGCCACTATTGTTTGTAGAGATGATCAAGGGCATAACGAAAAGAAGTCAAAAGAGAGGAATGGCAACTGGTATATGTAGAGAATCATCGTAAAGGAAAATCGTAAAAAAGCTCGCCTTGGAGCTGGGGAAAATCACGCATGCGGGAATATTACAGTACAGGATGTATGGTATTGTCAGATGCCGAAAACGTGGACTGCCGATCTCTTTTCGTCCCGAGTTTTGTGGCGAAGCAAAGCCTTAGAAAAGCCTTGGAAGTGTATTTTTTCTAGGTTTTGAAGCGTATAATATGCGCTAGGAGGTGCCCTATCTAGGTAACTACCTAGGTAGGTAATCATGGGTATATAAAACAATAACAAACCAAACAGCTTCAGTGGATTCACCTTCCACTCTACAGCTTTTACTCGGTAGGGTTCAAAATCGGGATTGACTACGGAGTATGTACATTCGGCCTTGGCCGAGTGTACATCCCTAAGGTGCAGTAGCCCTCGAGGCATGCATTGGCACGTGAAGGTAAAGTACGTCAATCTTGGCATCTGATACATCCCCAAATCTGAAACTGCTCATCACCATCTTAAAATCATAAAAGGTAGCTGCCTAACTGCCTTAATTGCTTAAGATTGAAGGTTCTGGATCGGCCCACTTTTCATTCCGGCTATGTCGTGGGCCGTTCCTAGCTGAATTACCCCTATGCTGTTAGGGCTGCCGAAATATCGATATATCCCCCTTCTGATTGGTCCGTTGGAATCGCGTGCATTCTCTATCTTATAGAGGGTCGCCGCCCTATACTTATTCAAAGAAGGGTGTTGCGTCCTTGTCCAATAATTTATCGACGTGTCTCACTCCTTCCTCCTTGTACTTGCTTTTTTTTTTCTCACTAGAAACTTGCTGACACGAGGTTTAGGAAACCCAAGAGATCTAACAAATGTGAGGGGCTCATCCTTTCAAGAAATGGAAATTATTCGGCACTGGCGGCTCAACATTCTTTACTTTAAAGAGATGATCTTTTCCAAATACTGAAGTACGTCCCGAGGATCTGGAATCTAGGCCATTCCCAAATCCGCGGAAGAAAGCACTGTCAGCCAAGATAGTAGCATAGCATTCTTTTTAACAATCGCAACACCTAATCTCCTAGGTCCAGCATTCTTGCTCAGGATATTCTAGAAATTTGCAAAGATCTTAACCGTAGCATTCTTGTTAACTGTCGGAACTTTTCATCTCCTAGGGCCAGCATTCTTGCTAGGCTATTCTAGAAATCTGCAAAGATCTAAGAAAAGGCTAGTACGGAGTACCGAGTACTCGGTATTTGCTTGACAGACGAGTTCTGGTCATATTCTAAAATAGACTTCAATGTCAGTATACTCCGGGATTGCTGCTGTTCAAACTTACCTCAGCCTCACTCCAAGGCTATGGCAAACTTATCTTATTCTTCGAATTTTCGATTACCGGAAAGTGTTGAGCCTTCAACCCCCTAACGATTACAGTATCTCTCGGGTACACCCACCTAGGTAGTACGTACGTAGTACAGACATTCCGCTCTATAGAAATACTTGTCTAGTGACCAATATTGCTCACTGAATAGATATTGTGCAAGCAAAAAGTGTATAAATAGTTGGGCATTGGCTGGTTTTGCTAATCACATTTATTTGGCCTTCTGATCTGCACTCTGTTAGCATCTGGTATTACTTCGGCACAGTCCCTTATCATTCAATTGGTCAAGTCCTTGGTAGTGTAGGTAGTTCCCAATTCCGAATATTCAAATGATGACCATTAAAGTCACCATATATCTGAGATCTTGAACAGATCTAAAGGACAGAGGAAGAACAAAAAGTACCGCACTATGACTTCCTGGCATACCTCTATTGATCCGTGCAGAATGGCCCCTCTAACGATTTTAGTTGTAGTCCATCCGGCTATGGTATCTACTGTCCCCTCCACACTTATTTACGCTGTGCAGATCTCCAGTATAGAGCCCACCATGAATACACATTGGACACGAATATACGAACTAGGGGTTCCACTAGTGGGATTGCCCTCCTTCTAAGGGTAGTCGCGGCAGTGCTTCGCGACGGTTTCATGATGTCCAGAACAAGCCAGCATATCCGAATGTTCTTTTCCTAGCCGCCGCCCCCTGAGGCATAGATTGGCTAGGCCTAGACTGAACATGACACCCAGGCTGATGAGGCCAAGGACTTTTGTGGGGAAGTGTATCGTATGTGGTCACACTGGTGGAATCAAGTAGTTTAGTGTTAGTTAGCTACGTTTCATTTTACTACCCAACTAAAGCGTTTGAAGATAATAGGTTCAGCTCTCACAAGTATATTACCTCCAACTCTTGCTCTCGGTATAGTTCTTGCCCTTATGTAGGAGGATACGACGCTGAAGACCATTTTATACCTGGATCCGAACATTGTTGGCGTAACCTTGGCCCCTCATCAGAAGGCAACATGTGGCCAAGAGTTTCGGGCAGCAAAATCGACCGCACTTGATATGAGTCTCGGATCAGATGCACAGAGCTATGGGGCTAAGTTGATCTCATGGGAACTTCGTGGGGAACAAAAGGCTCCACTTTACGCGCCAATAGCGACCGAGTCGACGCCGATCATGACTGTTTAGTATGAATGCCACTATGAGGGATTATTATCAGCCATAGGTGCAAAATGAGAAATTTCAGATCTCATCTCGAAGGATCTAGCTATCTCTGCACCAATCCGTTGTTATTTCTAATAACCCTCCCTTCATAGCTGGTATCCAAGAGGTGCTGATGGTCTATTTTCAAAAGAAGGTTGGCAGGTATTGTAGCAAAAACAGTTGTTGTGGCCGGTCTCTTCCTGGGCTCCGAATGGAGAGTAAAGACAAAAAAGTCAGTCCTCCTCAGTGTTCACTCTACACTGAGCCTTTTCTACTTCATCAATGCCACCAGTTGCCTTGTTCTGAACAGGCTAACTATATTGAGGCTGCAAGATATATGAAGTCGTGAAGATGCATTCATATGGTTGGCTTACTGATTATTTTCCTTGGCCAGCGCATCGCACTGCGTATCGTGGTTGGTTCTTCGTTAATCCCTGTCATCCCATTTGGTATGATGTCCAGCTGGCAGGAGAAATCTTCGCGCATGTGTACAAGTTGTGAAAAAGTATTTCAAGTCATCAATTTCTAATCTAGAAATACTTGCTACACCCGCCACAGACAAGCGCAAAGACATCTGTGGGGCGCATTGGATTTGGGGTTTGCAAACGGCGAACAATTGGCTATCTATGTTTCCATCTACGATATTTGTTCGGAGTTCCTGCATCCCATCCCCCCCATTTGGAGCTTCTCCACCCGCCCTGGTAGGCATCTATGCCATCTCATTTGGTAATACTCATGCTGTTCTCTGTTGTATACATTCTGTGGATTCCCCCTGCTTCGCTGTATCTGGTCTCGGTCTGGGCATTATATTTCACTAACATACTGCGAACCTTATCTTTCGTCAGATTGAACATCTGTCTTGAGCTTTACAAGTGTCGGCATGCTGACTACCCCAATAACCGGATGTCAGACATACTCACGAGCAGTATTTAGAGAGCCGGCTGTTGTCGATCTATATGGTAACGGCTATAGAGAGAATCGGTGTTCCAATATCGGTCCACAGTCATAACGCTTTCTTTTTCGCATTTCTGGACTGGTCGTCTGGTTTATCGTGTTAGCAAGGGAGTCGACGTTCGGTCGAGAGGACTTGAAGTTGAATATTCTTTGAGACTCGGCTTTCTCACATTGCCTTGCTGTCATATAAAACATTATTGGGAAAACAATGTTTTTTTTTTTTTTTTTGATACCAGACAGTGGATGACATCACGATATTATATATCAACTTCGTCCATCGATGGATAGAGCGCTCAATTTGGATATTTGATACTTTTCTTGGACTGTAGCATATTCTAAACTTTGCAACTATTTGCGGACGATCATTGTTGTATTGGATCTTCACAGTTCTTTGTTGGAAAGACAAGACATGTTGATCGGAGTGAGTTGGGGTTACATTGTTCATCGACCCCAATTTCTCCAACTTCATGTTGGGGTAACCAGCACCATGGATAGTGTTAAATCCCCCGTGTTTCTTTCCTCTTTTCGTGGCCAGCTCATCTTACTTGTACAATTGACATACCATGGCCGCTACGCATCGTATCGCCGTCATTCAATGGCATATCAAGGTGGGTGCATCCCATTGGGTCATGTTCGAACTTTGTACCATCAATGACGTTTGATTTTATTCCAATCAGATTTACTTACATTCTCCCAGGAGCTTGACATTGAGTACAATCATACAAAAGCATGCAACTACATCCGTGAAGCTGCTGCACAAGGCGCCGAGTTAGCCGTTCTTCCAGAGTAAGAAGCACAATATCAGAGCTATCCAGCAACCCTCGATAGCTCCCAAGACACAGCAACACTCACTAATTCAAGGTGACCAGGTACCATCTCAGCGGCATGGTCCCCACAGACCCCCGTTGGGCAATCCAAGCCGGCGAATCCCCCAGTACCTAGCAAAATACCAAAGTCTGGCCAAGGAACTGCATATCTGCATCGTACCGGGTTCAATTATCGAGAAGCACACAAGGCCCGACCAATCAATCCTGTTCTACAACACAGCATACTTCATCTCAAACGATGGCACTGTGCTCGGCTCCTACAACAAAAAGAACATCTGGCACCCGGAGCGGCCCTTCCTCACCTCAGGCTCAGAGCCTCATACGGCAATAGACACACCGATCGGTCGTGTGGGAATGTTGATTTGCTGGGATTTGGCATTCCCCCCGGCATTCCGGGAATTGATCCGCGACGGGGCACAGATTGTGATTGTGCCTACTTACTGTATGTTGGACACTTTCTCCCCTGTAGTTGTAAGTATTACTTGATCTAACTGAAAAATCTACCAGGGACCCCTCACGACGCCTCCCCCGAGGCCCGCGCGTATAATCCGGATTGTGAAGCCCTGTTCGTCGAGTCGATCATTACATCCCGCTGCTTCGAGAATACCTGTGGTATTGTCTTCTCCAACGCTGCTGGGCCGTCGGAGGATTTCTTGGGCATGTCGCAGATTACTCTTCCTCTTGTTGGGCCGATTGCTAAGATGGGGACTGAGGACGGATTCGTTGTTGCCGATTTAGATACGAGGGTTGTTGCAACCGCGGAGAGGAACTACAGAGTGCGAAAGGACCTAAGCAGTGAGCATTGGCACTATGCTTATGCTCATACCAAGGTTGACTAGGCATTTACGGGATGTTTCTTACTTCTTGCGACCATTATGACCATGAGGTTTTGAGACGGCTTGTCTTCCTTGATGAAATCCTTGATTTGCAGCTTGCTCTTTCTTTTTGTGTCTGCTATCCTCATCCTGTTGACTAGAAGATCAAAGAGTATATTCAAAGTGGTAATATGTACTACATATCTATGACGCTGGTACACTCGGGCGGCTAGTCGCATACGGGCGGATAGACTATTCCGAACACAGTCTAGCGTCAAAAGCTTATCTCCAACTGTATGGCTGCTTGATATCTCGGAACAAAATTACTTCACAAAGTATGTCGCTCATTTCCAAGTTCATTTAGGCTTCATTTTAGCTTCAGTTCTCTTGCAGCTGGCTGTTGTCACTAGGATATTTATTGGAGATTTCTACACTCTGGGAAATCTAGGTGTCTCGATAGGTTTATGCAGATGAGATTGAGCCCCAGGAGACAACAAACATGAGCCTAGGGTACATGGGGTAGCTACGTGGCAATAAACGATTTATCATGGCGACAGCTTCAATCATAGGTCAGGCATTGCTCTTTTTTATCGTGAATGCTGGCTTGCAAGTTATAAATCCTCACTCCTTCTACCAGTACAAGTAGCACTAGGTGACAGCTTCGTATGTACCTGATCAATCCCACGTAAATTCTTCGAGGCAGATCGATTTGGGGAGAATACCTAGGTAACTACTGCGTGATCTTACAATGAACAATGGGGAAGGAGCAGGGGGTACCCATTGTCTCCTATTGTCTCCCATTGCTCCGTCCCAAATAGGCAGGGCACCTTCCTAAACGGTCAATCTACCACCTACCTATTCTCCTACCTATAAATACCTCCCTCTCCCAGCTTCCTCATCTTCTTTCTTTTTCCTTCTTCAACTCTCATTCCTCCTCATATTCCCCTTCACTCATCCCCCTCCCATTCACCAGGGGTTCCATCAATCTCAAGTACATTCCATCATCTCCTTGGGTCTCATCAATCCCTGCTTCATCTAATCGCACCTTTGATTCTATCTTGCATGAGGGTCTCTTAGAAATGAAGCTGTCACCACCTCTCACTGCTAGCAGCGTGTCGCAATGACACGTCACGTCTGTCACGTCAACATCCACCTATGTGGTCCATCACATTCACTGTGGTAAGTCTGCCTTCTAGTACCTGCCACTACGCTTTATCATTTACTCACTTGTTACCTGTCACCAGCCTTCATGAATAGCCACTCTTCACCACCATTCGCCACCTCTCACTTGTCACCTGTCACTACCCTTCAGTTACTAACATGGACGTACTTGCCTCAAAGGCCACATATGACATGGGTTGTTCCCCTCTGGTGTTTCATCTTACATCTGCGCCGCACATTGTAAGTGTTTTTCCTCTCCACCCTACCCTGATCACCCACCCAGCACCTCTCCAACATATTGTCATCCCCTCAGACTGCTATCATGACTCGCTTATCACCAAACCACCCTCTATCATACCTGCAGCCATTCATTACACCTAACTGACCGTATCAAATATGTCCCAAGATCACCATCTGTTCCATTCTTCAGACAAAGATTCCACTCAGACCTGTAGCCTGAGAATCGTCACCTCGATGGTCTTTCATCCGCATGTTGATGCTCGCAACCCACCATCATGAGCATCAGTCTAGATTGTGGTTCTTGGGCATTCAGGTAAGAACTCCAGTATCAGAACTCTCCCCTCCTCTCTGTTCCTTCTGCTCTGCAATGACGAGTGGAAGATCTTACGCACCAGTCCAATGGCTGACGCGGTTACAGCTTGGTGTCTTCTGCCACAGAAAAGCCATTCTTCGCCATCAATCTACCTACTTCGCATATTCTTATATGTGCCTGCTATAGCCTTGGCCTTTGATGCATATAATGTCCACGTTATGCATCCAACCTACCGACATGGCCATCAATCCAGATTGTGTCTTGCAGGTATTTAGGTAAGAACTCCAGTATCAGAACTCTCCCCTCCTCTCTGTGCCTTCTGCTCTGCAATGACGAGTGGAAGATCTTACGCACCAGTCCAATGGCTGACGCGGTTGTAGCTCGGTGCGTTCTTTCGCAGAGATACCACTCTTTTTCATCAATCTGCCTGCCTTGCTGTTTGTTGCATGTGACCCCTACATTCTACATCCAATTCACACACATCTGCAGCCGACCAGCAACAACATGCCAGTTTTCGACAAACCGTACGAGATACAATCTTGCCATATTACCTTTTTCGGACATAGTATATGACAACGGTATGTCCTTTACCTCCTGGCTGCCACCGCAACATTTCCAGCTAAGGTCATCCACTGGTCTCACCACCTTGATTCTTGACAACAAAGCTCCTTTGCCTCTGAGTTGAACAATCCATGACAACTCCAAGTCATCAAGGCCAAACCAAGAAAGAGAACGAAAATCAATCTCAACACCATCGACCATCATCAACCATCACCAACCACCATCATCAACCATCATCAACCATCATCAACCATCATCAACCATCATCAACCATCATCAACCATCATCAACCATCATCAACCATCATCAACCATCATCAACCATCATCAACCATCATCAACCATCATCAACCATCATCAACCATCATCAACCATCATCAACCATCATCAACCATCAAAATCGTGAACATTGTCAACATCAAATCATAAGGGATATAGAAGGAAGAGAGACCGAGGACTGTATGGATGGAAGCAACAGGAACGAACAAGGAGAAGGGATAGAAATTTGGGGTTGATCTTCGCAAGAGAAAGGGATTCGGTGAGATCAGAAACACCATCTCTGGAGCTTCAAGGCCGACTCACAGAAATACAGTCTCCTGTTGGCTTCAGAGTCTTCCAACACCTCCCAATTCAATCATGCTCCAGCCAGCAGAGCTCATGACCACCCCAGAATCAGGAGGGATGCAATGGCATGACCGTTAGTTTCTCAACTTCTGACCATCCTTTGCCAGTGCTAACATTTCCAGTCACGACTATCCACTATCCACCCACAAGATCTACGAGAAATCGAAAATTTTCGGCTCAACTCAATCCACCCTTTGAGAGATCTCGCATCTCACATGGTCATTGCATCCCACCACCCAGTCTAGTGCGGTACCACATCAACCTGCTGCAATGCTGCAGACTACAACTACCCCGTGCCTCACTGCCTTCCTCGACAGTAGCCAGGCGAGCCAGAAATACAATCCTCTGACACCATACTTCTCAACACCAACAGGCGGTGTGTTGGGTAGTATGATCAGGAGATCTCGGTTTCTGGTACCTGGCACTGTGACAACATGAAGAACCATTATCCTCGACAGTCACCATGAGTTTGCTAAAAAATATCTCTTCTGACACCATACTTTCCGGCACCAACAGGCGGTGTGTTGGGTGGTATGAATCAGAAGGTCCATATTTTTAGTACCTGGGACTGTGGCAGCATGAAGAACCATTATCTTCGACGGTTACCATGAGACCGCTAGGAATTTATCTTTTGATACCATATCTCTCAACACCAACAGACGGTGTGTTGGGGGATATGAATCAGGAGGTCCCTGTTTCTAGCACCTGGTACCGTGACAACACTGAAGAACCATCGTCCTCGACAGTCACCACGCGAGCGCTAGGAATACATTCTCTGACACCATACTTTTCGGCACCAATAGGCGGTGTGTTGAGTTGTATGATCAGGGGATCCATGTTTCTTGTACCTGGGACTGTGACAGCAATGAAGAACCATTATCCTCGTCAGTCAAACTGGCGAGTTGGTTCTGGTATATCAGGGCTGCCCATTGCGGGTTGACCCTGGTATATCACTCTTGTCCCAGCGAGGCGTGATCAAGGTAAGTGCAGGTAACAAGAACGGCATCGCCTCATTGCAGTATGGGACTACCAACGCACATCACCCAGTCATTTCTCGGCACTCAGCGACCAACAATCTCCCAGTACCTTTAGCTTTGGGTCAAATGAAATTCCAACCCCCAAGATCACAGCCACTCTTGGTGAACTGGTACCAACGATATCACACCCGAGACACAGAATCTCAACACTGTGACTCTCATCAACATGAACTTCTACTATCCACTGCTGAGCACTTCCCACTGGACTGGGTCGGTACACTGAAACACGGGCACCGATCATCGAGCGCTTCTACCTAAGCTTCTCATGGCCAATCATGAACTCTGACACCTTTGTGACTTCAATGCATGGAATGCAATGTCTTTGTCATCTTCAAACTTGCCTCAAGCGCACGAGCCATTTTTTTCACAAGACGAACTGACCACAACTGGACTCAAGAGGATGGTAAGTCTTCAAAACAGTTCTCCCATTGAAAAGCACCATGACTGACAATTCCAAGCTAAACGCATACATTGAAAAAGAGAAGGGGAAAGAAGCACAATCTGACCGCAACACTCTTCCCCATCGGGGATTTGCAACCTCGCATGACCAGCAGGTTCTCATGGGACAGCCACAGGCCATAAAACCATCAGAAAAAGAGAAAAAAAGGAAAAGAAAGAAAAACAATAACACACAAGGCAAAAAGTCCAAACATCGTCCACACTTCGGAAGAGGCCATTGGCAAAAGAGGGTCATAACATCATTGAATGGAAGCACGCCACCTTGAAAGGCAATCTGATCAATCGTGGACTTGACTTCACTACAATTGTCAGATATTACAGCGCTGCACTTGGTGGAAAGGATGGATATGGAGAATAGGGAATGATTCGGATATTGTGGTGGATATGATGATACAGAGAATGCGGAAAATGTTGAACATGGGAATGCGTGAATCGATTTTGTTTTGATGGGAGGATTCGAGGGTTTTGTTTGCATTGTCCAACACTTGCACCTCGCAACCGGCTCTGCTGAGTCTTCAATCTCAGCTCGAACATTCTTTCCATGGACATCATCAACTTCCATGTCTGTCAGTATTTGCTTGGGAGTTTGGACTTATTTTGTATCTCCTGGAAGTGATTTCCAGTCTTATGTATTAAGAGAACTTCTGCCACTTCAAATCTGCAGAATTCAAAAGTGAAGGACACTGTCATCATCATAATCAATTTTTGATCCCTTCTCATACAAATAACAGTAGTCTTGATTTCTATCTTGCTACTCATTATCAAAAAAGAGATCATACAAAAAAAGAAAACACTAAAGAGTTTGCCTATCCAACACAGGAATAGTCGACGCCTCTATTTTTGAGATCAGATTGGAAGGCTTTCAGATGAGGAGCCACGGGTAATAATGACAAGATACATCATCAAAAGACTCATTCAAAAAAAGGGGGTGATATCTCCCATGCCAGTACCCTATGCCTAGGCCACGGCCCAACCCCGAAGGGTCCGGAATGCATAAGTGGAAATCTTTCTACAAGCGTGGGCTGAGGGACTCGAGCTTCAACTAGCAGGGGGGGCAATTGCTAGCAGAGGAATTCCCTCAGCAACTGGGGACGAGGGTGGATGGACTTTTGTTTGCCTTGAATTTATAGAACGATATACTTCTGAAAGAGGAAGGTGGATCCATATGACATAATATGGTGCCTGAAGGTGCCTGGAGGTGCCTGAATATCAATGACCCTTGACAAAGCGTATCTACTTTGTCTGTCTGTTGGAATCAGCATCCAGTCCAAGATATCGGTGACTTTGAACGGTTCTATGCTTTTTCCAAATCAAATGTGCAAACTGTTTAAATTTACTGTATATATCTGATCTACACAGTGAATGATGGTAGAAATCGAAAAGTCAAAATCTGAATTCTAAGCTAAGTCATAAAGCAGAGAGAGAATCATTCATGGAAACAATCATCCGGGCGTTCATGGCATGCAAGTCCGCGAACACAGACAACAGACCAAGCAATGAGAAAGGAAACGGTATAGAGCTCTCAAATTGGGAAAAAGAAGAACGAAAAAGAAAACACATGACAGGACGAGGCAAAGAACTCCCCCTTACATCAAAACCAAAGACGATCACCGATGACGCGAATCCGAAATTCGAGCGAACCCAAACCACCCAGGTCAACATCTAAACAAGGACCAACGGAACAAGTCACTATCCAAGAGATGGTAGGAACGGCAAAGCAAGTACGGAGTATAATCAAGATATCCGGAGGGTGTTGTAAAAATCACAAAGAGATGCGAGGAGCCCAACTCCGCCAACGCGAGAGCTCGATCATACAGCGGTCAATGGGATGAGGTTTTCCTTTGTGGGTAAATCGTCTGGCGACCAAGTCCACTATTTCGTCACTGGACTTGGCTGACGATTTCGCTGGCACGACCCAAGCTCTCGACCATCTGTTGGCATTCCTTGCGTCGGCGGGTTGTGTAATCACTCTCCTTGAGGAGTTCGTCGAGCTCGTTGGTGCGGTACATGTTCTCCAGGAGTTCACGTTGCATCTCATCCTTGGTGAATCTGGGGAAGTCTTTTGTTAGTGTACTGATTGCGGAGGGAACTTTGGATGAGACATACTGGACCAGGGTGTACATGACGGCCTTGGGGACCATGTCGATCATTGTGCGCTTGACAATATTGAAGTAGGAGGTAATCAGGAGTTCTGTGTGAGTGTTAGTGACGTCCCATAGGGTGTTAATGTGGACTGGTTTACTTACTGATAACCTCGACTTCGGTGGCTTCACGCTCAGACAAGCTGGCTGAAGCCTTGAGAGTTGGGGGAGGAGCCTCCATCAGGGCCATCTTCTTCTTGTTCTTGGAAGCCCAGAAGCTGCCGAAGAACCCACTCTGGCTGCTGGACTCACCGGAGGTGTCGAGCGAGGGGCTCTGGGCACGAGCGGGGAGGAGAGGCTTGCCGGTCTTGGGGTCGACCTGTGTAGGCTTGGCAGCCGCTTGACGCTCGTTGACGATGGTCATGGCGCGGTGTCCGTTCAGGAAATCAGGGTGACCGGTGTTCACGTAGGTGGATTCCATGTTGATCAAGTCCTTGACCAGCTTATTGGTGGGCTCCAGGCATTTCTTGAAGAAGGAAATGACGACAGCATGGAACTTCTCCTTCAGCATGGGGTAGCGGCGGAACAGCTGCTTGGTCAAGAGCTGGCTCAGGATACGCACCAACTCGTCGTATACCAGTGAGATACATTTCAAGCTGGGCTCTTCCAGGCGCCTGATCTGTTGCTTGACGATCAACTCGAAGGCGGTGGTGCCGACGAATAGTGCGGGGGAAGAACCGGAGGAGTTGTAAAGGATGGTCCGGATGTCAATGTCCTTCACGATGTCGAAGGGATCGACGGCCTTGATACCGTTGGAGTAGAGTTCGTGGAACACAAAGGAGATACGAGCGCCGCCGGATAGCTCGATACTGGACAACTCTTGGTTATTTCCCTCCAAGACTGTACGGTACTCGTTGCTGAATTCAGTGATGATGTTCAGGATAATGTTGGCGCTGTTGCCGAGCATAGAATCACCTAGTTGCGATAGCTCTGCGGTGTATTTCTGGAGGGAAGCGGAAATGCGGGCCTTGATATCGGGCAGGGTCTGCTTGATGTGCATCATAAGGATCTAGAAAGAGGAAGTTCGTTAGCCCAAGGGTCTCCGAGACGGTCAGCGGTCAGCCCGTACCAAGTTCAGTTTGCGTGCCAGATACGGCGTACCGCAGTAGGAAGCCTTATTCCGGTACGCCTTGTGGTTCTCGAAGAAGTTCTTCTCGTTCTCCAGGGCGTAAGCAATGGGCTTTTTGTTCTCAATGTCACGCTGGCCACGGTTGACCACTGGCACATAGCCCAAACGCAGGGGGATAATTCGTCCAGCGAGAATATCCACCACGTCGGTTCCATCGTCCATCAGATCGACCTTACTCAACACACCGATGGTGCGCTGACCCTCTGGATCCACCTCGCGCGCCAGCTTCAAGCCATCGGAGTTGGCAAGATCCTGGTTGGCCGAAGTAACAGCCAGGATGATTGCGTTAGGCTTGCTGATATACTTGAGGACCATATCGCGGATCTGTCTCTCAATATCCTTGGGCTGGTCTCCGACGGGCACCTTGGTCAAACCAGGCAGATCGACGAGGGTCAAGGTCAAGACGTTGGGGGAGTAGATGCGCAGGTTGATTGGGGAGGGCGAGATTCCGGCATTCTTTCCGACCTTGGTTTCTGTTTCGCGCACGATCTCATCCCGAATCTTGTTGAAGTCGTAGAACTTCTCCCCGGGGAGGTGCAGGAATTCACCATACTCGTTCACGTTGGACTCGCTATCCGTTGTCTCTAACTTGGTCTCACCATTTGTCGTGGTGGTTTTGTTGATCAGTTGCAGAATGAGAGGTCTCCGAGTCACGATTCCAGAGCCACGAGGCAAGCTGCAAGGCGAAATCTGTTAGCAAATATTGTCGACATTGTGTCGCATGCCCCGCCACCGGAGGTGTGGACAGGAGGCCGCGCAAGCTCCCCAAAGCAACCAACGTACAAATCCCGGCCGACGATGTTCTCTAGCACTGAACTCTTTCCACTGGACTGTGATCCGACAACGGCGATCTGGGGCAAATCAATCGGGTTTTGGACCTAAAACGGGTAGAGGTGTTAGCACACGTGGTGCCCCTGGAATCACAATTGAACTGTGACCTTGAGCAGGCATACATACACCGACTGTGGAGAAGACATCTTGAAGCTTGTTGACTAGTGAAATCAAGCTAGGGTCATTGACGTTTATGCTGCACGGAGATTAGCTTGACCGCATCGGAAAGGGACAGGGGTTTGCGCACGAGTGGCCGGTCGTGGGGCTTGCCATGGCTGGCGATTTGGGATATGAAAACTGCTTCTAGGCAAGAAACGAAAAGACAAGAAGAACGAGACACAACAGAGAAGTTGAATAAAGCACAACGGGAGGTGTACGATGCAAGTGGATTGTTTGGCCGACCTCGAAGGCGGTGATGTAGTGGCGTCCAGAGCGGTCTCTCCAGGGCTGCCTACGTAGGCTCCAGGCAATTCAAGTATTCACTATAATATGATATTATAACTTGAATATTCAAAAGAAATACAGAGCAGGGTAATTCTATGAGTCAATAAACTCAATAGCTACGACCTCTTTTCTTATAGTCATGTGCAAAACTTGTGCTGCCTGACGCGTACGGGCCACATGTACACCTGGAATGACGATCAAGGTACCAAAATGAAAAAAAAAAAAATCAAGTTGGACACAATAACTACAGGGGAATGTGCTCAAACAAACATCTAAAGGAAAATACATGCTAAGCTAAGATGTCACTTTCACTCGTCCGAAACTGAGGCAAATCGCTCGGTCATGGACTGGAGGATCTTCTCGTACTTGGCCGAGATCTCAGCCTCGTCGTCCGGAACCTCGAACTTCATGCCACGCAGAGCACTCTGGAGATCAGCGGTAGCCTCACGGACCTTGGCCCAATTCTGACCCTGCGCGATGGCCTTTTGTGCCTCATTGTGGTAGCCCATAAACGCCTTCATCATGTACTCGGTCTTCCACAAGGGGCAGAACTGATCATAGTCACTGTATCCGTTCTGCTGGAGGAAGTCATCCTTGAGCAAGCTGGCCACGTCCAGCGTGATCTTATCCGAATCACCCAGCGCCGCCTTACCAACAAGCTGGACGACCTGGTCCAATTCCTCGGACTTGGTCAAAAGTTCACGAATCTGGTCGCGGAGACGAGGGAATTCAGGATGGTCCTTCTCGTAGTATTTATCCAAAACTGCGTTGTATTTGCTGTAGGAGACGGAGGTGTTGACCGAAGGGAAGTGCTTTCGCTGCGCCAGCTTCTTGTCGAGACCCCAGAACACTTGGACAATACTCAAGGTACTGCTAGTGACGGGATCGGAGAAATCACCACCAGGCGGGCTGACAGCACCAACGATGCTGACACTGCCCACGCGCTCGGGGCTACCGAGAGCACTACTCTTGCCAGCACGCTCGTAGAAAGAGGCAAGCTTGGCTCCCAGGTATGCGGGGAAACCCTGATCAGCAGGCATCTCACCAAGACGACCTGAAATCTCACGCAGAGCCTCAGCCCAACGGGAACTGGAGTCGGCCATCATAGCCACATCCTTGCCCTGATCACGGAAGTATTCGGCGATAGTGATACCGGTATAAATTGAGGCCTCACGGGCGGCGACGGGCATGTTAGAGGTGTTGGCGATAAGGCAGGTACGCTTCATGATAGGCTCCTTGCGGCCGTCGACGGTAATAGAGAGCTGCAAACGAAAGATAGTCAGTAAAACGCTATCGCAGTAGGTTTGGGTGGGGGCATTTACATCAGGGAAATCCATCAAGACTTCGGCCATCTCGTTTCCACGCTCACCGCAGCCAACGTAGACGATGATATCACTGTTTGAGAACTTGGACACACTCTGGGAAATGACAGTCTTTCCACATCCAAAAGCACCAGGAATACAGACAGTGCCACCCTGGACACTGGGGAAGAGAGCATCCAACACTCTCTGGCCGACGATGAAGGGCGCATCGGCGGACAGCCTGTCGCTAACCGGGCGGGGAACACGAACGGGCCAGGTCTGCATCATACCGAACTCAGTCTTCTTACCATCAAACTCCACCTCGAGCAGCTTCTCCTCGACGGTGTAGCTGCCAGCAGGGGCAATCCGAGTAATGGTACCCCGTGCGCGAGGAGGCAGCAGGATCTTGTGATCGTTCACCAGACTGTTCTCGTACACGGAACCCCAGATGTCACCGCCAGTGATGTGATCGCCGACCTTGAAGGTAGTAGGCTTGTAGTCCCACTTTCGCTCGCGGTCCAAGGCGTTCACCGAAATACCACGGGGAATGTAGATACTCTTCGATTGGTCGGCGATGGCTTTGAGGGGTCGCTGAATACCGTCGTAGATCGTCTCCATCAGACCGGGGCCCAGCTCGACTGAAAGGGGCTTTCCTGTCCTCTCCACAGGGTCTCCAACAGTCAAACCAGCTGTTATTCAAAGGTAACATCGGTTAGCATAGCTCTTTGGGGGTGTGATGAAATCACACAGGTTTGGGGGCTGCAGAGCTCTACCTGTTTCCTCGTAGACCTGAATCGTGGCCTTGTCTTGTTCAATTCGAATGACTTCACCAACAAGCATGTCATAACCGACACGACACTATGCGGTCAGTATCTGGGGTTCTCCACGTTGTCGGAGCTGGGGCTGCCTACCAACTCATACATGGCACAACCGATCATGTTCTCGGCCACGACGACAGGGCCGGAGACCGAAAAGATCGAGCCATGTTTCTCAGAATTGTCCGAAGTCATAATGGAAGAAGCCTGTGTGGAATGGAGAGACACAGAGTGGGAGGAGGTAGTTGAGGAGGGCGAGTCTGGAAGCGGTGGCAGCTCGGCGGGCGGTGATGGCTGTGTCAACGTATGCTTGGTTATCAGATCCAACAACGACGCCCGCGCTTTCAATCGAGGTCTTCCCAAGCCTAACATTCGCTTTGGATTGCAAAGTGTTGGAACTGGATTTCGATTCTTAGCCCCCGTGGAGTGCCCCTGATCTCTTCGTCCAATCCTCGGTCTCTTCCCCGCGGACCGAATCGCGGTCATGCAAGCCGATCTTTCAGCTTGGCTTGTAACGCCTGTGGCTTTTCTCTCATCATACAGTCTATGGGCTTTCAGTGGTGAAAATCCTTCTATTGGGAATTTCCCTCCTGCGGCTTTTGGGAACCACTCTAACCACTGAACATCTGATTCATCTTACAAGTTCGATAAGCTCTACTGCATCTACTCCACAATAACCTCGAAACCCATCAAAATTGAACGAATAATGCTTGCATTGCAGAAAATTACTTGATAAAAAAAACTAACGATCTGGAACAGCCTACGATATCTAGTACCAATGGAACCTGATGATAACGTCTATCTCGATCGCAAAAGCGGTCAATAGCTGTCTTCCAGTTCTTCGATGGCCCCATAAATCATACGGAGCAGATTTCGAAACTCGACCGCAAGATGCTCAGCATGTCCATTGACCAATGACCAGGGCGAAGCAGCAGGAAAAAAGGCACGCAGCTTGATCCTACAACCGCCCTCGGTATCCATGAATTCGTTCATGATATAGAAGAACTTGCTCCCATTGTCAAGTGTCGCGACCAAGTACTCCGCCTTTTCGTACTTATCTTCTCGCTCCTCTACCATCCACTGGGGAATCTCTCCGCTCTCCGCGAGATCAACATATCGAACCTTGGCCATGTGCTCTCCGATAAGCTCCACCCCGCAGTCTGGCCCTTTGCTGGCGGGGGCTCCTGGGGAATGCATAACCAGGTAGTTCTCTGGGTGCGTTGGGAATACGAAGTTTCGTGCCATCTCATCGAGGGGTTGGGAGAGCTGCCAGCGACCGCATATTGCACTCATCTCAGTTGCGGAGACCCCGGTTACTTTCATATATGTTCTGCACTCTCTGAATTTCCCTTGCGAGTCTCGAATCAGCGATTCAAAATAGTTGTTTCCTTCCTCAATTTGATCTTTTAGAAGGTCTAGCATCGGCGCTTGAAACAATAAGCACCGCAAGTTGTCGAGCGCGCGATAACAAGCTTGAAGTTCCAAGTTATCGATATCAGCCTCAGATTTAGATATCCCATTCAGCTTAAACTTGATGGTTGGCCTTGGCTCCATGGCTCTTGTTATTTTCTGAGAGGTTCAAAGATTGCGCCCAGAGTATTTTCTACGGGCGACAGCCGCAGCCTTTATAGTCTCGGCAGCTCAACAAGTCATGATTCAAAGCGGGATTAATGAAACCTGAAAGGACCGAAGAATGTAAAATGAGAATAAAGAAAGCATACAAGGCCATTGACACAGTTCCCAAAGACAGTACATATCCTCTTGGCATTCGGTTTAGTGCGCTTTCTCAGGCCGCTTTTTGTTCACTTCGCCCCTAAACTGACTCACACTGAGAGAGCCCATGCTATGTATTCTATTTGAACACCAGATCTGTGATTTAATATTTTCTTACAATGCGAGTTCCCCTCGAGATTCTCGAGCTCATTCTGCAGGAAGCGGTCAAGTGTCTATCCTACCAGGAGATTTTACGATTCAGACTAGTCAACAGTGGGTGCCCATCGTCACATCTCGTCTCCCGCCCCTGAACATGTCTAGGTCTCTTCGATAGAGCGCTATGGCCAGCGAGTGCGCATCTACCGAATGAGAAGTCTCTCTTCACATCATGGCACACATTTCCATACAAGCGAAAATACCTGTGGTACTTGATTGAAGAGCACTATACCCGGCCATGTACCTTCTCACATATGATTCAGGGCATTCTTGAGCTGCCTCGCGTTGCAGGTATGAGCGTTCAAGAGCAACGTGGCATCATCGACAAGATGATCGATGCTTTTATTCATAGTGTCCATGGTCCTGAGGCTCTATATGGACTCCACCGTCCCGAAAATGTTGCTCCCCGGCAGGAACGCTATTGCACGTCCACTGGACACCAAGGTCCAGCTGAAAACACTCTAATCGCAGGACTCATCGTTAGCTCGATATACCGAGGGGATCATGTGGAGTTGCAGGGTCTTCTTAACCGGTGCGATTACAGTGGACTTTGGAATCAGAATCTTGGCTTAGTGCCGGTCGATCTGGCATACAGAGAGGGTACACGAGAGGTCATTCACACCCTCGTGCAGCATGGATGTGTGACAATGTACACGGGCAAGACAGCCTGGTCATACGACACCACATGTGGTTTGGCTGTAGCGGCACGACACGGAGATAAGCTGTTGCTGGAGACGTGGGTTACGCTGTTGAGCGAGCGTGCGGCCCGCCATGAACAGAATTTGTTCTCAGAACTGCGTACGGCCGTACGAGGAGCACTGCGCATCGGCCGAATTGAGATGGCAGCCCTGCTAGAGAAATATTTGAATTGGACATGGTCGGATATGAAGATGCTCTGGTTTCAATGTCTCAATGCGGCTGTCAAGGACGGGATGTTGGATGTTGTACAATGGCTTCTACGTCGGGAAGGGCCTTCTCTCGCGCTGCAGAGCACACAATGGCACAAAGCCCCGCTGTTTATTGCACTACAAGATTGTCCTTTTGAGAAAAGACTAGCAATGGTCGAGCTCTTACTGGATCATGGTGCAAATCCCGACGGCGGCGTCGGACTCTCACTCACTCCACTTCACATAGCCATTGAAAATGGAGAAGAGGAAGTCGCGATTTTACTATTGAATAGAGGAGCCGACCCAAATGTGGTGGGGAGAAGAGGCCCGCCGCTACATATGGCTACGCAATGGAGATACCCAGAGTTGGTGCGATGCCTTTTGAAACACAAAGCCCAACGCAATTACCAGTTCAAAGGGAAAAGATATTCTGTGTCGCAGGATACGAAGGTGGTTAGTAACATCATGCGATTACTTGGGGAGCTGGGGTTGGAGGAAGAGCCGGTACAGCAAAAGGAATATTATGTGCTCGGCCAAAAATGTACTCGTAGATCATCCTCTGCCAAGGTTGGTCTTCCATAGATACCAATCAGGTAATGTGGGAGAATCTAAGAACCTGGCATGTGAGCAGTTACATGGATGGCATCCAATCAACATTCAAAAACATTTCCGCAGTCAACGATCTGAATGGTTGAAGTGGCTTCACCTAACCCCTCCATCTCCTAACCGTGGACCACGGCACATGACTCCCATTGCCTCGAGCTATATAGAAGATATACAGGAGATGTTTCTCATAGAGATAAATACACACCTACCTGACCTATACACTGAGTTGGCAATCATGGGGTTGAAGAGTCCCAGCGAAAATAGGACTGAGTGCCACTGCTGGGACTACTCCTTTCGTTGGACCGACCTCCACTCCTCTGCCGATGACCTAAAACCGTTGATGTACAGATTTGATTCCCTAGCCGACGAATGTGTGGACCGCTTAAACAAAATACCCTCCACCGACGATGGCCCTGATAAACGGTCTTTCAATAAAGATCTTTATGGCTTACTGAGGGATCACGCCGAGGAGGATTCAAAACTCAAAGAGCTCTGGACGGAGATCAATACAGTTCCGGAGTGGGTGGACTGGGATCGGATTCAACGGGCCCAGGATGTTTTCTTTCGATATGGCCTTCCGATTCTCCATGCTGTGAGTGGTTGAAGACATAACTATGTTTGAGGATAAAACAAGTGACCTCATCAATAGCTCAACTTTGAAAGCTTACTTGGTGGAATGTAAAAATACCTTTCTCCATTCAGACAATTATTGTCAACCAGGAACTGATCACAGTCTAGGGGAGCAACCCGAGCCGTCGAGACCCTTTCACGAACAGGTGGTTTCGGGGCTAAGGTGGTACGACGAAGATTACTCGAGACACTTCAGTATCTGCTTCAGGTTAATAACTCCGTGAAAGGCATGATGCCAGGTGGGGATGGCCACGTATCATGTGTTCGTGTCCGACTGCTGCATTCATTGGTCCGCAAGAGGATCCTAAGTCTGGTAGACCAAAACCCTGAATACTATGATATCGATAAATATGGCACGCCGTTTAATGATCTAGACTGCATTGGCACGATCATCACACTCTGCAGTTTGGTGGTATGGGTTGGTCTTCCGCGACAGGGCATCTATCTCAGCCAGCACGAAACCGAGGATTATATCGCGCTGTGGAGGCTAGTTGCCTACTATATGGGCACACCGACGGATTCATTTGAGAGCACAGCAAAGGCTCGTGCTATGATGGAGTCCCTTCTGCACTCCGAAATTGATCCCACTGAGACTGGAAAGATTCTGGCTAAAAACATCATCATTGGTCTGGAGAATACAGCTCCGACTTTTGCGTCTAAGGGATTCATGGAAGCAATGAGTCGGCTACTCAATGGAGATCAACTGGCTGATGAGCTTGATATTCCTCGGCCTAGCTTATACTATCGGTTGCTGATTTGGGGATATTGCTTCTGGGTTATGACCGTCTCCTATATTGTTCCGAAGGTAGATTTCCTCGACAGGATTATGATTTCAGTACGTGATGACACTATCCACAGTCTTTGATACTGTCTAACGAATAACTTTTCCAGCTCCACCGGAGGCTCTTCTATAGGTTCATCCTCAATGAGAAGACAGGACTTGGGAAGGAGTCGCGGTTTGAGTTCAAATATGTGCCTACTCTCGATCGCACAACTCACCTGGGCCAGCGAAGAAGCACGCATTTCAAGAGACCCGGCATTGAAAATCTGGCACAGTTAGGTCTTCTGGGGGCTTTTATTGTAGTAGCCACTTTGAGTCTGGGACTTGTTTTTGCGGCAAGGATGGTTCTTTCGCAGCTCTTCGTGGTTGATGTATAAGATTCGGTGTGACGAGGTATATATCTTCACCATCTCTCACTTCACTTTTTTCACCTTTTCTCTTCCTTTAAAGTCTTTGGCCCAGTCTCGCCTCAAGTATGGCGTCCAAGAAGCCGCCGAAGAGACAACTTGCACGTACACCTAAATGGAAACACAGTGAAGTCTCGCCGCTGACTTGCAGCCTGGCCGACACCGAGGAATGCCTTGCTCATTTGAATGAGATGAGCCGTGCATGCCATGCTATTCTGGAAAACAAACAAAGTATCACTTCAGGTCCTATCGACAATTCATTTTATCCATTGATCACAAAGCCCCGCGATCTTCTTGAAATGCTGTTGCACACCATGATCGAATGGAATGAGGATGGTACATTAAAACAGTGATCAAGTGGCAGGCGTCTGGCCGACGAGCTTATGCCTCTGATTGTCTCTCTAAACTTGCATTCAGGCCAAAGCGTCACACATTGTGGCCAGTTGACTTCGACACTAGCGGGCACATCTGTCCCAACCGACTGCCAGCCGGTGACCCGTGATCATTTGGGCCTTTGGCCTACCTTTTATTCCAACTACGCAGTCCATATCGAATGGGATGGTCTATCTACAGAACCATGGATGCTCAGAGATATCAAGAAGCTTTCCTTGGTCGAGCATTCAACCAAGATCCTTTTGACCATCGGTAATGGCCACGCAATCTTGACTCCTATTCATGGTTTCATCGGCTTACACTTAGTCATTGGTCCCTCCAAGTCTCATACAGTCATTTGACCGACTGGTCTACGTGGTATTACAGCAAAGGAATGGCAAGCTTGATTGAGTTTACCCTTCGCTAAATCATCCGACGTGCGTCCAGAATTGTCGCCCCCTCATCAAGTCCATTTCTTTGGCTAGTTGTGATGAACTGACCCCTACTTACTGTGAGACAATCCAACCTGGTGGCGATGGCAACGTCACTTGTGAAAGTAAAACGGAACTGGGGTCTTTGGACGGCCCTACATCTAGCACGCCAAAAGCTAAGCGTAAGCGCGAGAGCAAAATTGAATGTCCTCCTGTGCGATCAACCCCATACGACACCACCATTCATATCCGAAGCGCTCTCGATGACTACGATCAATCTGCTCTGGTAGTGTGTGATATGATTGACCGACTGTAGACAACTCGTCGGATATTCCAATCGACCCGGGATGTACTGAACAATGAAGCTGTCCGTCGAGTGCTCCGACTGCTCGATGAATGACAGAACATTTGACAGGCTATGCTGAGACTCAAAACAGTATTAGTGACTGTCAAGAAGAGGTTTTTTGTTATATGTTGAACCAAGCACTACAAAATGCCAGCCTGCCGAGGAATGACGAATTTCATTTGGACGCCACTCAGTCGATCACTCCCACCGACCATCCTTCTGATGATTATATCGACACTCTTGAAGATGTTATTGTCAGTTCACACGGAGACTCAACCGGTGGAGATCGGCATGGTGATTCAACTGGGGGTCATGGAGATCTTGCCGTCAAGAACAGCTAAGCTCACAGTCCCCAAATAGCCTGAGCCTCATAAGTAGATGCCTGCAAATGCTGCAACGAGGAAGAGGGCTGCTTTATGGGCTATATGGGGAAATATCATAGAGAAATAGCACTTCGCCATGGATGCAACTGGTCCAAACAGTCTTGTGGGAGATTTGTAGATTGAATGTCATTATGCCGAAAATTCACGGAAAACCTTTGTCCTTCTGCTTGTAACACTGTCAGAGATCACGTCACCTCTGGGTTGCTCTCCAGACCAAAAGTCCTGCGACTGTCGGTTTTTACCCGCACCCTATCAAATATACATCACTACATTCAACTATATATTTTACACCACCAATATAGTAAATATATATCAATTTTAATATTAATAGATGGAGAAATGGCGAATGAATTCAATAAATTTAGTATTCAGTATAACACCCCTTTACTTTGCGTATAGCAAGCAATCTCCTAGGCACAGAGCGGATTAAATTATCAATTACAGCCCGATTAAGTGTATCCTATACGGCGTATATAGCTCTCTTGAAATATATCCAATCCTCCGTACTACTACCCATTTCTATCAATTCAGGGTATATCTTTAATAATTTTACCTTTAGCATCCACCAGTAAGGCTTAATAGGGCTAAGATCAGGTAATTATAGAGGCTAATCCTCGATATATACCCTATATTCTTCAAACCACTCTCCTACAATACCCGTAGTATATATATAGGTATTATCTTACTAGAAGATAGTTCTAGGTATATAGACTAGGAGAAGGCCTTCTTTAAGCGCGTTAAGATAGGAATTTACTATATAGCTATTCCTAAGAGGGTCGATGATATGGCCTTATAACCACAAATCAAAGTAGAAAACTTGAGCTTTCGAAGACAAAAATTAATCAAAAATTAGTCGAAAATTAGTCGAAAATTAGTCGAAAGACTGCCTTTAGAGTAGCGCTTGCATATTTATTATTTGTTTGTGGTATTGACTTCTTTTTGTTGTGCACTTTTACTATAGAATCCTTCAATGAGGATTGCTCCTACAGTATTGTGTAATTAATGAGAGAACAGCTCGCTCTGGCGAAGAAGGCATGGCGGGGGTGGCATTAGTCGAGCCCCTATTTGTAAGACATTCAATCTCTTCCAAAATTCTTCCTTTCCCCCTACTCTCCGCGTCTGCTACCCTTACCTCCCTCCCCACCCCGTTCTCACACCCGTGCCGCCACCCCACCCTAATACTTCTGTAGATCGTTGGTAAAACTCTACACGGCTACGACTACAATTACATGTGTTTTGATTCGCCATGAGCTTCCACTATGCTTATGCTCTCGAGGAACATGACTGGATTGGCGGAGGACTCGACGCGTATATCTACCGCGTCACTCCAACTATTGTGGTGAAAACTGTTCGTCGCGACCGAACCCCTGAAGAAAAGGCAGCGGAGCATCCTTTCCTCAAGGAGATCTCGTTTTACAAACGTCTTAACGAGTGCCGTGATCGATGTCCGAATATTGTTGAATGTTTTCTCATGCTCCCGGACTACCTTTTCCTATCATATTGCACGTATCAAGCAATCGCCCCTCGCTTCTATGAACGCCAGGAGCGAGAGAGAGGAACAAATGGCTTTCATGGGCGTCTTATCAGGGTCAAGGAATACGAGGATCCTGCTCTCATCGCTCGGTGGATACAACAAATCACCTCTGCTCTTGAGTATGTGGAGAAAGTGGGCTTTTGTCACAACGATCTACATGCGAGTAACTGTCTTCTTGATAGAAACTTCAATTTGAAGCTAACTGATTTTGGTCGTGCCACCACCATTGGACAGCCACTTGAAGGTATCTTACCTCCACGAGCTAGACCAATACTTGCTGGACCATTGAAAGGTACATATGGGCTCTGTTCCGCTAGAACTGAACAGTTTGCGGTTGGGACACTTCAATACTTTATGGTATATGGCCATGAACCCTATGACGACATTATCCTTAGCGCCGTAGAATGGGATCGCCGATTTTGGGAAATGGAGTTTCCAGAACTTAACCGCAATGGAGTTTTCGATGGTCTTATTTCTGCTTGTTGGTACAATGTCTATCCTACAATAGCCTTGCTAGCGTACGACTTCAAGCGCAAGACAAAGGATATGATCTGGAATGCAGAATACATCTTCATTGATTCTGCAAAGGAGACAAAGACCTGTGAAGCATTGGTTCGCAAAGGCTTGCTGGGACCTGAGTTGGCTCTCCGCTTTCAGCCGGCCTGGCGAAGATACCTACATGCCATTGTGAAGAGAAGCATGTTTATTTGGCAATTCTTTCTACAGAGAAGATTCTGGATCTGGTCTTGATGATCGGTGGGGGGCTTGTACCACTTGACCTGAGGGTTAGGCCTTGGGCCTGGAATCCGGGCCCATTGGCGGGCTTGGCAGAGCGCGAGATGAACCATCTGTCATATTCCCGGATTCCCAGGTGGATCCGTCCTGGCGGGAAGGTGTGGCAGAATCCAGGGTGAGCAGAACATTAGTCCCAAAAAGGTATAGAATACAAAAGCTTATAAACTATGCACTTTCCTGTGTATGATATTGAATGGTCATAAAAAGAGGTGTGCGCATGAAATTACCTTTGAACATTCATGTTGAAGCAAACCAAAAAAGGCAGACACCCGTGGGTGCCTGTAACCAGTATGATAAGAGTGGGATTCGAACCCACGCCTCTTGCGAGACCAGGAAACTATTGCTAGTTGTAGAGTTAAGGTATACCTTAACCTGGCGCCTTAGACCAACTCGGCCATCTTACCAATGGGATGAGGATAGCGACTGTATAATCGTCTACAATGCTGTGGTGATGATGTGATGCGATGTAGAATAAAAGCCAAGAAAGCTGGCGCCATATAATCGGGTGCCACATAATATAGTTGAATCTTCTGCGTTATTTCTTTGTACACATGATCAATGTCCCCCCGAGACAAATCTAGTAACCGTCTCGCTTGCCTTGGACCTGAGAACTTCCCTTGGCCTTCTCTAATTGGTTGAGCATACCGTCACCAATGACAGCAACATCGGTAGTAATGGATACCATATCAAAGCCCTGCTGTGCGCGGCGGAGCGCATCATCGCCATCAGAACCTAAAAATATATGTCAGACATAATCGCAAGAAAGACCAGCGAAGACAATGACAACACATACAGAAGATAGCAGCCTTCTTTCCAGCAGATCTAGCAGCATTCAAAACACGTTGAATAGCAGCCTCGTGCTCCTCACCACCGCGGGTGACACGCATCTGCTTAGCAAGGTCGAAGGGCCCTGGGGAAAAGGTTAACAAGTTCTACAGATCCAAAACAGAAACGTCCAGTCTCACCAATAAACAGCACATCAAGTCCATCAACCTTAGCAATTTCCTCTACATTCTCAACACCAGGTCTCGACTCAATCTGCACAATAACCAGTACTTCGCCGTGTGTTTTCTCATCGTACTCGGCGGGCTTCACACCGGGGAATGAATGGGGCGTAAACATAGGCCCGTATCCACGGACTCCGACAGGCGGGTACTTGCAGTAGCTGACGACCTTGGCAGCATCCTCCTGAAAACGGAAAAGTAGGGGTTAGCATCCCGTATACTCTGAGAGAATGAAGAAATGGTCGTAAACGCAGGGCTACACATACTGCAGAGTGACACATAGGAGTCATGATTCCGTGAGCACCGGCATCAAGGGCGCGCTTAATCATCCACTCTTCGGGCCAAGGTACACGGATAATAGGACTAGCGCCCTCGTGGCCGACGGCATTAGTGAGCTGGGTGAATTTGTTAATGATTTAATTCTCGGGTTCAAGCGAGCGGATAAAGGACGAACCTCGTAATAGTGAGTGTCGTTAATCAATCCATGTTCGGCATCAACTAGGACCCAGCTGAATCCGCCTTCCGTGAACTCGGGGCTGCGGCGGAGGATAGTCTTTGCGACAGGGGCACTGGGGAGGCTGTTGTAGAAGGTATTTTAGCTCTGCTTTTCCTTTTGTTCCTCTCGTTGGAGGGAGCCTCGAGGTTGAAATGGAATGAGCTGGTGCTGCCCCTCTCCGAACGGGGATAAACATACGTTAACCAGAAACCGTATGCCACTGGGGTGGTTTCCAGGGCTGAGCGAAGTGTGATGGAAGACATTCTTTCAGAAATATGAGAAAGGCTGTGTATAATTGATGAAGAGCAAAAGGTGTTTCAATGCTCTTTATGTTGTACACGCTGAAGAGGGGACATCTCGGTCTTGCTCCGACCGATTACCCGAGGCCCCCACATCGTTTGAATGGCTAATTCATGTTAGAAGAGTGTTTTCCATTATATTTGTTCGAATTCTAGTATTTCTGGCATATATCATTCAGAGGATTTGGTCATTATGGAGATTGACTCGAATTATAGGGTGAATGAGGGACTAGACGTGGCCAATTAGGGCTGTTATCCCCTGTCTTGATGGCTTCTAGAACCCCACGGGGAAGTCCCCTGGTGCTCGGTAGTAGACTCCCCCGAAGGCCGACTATTTACTAGTCTTGGTGAAAATTATTTAGTTATAGCAAGAACAATCCTTATACGGGCTCTTTATTTGACGATGTTGAGGAGCATCGCGAAAAACATATAAATTGTAGATTTTGACTCTGTCACCATGACGCCAGAGCCACGAGAATTAAGACAACTCTTTCTCGAGCAAGACAACATAGGTAGCTCAAGCCGCGAGCGATTTTGAAAAATGCCCAACGAAGGCTTAGTGGTACCCTTCCTGGGTGCGCTGCAAGCCTGTGTTTCCGTGCTATTGACCATGTGCTATGGTTTCGCTGCTCGTCGGCTCCAATTGATCCACGAGACTACAATCAATGATATGCTAGGATTAGGCGTGAAACTCCTCCTACCAGCACTACTTATCGTGCATCTGGGCGAGCAACTTCGTCTCGGGACAGCGATGAACTATATTCCAGTCATAAGTATATCATGGCGACCCTTCATGAGCCCATTATAGCTGACTTATCGCGTCTATCTGCCATTACTAGTCTGGTCAGTCCTTTACACATCAGCATCGATCGGCTTCGCGCATTTCTTATCGCGTCTGCTTGTTCTGCCTCAATGGGTAACACCGGCTTGCGCGTTCAACAACACCACATCTCTACCATTGTTGCTTCTTCATTCCCTCGAGAGTGTAGGAAGTCTGAAACTGATCTTACGCCACGGCGAGTCCACATCCTCAGCAATCGACCGTGCTCAGAGTTACTTCCTTGTCTGCGGCGTGATCAGCAAAACAATCGCATACATCGTCGGACCGAAGATGTTACAGGATCGCGGAGATACTCTTAATGGCTCAGAGGAGAGAGACCACACCGCAAGCATACTAGCACGAGACGAACAACTCAGCGAAGAAACCTCACTGCTCCCACAGCGCGCTCAACAAGCCCGAACGTCGGCCGGCAACCTGATCCGACGACCAATGCACTGGCTCGGCTCATTTTTCCCCCACCGAGTCAAGCAGGAACTCCTCGCGCCGTTCGAGTCCCCATTCGCAGACGTGGCAATAATATGCACCATTCTCGGCTCGGTTCTAGGCCTAGTCCCTTCGCTGCACAGAGCATTTTTCTTTGACGAGGAAGATGGCGGGATATTCAATGCGTGGCTGACTGCGAGTGTCAATAATATCGGCGGGTTGTTTACAACGCTGCAAATCTTCATGGTTGGATGTAAGCTTGGCATCACGTTTGAGCGGATGGTTGCAGAGGGGAATTCGGCCCGAATCCCTGCCAAAGCCATCACGACGATCTTTGTCGTTCGTTTGGTGGTCTGGCCGGCGCTGAGTGTTTCACTCATCTACGGACTGGCTAAAAGGACTCCTCTCCTTGGTGATGATCCGATCCTCTGGTTTAGTATGATGCTCATGCCTGCTGGTCCACCAGCGCTGGTAATTTCGGGGTTAGCAGAATTGGCGCAGGCGTCTGAGACGGAAAAGATGGTTATTGCAAAGGCGTTGACGGTACGAAAAGACGACTTTACAAAGATAGAAATTATGCTGACGAGGTCTAGATCATGTATGCGTTGTCGCCATTTGTATGTTTCACCATTACGGGGGCGCTTAAAGCTTCCGAGGCGGTGTTGAAGGAGAAACGTTAAGGTCTACATTTCATAGAAAGAAGTGGGAATAAGATTTGATTTGAGAGATGCAATGAATCTCTAGAAACCTTGTTTTCTTCGGCTTTGGATGCTCAAATTGATCTCATCACATCATCACCATATTCATCATCCACCTTGACCAGAGTGTGGTCGTGTTAGGAGTCGAGTTCGAGGAATAGTTTACTTCTGAAATTGGAGGTGAGTTGGTATTTGCGTCTGAAATCTGAAACACGGACGTATCACATACTCCGCAACCCTTGCAGTTGCACTTGTCGCCGCAAGAGCAGCTCTGGGCACCGCCAGTGCAGTTACAGTTAGATCCGCAGCCGCAACCCATGATGAATTATGTGGAATAAATTGGGTGATTGGTGGTCGTCGTGGTGTTCGTAGGAGTATTGATTGCGTGATTGAAGAGGACCTTGCAGGCATGAGATGTAGAAGAAGCGATTTATATAGCTGCATGACTGGTGGCATCATCATGTCGTCACACTATCGAATCGACCTCATTTACATCTGGGCAGTTGTTCCCGTTGGAATTATGTAATAGAGTGGTAATCTACAGCGTACATATGTGGCAATGTCTGGCAGGGTGTAAGCATCATTGATATGTTACAATATATATGTATACGACCAGCAGCACTCTCGGGAGGTAACACGATGACAATTGTGGGTAGAAATGATCAGTTCGAATATGAAAACAGTGTAAGTGGTACACGGAGAGTAGAAAGTAACGTATAACAAATGAAATGCATACGTAGATTAGGAGACGATGCAACCTTAACGTTCCTGCGATGTTGAAGCGGATCGACCCATTCCGGAACATCATTCCTCCGTTCGGATAATCTTGGCATTTCAAAATGATGTCATCCACGGAACTCCGAATTACACCCCATCGCTGTGGGGCGCGCCGATCCTCGACCTCGAGGGTCGTAAAATGGGTGAACTAGCACTACTCCTAACCATTCTTCACACCAACAAGTGCATGGTGTTCATGGCATTTCTTGAGCTTGAATCAATCTCACTCAACGTTGGATCTCATACTTATCATCAAGCTTTGAATTGCTATCATCAAGCTTTGAATTACATAGCATTAACTGATTCACCGTACTCAAATCTTGAGAACTTTGTAGACCTTCGGACTCTAGGTTACAGTAACCAAATCCGACCTCGGGAGTCAAGAAAACCCCAAGCCGTGGAACTGTAAAACCTTGGGGCTACTAGAGATCTCTACATAATCCTCTGAACTTATAGTTAAACCGTTGGAACCTCAAATGACCTTGAATAGCTACTCCGCGGCCTGGTAAGATTAGTCGACAATACGGCATTTTCATGTCCTTCTGCTCCCTTTGATAGGAATTTTGGTCTTCTTCTGGATCCGTACGTAAATGGTAGGCATAAAGAGTTTTCGTAATGGCAGGTATAATATGTTCAGCAATGGATGGTCAAAAGCACTGCATCAGTACTTGATATAAACAACCGAAGACAGGAGCTCGAGGCTAACCAAATGTATCGGCAAGAGCTCCTCCCGGAAGGAATGACTGTACAGCACGATTATCCTTATGATATAGTCGCAGGTACAAGCAAATAGAAGGACATTCCACCCTAGCCCTAGGTTCAATCCACCATATACTGCGACTTGCTTTGCGGTACCATAAATAGATCAGCAATAGCGCTACCGGGTCCCTTTTTTGGAGCAAGTCTTTGAACGGGCCATGAATACTCCGCGTGAAGGATTCGGTCTGACCTATTGTAACCTCGCTATCTGGGACATCCAGAATTTGGGATACGGCATGGGCGGCATGGAAATACGGATTAGTGTCCGCCATAGAGGAGCCTTCGAGATTACACACGGCAGCCACAGCCCCTGGTATACCTTCAATGCCTTCCTCTGGCAACGGGGAATCCATTTGAGCAAATGTCGCCGCCATAACGCAGAAAAGGCTGTCCGGTCGCAAGGGGTTAACCATGTGCCACAATGACATTTTACCTTTGCTCATACGCACCCAGTCCAGGTCGGAAGAGCCGGAGGACTTCAAAGGCCACGCTTGATCCGGCGTGCACGCATCGGGTGATGAGAAGGATGAGATCACTAGAGCAGCTGCAGTACCCCAGATTGGATCTTTGTCTTTCGTTTCAATCGGTTCCCTTAGCCGCTTGTTCAAGAGAACTGTACTTTGAGACCAGTGATAACACTCTTCTACAGTGCGAGGCGAGTTCAAGGGGTCCTTCAGATGGCGGTCATATGTAAGCGCCACAGCGAGGGAGGCGTGCATTAAGAAAGGATACTGTGATGACATGTTAACCAGGCGTGAGTTTACAATATAGGATAAGGCTTCTACTATTTTGAATGGCACAGAGCTGATATAATCAAACTTACGGCAAAGGCTAGTTTCAGGAGCTTGCGATTGACTTGTCTCAGATTAGAGTCCTCTGGGGTGATAAGACTTCGTTCAAGGTACCGGGTTATTAAATCTTGACACTTTGCGTTCAAGTGATAGGATGTTAATGCATCAGATGTCCAGACAGCATGTGTTAGATGGGGTTGAATCTCTGTCTTTTCTCGAACCATCAATGGCCGCCCCGTCTCAGCAGTGGCAGGCTCAAGGTCGGGGATGTTGGACATGAAATTGCATAACACCCCGAATGAACTACATCTCTTGCACTGTGGTTTGCCCTCGTCGCACTAATTGGCCTAATGAGTCCAGCCCGTCACTAGGCTATTGAAAGCCTAGGGCCACCTACCTTGAGTTTTCGAAGCTTGCAATTCCGGCAGCCAAACCTTGACCTCCGCAGAATCCTACGCTCCACATGCCCTGGACAAGTTGAAGTCATGGCGCTTCGCGAGAGATGTTCCTGAGTTTGATGGGAATCCAATGTCAGAGGGATATGGAAGAGAGGTAGGAGGCCATGGACTCATGGTCCCCCGATAGCACTCAGCCCCATACGCTAACCCTTTTGGGGTGTTCCACCTCCCGTGGACGCTAGCTGTGTTGCGGATGCAGATGTCTCTGATTGGCTAGTTCTGCCCTGAGGCCATCCGCCATCTATAAACACAAAATTGGTTTGGACGCAGTTGATTAACTTGGAGAGATAGCATATAGCATAATGTATAAGAAGAAGAACAATCCTTGATATCCTGAGAGAACCTGACTTCCAAGTCTATTCACATAAATATTTTCACCCCGAAGTCAAGCAGTCCAGAATGGCCACCCACCTCGCCGCCGTCTCCCTTGCAAAAGGAGAGCCTTTCGAGGTCCACACTCGGCCTACGCCAAAGCCAGGCCCAGGCGAGCTCCTCATCGAGATCAAATCTGTAGCCCTCAACCCGGCAGACGGCCACATGCGTGACCGAGGACTCTTCATTTCCACCTACCCCACGGTAATCGGCTTCGACATCTCAGGGCTAGTCCTCGAGGTCGGCGATAACGTTCCCATCGGTGCTACCGATGAAGATACTCACCACTGTTTCCGACCGGGTATCACACGTGTCGCCGCATACGCCGCCTCCTTCTGGAGATCCTGCGACCCTGACCACGGCGCCTTTCAGGAGCGGTGTCTCGTCCCCTGGCAGCACGCCGTGCCCTCCCGGAGGGTATTTCTTGGAACCAAGCAGCAACACTGCCCGTCGCCGTTGAAGTACCCCTAAATGCATGGGATATTATGGGTATTTCAAGGGTGGGAGAAGCCACTACTTCTTCCGTCTCTGTGACCCCAGTCGGCTCGGATACCAGTGGAGGAATTTTCCAAAATCAAAAACCGAAGAGAGAAGCTCTATTAATATGGGGCGCTTCCTCTAGTGTGGGTACGATGGGCGTGCAAAGTGCTCGACTACTGCGGGAAGATCGCGACTCTTCTTTCGCCGCCGTGTACGCTACTGCTGGTGCGGCGAATATGAAGTACATAGGCACCCTAGGCGCGGATCGCGTTTTCGATTACAATGAACCGCAGGTTGTTGATGCGATTGTTGCGACAGCCAGAGAAGACGGCCTAGTTATTCGGCACTGCTTTCTTGCCACGGGACAGCTGGCGCCTTGTCAGGCCGTGCTCAAAGCTTTTGTCGGGGATAATAACGGGCAAGAAAAACTGAAGGCTAAGATCGCGTCGGCACCGATCATCCCTCCCGATGCCGAGGAGGTGAACGGGGTGGAAACTATCTTTGTGATGCCATCGACGGATGAGGGTGAGAGGTTGGATCAATTCCGGTATTGGATGGGGACATGGCTTAGGGAGAACCTGGTTAAAGGAACTATCAGGCCCAGTCCGGAGCCAAAGGTTGTGGGGAAGGCTTTGGGGGCTATTAATATTGGGCTGGACATGCTATGGCAAGGTGTGAGTTGCACCAAGTTGGTTGTTGAGATCGCGGAGTGAGAGTTTCCTATCTACTTGGCTGCTCATGCAGGAATGGTTCTCTGTGTGAATAACGAGATCTACTCGCCTAGAAGTTCCTAATTCGCCTCCAAAAATCTATCATAAGCTGCAGACTATGGAGTACATATCAAGACATCACTTGTGTGCAGTAAATGGTGGTATTGGCATCAATTTCCTATTCATCAAGTTTGTGATGATGCCGTTGCTTTTTGAGTCCCATATTTCAACTATTGATCCTTACATTCATCAGAATAGGAGACTTTTTGCCTTTCAGGCCATATACGTGTATGCCAAACTCGATAACTTGACGGATCGACTGGCCGCAGAACTCCTGCAGCTTTCCGGGAAACTATATTCCTTCCTCCCTATTATGTGTCATAAGTCGGCGTTGGCCGTCGCGGCCATGCTGGCGGCGTGGAAGTCAGGAGCAGCCTTTGCCCTTATTGACCCAAACCTACCGAGGGAGCGCCAGGAATCTGTGCTGACGCAGCTTCGGAGTGAGGTTTTACTACTCGTGGACGAAGAAACAGTTCGTATTGCCAAGGTTTCTGCAGTACATAAGCCCCATGTCTTGCCCTATCCCTCCAATCAACGTCCTGGCATATCACCAGAAACTGGGATGCTGCCAGGTTGTGGCTTGTTCGATGCCGCCTATGTCATCTTCACGTCCGGGACGACGGGAAAGCCAAAGGGGGTGATGCATGCATTTTGGAGATATTCTCGACGCTGAGTGTAGGTGGAGCTGTCTTCATTCCTACAAACGCGGAGCGAAACAACTTGCTCCCAGCGTTTATGCGGGAACAAGCCATCAACACCATGCTGTTGACACCTAGCGTGCTGCAAATGTTAAACCCTGCAGAGTGCCCAACAGTCAAGACCGTTTTCACAGGTGGCGAGAAGATGTCCGCGTTGGCCATCGAAAAGTGGTCCTCCCAGGTCAGGCTCATGAACGCCTATGGACCCACCGAAACTGCCGTTCTTTGTTTCCCGTGTGATCGAGTCACGAGTCTCACCTCTCCGGAAAAGCTTGGGTGGGCTCTAGGTTGATCCCTTTGGATTGTGGATGTCGAGGATCCGAGCCGCCTTGTGCCGATAGGAGCCGTGGGAAAGCTCGTTGTTTGTGGCCTGACACTTGCACGGGGATATCTTAATGATCCGACGCGGACGGCAGCAGCTTTCCTGGATGATCCAGCTTGGGTACCGGACTTTGGTCCTGACAATAGGGCGTCACGACGGGCGTACCGCACAGGCGACCTGGTTCGGTACGACGATGATGGCTCAGTGCATATTATTGGCCGAAAAGATCAGCAGATCAAGCTACGTGGTCAGCGTATCGAGCTGACCGAGATTGAGCTTGCCGTGCACAGCCTCCTTCCGCACGGTGATGTGTAGCAGGTCGCGGCAAATCAGAGACGAACAAGGCTCACCTGTAGATGAAGACCTAGATAGCTTCGTAGTATGGAGCATCGTCACTCCCCTGGGGAAAGAGTAGGAGTCTCGACCCGAAGTCTCGCGATACAACTCAGTGATTCTGCCCATTGTGACTGCTAGTCCAGCAGAAGGAGCGAGAATGAGCTGGGCGTCGAATCGAACGGTATGTCTGGTAAAATGAAAGGGGCAGTGCGTTGGGCTGAAAGCTAAGGCGCAATGGTCGGTGGGGGCCAGAATGGAAGAAAGGCGCTGGAGATGAGTGCACGATAGAGGGAGTTGAAGGGAGGGAGAGGGAAGAAAAAAGAGATCGAGAGGGCAGGCGTTGTCTTTTATGTCGGAGCAACGGAGAGAGAGCATACATGACAGTGGATGAGGGTACTAAGCTGGGAACGGCAAAACTAACCACACCCAGTAAATCACAGGTCCCAATATTACATTTCACATACAGATATTTGACATCCCATACTCGAGATTCAGACTTTCATTGCTGTTCGAAGTTGACTGGTCTACCTCTTTACCTCTCTCTCCTCTCTCCGATAAGACCCCCAACAATCCACTTCCCAACTCAAAAGAGTCACAACCGCGTGATTTCGCAAGATCTCCAGCTCTTCAATCATTCGTTACATCTGTAACCATCATTCCAAGCTAGCGACTATCCATTTGACCTCTTGACCTTGTGACAACTGCGCCCCTCTCTAACGGAGCTCCCGGCGATTACTTATCGGACACCCACCGCTTGAGGTCTGCTCACCTGGTTCTTTCAAAGAGCCAGGGGATTGGGCAGATCTAGAGATATTATCGAACTGGCTCATAATCCATCACATAATCCCTTCACTTCCGACCACCCTGATCCTCTGCCCATAAACACGACTCCCTCGGTAGGCAATCCCGGCTCCCAAACGTCAGAGTTCCTGCCCGCCGCATCTCAACCACCCAGTTCATCTACCCCTCGGGCCAACCGTCGCCGCCGCCTTTCGAGCCCCCCAGATAACCTTGGTCCCTCATCGGCAGGGACCGGACACCTCCCACGAATAGCACGTGAGACTGCACCTCGGAGCTATCCCAGCCATCTCCTTGGCCGACCGGACGGACGATCTCCTTCCCCCAAGCGCAGGCGCCTGGTAATCATGCGTCCCGATGGTATATCAACAGAAAATGGCGTCCTAGACCCCTCGAACGAATCACTTGTAGCGACGTCGAGGAAGAGGGGTCTGAACGGGCAAGCGGCAACCAACGGGAGCTCTCATACAAATGGCTCTAAAAGGCCATCTCAGCCTTCTACCTACTACGGCCACAATCGGGAGGAAGTTACGCGGATTTTGATACAGAGTCTGTACGAGCTGGGTTACAATGGGTCTGCATCATTGTTGAGTTCGGAGAGCGGCTACGAACTGGAAACGTCAGGAGTTGCAACGTTCCGGAGTGCGGTCTTAGACGGAAGATGGTCAGAAGCCGAGAGAATCTTGATTCAATCGTTTCGAAATGCCGGATCACAGCAGGCCGACAGGAAATCTCCACAAGAGGAGACCCTCGTATTAGCAGAGGAGGCGGATAGGAACGAGATGCTATTCTATCTCCGACAACAGAAATTCCTCGAGTTACTAGAAGCGCGTGATCTAGCTGCCGCTCTCACCGTCCTCCGACAAGAACTGACGCCCTTGAATTTTGATGTTGAACGACTCCACGCTCTATCAAGGTATTGTTGATCTATAGGAATATCTAGAACATGATTTGCTTACCACTTATTTTGCCCAGTCTTCTTATGTGCTCAACCGAGGTCTTACATGCTCAAACGGGATGGGATGGCTCCGTTAGCTCGTCTCGTGAACGCCTACTTGGCGAGTTGTCAAGTGAGCCCGATCAAATGCATAATATTTGTGGTGTTACGAAGTTGCTAATACAGCCGCAGAATCTATATCTCCTTCCGTGATGATCCCGCAACATCGCCTGGCCGTTCTACTAGATCAGGTCAAGCAGACTCAAATCAACAACTGCTTTTATCATAATACCGCGGAACCTCCCTCGCTCTACTCTGACCACATGTGCGACCGAAACGACTTTCCGTTAGACGTCAGCGTGGACTTGACACAACACTCGGATGAAGTATGGTATTGCGAGTTCTCACACGATGGGTCGAAACTGGTCACTGCAGGCAAGGACCATAATGTGCTCATCTATAACACAACCGACTTCAGTGTTATTCACAGACTTACGGAACACGAGGATGGAGTTGCGTTCGCTAGTTGGAGTCCAGATGACTCCAAACTAATTACTTGCTCGCAAGATAAGAAGGCTCGCGTATGGAGCGTTGAGGTATGGTTGTCTGAAATTCGATATAAATCTATGATTTTATATGCTAACTCGGGATGTGCATGGTTTAGAGCGGTCGCTGTCTGCTCACCATCAACCACCACCGTCAACCGGTGACTGCAGCTGCATGGGCACCAGATGGCGAATCTTTCGTGACAGCCTCTCTCGATTCCGAATCACAGCTTCGTCACTGGAGCATGCGCGGTCAATCCCTATACACATGGAAAGACGGGTTCCGTGTACAGGACTGTGCTATTAGCGCCGACGGACGACGCCTTGTTGCCGCTGACACAGAAGCGAAGGTTCATGTGTATAACATGCTTACATATGAGGAAGACTACTGTCTTTCACTGCCGAGTAAACCGACCTCGGTTGCTATAAGTAGAGACTCGCGGCATGTGCTTATAAATCTGGCGGAGGGCGAGATCCAGCTAGTTGACATGGAGACCACTGCTGTTGTCCGTCAGTTCAAGGGACAAAAGCAAGGCGAATTTGTAATCCGCAGCACGTTCGGCGGAGCAGCTGAGAACTTTGTCGTCAGCGGAAGTGAAGGTAAATATCTCAATATTTCACTTCTGAAATTCTTACTAACTACCCACAGACTCGAAAGTCTACATCTGGCACAAAGAAAACGGCAATATCGTCGAGACTCTGGAAGGACATATCTCCGGATGCGTGAACTCAATATCATGGAACCCAGCAGACCCGGGGATGTTCGCATCCGCAGGAGATGACAGTGCAGTAAGGATGTAAGAATAACACCTGACCTCGTCTTATACCGATCAACGCCGCTGACTTGGAGTTCTAGCTGGTCTCGAGAGAGCAATCGATCCCGTCCAGTAGGACCAGTTCAACGCAGCGGAATACCCTCAAACAGGGTTACGCGAACTAGCGCATTGAGAACAACGTCCACTTTCTGACATCTGTGTCCTGCAGTGCAAATCGACAATGACTCCCCCAAAGGCCAGTTTTGATAATGCTCATTGCCTGTCTTCATTTAGGTTCCCCACGATAGTGCATGGGAACATGCTCGGAACTTTGGATCGAAAGACGATAAACCTGCTGCCTCGCAATGTTGTCTTGTTCTTCTTGAGTACTCTTTTGCGTCCTTCCCTCTCCTCATTAACTGCTTGACATATCCTCATCATGCTGTCTTGCGCATATACATGGTTCGAGTCCTCCCTTCACTCCTTATGCTGTTTACTTTGCAGTTAGCATCTATTTCTTTCAACTTTCAATACAGGAAGCTGGCGTTGATCCGTATCTTCTTCTGGATTCTGATGAGTATATAGGTTCCGTGCGTTTCTTGTTGGCCCAGTTCTGAGTTTTGTTTTACTTTTGGTGGGCTTTCTTGAATCAAATCTACTATTTATACCACGCGTTTCATGTAGACCTTCGATCTGTTAGGAATCAACCAGCGTAACCATAGGGCAACGTATTTGTTGACACGCAATTCTAGTATTGCACTTCCCCCCCAGAATCCATCCTCCAGTCATATCCTGTTCACTACTTGTTCAATTGATGTCGCCGACGAGAGGAAGACTTAGGGCCAAGAAGCAAAGGGCCACATGGTATAAAAGTAAAACTTATTGCATCATTCATGATTCCGAGGGTCGAAAAGTAAAGTAAAAGAAAAAAAACTCCAAGCATAAAGAAAAAGACCCTGCTACTTAGGCCGGAGGCCCGAAATTTTGGAGATAGGCAAAATCGTAAACACCTCCTGGGGTGTGCAAATCGGCTGGCATTCTTGAAACTATCCCAAGTTGTTAGCATTTGGTGTCAAGTGAATAGCAGTGATTTGACTTACTGAAATATGTTATTATCCTTTTCCTCCACGCTAGAGCTGGCCTTAAATTTCCCTTGAAACCCATTGTGCCAGATTCTGAGTCATATTCAATCGGCAATGCAAGCGCACTACATTTGCAGAAAGACCCAGAAGGGATGAAGCCAAGTCGCTTTTGGCGTAAGAAAAGATGTTACAATCACAAAACCAGGTAATGGAGATTATGAAAGCAAGTCCGCAACTGGAAGAAGATCATTAGCATAGTAGTAGAAAAGTGATAGCAACTTGGCTTACCGTTCATTGGCATCTCATCAATTTGGGTCGAGTAGTATAACTCGATGTCGCGAAGGATGCGGACATCATCGCTGGTGACAAAGTTGATAGCCACACCCTTGCGGCCGAATCGTCCAGATCGACCAATGCGGTGAATGTAGTTCTCACGGTTGGTAGGGAGGTCGTAGTTGATAACAAGAGAGACTTGCTGGACATCGATACCACGGGCCCAGACATCGGTGGAAATCAGGACACGAGAATTGCCTTGACGGAAGTCTTGCATAATACTGTCACGTTCCTTCTGAGGCATCTCACCGTGCATACTGGAGACGGTGAAATTGGCCTCACGCATCTTGTCGGCAAGCCAGTCGACCTTTCGGCGGGTGTTGCAGAAGATAACGGCCTGGGTGATAGTCAAGGTATCGTACAAATCGCAAAGTGTGTCGAACTTCCATTCCTCCTTCTCAACGGCAATGAAGTATTGCTTGATACCCTCCAGTGTCAACTCGTCACGCTTGACTAGGACACGGACGGGATCAGTCATGAACTTTGTGGTCATATCCAGGACATCGTATGGGAGGGTGGCAGAGACCACGACGACTTGTGTGGCGGGAGGCAGGTAGCGGTAAACATCGTAAATCTGCTCACGGAAACCGCGGTTAAGGAGCTCGTCGGCTTCATCGAGAACAAGCATCTTGATATGACGTGTGCGCAGGTTTCGGCGACGGATCATATCAGCGACACGACCAGGAGTTCCCGAGACAACGTGCTGACCGTAGTCGAGTTTGCGGATATCCTCGCCAACGTTGGTTCCTCCAATGCAGGCATGGCACTGAACATTCATGTAATCACCAAGGGCCATAACGACGGACTGAATTTGGGTTGCGAGTTCGCGGGTCGGGGACAGGACCAGAGCTGTAACAGACCGGATTGTGGTCAGGATTTGATTGGGTCAATATTGACAGGTAAAATGCGTACCTTGTGTCTCGCGCACAACAGTATCAATGACCTGCAAGGTACTGATCGCGAATGTGGCAGTTTTACCAGTACCGGACTGGGCCTGTGCAATAGTGTCGCGACCTTTGCAGATTTGAACAATCGCACGGGATTGCACAGCTGAAGGCGATTCATATCCGTAAGCGTAAATTCCACGAAGCAGGCTTTCCTTCAAGTGCATATCCTCGAAGGTGGGCGCGACCGTCACCTCCTTGGAGGTGTTGAACTCCATGCGCTCTGGTTACTGTTAGCAAGATTCAAGAGTTGCCCAAGGTTGGAAACACATACCCTCGGCGCGTCTATCGATTCCGTCCGCCATGATGTAAATGTGAGTATTTCAACGGCAGATAATAAATGATATTGGGATTCACGAAGAGTGAAGCCTTAGAAGTAAGTGAAGTTGACCGGCTCAACTTTTCGCGGTGGAAAGGTTCGGGTCACATGACCTTCCCGCAAGTTGGAGCTGCCAATTGCCAACGCTTTTTGCGATCGCCACGAGACTTTGTCACCACTGTTTGCGCGCCTATCAAAAGAAGCTCTTACGCAGCATTCATATTTTAAATATGTTGCTCGAAGATCAAAGGTTCATCCACGAGGATCTAGAGCGGCTGGAGCAGGCTATCGCTGATCGCGTGGCGGAGGAGCCCCGAAATGTGAGTATACCGCCGACCAATGTCCGTCACGTCTCCTAATATACCAATTCTTTAGGCCCGAGGTCGTTTAGCTCGCGACCATGAAGTCGCCCAGTTTCTAGAGAGAATCGAGAGCCAGTCTAAGCGACTATTGGAGATTTATCAAGATGCCGATGGATTGCGGGAGAAGGAAGTGCAGGCTATTTCAACAGGCGATCAATTTGAGGAGTTCTACAAGCAGCTGGGGGAAATCAAGGAGCATCACAAGCGCTACCCAAACGAACCGATCGAGAACCTCGAGCAAGCATACAACCGCCGTCAGGTTGCCGAAGGAGAGACTCCCCGCACCGCGATCGATAACATGTTCACTGGTGAAGAAGGATTTGGACAGTACCTTGATCTCACAACTCTTCATGAAGATTACCTGAATCTTCCTGGAGTTAAGCGCTTGTCATACGTCCAATATCTCGAGATTTTCGACGTCTTCACACCGCCAACTTTGCCAATCAAGCGAAAAGACAAGATCTCCGATCGTTACTTTAACTATGTTGGCGAGCTTGCTAGCTATCTGGAAAGCTTCATCAAGAAAGTTCAGCCACTACAACCCTTGAACGAGCTTTTTGCTAGCTTTGATCAAGAATTCGAGAAGCAATGGGCTGCGAAGGAGGTTCCTGGCTGGACAGAAGAAAAATCCGAGAATGGGAAATCTGGCCCAGCAACCGAAGGATCCGGCGAAGGCATTTGGTGTGCAGATTGCGAGAAGGAATTCAAGAACGAGAACGTGTACCGGAGCCACTTGACCGGAAAGAAACACATTCGAGCGGCAGAGGCCCGTAAAGCAGCAGGCACATCCGACGCCAAGCCATCTTCGTCCCAAGTCGCATCTTTGGCGCACAGCTTGAAGGAGCGCGAAGTTGCACGACGCGAACACCAAATTCGATCATTGACTAATGTCCTCAACGAGGAGCGCCAAGCGACAAGAATCAACGTTGAGCGTCGCCAGGGTATGACTGAACGTGAACGCCAAATGGAATGGGAGGCTGTGCAGGCTGGCCTCGATCACACTGGTCCTGAGCCTCGTGCCGGCGAAGAATCAGAGGAAGAGGACGAGGAGATTGTTTACAACCCATTGAAATTGCCACTGGCATGGGATGGAAAGCCCATTCCGTTCTGGCTCTACAAGCTGCATGGACTCGGTGTCGAATACCAGTGCGAGATTTGCGGAAACTACACTTACATGGGTCGACGAGCATTTGACAAACATTTCTCTGAAAACCTTCACATTCACGGATTGAAGTGTCTCGGCATCACATCAAACACCAATCTCTTCCGTGAAATCACCAGTATCAATGAGGCCATGGCGCTGTGGGAGCAGCTTGAGAAGGATCGCAAGAAGGAGCGTGATTCACGTGATAATGTTGTTCAGATGGAGGATGCAGAGGGCAATGTTATGCCCGAAAGGATCTACTTGGATCTGCAAAAGCAGGGCATTCTCTGAAGGGGTCTTTGTGCTTCTTTTTTTTTAATCATCTGGCGTCCCTTTTTCATACAAATGGCTCGGTGTTCGGCGAATACATACTCTTCAAAGTGGTTTGAACTGGCTCGGTCATGGGCTCTCAAATCTGGTCTTTCAACTTCTACCACAAACTTACTGTCACAATAAAATCTACAATTGTCTGATTCATAAATATGTTCCAGTAGACCTCGTATGCTTGATTTCTCACCCCGCTGCATTCGACTTCCTGTTGGGATAGCCTCCAGGGCTTCAGTGCCGCAACTGACGTGTACCCATCCCAGCGGATGCAGCCATACGTGAATGGCCATAGTCTCTAGCATTTAGCCACGTCAAATCCTCGATCAGTTTCACAGTGCAGCATGCATCTCGGCATAACGTAGACCTCGGATATATTACAAGCCCGGAAGCTCCATTTGACGGACTGAGTCTGACGCTCCATACTCTCCACCGGCTTCTTCATTTGACGCGCATTCGTCAACCTCGACGCTATCATCAACCGGCCTCATCAAAGTGCCTCTCCTACGACACTCATCGCCCCATTATCCACTACCCACACGGTCCATTCCATCTGGACATGTCTCTTTCTAACAACCCTTCTATGTTCACGGAGCCAAAGCTCTCAGAGCTGCCAATCCTTACAGGCGCGACAAACCTCACATCATGATCTTGCGCACTTCTATGCACTCTTGATACTTAGGACCTCCCTTTTTCGGACTCTCTACCGGCAAGCCAACTCAGCCAGCTGCTGGGAACCCGCCACCCAACAATTCGTAAGTGGTGCACGGGCGACATAGATTTGCGGAGGCGGTTAGTCGCGCATTTTGAGCCTTGCTTACATTCTGTTCCTTAAACAACCGTGAGCATCGATCTTACGACCTTTGACCATGCGGCCTTCCCAGCCTTCCGTTAAGATCAGCGCTGATGATCCTACCACCCGGTATAACCTATTTACTGACTATATTCATGAAGGTTTCATGTTGAGAGGTCAAACTTCATCACTAGCACTTTTCTCAACTCTTCATATCACCAACACCTTTGTTCATGTACAAAGTATGCTGGATGTGTATTGCCTTTCTCGTAGGACTCGTTTTGTCGGTAAATCTTCTGCGTCGGTGTGTCCAAGCAGGAGACTACAAAAAGCCCAGCGGAAGGCATCTGTGTTATCGCTACTAATAGGACAAACTAAGATAGACCTTAATAAGCCGTAGACCTATGGGTCTGTGATTTGGATGCCATGTTATAGATACTAAAGAACATCGGCATTGAAATATATGAAATCCGTCCGGGTTACACGGTAGTATATTATCCACAGACCTCGGGATACAACGTCTTATCAGCATATACTCCAGAAATGGCAAACAGCGCTATCATCAAATTAAAGGGGTTTGTTATCATCAGCCTTGAATCTAAAAGATAGCTCCAAATGTCAGCGCTATACCAGGTCGGGCTAAGCACATGTAGACATGGCTATGCCCCGGTCCCTGTTTTCTTCTGCAGTCTTTGCCGTGCTTACAGTCTTGCCCACATTTGTGTACTCGCTTCTTGAGATGTTACTGCCTTTTACTCCGGTAGGGGAAAATGAATTGCTGAGTGGTAACCACCGATTCCAGACCAAAGGTAAGACCATTTCAACTGCGCTATCATTGCCAAGCTAAGATGTCTCAAACAGATGTCGGTCACGTCAAAGATGTCTCTAGTTCGACTGCGACCGACGTTTCTGCAGATGGTACCCACACGCGTACTAGCATACGCCCTAGGAGCAGCAACAGCACGCCGCACAAGCAGTCAAGGGGCTCGATGGCCGGGATCAGTGTTGGCTGTACGCTTGGCATAATCATCATTTTCGCTAGCCTGTTCCTATACTTCTCGCGTCGATACAAAAGAAATCGACGAACAAGGCCATCATCTTCCTTGCCTCAGAGGCAGACAGTGGTCGGAAGTCCTAGTCATGATACTCCCTTGGCTAAGTTAGCCCATACTGATTCACCGAGTCAACAATCAGGCTCGGATTCCAAGACCCAAGACCCTGACCCTGTTGTTATTGTTCACAAGGGCAAGGAAGACGTATGATGAGCTCGATGGAAAAAGGAGCTAAAAGCTGCTACCCATTTCAGTATCGAGTTAAGTAGAATATACTTCTTGTCTCGTCTCGGCCTGACACCTAGATTCCCCCTAGTACCATTTTATCACTAGTAGGTGCGCCTGGAAACTAAGTGTGGCCGATTCGAGCCTGGCTATGTAAGGCACTACTACCTGAAGAAGATCTTGTCACATGTTTGGTAGATATTATGGGTCCCCATAGATAGCCCATCATAGCCCAGAGCCCACTGCTGGCACTCCCGGCCAGCCCGTTGGAGCAATTTTGACAGGGATGCCGGCCATTGCACTTGCGCCTCTTCTTTCTGTATTGCATACAGGTCTTTGGAGCCCTAACTGGTGGGGTAATATAATTTGATGATAGTTGGAATTTCTAATGTTTTTGACACAGGATAGGCAAGGTGCAGGTAGTGCAGGCCGACCGGATCGCCTGGCGCATGGTGTACACCATAGCCGATCAACACAGCCCAACACAGCCTCAATTCCGCCCGACATGAATAGCCATGCTGAGGAGTCCCACAAGGGTCCTCTGGCTTACCTTCGATCTCTTTTTCTTGAATGAAACGGCTATGAGTTTCGGCTTTAGCATCGGGGATTTCCTCGGTATCATCAAAGATATTCACCATATCCGAAGAGTTTTTAATGGTGCGCCCGCTCAATTCAAATTCCTTAACGATGAGTAAGGCATTGCCTCATAAACTGCGAGCGCGGTGTATATTGTCATACTGACTTGGAGGCTCATAGAGTGAGAAGACTCTCCATTCTCATACAGGCCGTCGAGACGTATATACCAAACGCAACCCAGAAAGACAAATTGGAACAGGTGGCAAACGACAGCAAGAGTCTAATCCAAGATATTTGGCAGGTTATTGGCAAGTACAGAGAGATAGGTCAGAATTCTAGCATCAAACATGTTTGGAAACGCCTCAGGCTAGACCCAGAGGACGTTCGAGAACTTCGGGATCGGGTTTGCAGTGTCATTGAGTCCCTCACTGCTATCAATGTGCGCATCACCCAAGATCAAGTTCAAGAGCTTGTCAGCTACAAGAATGAGGAACAACACCAGAAACATCTCGACTGGCTGTCATCAGAAAGCTTCACAGCAGATTGGGGTAAACCAATCTACCAGCCAGGGACTGGGAGGTGGTTCATTGAGTCACCTGAATTCCAGAATTGGATACAGAATCCAGGGCAAACGTTATTCTGTCCTGGAATACCCGGAGCAGGAAAATCCAACATGGCATCAATCGTTATAGATGAGCTGGATCGTCGTCATGGAGAAGATCCTAGTGTTGGTGTTGCCTACATTTTCTGCAGCTTTCGCTATTGCGATGACCCTCGCCAGTCCACTGATAATGTATTAGCAAGCATGATTCGGCAGTTGATTCGGAGACTTCCGCTACTTCCATCAACGGTACAGTTGCTGTATGAAAAACACAGAAGCAATGGCTCCCGGCCTTCATTCAAAGACCTTTCCAAAGTCTTCAAAGATGTCGTCCAAATGGCCTTGAAAAAGGTTTTCATTGTCATTGATGCACTTGATGAATGCAAGGCTGTCACAATATCTCGTATTCTGAGCCAAATATCCGAGGCTCGGGCGGCTGGGAACTTGAACTTACTGTCAACCTCAAGATCCGTTCCCGCCATAGAGGCGAGATTCCAAGGGATACCTTTTCGAGAGATACGTGCAGCTAAAGAAGATGTTCTGATATATCTCAAGGCTCGTTTGGAAAATTGCGAGGAGGATTGTGCCCTGATCCGAAGACCAGCCCTGCAAGAGAAGGCTGTACTTGTCATCGCAGACTCTGTTAAGGGAATGTAAGATTCTAAGGCCCGAAACTCAGTATGATGATTCCATCTCATTCTCTAACATTGATTTAGGTTTCTATTGGCACAGCTATACTTAGATTCATTGATCTCGGCTCCTAGAGCCAAAGAGATAAATGACGAATTAGAGAGATTGGTCAATAGATCCAATCAGATCGATGAGGGAAACATTGCCGTTGACGATGCGTACCGGGACGTTGTGGAACGTATCAACAATCAAGACCCACGTCGCCAAAGACTGGCCAAAGACACATTGTCATGGGTTATCTGCGCCAAACGACCTCTCACTACGTTGGAGCTACGTACTGCTCTTACGATAGAGCTGGGAGGCTCAGATTTAAATGAAGAGGATCTTTACGACCTCGAAGACATAATCTCTTCGTGTGCAGGACTAATCACTATTGGGTCCGACGGTACAACGGAAGTGGTTCAATTGGCCCATTATACGATGCAAGAATACTTCAAACGACATCAGGCTGGGTTCTTCCCAGATGCAGATAAGACTATCGCAGAAAGCTGCCTAACCTACCTTTCATACGATATCTTTTGCCAAGGAATGTGCTCGAACGATATCAAATTCGAAGCCCGGCTGAGTCGATATCCGCTATATTCTTACGCTGCTAAAAATTGGGGCCATCATGCTCGAGTGCATCCAACACGTGATGATCTCTTATTGTATTTTTTCAGGAATACGTGGGTGCTAGATGCGAGTGTCCAAGCGCTTTTTTCCGTGAAAGGCTATTACGGCTTCGAAAGCTATTGTTTGAGAGTTCCATTGGGCTTTACGGCATTCCACCTGGCTGCATGGTTCGGATTGGAGGAGGTTTTGCAGTTCCTCATCAGTCAGTGTGATGGTTCGAGTGCCAGGGACTCCACTAATCGGGATCCACTCGCATGGGCCGCCTCAAATGGCCATCTTTCAGTTGTAAAGATGCTTCTCGATCATGGAGTTGACCCACTTCGACACGACGAAGATGGCCAGACACCAATTTCTCTAGCCGCATTAAACGGTTACACTGAGGCCGTGAAGCTCTTCTTGGACTACAATGTCGACCCCAACCCCCGAGACATTGGGAGCAAAGTTCCTCTTACAGAAGCAGCGTATCAAAGACATCATGATACTGTTGAACTTCTTCTTAATAGAGGTGCACACCCAGACCCTAAGAACAATTACGGGAGGACTCCCTTTATATGGGCGTGTTATAATGGCTCGATTGAGATAGTTCGAAGTTTACTGGATCACTCCGTTCTTCAAACGGGAGCTTCTGGCTCATTCAATAATTACTGCATTGATTTTGGCCGGAGAGATGATCAAGAAAACACTGCGGTTTCCTATGCTTTAGATCATGGCCACCATGATATCATTCAACTCCTGCGCGAGAAGGGCGTCCTGCTAGAACAAGATTCTCACATTGATGAACTATTCTGCAACTGGAGCACTGATGCTAGGGCAGACGATGTCACTACTACTATACCACATATTGGACCCGCAATTGGTTGGCCATTCATCGAAGCACAGGGAATGTCGCACAACAAGCGCAAAGCTCATCGACGGAGCTTCAAATGTCCAATCTGTACTCAAGTACGGTTCAGTGCCGCTGGCTCTTTCCTGAGACATGTTAGAAACATACATTGCTCTGATACGAGATGGAAGTGTCCACACCACTCCTGTGGGGGATCGTTCAATAGAAGGGACAAGCTTGCCTCTCATTTTCAGGCAAAACATGGGGGAATTCTCGAAGACATGTCAAACTCCAAACAAAAATTAGATCCTCCAGCAAGGTGTTTGGTTTGCCAAATTCCTCTGAGCTCTTGGGCAGCATTTAACAGCTGCATTATGAAGCATGGCAAGGAGATTTCCAATATAGAATAGCTAGAATGAAGAGCATTGGTCCCACGAAGAGTAGACTCGGATGAAGTATGTCTAAGATAGAATAGAAGAAATAGTTCGATATAAGCCATAACTTCTGAACGAATTAAGAACAATCAATCCGCGCCCACTGTCACCGTGGCGTCTCGACCTCTTAAAGGGGATCGGAGTTCGTGCAGACTGAGATAATACTGACACTGATACCCTACTTCGTAGATGTTAGACTTGTTGTTTAACTAAAACAGTAATACTCATAATAAAGATATCTGTTGACAATATACTCTAGAGAGCTTCGTCCTTTGAGAGATTGTATACTATCACAAAACTGTGCTTACGGACTAGATTCCCCGCGGGTACAAGGTAGCTAATTTACGAAAAGATCTCAGGATCTTTTTGATGCCCCCAAAATAGATGCATTGGTACTCAGTTGCATTTTCTTTTCCTTGTGAGGGCGAGCAGAAGAAGGTTAGGAGCGGCTACTGTGGTCTACAACTGTTAAGAAACATCATCCATCGTATTGATTGTGTTCCATAAAATCTGCTGACTACCTCATACTCGGCTTCTCAAGTTTCCTCTTTCTTCAAAAGAACGAACCTCGCTTCGAATGACCTGATTTATTGGTTATACAGATCCCAGAAGGCAGATCGCTCATTCAACAAGGTTTGTGGTGTGTCAAATTCCAACAATTGCCCATCACCGAGGACTGCGATGCGGTCAAAATCGATGATGCTGTCAAGCCGATGTGCGATCGAAATGACTGTCACTCCGTGAAACTCCTGACGAATCACTTCCTGAATGAGTTTATCGGTAACAATGTCAATACTGCTAGAAACCTCATCCAGAACAACAATTTTCCCCTTACGAAGAAGAGCTCGGGCGAGACAGAAAAGCTGTTTCTGGCCAGGCGAAAAGAAATCCTCGTCCAAGTCCACATTCAGTCCCCCTTTAGACTCAATAAGGGACCAAAGATGGACTTGGCGGAGTGCGTCGATGATCTCTTCATCTCTATGCGTTTTCGAAGGGGACGCATTGAGGCAAACTGATTCTTTGAACACAAAAGTGTCTTGAGGTATGGCATTGACAACTGAGCGTACAAGCTGTCTAGGAATCTTGGTAATATTCAAGCCGTCGATGAGAATAGTACTCTCGGGGGTAACTTCAAGCAAACGTAGGAGAGTCATGATCAATGAGCTCTTCCCACTACCTGTGCGTCCGCAGACTCCGATATTCTCCCCGGGCTTGATTTCCATGCTGATATTCTTAAGAATAGGAGTTCCACCAGCAGAGTAGGAAGCCGACACCCTTTTGGAAAACAATGCCGCCTTTATCTGGCCAGTTGCCAGGGACGGTCTGACACTCACCCTCCAGATTCTCTGTCGGTGTAGTTGAAGTAAAATATTTCACACGAGAGACTGCCCCGATGGAAGTTTCCAGTGACGTCCACTGTCGAACAATCCAAGCCAAGGAAGCGCTGAAACTCATGATGTTGAGCAAGGCTAAACTTGCATATTCGGCTCCCACGGATTCTCGGAGTTCAACAATAAGTACCATCAACAGAACTGCAAGTACGGCTACCATGACATCCAGAACAATAGATAGCCACCTCTGGATACAGAACATCATGTAGTAAGGTCGCTGAGAGTCATCAAGAGCACGAAGGTTTTGATTCACAAACTCTTCCGACCACCCGAACGCTCTGATAGTTACCAGCCCAGACAGCGATTCAATAAAGTGGGTGTACAGGGGTGCCTTTGCTTCCAAGTCGATGAGACGTACTTGTCGAGAAGTTCTCAAGTAATACTTCTGTATGACTGTTCGTTTTTCTCCGTATCAGCTGGCCATTGCGAACTGTCTTCTTGGGAGTCGCGACTTACTCCACATGACGGCAATCACGGGTGGCAGGGGGAGCAAAATAGCCAGTTGCCAAACACATCAATACTGCTCCCATTAGCGCTTGGACGACTGACACGACCAAATCAATCAAAGCGAATGGAAGCTCCTTGTCAACCACCGACATATCTTGGCTAAACCTGTACCCCAATGTTAGAATCGCCGGCCACTGCAGATAGGAAACCGTGAACTTACCTGTTTGTGGTGATTCCAGTGTCGGTATTTGTGAAGAAGGATAGAGGGGCATCCATGACTGAAGTGAGAAGCCCAGCGTGCAGTTTTTCCGCGCTCGCCGGAACCACATAGAGGAAGAAGTGATAGACAGAGATGTTCCAGAAGATAGCCCCAATACCTGTCAGCATACCATACAATCCGAGGTAGAGCGAACTGACCTCCTCTCCCTCGGCTTCAATTGCCCTGGTCCAAAGAGAAACAACTAGCTCAGTGAGTTTCACGGCCACTCCGGAAAAGGACACATAGAAAAGTGAAAGAAGGGCCCGTGGCCAACCGATAGATGCAAAGTAATACTTGTATGTAGACCACTCGCCAATGGGCCGATTGAGTTCCTCTTCTTCTGCACTTTTCTTCTGCTCCGCGCCGCTGCCTGAATGCTCCACTGGTAACGGTTCATCCGTAGCAGCAGTTTCATCATGATCCTTCTCATATTTATGCTTCGTCTCCAGACCTTCCACATACCCTCCCGCAGCTCTGAGTTGAGCCAATGTACCTTGTTCGGTGATATGCCCTGTGGGATCCAGGGCGATGATGTGATCAGCAAAAGGGAGGCGATGCACAGCATTGGTAACAAGCAGGACAGTCGTCTCCAATTGCCTGAGCAAACCAGCCTTACCAAATAGATTTGTGAAAACAATATCCTCTGTCTCGGGATCTAATCCTGAGAACCCATCATCGATGATCATCAGTTTTGTATTGGCGTACAGCATCCGAGCCAGAGCCACCCGCTGTTTCTGGCCGCCACTGAGCGAAATCCCTCCACTTCCCACAATGGTATCTTTTTATTTTCAGTTAGCTAGAGTCTGTCATGGCACTTCTGTACCCCTACCGTGTGAGTCGGGCATCAATGCAATATCATGATCAAGAGCACACGCCGAAACCACCTCCTCATACCGTGCAACATCCAGCAGCGAAGGCCCTATAATGTTCTTCCGGATTGTTATGTTTTGAATCCATGTGTCCTGGTCCACAAAAGCGCTGACCAATGAGTCACGCTGCACTGTACCCTGGAAAATGGGTGTCTCGCTCAGAAGACCCTTCAACAAAGTGCTCTTTCCACAACCGACTGGTCCAATGATGAAAATAAAGTCTTTCCGGGCGACGGAAAAGGTGACATCTTTGATGATCGTGGGGCCATCTGTACTCCATGCAAACGATGCATTCCTAGCTTCAATTATCGTGGAGTTAGGGCCTTGCTGCTCCTGTGGAAATATATGTGCACTGGCCGACTTTTCTTGACTATCATAGTCAGGTGGCGTAGTCATGGCGTTTTCTGCCCTGCTTCCCACACTCTGGTCACCTCTCTGCTGGGGTTCTTGCAGTGGGCTGAACAGTAATTTGCGAGATGGAGACTCAACAAATGTCTGAATTCTGTCAAAACAGGCGAGTGCGGCCTGGAGTGTTGGGATTGTTCGGAGCATGGTGTTGACCGGGTTTGATAACATGCCAATGAGAGAAAGCGCAGTGAAAGCAGTGGCGGGAGTGAAACTCAGATCCTCATAGTCCTGAATAAATGCAAATACTAGGAGTGTCACAAAAGGTGCTAGGACTCTCATATTGTTTGCTGGCAAATTTATTAGGAAATTTTGAACTCCGCCTAGATGATATGAAGAGGTTCATACATACCGAAAAAGACACTCGCCGATAGGAGGCGTCTGAATAAAGTGGACATTTGCAATTCTATGACTCGAAGATTTTGAACCTTCTCGAAGACAACAGGGGTAAACCCAAGCATCTTGAGGGCCTAGAGACATGTTCGTCAATCTCTCAACCTAAAGCCACGCCCACTGTCCATCACTCACCTTCATCGAACCCAGCATAGCAGCTGTCACATCAACGCGGGTCTGTATCCCTTCGTTCCACCGCTTCTGTGCACCGCCAATGTAGCTTGAGATCTTGACAATGGACATCATTGACAGGATTGCGACCAGGGCCGGAGCTAGAAACGACAAACCAACTTCTCGATACAGTAACCACATGGCAATTCCCAACTCAAGTGGAACTGCCCAAATCTCATGTAAGTTCTGGAAGCCCGAGCAGATTGTTTCTGATCAAGCGAGGAAATGAGCGATGTTCTAAACGAGACACACAATCCTGAAAATAGGAAGCTCACCAGTATCGTTTGACATCAATGTGAGAGCGGCCGAGTCACCAAGAGACACAATGCTGATATCAAGCGTCTTCGCACAAATCATACTCACTAACGTGCCACGCACAACAGTGGTAAATCGAAAGGTCATATGGGTATACACACCATTGGCGATCGCAGTTCCTATAAAGACGATGCCAAACGCGCCGGTTAGCCCCCACCCGATACTTTTCGCGTCCGTCTGAGACATGACAAAATTTGTCGTTCGGGATAGAAGAAATGGTTGAGTATATCGAAAGGCAATGAGGCAAAGACGAGGGAAAATGCACAAAGTCAGCTGGCGGCGTGTTACATTCAACGTCGACCAGAACAACGCATGAGAGCGAGATTTGTTTGCTTTCGCCCAGTTATTTTGAGCTCGACGGCGTAGAACCTTGGCGCACATCTCGTCTTCGATGAGGAATATGTCATTGGCACGAATGATGCGTCGAAACCCGATCGCCAACAGCGTGTTCAGCCACCAGAAGAATGCTCGGCTATATATTCCACTTGTCGCTTCTGGGTGAACATCCCGGTATGGTTGTAGTAGAATGCCTCGCTTTTCAATTGCTTCTGTGATGGTGAGGATGAGCTTTACTCCTACGGTGGAGGTGAACACCGCTGCAATTGGTAGAGGGGCGCTTTGCATCCACAGTGTCCTTGTGTGTGCGATATCAAAAAAAAGAGTGACAAAGAGATAGGTATTGATCAATGAAGATGGGCGAATAGAGCGGGCGTGCTCAATATGAGAAAGCCAGCATAACCCCAACGCGTCAGCCAGAGTAAGGGCAGCCGCTGCTAGTGAGGCAGGCGTGCGAACATGGGAATTGATCGCATAGAGGATCAACACCGCGGCTTGAAGGCTTGTGAAAACCGCGAGTAAGATCTAATCATTGATTATTGCTGATCAGCACATAGACTATTGCGAGGGAGCGGGAGTTCACACCAGCTTATTAGCTTTTAGGAAGTTATGAGATACTTTGCGCTCTTGACCATATAGTGACCATAATCGGAATGGAAGCAAAAGGAGAAACAAAGAAGAAGGCAATATCGACAGAATTGTATGTTCAAAAAGAGGACTGAAATCAAAATGATTTGGGCCGGGCATTTGAGGCCCGAAGACTTCGGGAGCCTCCAACGGCGTGGAGTTGGAATACATTGTGCACCGAACCTCGATGTGGTGGGAACGCGTTGTCTTTCTCCTTTCTTCTGCAACCTCCAGCTAGGAGACCAACCTGATGTGACTCAGATGTATGAGCTCAACATCCTCTGAATTGCATATTCCCGCCCTTCAGTTGCGTCATATGACCCCTGTCGCATCTTCCTCTTTTCGCTTGTTGACCAACATGTCAATAGAAATATATATCAAACATCTATCTAGAAGGGATGAGAACCTCTCTCTTTGGGCGGATTTAGATAGGGTTGGTCTGGACCATGATTAGAGCACAGCTACCAATCCTCGCCTTCTGAAGATCAAATGGCCATAGGTCTTGCAACTGCAAGCGAAGAACCTTGAGAATCCACTTTACCTAGGTAAGATTCTTGTTATTCTTGTGAACGCGGCTTTACTTCGTATATTACTTCGTATATTACTTCGTATACTTCGACGAATGGAGCTAAAGTGGTCACGTGCTCACGTGTCATCGCTCTTTCTTTCGCGTTCCGACGAGTCTCCACCTTGAGAGTCTCGAGTTGGGACTGACTTGCCTATACCTCAGATCATTCTAATTTTGGATGCTGAGTCACTAGGTGACTTGTGTGGGTATAGGCCATGGGCTTCAGATTCACCCTCCTGTGTGATCTACTGTCCAACTTGGACGACAGCAAAACGGCCAAGGCATGCACGGCGGCCAGGAGCGAGAATCCAGACATTAGAATAGTCGCACAATGGTTCTCTCGACATGAGCGGATCATCCATAATGCTGAAACAGATCGTGTGGCGTTGCTTTCGTGCATGTTTCCTGAAAAACGAACGGACCGAGTATACTGGCTGCAAGCCATGCAGCTGTCAAGAGTTATCGGGCGCTGCTTGGGGTTGGGATCATCGCGACTATCCGAGCTCAACCGATGGCAAATTCCTGGTGGTCCGGATCTCGGAGGGTGTGTCGAAGTTGTCATGCGGCAAGCTGAGAATTACATTTCGGCCGGCCAGGAGTTGTCGGTAGAAGAGGTCGATCGCGCCATGGTTATGATTGCATCACGTTGCCGCTTCTCTGGCCCTAATACCCGCCGGAATTGTACACCTGTGAATGTTGAGGAAGTCCTATCAAAACTATACCGTCGGTCAAGTAGCCGTGACGCCAAATGGCTCACGCGCATGATTCTCAAAAGCTATTCTCCAGTTATTCTTCCAGAAAAGTATACCCTGAAGAAATTTCACTTTCTTCTGCCACAACTACTTCAACTTCAAAACTTTTTTGAAGGCGCGTTGGAGATGCTCGCTTCTGACCCAATAAACCACTTCCCTCCAAACCCGGATCCCCAAGCAGCCAGAAGTCTTGCTACCATTGCTCTACAACATATGCGCCCTCGACCTGGCATCAAAATCGGACGACCTGATTATTACAAAGCCCGGAGTCTCAAACATTGCCACCAAATGGCCAATGGTCGTCGAATGAGCATTGAACGGAAATACGATGGTGAATATTGTCAGGTTCACGTTGATCTCTCTAACAAGTATACACCCATTCAGATCTTCTCCAAAAGTGGCAAGGATTCAACCGCAGATAAAGATAAGATCATCCCAGTGATAGAAGAATCGCTTCGCACTGGCTTGCCAGACTGCAAATTTTCACACCGATGTATCGTCGAGGGAGAACTGCTTGTATGGAATGATCAAAGCTGTGAACTGATGGATTTCAACAGAATCCGCAGATTGATCCCACGATCTGGAACTCTACTTGGCGTTGATAGTGATTCTCCGTAAATGACTCCTCCTTCTAAAGCATGAACTATGTTGCTGATTAATATAGGCCACAACCGTACGAGCACTTGATGATCATGTTCTTTGACATTCTTCTCATTGATAACGACGTATGTCTTGCTAAGCCTCATCGGGAAAGACGACTACTTCTACAGAAAGTGGTGAAGAGCATACCAGGCCGAGCGGAGCTTGCCCGTCAGGAAGTTCTAGACTTCAACCGAATTGATAGCTACCATCGACTCGAAAGATCCTTCGAAAAGGCGATTACTGAAAAATGGGAGGGGTGTGTCTTGAAGGCTTCTGACGAGCCTTATTTTCCGATGTACACCACTGGTGTGGATCATATGTTTGGCCGTTGGATCAAACTCAAGAAAGATTATATACCCGGTCTTGGAGACACATTGGATCTAGCGTTGATCGGAGGTAGCTACAACGCGCGGGACGCTCCTGATCTGAGGCAAATAAAAAAGCTGAAATGGACTCACTTTTACATTGGCTGTCTTCTGAACAAGGAACGTGTCCAACAAGGCGAATCCTTGCCGCATTTTCGAGTGGTTGATGTGATTAATCGTCACTGCATGCACATCCAGACCATGCAAACGCTCAACCAAATGGGAGAATTATATGCACGTGAACCTGAGTCATTTGAAGGTTTTGCAGTTGAGTACGGGCACAGCAACCTTCCCGTTGCAACCGCATTATTCAAAGAGCCGTTCGTCGTCGAGATGCTGGGCAGTGGATTTGAAAAGCCGTCTGGCGCGAGGTACTTCACACTTCGATTTCCTCGGATTCTGAAGATACACTCGGACCGGACTCTAGAAGAATGTACATCTTTCCAGGAATTGGCGCTTGCCGCGGAGAATGCCCGGGCTGTGCCTGTGGATGAACTGGAAGAACGCGAGAAATGGTCACAACGGCTCAAGGCTGCAAGTGGACTTCATCAGTACATTGAGCGATCTCAAAGTCCAGAAGCGACTTGTTCAGATACCGACGAGAAGACCAATTCGCCATCGTCCCAGGTTCCCCATGCTACCACTTCTTCTGGAGAAAGCTTTATGGATACATGTCCATTGATGGCAGGACTCCTTGAAGATTCAATAGGGAAAGACAACCAGGATCTATCATCCAAGGACCGCCTAGTGTCCCCTCTGGTTTACATTGATGAGAACATTCCCACTAAGGGTAATAATCCTGTCCTCGAGGTCACCAGTATACTCGTGGAAAACGAGAACTTGTCCTCTCGACAACACACCAACCAGAAGGATGGAAAGATCGCATCGCAGGAATCTTCGTGCGTTTTACATTCCATGCAAACAATCACTTCCATGTGCGCACACGAAGAGCACTCTCAAGAATTCTCTGAGTTGCAGGATCGACCTTCGAGCAAGCTGTTGGTTCCCACACCATCCAAACAGAAACGCAAGATATCACCCCAATCTCCTTTAACAACTATCCCCATATGGGCCCCCGAAACTTCATTGGGAAGCTTTACACTTCCTCGAATTGATGAAAAGCCCTGCAAAGAACGCGAATCTTGTGATTTGGATGAGTTTATTCAGTGTCTTTGCTCCGGTGAATTTTCTTCTTCCCTCCAACAATCAAATCCCCATGCTGCATCACAGGGGGCACGATTTGGTATTATCCTGCTCGATCCCAAAGCAAGTCAATTAGGCGAGGAAATGCACCGTCTCGCCATAACGCTTTCCAGGTTTGTGCAGACTGGGACAAGCGCATTCCCCTCCCTGGGAAGCATATTCTTTTTGGGCTCAAGCATGTTGGAACTTGATCTACGTCACGACGACCTTCGTTTCTGCCTGCGTGATACTTGGACAGACATCGGACGTGATCATTTCTATGGCTGTGTTTCATGGGATCTCAGCAAGCGATCTGATATTTTATCCATACGAAGAGACAAGCTCCGCTCTGAATCGAATGAACATTGTTTTGACATCACACAGGAGACACCAGATCCTCCGGGCTCTGGACAAAGGGGCCCGTGGATTCAGATGACCTTTGATGAAACAACCATGGCTGTGTTGGGCGAGTATATCTCGATCGAACCACTCGCTCATGTTTTATATAATTGATACCCCTTTTTCTTCTTATGAATGACAATTCTACTGCCCGTGGGCACTAGCAACCTCTAATTCCAGTCTTGCTTCTGCGATGTAAACATGAACATTACAATCGTAGGTGTTATTCATATGGAGCAGTAAAATGAGTCGCTGTCATGACAATCCATCCATCTCTCAATGAGTCGATGCAATCGAATCAAGTCGCACCCTCTCTTCTTGCCCGCACGTCCCTCATTAAGGCCTTGGCCTCCTCCACTTCAATTCCATCCTGACACAACTCGCTAGCCAGCTGGTCCGCACGGTCAAGATCACCGTTCCGTGACGCATATTGTGCCAACCACAGACGTGCCTTGGATGTGGTTGCTGTAACGCCAGTGCCATTCCATGTCTCACTGACAATGGAGTCATCGTTCTGCATCGCGAATGATTCAGCCTTTGCGCGAGGCTTACGATTACGACGGTGTCGTTGCGACAGATCAAGTTCTTCGTCTTCCGAATGCTCGATCTCAGCATCACTTTGAATGTCTTGATCCGAGGCAGAGTCATCATCATCTACACTCTCATTCACAGGAGCACCGGATTCCTGTTGGAGAGTGAGTTCCATGTATGCAGCCGCCTCGTCTTCATCACCGAGACGCTCGTACAGCGTCGCGATCTGGTGCAGTGTTTCTGGATCAAGGATCTTTCGGCCAGGGTTTGCGCCGTTGCCTGCTTGTCCGCCATCATCTGGCTGTAATGAACCAGCCACCAATGCGCGCTTGAGAGCTTGAATACTCTGTTCCACGCGGCCCATCTTTGCATAGCACGATCCGACTGCCTGCCACATCTTTGGATCGTATGGACGTAGTGCTGCGGCGCGCTGGTAGTAAAAGAGGGCGTAGAAAGACATATCTAAGACTTCGTAGGCCTGTCCGAGACCGTACCAGGCCCGGTAATCCTTACGATTGACATCGACAGCCCGACGATACGACTCAATGGCGGTGTGAGTGTTCTTCATCTCGATGTATTCATGACCCATGAGGGTCCATGCAGATAAGAAGTTCCGGTCGAGAGTGAGTGCACGTCGGAAGTACATTACTGCCTTTTCATGCTCGGATTTCAAAGAGTAGTAGTTACCCACGACGCAACAGGTTTCTGGGCGGAATTTGTCCGTGGCTGTCGCGACTTGAGCGACGAACGCAAGTTGAGGTCGCTGGTCCATCACGTAAAGGATGTTCGAATAGTGATCTAGACTGTCTAGGCGGTGGGGTGATGTGGCCAGAATGCCTTCGAAAATATGGGATGCTTCCTCGAAGTCTGAATGACATTAGATCAGATCACTTGGGTGATGCGCTGGAGCTAGGGTAGTTACCTTTCGAGTGATATAACAACAATGCGTGCTGTGTTTTGAGGAATGCGCTTTCTGGAAACATTGACTGTAGCTCAGACAGTGATCTGTATGTGTCTTCTGTGGCCTGGTAGAGCTCCTGGCTGCAGTAGACGTAGAATATTAAACTCATGACGTTTTGCGGCAAAAGTTCGAGAATTTGTTTCAGCTGTAAAAATTAGTACCGAGGGAAGGAAGCCTGCGTGTGAAGAACTCACGTCTTCTGTACTGCCCAGCAGGTCGTTTAGTTCTTGCCAGGCGCCCCAATGATACGGATTTTGATGCACACATCGAACAAGCCATTTCTTCGCCAGCTCCTCATTTCGTCCTTTTAACAAGACAACAGCATATAGATACTCCAGCCATCCCTGGCCCCGATCATCGAGCCCCTGTGCGGTTCGTTCGGATAGCCATCCGTCCAAACCTCTGGCAAGACCTGACAACTCTCGATTGACGGCCATCCCACCATCTGCTGGACCGAGCACCATCTCCGTTTCTTCCTCCTTGCGCTTCTCTCCGGCTAAGTACTTTGCATACAGGGCGAGGAAGAGCGATTTCTGACTCAGTTTCGGATATGGATTTTGCTGTATTTGGGTCTTCTGTGTCTTTGGCGTTTGGAACGGTGAAGCTTTGTCCTTGCCCTTGTGTGAGGTCCGCGATGGCCTCGGCTTGGAGTTGGGTGATGTAACCGACAAAGGAACGGGTGGTGTGGTGGGAGGGAGAAATACGGCCGCACATCGGTCATATTCACGGGTATCGAAGTAGGATTTGGCTAGCAGGTATTTGTAGGACTCTTGTGTCTCAAGGGCAGCTTCTACTGGGTCGTGTACTTTGAGGTAAGGGTTTGTTGCTGGCGGAGGAGGATCCGAAATCTCCATCGGAGACTCAAGGTCGGTATCGTCATGATCTAAAGGGCGGAGGGAATCGAGCATTTCGGCTGCCCTGGGTTGATCAATAACATTAGCACGTCAGGCCGGTTCGACCGAAGCTTATTGGCCATACCATTTTGCTGATTGGTAAAGGCATCGTTCGGAGCATTTGATTGCAGCATTTTCCAGCTGGTACATGAGCTCCCGGATTCCGTCATCTGTAGGTTCTTCCATGGCGAGCGTCTTTGTAGGGAGTAGGCGGAGGTGTTTCGAAGCAAACGTTCAAACACAGTTTTGGTGGTACCGATGCGGCTCTGGATGTATCAAGACGTGTTACAGCAGCGCAGTACCATGCTTCTTTTAGTTGAAAGAAGCTCACTACCACGGCGGTTCAATCGCGACTTTGCGAACGTCCAGTGGTGTAGATACAAGTGTCGCGTTGTTTATGGTTGGGAGAGCAACCTGCGTAGCCCGACCGAAGAGAGATGAAACAGTAAGAATTCTGAGCACGCTACTAATGCTCACAATCCTCAAAATAAGCGGGATATTATTCAATGGCCTTGAAGAACCCACGACGTCGTCGAGTTGCGCCTGGAGAAACAGGAACATAAGGACAAACACTGTAAACACTGCAAACACAACAAAATGTCCCTCCGCGGGGAAATGGTAAAGGGTGCTTTTTATTGTTAGGAACGTTTTCGTCTTCTTGTTAGATCATTGACGTTTTGCCTCACACTTTCTCATCATGGCTTCTACTACCAAGCGCGCCGACTTTGAGGCTATTTTCCCTCAATTGGCCCAGGATATCCTTGCCCACGCAAAGCGCTACAACCTTCCCGACAATGCGCTCGAGTGGTTTGAGAAGGTAAGCAATTCGGCTTCACTGACTGTTCGTAATCAAAAATTATGACTGACACCGTTAATTGTGCTCCATAGTCCCTCAATGTCAACGTTCCCGGCGGTAAGCTCAACCGTGGCCTCTCGGTCCCTGATACCGGCCTTGCTCTCCTGAAGCAGCCCCTGACTGAGGAGCAATTCGAGCACCTCAGCATCCTGGGCTGGATGACTGAGTTGCTCCAGGCTTTCTTCCTCGTCAGCGACGACATGATGGATTCTTCTATCACCCGCCGTGGTCAGCCCTGCTGGTACCGCCAGGACGGTGTCGGAATGATCGCCATCAATGACTCCTTCATGCTGGAGGCTGGTATCTACCTCATCCTTAAGCAGCGCTTCCGCTCGCACCCCGCCTACATTGACATGGTCGAGCTCTTCCACGAGACCACCTGGCAAACCGAGCTTGGTCAGCTTTGTGACCTCATCACCGCCCCCGAGGAAGATGTCAACCTCGACAACTTCTCCATGGAGAAGTACATGTTCATTGTCACCTACAAGACGGCCTACTACAGCTTCTACCTCCCCGTCGCTCTGGCCCTTATGTACCTGCAGCTCGCTACTGAGGAAAACCTCAAGCAGGCGCATGACATCCTCATTCCTTTGGGCCAGTACTTCCAGATCCAGGATGACTACCTTGACAACTTTGGTGACCCATCTGTCATCGGGAAGATTGGTACCGATATTCAGGACAACAAGTGCTCTTGGCTCATTAACCAGGCCATCCAACGCTGCACTCCTGAGCAGCGCAAGCTCCTGGATGCTTCCTACGGCCGCAAGGATGCTGCTGAGGAGGCCAAGGTCAAGGCTCTGTTCAACGAGCTTCAGCTGGAGAAGGTCTACAAGGATTACGAGCAGAAGGTTGTTGGCGAGCTGCGCGAGAAGATTGCGGCTGTCGATGAGTCTAAGGGTCTGAAGAAGGAAGTCTTCGAGGCTTTCCTTGGCAAAATCTACAAGCGCACCAAGTAGAGGATCATCCTCTATCTTTAGAAGGATACCCGTCGTTCGACTGGATCGTGACGATTGAATATTTCATAACGCCTATGCACAAAGCTGAACACGTCCGGCGATGAATAGTCTTTTCTTGGATTTATCTTTCTTTTCGAACTCAGTATTTCAGCTTTAATAATACATAACTTAGAATCAGATGGACATTTATTGCAAGGCAAAAGAATATATTGCTAGGACCCGTCAATGCTATCTCAACAAATGAAATCAGTATATATGCATACAGTTACGGAGATTTGTTACATACAGCGCTCTAACTCTGCTGAACTAGTACAGATCAAACGATGTTGCAGACGTTAGGTGAAGAACTTGCAAAGAATGTATGGAATCCAAAGGGGTAATTGGGAAAGCTGCATGGTCTTGATACTTGGACTATACAGCCATGTGGACTTCCCTTCTGCCCGTGTAGATAAGCCCTCGATTGTTAAATTTGTAATGAAAGCAAAGAATTGAACCCCTTATATCCTGAACTGGACTGAAGGCATTTGGATTAAAATGCAAAGCTGTGATACATCACGCAGATCGTATGCAGACTGTCAAACTGCATCCGGCGCTGATATTGATTCTGTACTCTGCAGAAACCAATCACTGCTATCACATCTTACTTCGGACTTGGCCGATACAGAAAACAATAATATTATGTGATTTTTTGTGCTCAAATTGCAGTCTCGTCAGTATATAAACAGAATTAATATTGGTGGGCAGAGTATATGGCACAATTCTAACTTGAAAACACCTGAAATCCCAAATTGTAATTTACCTAAGGACTTGTTCATGGATATAACGCCTTTACAAATGGGGAGCATTCAATGCCATCACACAAAGCAGCCCTGAAATCAACCCTGCACAAGGCAAAGTCAAAACCCAGCCACCAAAGATAAAGCAAAGTTGCTTCCAATTAACGGCGCCCAGATCATAATTCATGAGGGCAACGCCCATCGAGGCACCAGTCAGACACTGCGTCGTGGAAACTGGCAAGCCAAGCCGTGAAGCCAAAAGCACAGCAACAGCTGCTCCAAGCTCAACACTAAAGCCACGCGTCGGTGACATCTGAGTGATCTTATTTCCGAGCGCGCGAACAATGTGGTATCCGAAGAACCAGAATCCAAGACCGAGCAGCAGACCAGCAATAATCAAGAACCAGACAGGAGTGGGTGCCTTGGTCTCGACAACGCCAGCGTGGTATGTGCTGTACACAGCAGCCCAGGGTCCAACAGCATTGGCCACGTCATTTGAACCGTGCGCGATCGACATCATCATAGCTGAAACAACCTGGCAATATGTCCAGAGATGTTCGACGCGGTCGTCATACCGGTGGGCACGTGCGTGGATTGCTCGCAGCTCAGGTGAGTCGTGTGAAACCACATCACGGGTGACTCCCTGAAGGAAAGCGTATTTGAGATAACCATAGGCCTTCTGGGGATTTGTCCAGGATAGTTCTCGGACAGGGTCGATGAAGCGTTCAGTTGGTTCGAGATGCTTCCTCCGTGGCTCGGTTGCCGGTCTGATCTTCTCCTCGTCATCCCCTATTTGTACCGGACTGGACATTGCCATAATTTCCGGCGTTGCCGTGACAGAGTCTGCATTGGATGTGACGTTTTCCTTGGCTGCGTCTTGTTGGCCGGCTCGCACTTCGCCGTAAGCATCTTCATAGTAGTTGATCACAGCCGCGTCGCCCTTGCCTGGGAAGTATAGGGGTGGGTTTTCTCTCAGCAGCAGGGGGCCGAGGGGGATGTGATAGAATTTGACGCGGGCATCGTTTTGGACGAGACGGCGCTTGAAATACGGCATGAAGAAGACATGGGCGATGACGAAACAGCCAACGAACACACCCAAGATAATGCCGGCGGCCTTGCCAGCACCGAATTCCTCCAATGAAGGTGCTGTGGGGGCTTCAATAACGATGAAGAGGGCAAGGATGGCTCCGGTTGTAGCAAGGTAGTATGGGATCATACGCATACCCCACTTGAATGGATCTTTCCGTTCAAGGACACTGTACTTGAGAGTGCCGAAGATGATAGCGGAAAATCCACCTGCCACAAGAGGGGCAATACCCCACGAAGCAGCGACCTGAGAGACACTGCCCTTTGTCCAGGCCCAGTTGATATCAGCCTGAGAAGCGAAACCAACACCAACGAGGGCGCCGACGATAGTCTGCGTTGTCGAGACAGGCCAGCCCATCCCAGTGGCGAACATCAACCAGGTTGCGCTGCCGATCTCGGCACAGCCCATGGCCAGCATGAGTGCACCAGGCTTGCCGTTGAAGCGGTCGATGTCGATGATTCCGTTCTTGATCGTATCGGTGACCCGTTTGCCCATGGCTACAGCGCCGATGAACTCGGTGAAGATTGCTAGAACACCGGCCGTGGCCATATTGAGTGTCCGGGCAGCCACGGAGGTGGCATATGCATTGGCAACATCGTTGGCACCGTTACCGAAGGCACTGAAGACGAAAGCGATGGTAGTAATTGCTAGGATCCAGTCATACTTCGCTGTGACTGTGGAAATCATGGCGACGAGGGGTGTGTTGGACCGCACAACAAGAGTGAATCTGGAGCACGAGAAAGAGAATTGATTCTAGCTGTCTAATGAACTCCAGGATTTATGGTGCCCTTATACGATCTGCGAGGTGGCGACGACCATTGCCAAGTGCGGTGTGTGATAAAACCTTTTGCTGAACTTGGCCTGCATCCATCTGGAGCTCCATGGTGATTTCATTGCTAGCCCATAAGACAAATATCATTGACAGCGTGCACTTGAGACCACGGTTATTGGTTGATCGCAGGGCGAACTTTTCCAACGATCAAAGACCGGCGGGAGTTGGCGCCAAGCCTTGGTAGCGGACGCCAAGAGCGGACCAAGTTCGTTTTCCGGCGATGATATACTTTTGACGGATCACTTAAGCCAGTCATATTGGGTATATCTGCACGTTGCTGCGTGCTGGGCTGCGATTGCACGCTTGATAGAGCTTGACGTGGGTTCAGCGTGGGCGCCGAGAGACTTGGAAGCCCGGGCTTCTCGCGACGGATGCACAGCCTACCCTTGGCATCATGTCACTGCTGGCTGTAAATCTCTGGGCACTGCGCGGTCGTGTGCTTTCACATAAGATTTTTTCGCTTAAGGATTTTCACTGTGAATTGGCGCCCATAGCAGGCCGAAAATGAAACTCTGATAGTTGGCCGGGACAGAAAAGACCACATCCTGGGATACCACGTGGGACAATTTTGGTGATTCGGGTATGTACTCGTATACGCTTCCCTACATCAAATCCTTGGCTAATATCAAGGCACCTTTGCCTTGGTCCTGTAGCCCAATACTTCGGGGAGAGACATACCCGTGCTAAATAGGCCGGCTCTGATGACGCTCTCATCCCTCAAGAGGAAGTTAACGAGTCTCACGAGTCAGGCGATTTGGGACCCAGTGATCAGGAGAAATTGTCTCTCCTGCAAGAAGATTAGTTCTCGGGTGAGAAGATTAGTTCTCGGGTGAGAAGCAAGCACATGCTCGGGCTCAAGGTGTAAACCGGTTCATAAATTGAATGATTTGACATTCAAAAATTGCCAACACGTTCTATATGAGGCAATGCAGATAAAAGCAGGAGATATGGATATCGCTGTAAAACAATCAAATGCACTTTTCCATGAGCAAAACTGCTATACGGCGACCGGGCCCTCAATGGCACTTATGAGGGCCTGCGCGAATCCCTCAAACCGAGGGTAAGACCAGGTATCCCGGTATCTTTCAACGAGCGGGCGATTGTCAGGCTCAGCAGGAGTATCTTGCGGATCATTCTTTGCACTCTTGTCGTCATCCTCCCCCTCCTCATCACTGTCCCCTGCCTCCATCTTTCCTTCGACCAATTCTCCGAATTTCACATCAATAGGCACGCTGCCCATAAATGGCAAACCTAATTCCTGGGCCATCACCTGTCCTCCACCACTGGAGAATATATTGCTGACCTCTCCACAGCAGGGACAAGAATACCCGGACATATTCTCAATAACTCCAAGGACAGGAATCTTAGTCTTGACGCAGAAGTTCGCCTCTTTCCGCACATCCGATGTTGCTACAGCCTGCGGCGTCGTAACAAGAACTGCACCCGCAAGTCGAGGCAGTCCTGTTTGTGCAGCTGCCGCTGCGTCTGTGGTGGAGAGAGTGAGCAGCTGCTCAGCCAGCGCGATGTGCTCGTCACTCGTTCCGGGAGGCGTATCGATGAGCAGGTAATCAGTGGGGCCCCAGAAGACATCTGAGAGGAATTGGCGAATCATAGCTGTCTTTTTTGGTCCGCGCCAGATGACAGCATCGCCGCGGTCGCGCAGGAGGAAGCCCAGGGACATACAGCGGAGGGAGCCGCGTTTGGGTTGTGTTGAGGGCACTGATGTGTTGGCTTCAGCTGCAGATTCGGACCCGTGAACTGGTACTGGCATCCATCCGCCTGGTGCTTGTGTAATTTTCGCATCTTCGAGTCCAACTAGGCGTGGCATTGAGGGTCCTGTCAGGTCGATATCGAGGATTCCGACGGATTTTCCTTGGAGTGAAAGAGCGAGGGCGAGTTGGAGAGTGACTGAGGATTTCCCCACACCTCCTTTCCCGGATAAGACCTAAGATTCAGGAATGGCTTGTCAGTCATAGCCAAGAAATTGTGCTTGAATGTTGTAGCCCATGGCCTCTAGCTGTGCCCTCGTTATCGATAAGCTACGAGGGGCATGACTTTCTTTTTTTTTCGCGCTGAGGGCTCGCGAGGGATCGAATGCGCACGTACCAATACAACATTTTTCACACCAGTGAGAGGCATATTTGTAAATTGTATACTCAATTTGGCGAAAAGAAAGGTTGTAGCATCTGAAAGAGCAATGACGAATTCCGAGAGTGGGGAGGCCGATATTCGGGCGCTTATCAATCGCTTCTGACTAATCTTTGGTCTACATCTATCCATGACTTAGAACCTGGGAATATAAAAGGTTTGATTGGTCACTTATTTTGAATTCGGAGCTTGTTTGGCGAGTTGCCATTGCTCTACGTAGCAAATATGAAGGTTTTCCTTTGGTATCAGATATGTCACGTAATGTTCACCCATACAGATCGCCTTGCTGGAATTCGCTTTTTGAAACCACCCCGAAAGTCTCAAGACGAAGGCGAAGATCAGTGATATGCTTACTGCCACTTCTGGACAACGACACCTCCACGTTTGAAATCGGGCATGTCGCCGAGAACGGCATCCCAGTCCTTGAGCTCCGTGCTGGGGAAAGTCGTCATCAATACCCACGCGCGGTTTGCGCCATCCGGGGTAGCAGCGGCGACGAACGAATAGACATCGCCAACGGTGGCGGTGGTATTAAAACGAGAGGTTAACCGCGTACCATCTCCTAGGCGGATCTGTAGGGTAACTGTAGGTTTTGATTCGTCCACGGTGGGCTTCGCTGGCTCCTGAGCTGATGATGCAGCCGTGGAAGATGAAGGTGTGGGAGCCTGGCTTCGTACGCCAGGCGTTGGGCTACCGAGGCGCTGTCCAGAGCCCGAGAAAGGCTTCCACTTGGGCTTGGGCTTGGTGTACTTTTCTTCATGCTGCTTGAGTTCAACATCGACCTCCTGTCCGGGCTGCACATTCATAATGGAAAGCGGAGCACGGCCTTGGCGGATACCATCCAGGATCTCTGCATTGCGGGGGTCGTCTGACCGAAACAGTTCACCGTCATCAACGGAAAATCCATCAGCCCAGAAATGAAGAGTTCGTTGGACACGCTGGGCACGCTGTTGAGTAGGTGCTGAAGGGGCTTCAATAACCTGACTTGGCGCATCGTCACCACCGAGTGTGCGGGCAGTTCCGGTGAAGTGTGATTCTCTTGGCTGGGGGTCATCCGAGGGAGGAGGCTGGGCCCTGTACAAATTTGGATGTCAGTTTGGTTTACTATCCCGGCCAATTTCTGAAGAACATACTTGCGAGCCTTTTCAAGGATCTTCCTTTTCAAGTCGTCCGGGTTCTGCACAGCCAGTCCAGACTTCTCACCACCTGTAAAGAAATCTTGATCATGGTCATCGGTGTCATTGCCATCTGACGAATCACCACCACCGCCACCTCCTCCTGAAGCAAAGTCTCCCAGTGTCGCGAACTTCTTCTTGGGCGCGGTGCGTCGGGCGGATGATGAGGACTCAGGTGCGGCAGAGGATGAAGCTGGTACGGCGCCTCCCCCTAGAGTTCTACCCCGCGAAGGAGCTCTGGAGCTACCTTCGGTACCTAGTTGTTGCTCGCCACCAGTGTTGCTATCTTGCAAGGCTTCGTCCTGCTCCGCAAAGAACTCTGTGACAGCAGCCTCGATGTCCCACCCATTAGCAGCAAGGTATTCCTGAGCCTTCTCGATTACGCTCTCATCAGCGACAATATCACTCATAGATCCAGCAAGAATCTTACCTCAGAAGCTGGAGTTCCAGTCATAGCACAGAATTGGGACACAGCCTCATCTTGCTCCGCGGGGTTACGCTCCATGGCTGAGCTTGGGTGGGGGGTTTCGGTGATCGAAGCTGGAAAAGAAGATAGTCAAGATAATTGATGGTAGATGCGATAGCAAAGATAGGCGTCTGTCCAATGTGGAGGAAAGCAAAACGATGTTGGAGTCAATAGAGCTGGGTTGACAGGCCTAAACACTCGCAGCTACCCGGTACGTCACTCTCAATTGGTCAGCCGGGGCTTGGTATCTTCCGTCCCCAGGGTCAGTAGGATTGGTTACGTGATCACTGCGCAAGACCTCAGAAATGGATGCCTCAATTTTACAATACCTTACCTTACACAGTACATTATTCTACGAACTTTCACTTCTACTATATGAGTTCCTATGTAACTAGATATATAAGTATATATTCCAAGTTTAAGCAAAGTCTGACCAGTGAGAGTCGAGGTTTTGCGGAAAAGATTAATTTTGATCTTTTGATATCGGATATATATTTCCCAATTAGCAGGGCACACTATCATTTTCTAGTTAACGTATGTAATTTTCAAAATTTGTAAATCGATGCGATTTTTAACTCAAGTCGTGATATAGACAGATACGAAGTACTCGATTCTAAATAATTTATACCAACAAAATATTACCGTAAGGATAAGGCTCAGAAACGGGGTTAAAACCGAGGGTAATTTTATACGCCCTAAAAAGGGGCCCATAGCTGATCAGGGAGCCCGAGGCCGGGCCCAAAACCCAACCCACTTGTGGGCTGGGCCCAGGTTGGGCTTTGGGCTTTGTGGCCTCCGTGGAGGTCTACCTACATATAGAGTAAGCTACTTGTAATGGCTATGTACTCAATGGTTACTAGTAATTACCGAGACCTAGTGACCTGGTGAGCTGGCGAGCCAAATGGGTTGCGAAGCCCGGCTACGAAATACCTATTTTTATTGTACTATTTTCTTTGATCTGCCCCAACTAACGAAGTTTTGTAGGAGGAAAATGCGGAAATGAAAGCAAGCACTCGTTAAATGTTATCCCAGTCCATATTCCTTTCTTTGTGTAGCCTCTTGGTCCCCTGATGCAAGGTCCGATATTGCAAAGCCTTGTCAAAAACTGGCTCTGGTCCTACAATTTCCATTGGAAAATACACCATTCTCTCAAACTTAGCTGTTTGTTAAATAGCAAAACAATTATCACCAAACATTAAACACAATCTAGCTATATAAGCTCCCTGTACTCAATATGGGGTCTTCTACTATGACAGTGACTAGATCAAAGAGAAAGCGCCATCTAGTTAGACAAAAGCCCACCAGAATAATGCCCCCCCAGAAGGCAAAATCAGTCTCAGAATCACCGACGGAATCCATACCACAGCTGCCGACAACCTATGGAACGAAACGTCGAAAGGCAACCGGCGAGACACCACCAGAGGCGAAGAAGCGCAAAATCATCCAAGGACGAGCCAGTGAAGCAGAGGCTGAATATGTGCCTTCTGCGAGATATTTGATCAGCGACGTCCCACGGGACTGAAATTTCACAATTGACAAGTTGCTTCCGGATCTCGCTACATCGTACGTGGGTCGGTTCAAACTGCCCGCACGAGAACGGCCGAAAAGGAAGGCATGGCCGCGACAATCCAGTCCCCTTATAGATCCTGATAAATTGCCTTCGGGTTGGAGCATGGCTGAACGTGATCTTGCTCCACAGTGAGTAAACAACTCACGTGTATCTGTGATTCCCTCATCCGACGATATACTAATGGATATGGCGCAGTGATCTCGACGCACAAATCGAAAGATGCCACGTGAGAATCAAGGAGAATATCATGCCTCACATCTTTGAACACAAGCTCAAGGTATTGGAAATCTGGCAGGCCAGCCGAAAGTAATAGAAATTAAGACTGTTAACAGAGGAGTTGCTAATTTTATATTGCACAGTGCACTGGTCGAATCGGAACCTGGGAACCACAGCTTGGAGGTTTTCAAACGCTTGGAAATCCCCAGGAACATGGAACATGAACTAGAAAGCTCGGATGACTTCAATCAGCTCCCTAATGTCCGGGCATTGCTGCGGGCCTACCGTGGAGGAATGCTTCATTGGAACCAAAAGTTGGTCTCTTATTGGTCCAAAGGTGTGCAATTGTGTCAGCCAAGACCTTTCAATTGGGATGAAATTGAGGTTCTCAATGCGCATCATTCTGGTAGAACCGGATTTTGGATGGAAGGAGTGAGTTTTCCTTAAGGTGTCTTTAAACAAGCAGTCATAATAATACAAAAGGTTCACAAGTAGCTAGTTGGGCCTGGACCTACATATTCACTCGCAGTGATTGGCTTAAGTGGACAACCCCCACCCAATGGAACCTTTACTCGCATGGTATGATGCTTAAAGATCCTTGTTTGGCCAATTCTGATGTGGATTTTCTAGTACATGATTGCCATTCGCGTCCCTGGCACAAGGTGGTACGCAGAGCTTGACTTTATATATGACACCAGGGCATGCATCATGTCAATATTTGCGGGTGATCTTCAAAATATTATCGGCAGATCGACTGCGGAGCCCCCGATCATGGGGCTAAACACAGTGGAAATGGCCGCTGGTAGGAAGCAGACTGGGTCAGTCATTGAACTTGAAGTTACCATACTGGATACTGATGAAAGGCGGATGACGAAATGGGTCAGAGTCCACTGTCAGATAGATCGAGGTTGGAAAAAATGGAGTGAACAGATTGGATGGCCCATGGCTACGACAGATGCTATACACAGCCTCAGCTCCGCGCGATGAGGATGAGACGTTGTGGATTGCAAATAGTCACCCTCAAATCATCGATGCTTTACCTAAAACCGGGGATACTCGGAAAGCTCCGACTCTGGTTCCCGCAAAATTGCCATTGGATCCAGGTGGCCCGGCCTTACTGAGGCCTCGGGGACGTCCTGGGCCTAATGAGCCTAGTCCACTCGTACTACATCGGAGGATGCCCAGGCCTGCATAGGACAGAAGAGCATTGTTTTCTCATGACCTCTCCACCATTTTGTTTCTATATATTTCCAATTAGTGACGAAAATAAAGATGGAGATCCCATAGCTCAAGTTTGCAATAACGTCAGACCTAGTCATTTACGGATGTTATTCGAGGGACCGCTAGCAGGGTAGCTGTCCCTCGACATAAGTCCTTTTCCGACTTATATTCAAGTCTTCGGATGTCCCATAATTTCACTTATTTAGTGCAACACATTCCCATAGTATGGCGGGGTGGATTTATCGGAGTCGAAGCCCAAGAATCCCGGCAGGGTGGCGGACTGTAGCCCTTCTAGAAGCCTCTAACAGCCAAATAATGTGTTGAAGAAATGAATTTCTGGTATGGAAAAATTCATGGTGGTGTTAGGGGGTCCATATTAGGTAATTTTTATCAACAAGGGTCTAAAATTCCCGGGAAAAGACTACATCACCTCTAATGTAAAGCTCCAAATCCACTGAACGTCTGGAAAAATTCTGCTGGGTCCCCGCTAAATGTGGTATAACATCCCGAGATCATTCCAGACTATTCACAGAGACCAATCATATTTTCTATACGCATAGGCGGGACCCATAAAAATTGCTTGCCGAGGTATAGTCTGCCGATCATATTCAACAGTTCGATATAATTTCCCAGGCGGGAGGATGTGCCGTCCCACGCGAGAAAAATGGACCTCAAGATTTAATACACGCCCTTACAATGGCGTGTATTGCATCTTTTGTTTAGGTGGCTAATATAGCCAATAGGACCAGAGTCAGAAATGGTCGCTATGCAATGAGATGCCCAAAATCCTGTAAAGCGTTGATCTCTGGTTGAACTGTGTCATGTATCATATCAATAAGAACAAATTAGCCTCCAAGAGCTGCAGCCTTCGGAAGGAGGATGGTAAAATCAGCGAGCAATGATCGATCCTAGAGTGTGAATTGGATGAGTGTAAATATAATAGCCTCGAAGTCGGGAAAAATAATCTCACAAAACAGGGACAGGATTAGTAGTGGGTATAGGGATGATATACTATATGGGACTAGGTCCTACCGTAAAAACTGGTAAGTATCAAGACCAATCACAAATGACGAATAGGCGGTTGATTTTTCTCTCAATAGTGGGAGGGAGCTATAGATCACAGTAGTCATGACAGGGAATTGCATCGTACAAGCCGGGATAGCCGGTTCTGGGAGCGAAATGGATACCTCACCCTTTGCAGATTCAGCCACAATCATGACCGGGAAGGACGATTTGACGACAATAATTGGTTCCAACAGTGGAAAGAAAGAGGAGTTGTAGGTCGCTACATGAGGAGCAACTACTGTTCAGCTTGCATCCAATCACATGTTGGCAATGTAGCTAGTGATGAGAGCCACCTAGGAGGTTTTATGATTCCATCTAGGAAAAAAAAAGCACAAGGTTCTCCATAATGTTAAGATTCCAATGAAGATATCAGCGCATCGCGTGGCAACAACCCCGTATATAGTTGTGTGGGGAGAAGATAAGTACATAATTGAAAATGACTCTCAAAGTGCAACCCACATCTGTGTATCAAGATAGTTATGTATTTGGTTATATAACTATATTGGAACTCAAGGCTTGATGCATCAAGTATACAGTTTAAAGACTACAACTTAATGACTATGTCCCTAGCTGTGAAAAGTAATGAAAGCTATCCTTTGTCTCAGCAAATAGTTACAAGAAATATGCGATTATTGTACCTTTTATTACCAATTTTTCGTCCCATTTTCAAGTCATGCCGAGGCTTGGAATTTTCCAAGCCCTGGAAGGTATACAATGCTGACGTAGGGCTTGATTCCGCATTTGGATGCCCCACGTCACGTGGCGCCGTAGCGTCGTCCCGGCGCTTAATCCCAGCTTCCTTTGAACAAATCACGTACAGTTTCAAATCGAGCTTTTATTGCCTATTATGCTGCTCTGTTTTAATTAATGAATTTATGGAACTTTATCTGTCTCCAATGTGTTGAAATCGCTGCTCAACTCCCAAATCGCTTCCGATCCTCCACTTCCATCCTGCCAATGACCGAATGAAACACTGCTGTATAGGCCGACACACAACACCTTCGAGACTCAGTAAGGATATATTACACCAAAGACTTTCCTGAGTCTGGATGACGTCGCCTTACCCAAAATCAACTTCATTCTCCCCCTCCGTTACCTCCGACATGGCTTCTGCGTCCAACAGAGCGGTCTCCGATTTGCCGCAGGCCCAGGTAGACGCGATCATCCGCACAAAGCGCAAGGCCCGCGAGCCTAAAGCCTGCTATCCATGCCATGCGCGAAAGGTAAAATGCGATCGCAATCTGCCTTGCGACGGGTGCGTCAAGCGCGACCATGCAGACCTTTGCTCCTACGAACGCCCTTCCAAGAAACGATCGCAAGCCTTTCACGAGAGCGCTGCTAGCGCGCCAACAGCACCTATGCCCGAATATTCAACAGCATATGCGTACGATGAAACGCCAGCAGAAGTAAAACATGAGCCGACCTTGAGCCGACCAAACATTCCTGCTACCGGTACTGGTAGTCGAGTTTCAATCGCGCGCGAGGAATGGGATAACGTGCGCAACAGATTGCAAGAGATGGAATCCACCATCTCCTCCCTTCGAGTTGGGTTGGAGAGAGCGGAAGAGGGCCTGCCCGCTTCCCTAGAAACCGCAAGCGTGCAGAGTCCCGCTGCGAGTTCCCGTTCTAAGTGTGCGTCGCCGGAACGCGAGGGCATACACGCTGCCAATACTCTAGGCAAAGGCACTGTCCATTTGGGATCTCGTTCTGTTCTAGCTTATATTCTCAACAATCAGTCTGGGTCCGACCAACTCCAAGCACTTTTGGAAGGAGGAATACTGCCCAAGCTTGGTCTTGACAACGAGTCTGCGACCTATCCATTTGTTGATCTATGGTCATCCGATATGTCAACATTTGATATATCCGCTGTCTGTAGCGCTCTTCCCAGTGATCAACAATGCAGAGAGTGAGTAGTCTTTCGAATCGAACTTTTAGTTGAGATTGTTTGGGCTAACAAGGGTTTCCCGGTGCAGGTTATTCTACTATTACAGGGACATCTCGGGAGCCATCTATCCTGTCCTGGAGGACATTTTTGAGTTTGAGAACACTCTTGAGCTTCTTCTGGCGACAAGAACCTCTATCGGTGGAGAATACCTGGCCGATGCAGACGAAGCACAGAAGCCTTTTGGCGTGAGCATTGCGTATTTGGGACTACTGTTCGCTATCCTTGCCTCTGGATGCCAGTCATCTGATTATGGGAGCAAGGAAAGGGAACTGACCTCGCAGGTCTATGGTATGTGATCCACGCCAAGCATGTCTTTTCAGAGTCGTCTGCTAATGCTGCAAATAGTATGCTGCTCTTACCAGTGCCTCCGTATGACAAATTTTCTCTCCCAGCCTACAATCGAGGCAATTCAGACCCTCCTTGTAATAGGGAATGTTTTGTCATACAACATGAATCCCGGAATTTCTTATGTCCTACTTGGTATGACTCTTCGCATGGGCTTGGCACTTGGTCTCCATGTGGAGTCAAGTCGGTTTTCGTCAGCTGAACGGTATCGCCGACGACATGTCTGGTAAGAGATTGTTTTCTTTTTCTTTTCATTTTTTTTTTCCCATAACCCAAGTATGTGACCCTGACATAAATAGGTGGTCCATGGCATGGCAGGACAGCCATTTTTCGCTCTCCTACGATCGGCCTTCTACTACTGCAGTGAGCCAACCAGATATCGCTTATAGAGATGGCTCAAAACCTGGTGATCTGTCTTATTTTGAGACCCTATCTCGAGTCATTTCTCTTGCACTAGAGGTTGTCCGCATTCGCATGCTGAGCCCACACGCGCAAATAAGCCTCGAAAGTATACAAGCCTTTAAGGAACGCATTCAGAAGATCATGATAGAGGCACGACCATACCTGCGAGATGCAAGGAACTGCTCCACCTCTACGGAACATCTGGAGCGAGTTGTGTTGAAATTGCATTCTTCTTATTTCGCCTCTGAGCTCTGCCGGCCAGCGCTCAAACCAATGGCTGATATCAGTGACGCGAGCGCAGCCAGCATGCGCGAAAATTGCGTGGTAAATCTGATGACTACCGTCGAAGCTTACATTGAATTGCACAATATCAGCTCTCATGCAGCTCGGTCCTGGATTGCATTGCAGCGGGCAATCAGCTCCGCATTCCTGCTTGCTGTCATCGAAGAGGCGAAAGCAAACCCGAATGTATGGAATCTTCTCCGTTCACTGGAAGGCATCATTGCCCAAAGAGCAAGCACGGAGCGAGCCTACGACTCCAATGGGTCCCCTAATGTAGCCAATATAACCTCGCCGCCTCAAAACCTCGGGACTTACGACCCAATCACGGGCACCACGAACGCCCCAGGCCCCATCGCTCCGGTGGTGGATCCAACTTCTCCGGCTGGGATGCCCCCTGACACACAAACGCAATGGGCAAAGTCACTCGCGAAAACGCATCGTGCTTTACAAAAGTTACTTGCCGCATTCGGGAACCCAAATACGCGTCCCTCAGTGGGACGTAATGGTACGCCTGTATACCCCACTCATCCTAATCTTAACCCGACTTCCGCTTCCATGGGATCACTTGCTCCTGTGTCGGCAAACATGACTCCCAGCGTTGGTTCCCTTCCGCCCCCTACGCCCGAAAGCTCTGGAAGTGGCGAATGGTCTGTGCCCAATTTACTGGACCGCGCAGCAGAGTATATTCATCCACCCCTGTGGGGCTAGTGATCGGCCTTGTCCCTAGAAAAGCGTTTAATTTTTTTTTTTTGTTTTTCTTCAGCGCGGCGCTGGAGTCCCCTTTCGGGCCATCATGATTGTCGTTATTTTTTTTCTTGAAACTTATGCCCTTGAATATGTCGGAGCGGAAGGTTTTTACGAGTTGAATGGACTCTTCGGTGTGATACGTGCCATTGGACATTTAGTATGTGTATACCTTTAGAGAATCTTTCATGGTATCGCGCTTCGAATTTGATGTCCTAGTTGTAGCTATCCAATGGGCTTGCAGATGCAAACCCCGAGCCCACCCCTTCCAGCTAGAGCGGCCCTGCAAACCACATCATAGCCAGTGTTCAGACTACACGACAACCACATCAATCTCTGTGAATCTGTCCATGAACACAGTTCGTGCATTCAGCTACATTCCCCACTGTTGAGATAGCGGGGAGCCGGAGTGTCCACATTCCCGGACACCCAGGGCCTGGGGAAGTGATATATCATGACTAATATTAGCCCCAACCTGCCCAGGTGACGAAATCGGATTTCTGTTTCTCACAAAGACCATAAGTGACTCTGACACACTCTCATGACTTCGTGACATGACCTTTATTGCACGGCCATGACGGCTGCAATACCAATTTTGCGGAGTCGCTATGTCGGACAGGGGGCTATCGTTTGGGAATATATTGATGAACCAAGACCAGTTGAAGATATAAGCCCGGCGGCTAGGGTATATGAAAGATCAATACAAGCTGCGAAAGGCATCAACGGTATTGGTCCCGTGGTGCGAACTTCAGTCTATACAAATGGATTGTTTGTGGCCTTGATCACACCGTCCTTATGTAGATCTTTTCTCAACTGATTACCATTCCATCCTAACGGGGATTGTATACATTTCTACCTCTCAATCCTCTTGTCTTGGATACCCATGCGGCCATTCAAGTTGAGACATTTACATCCCCGGGCTCCTCGCTCTAACATCCGAGACATCTTGCTTAAGCGCACTACGGATAGCCGATGCTATTGGACACCTTGCTGGGATTTCCAACCGTCAAATCGGTGAACGCGGAGAGCAAAGTCGTACAAAGTCGGCCAGTTATTAGGCCGGCAGTCAGCAGACTTAAAAAATGCTCCGAGGTAAAATTCACCTGCGCCTTTCTGCTCTCTTTCAAGCGAAACCCTTTATCTCTAGGTATATCACTACTATTATTCATTCTACCCACGCTTTCCTTCAAGGACTTTTACCTTGGTACGTCTCGCAAGACCAGATCGCAATTTGTCGCAGTCATGTCTTCCGCATCCCCCAACAAGTACTACAAAGTCGCGGTTCTTCTGTTTCCGGGCGCGGATATCCTCGACTTTGCAGGCCCAATCGAGGTCTTATCCCATGTCTCCCACAATCGAAACCCAGAGAACCCCGACAGAATGTTCGAAATCACAACAGTCGCTTCCAGCCCAGCGGTTCGTGCCGCAAGTTCGCTCACCGTTCACCCAGATCTGCTTTTACCAGATGCGGTCGATCGCATTTCGGAGTTTCACATCCTAGTCGTCCCAGGTGGGGTGCCGCCAGTTTTGCAGCCACTCATTGAGAAAAATACACCGGAGCTTGATTTGATTCGCAAATTTGCAGCTTTACCTGCAGATGAACCCTCAACTCCCAGGATCTTGATGTCTGTTTGTACTGGCACTTTTCTACTTGGGGCCACAGGTTTACTTGGTGGAATGACTGTGACAACTCACCACACTGCTGTTGATAGACTTCGGGATATTTGTGCTCATCACAATCCCTCGGATGAGCCTGCTACCACTGTATTGCACAAGCGATACCTTGATGGGGGTCTGATGCAAGGAGGCATTCGACTTCTCACGGCAGGAGGGGTAAGCTCAGGCTTGGACGCCACATACTACCTGGTCAGTCAATTGACTTCACACGACATGACGGCGTTCATCTCGCGAGTTATGGAGTATGAGTGGTGTGAGCTGAAAGACTGAGCTGGAAGAGTGGGCTGCAGGCTTGATGATTATCAAGATCTTATTCATCTGTTATGTCGACAAGCACTACTGTGAAATTGAACTTGAGCACAGCAGTGGTATCACGTATCACAACACGTGTGGTTGATTCTATCCAATTCGGCAATATATGGTTTTCTGTACTATTTTCAGCTCCAACTTGTAAGCTCAATGTATATGGCTCAAGGAGAACTTCTGCCAATAGATATTGCTTGATGGATAATCCTTGAGGAGATCTCAAGCTTATTTAATGATTGGGCTCATTATCTTACATATTACACCCTTTCACGGTTCATCAGCCTCCATGATCTGGTGCTGGAATCTTTCCATTGCCACCACCTTGCGGATCAGACCAAGTTTGCTGCTCAGCTTTGGGCAATCCAAGTCACAAAGGTTACATTTGTCTCGAATCTACAAAGGACTACCCAAATGAGATTGTCGCCACTTCCTACCATTGGTGGTGGGTTGCCGGGGATCCCGAGGCCAACGTTGGAAGTGTAGCTTCATTGACACAGAGGCACTCACCATTCCACTTGTCCAATGGATCTGGGACATTGATGCATGCCCAGTCATCACACTCATTAAATTACAGAGGCCATGCTCATTTCACTCCGGGAACATCCCTCAAGCCACCTCATTCTTCGGTTCTACACCAGCTTTGCTGACTGCAATGAAAGGATAAGTGAAGCGGTCTAGGTTTAAGCTTCTCTGACGCACCTGGGCAGCAGTCAACCTCAAGCCTTTTACTGAGTTGATAAAAATTTACTAACCATAAATCTTCACGCTGACAACATTCATGAAAATAGAGTAGGAAAACATGCCCCAAGTCGTACAGAGTGATGACCATTCACACCTGGGATGCCCTAGGTTGGACCTAAGACTTGACATCTTAGTCCGCATCAGGGGTTACAGTCATCGGAATGAGGGATGACCTCTCCAGACTTTCTGTCCCGAGGTCAGTGTTCTGGCTGATGCTGGCTATATAGCACCATCTAGTTCTGGATAAAACAGCACATCTTGTCTATTTCTTCGGGACTCGAGTGAGACTAATACATACTTGACATCCAAGCTTTTCCCTCATATCCTCTCCGGGTTGAACAGTGACTAGACCGGGGTATCTCTCTTGGAAACATACCTTTCACTTCGAGTCACAATGGTCGTCTTGGCACCGGGGGCGGACATTGTTCCCCTTACACACCAATCACTCTCCGAGAATGAAATTGGTCCTTTCAAGAATGGAATACCCTATAAGAAAGCCAATATGAAGACCGTGGAGTTGGAGACCTTGTCTTCCGATTACGCCAGCGCCGATCCAGTGCCCATTACCTCAAACGGCGATGCTATTAAGCACCACGAACAAAAAGTGCCCGACGGACTCATCGCTTCTGAAACCACAGATGGTTCTGAAAATGAAATGATGGCTATGGATGTATTGAAAATTATCGAAAGTTACGGTGTTGACTTTGAGAAATCGGGCATTTCCTGGAAAGGCTTTGAGTCGTTTGTTCCAGTTGTCGTGGAGCAAATTGACAGCCAACAGCCAATTCGCATGATCTTGCCCGCATTTCCTTTCAAATCACCTAATGCGAGAAGTAAAGTGTTGGGCACTATGCCCGATTTTGGCGAAGAATTGGCCTTGGCTCATTTGAATGGACTTTGCCAAAATATCGGTGAAGTGTACACTCCTGGTGCCAATGTCTACATCAGCTCGGATGGACTTGTATACAATGGTAATTGAATGATCACAATAAATGCTCACAGTTCCAATACTAACATTCGTTAGACATCCTGGGCGTTCCCGATGAAACCGTTTGGGACTATGGAGAGACCCTGCGAAAATTGGCCATCGACAAAGAGCTCCATCATGTCAAATTCATTCGTCTTTTCGAACTTCTCGAGCATCCATGGTTCAAATCCTCAACTCCAGAGGCTGCCAAGGCATTCTATCTAGCTCACGCTAGTTGTCTCCGACGAGAACTGATGTACACCTTTGCTGACCCGAGCTTCGACGCAACGGAGGCTATCAAAACCGACAATGATACATGTCTGACATACCGCGGTTACATCAAGTTCCTTACCAAGGATCTCGCCCATCAGGAGGAGACGAAGACGATGTCGAAACGTGCTCGACAAGCACAGATTGCCGACACGGCACGACAAATGATCATTCGCGGCAAAATGTTCGCAGCGGCCATCAAAGCCAACCGCAAAGACTACGTCCGACTATCAATCCACGAGTCTGCCGGCGAGAAAAAGCTTTCTGTCGCGCTTGTTCCACAGATTAGAGGGCTACTAGGGTATACACCTTGGCACTCTTGTGTGGCTGTCGGACTGGACGGTTCATATCGTACCGTCCACGCTGAAGACGTCCGCGATACGCACGACCTCATTTACAAGAACGGACAGCCATATTTCTTCCGCGAGAAGTCGAGTCTTTTTGACTGGACTGGAGACGGCTTATCCATCAAGTTCGAGCATCTATATCCCTGCGGACTCGTCATCCGCCCCGCAGATATCGACAATGTCAATCCGCCGCCATCGATCCGTTCCATCCCCATGAAAAAGGTCCGCCAGCTGTCGAACGGCATGTCACCCATCATCATACGCGGATTTTCCGAGACTCTAGAGGAAGATCTCTATGTCAAGAAGGGAGAAGAGCTGGGCACAATTCTCCCATGGAGCTTTGGCATAATCCAAAAGGTACGGGACAACGGACGATCTGACAAGATGGGCAACAATGTGACTTCGAACGAGGCTATGCCGATGCATTTTGATGGGATGTTCAAGTTCGACGAGATCACTGATCCAGAAACGGGGGAGAAGAAGAAAATCCAACACCCACCCTGTTATCAGTTCTTCACTTGTCCGGCCACTGCGCCGAAGGGAAATGGATACACCTTATTTGCTAGCTCCAGACTATTTTTCCGGTACCTGCCTATTCCGTGGTCTGCTGAGCGTCTTGAAAAGGTCACCTGGGCTATGGATAACGATGGGTTCTGGGATGCGAAACTTAAGAATCTGCCCTTGATCGTGAAGCATCCTATCTCTGGACTGCCTTGTCTACGTTGGCATCAGCCGTGGGACTCAACCAAGACCAAATTCTCGACCTGTGATGTTTCAATCGAGAATGACGATAATGATCTGGTCAAGGTTGTGGATCGCATCACATATGACTATAGAGTTTGTCTTCGCTTTGGTTGGGAGAAGGGTGATCTGCTGGTTAGTGACAACTTTGCCATGCTGCATACTCGCACTGGATATGTCAGTGACTGTGATCGGGAACTGTGGCGAATTCACTGTGACTGAGATGTTCATGTATCTTTGCTTTCGATCTGGTGGTTGTGTTCTCTGTCATTCTCGTTTCTGTCTGCGCTTGGTCACTCGTTTTCTTACTTGCATATTTGGCTTATGTTGAGAATTCGCCGAGCATTGAAGCAATTACACAAGTCTTCAATGCAAGATCCAATAGATTTCAAGACTGCGATCTCCGAATATCTTCCGTGCCTGGTCGTGTGTACATCCATTAAATCTTGATTTTCCCTTTTACCTTTGGTCAATCTCTCAAGAAAGCTCAAATATATGCGCCTGTGAAGTGAAATTATGGTGATGAATGATTCTCAAGTCTATTTTATTCTGCTCGCTCGGAGTAATTAGATTCAATTCGTGTGTCAAAATATCCCTATTTATACAATCAGATTATGGCCTTGGATCTGCTCTATCAAATTCAGTCTGAGTAGAAACTATAACTATTGTCCTTGAGATAGCATAAATCATCATATATGCACAATTCATCCATATCCACTCTTTGTATATATCCCACTGTCGGCCCCTGCTCTGCCACCTCTATCTTTGTACACAGCCACAACAAACTCACAGCATCCTAATGGGAGTGCCTCCCCTCGGAGGTTCTGGATTTGCCACTTTGTGCAAAGGACATGTGTGCGCATATGGGCCCCCGCCTAGCCACGCTCTAGACGCGGATTGTGTATGAGGTACAGGAGAAATGCTGCGAGGATAACACAGACAAGTCATATTTTGTGAATTTGGCTGCTGTGCTGCAAGACTATGTTCAGGCCCGTGATGAGCAGTACCAGTCCCGTAAGAAGAGGTCGGCGAGGGGAAAGAAGGGATAGAAACTGATGCGGTAGACTCCGGAGGAACCAGAACGATCACTTTGTATTCAGGAGACATAGTGTTGATGACCTGAATTATTTGAGGTAATGCGGCTTCTGCCTTTTGTTAGTTACTTGATTCACATGACAATCTTTATACCAGGAAGCTGGAGTGCTTACCAGTCGCAACGTAGTACAGCGGCTGATTTGGCGCTGAGGTGGACCAGGAGTCTGGTATCAAGGTCTCCGGACTGCCCATCATTTCTCGGTAAGTATCGCCACCAAGCCCAGAGCTTGGGGGTGACATGCTATGGCTTGGCTGTGCTAAAGCGCTCGTGGTAGGAGAGATTGGACTTGTTTCGTTGACTCCAGCGAATTGAGATAGGTCGCCATGATACCCATTTTGTGGGAATGTGTTGAAGTCGTTTGGCCACGAGTGCGAGAATAGGGGATATGATGGCATGAATGAGGTACATTGGTCTGAGATTAAAGGCGAGACATCTCGTGAGGTAACCCCGAAGTCATTCTCCGAGGAGCTTGAGTGAGACCTTGGAAACAATGGAGGGTTATACGCCTGATTCCATCCGTTGAGAGCAGCTGCTGCTCTGAGTTCGTTGGCGATGACGCGCTCTTGGAGCTTTGCAATGCGCTCTCTGATCTTCCGACCTGGGATCTGTCAGTTTCATTCCTCGTTCCTCTGTTTGCGGCAGTATCATACGGTGGTTTCTTTGAGAAAGGCGGTTTTGCAATCTCCTCCTTTCCAACGGATCTTGTGTTTGACTGAGGATATCCTCATCCGTGGGACTAGCCTGATCTTCCACCTTCATCTTGCAAATTGGTATTGTACTATGCCCTTGATAGATACTAACGTGCTCGAGGATATTGCATATCTCATATAACTTTCTTCAGATGTTTCAAGTGATGTTCAGGAACTCAGAACCGAAAAAGATCCGTCAGCCTGTCTTTGCTTTATACAGACCGTGCATCCACGAGGGAAAACCACGCCTGATCTCACTGTGTCACTTACCCTGTACAACGGATCTTTGGTGATCAGCAATCTGATTTGAAAGCCATGATTCAACCGCCTTTTCAGCCGCGTGATGCTATGAAATCTGCCCACGTCAAACTACCTGCCTTTCTCAGCTAGCCAACTCTTTCAGACACTCTTCTGTAGAGCCAGGTACTCTAGGAGAAGGTTTCAGGATGGTTGTACGAGGTTGTGTAATCAGAGGCTATCCTCGGCCTGGACGTGTGCATGGACATGGCGCTGCCCTGGATTCTCTCATTTCTTGCCATCAGTCTGGGGTTCAGCAAGCTCGATGAAACCCTCCGCTCTGCTCTACCTCTATGAATCAAGGACTCGTGTGTATGAGCCCTCTAACCTTGTTTGAGACCCCTTGGCGTGGCAAGACCGTGCTACCTTTCCCCCAGAGGTAACTTGCCCCGGTACTTCGGACCATTATCCTCGCCTACTTATACTCCAAGTCACATGTGGCGTGAATCTATCTTGTAGACTCGGGTATGTCCGATTTCAGCCGTTATCCCTGATCACACGGACCACACGTGGCAAGGGCATTATTGCGTTGTGCTCAAGCTGAGAACGAACCAGGCAATCTCCTATTGGATTGAATCAATATCCAGACCGCTTAGAACCCGTTCACAGAAGGACAGGGAGGCCAGAGCTGTGGTGGCAGGATGATGCAGCTAGTACAATCTGACCCAGTTTGAAGGCTAAAAATAAGACCCGTCGTTCCTTGGCCCCTCGATTCTGCAAGAACAATGAGCTCACGCTGGATATACTCCGGGGGTTCGAACCAAACTGTGGGTGATGTTATAGCATTTCTTACTCTTGGGCTTCGAGAGGTTACATTGCCGTCTCAATTGGTTGAATAGTCCGAGATATGGCACTAAACACCTCAAGAAGTGGCCATCTATGCAATGGCATCATAGATGGCACAACATTGACACCGAATCGATACACCGGCTGAGTTTCGTTTTCAGTCCAGTCACTCAGAGTACAAATAACCCTCTTTTGAGCAGCTAGGGCACTGCCATGTGGTGCCTCCGTGACCGCTCATCCATTCCCCCGGGATAGATGCATGTGAGATCCAGCCGTAGGGACTTGCGGAAGATCCGGTTTTGTTTGTCGCTGGATGGGATTCTGGAACATAACTCGCTTTGTGTAACTGCGTGATGCAGACGTTTTATCCCGCAAGTGACTTGGGGTCTTTGTCTGGGTTGTAGCTGTAAATAGAAACAAATCTAGGCAGACCGTTCAGTATATCATGAAGCCACTGGGCATATATCATTTGCATTATATTATTATATATAGATATCAGCCAATATCCATCTGATACCACAGCCAATCAAGCCGCGTCCACCCAATATCTAAGCAAATCTTAGTTGCAATTGCAAGGTATCAAACGTAACGTCGTTGAGCTTGGTCGACATCTCAAGTAAGCCGCCAAGACCAACATGGAGGTTAGGCCCCAACATATCACACTCTCTCACTCATCTTTCCCTTCTCCATTTAGAACATCTTTCATTCAATCAACGCGTGGAATGGATTCTTTTCTCAAGATAGTGGGCAACCTCCTCCCATATCACCTTCTCTCCTATGGCGCTCTCCTCGGAACAGAGCTGTATCAGGTACGCTCCTTGTCCCCCAAAGAGGCAGGCGATCTTGTGACTAACCACATACAGAGCTTTGTCAATACGAAGATATGCTACCAGGCCTTGCCAATGAAGGAGTTCATCATTCTACAAAAACGCCTCTTCCCCATCTACTTCGGAACGCAGGTTGGACTCACAGCGCTAACCGCAGCAACGCACCCACCATACAGCATATTTTCACTAACTCAAGACCCATGGAGTTTGGCGCCTCTTGCTGTAGCTGGCTTGACCGGATGTCTGAATTGGTTCATCTATGGGCCTCGGACGACAACTGCAACGCTAGTCAGGAGGGCTCTACAAGGTGGGTTAAGCTTGGCACGCCTCATTTGACTAGCTAGCTAACCTTTGTTTTGCTACAGAAAATGAGACCACGGATACGGAATCCGATGGGTCAAAGGTGCATCGGGCTAACCGCAACTTTGCGCGAAATCATGCAATGGCTATCCATTTGAATGCTATTGCCATGTTGGCCACAGTGTTTTATGGATTCTCACTGTCTGCTACGCTTTTAGCAGGGGTCTAGACAACACTTATCTTGCAGACCTTGATAAATGTCAGACAGTAACCACGGGTTTGAGAATAACTTGTTTATATTGCGTAGTCCTTTCCGACTCTTGATTTCACTTTGCCTCTACACACATCTCAACTCTGTATTCGATAAATCAACCTGATCTCCCTACCCATAGAGAGGCTTGCTCTATGAATTGAGACCTAAAGATTGAAGTAGACCGCAGCGCTAATCCAATTGATCCTGTGTAGGAAAATGAATCAAGTTGCAGTTGCAATCGGGGAACGGCAGACCTCCAGGCATCGTGAATTCGAGATACAATCAGACCATTGAGGATACTGTATGTTATATGGCTAACATCGAGTCTGGTATGAAAGAGAGCATGTATTTCAGACCAGGAAGACCATCGAATGCTCCCGTCACTCAATGTCGATACAAAGGATTGTCGTTCCCAAGCAACCTACAGAGATCAAGCGTCACCCTAACAGTAAACCCAGCAAAAATATGACCAAAGAAACTCACGGCGGACAGTGTGTCATCAGTGCAGGTGTTTTGACTTCTGCTGACACCAATTGCATCAATTAGGGCACAGAGCGCCGGACATAAACATAGACTCCATCTAGCGCTATATAGTACCAGCGTACCATCAAGACAATATCCAATCCGTTTCCAATCTTTCTAATCCACCAAGCCCATCTCAACATGACATTTCTCTCGATCCTCCTCTCAACCCTGCTAACCATCCTCTTCCCACCCCTCCTCTTCCTAACCTGGTACCTCCACGTCCCCCGAACCCTCCCCAACCTCCCGAGAATCCCAATCTACGTCTCAATCCTCGGCCTCTGGTCCTCAATGGGCCAAGATGAGATCTACGAACGATGGTTCAGAACTCCACTAGAGAAACACGGGGCCGTGGTAGTCTGGTTTGCCGGACGGTGGAGTATCCTCGTTTCACGACCAGATTGGTTAACCGATATGTTCCGCAATGAACAGCTATATGCGAAAGCAGGGAGTCAGATCAAGATCCCGCATGCTGTTATTGCGACGCTTGTCGGTGATAATATCATCAATGCCCATGGGGAGAATTGGAGACTTTATACGGGGATCATGAAGGCGGGCTTGCAGAAGAAGGTTTTTGAAACGACATCTTTGCTGAAACAGTCGAGGAAATTGGTTGATGTTCTCATCAATCTGCAGAAAGAGACTGGAGGTAATAGAGGTATATTGGTGAATGACGATGTACAGAAATGGGCTGTGGACGTTATGGGTGAGAATTTCTTGGACTTGGAGTTGAAGGTACCAGTATCAATCTCATCCTCGCAACGAACATTCAATCTCCAATACTGAACACAGCTAAAATCTAACCTCCGGTAGAGCCTGGGCCAAGCAAATGGCACCGTCCGAATCGAATCCCTCCAATCAATCATCAAAGCAACCCTCTTCAAACCAATGTACTTCAGCTTCCCAGATCTCGACCACTTCCCCTGGCTCCTCCCGTCCCGCAAACGCGCCTACAACATAATGCACGAATTCGACGACCGTCTCTACGCCGAGATAATGACAATGCTAGAGAATCGCAACGAAACCAACGCCGAAGAAATGGTCTCACACATGCTAGGCTCAGCCTACAAAACCGGGTTGATAACCGAGAAACAATTCCGCGACAATCTCAAAATAACATTCCTAACAGCCCACGAAAACGCCCAACAGCTCGTAACCTCGATGTTCTGGCAACTGGGTACAAGAGTCGATATCCAGAATCGATTACGGGACGAGATTTTGACGACGGCAAAGACGTCTCCGGATCCATCACAGGAGATCATTAATAGTCTCCCGTATCTGACGGCGGTGGTTTTGGAACTACTTCGTCTGTTCCCGCCTGTTTGTCAATTGATTAACCGTGTTGCGTTGCAGCCAGCGATGTTGGGTGGTGAACTTCCTATTGCGAGGGGGACGTTTGTGGGGTGGAATGCGTGGGCGGTGCATAGTAACCCTGCTGTATGGGGTGATGATGCGCGTGAGTTTCGAGCTGAGAGGTGGGGGGAGAGTGTTGAGGAGATGCAAGGGAGGTTTCGGAGGGAGACCGTTCGGGGGACTTATATTCCGTTTAATGCTCATAAGCGGAAGTGTCTTGGGCAGGGGTTTGCGTTGTTGCAGGTGAAGATTTTGTTGTTTGTTTTGCTAGGGAGGGTCAGTTGGGTTGTTGATCCTGGATATAAGTTGAAGATGACGCCGGTATGTTTTTCTGGTGCTAGTTGGTGGATGTATGCTGACTTGGACAGGGTGGGATTCTGGCGCCGCTGGGTTGTCGGGTTATTTTGACCGAGCTGAAGTCGTGAACGAGACTCATTCAGAGTTCAGAGTCGAGGTTATGACTGGCCTCGGGAGTATCAGATGGGAACAATATAGATCCTGGGGTTAGTGGCTATACGAGAAGGTGAAGAAGCACTCTATACAATGAAAGAAGAATTGACACAATGAAGATACGATCAATTAATCGCTGAATTGTCCGTCCAGTCTTCTAAGAAAATCGCTGTCGTGGTATCACATGGGGGAAATTCGACCCCAAAACGCTTTCAAAAATAAATCACTCGACGCATCTGTCCTGCTCTCATCACAAGACATCAGGTATTAACACATTATTGTAGGTTGTATGTAGTCTGCCGTCTTCCGTTGGCGTATTATAATATAGCCTGCCAATGTTCAGTGACAGCAGCATCGAATTCGTACATCTTCATGCTCTCCAGGAGGACAAACGATTCGTATCGAAGGCCTCGTTCGCGGTCCTTTCTGTTGGACCACTGCTCAACGGTCCCGTTCCACACATTGGCGTAGCCATTGAACAAAGACCGCCAGTAGCAGGCTTCAGCGGCGGGAGTCAGATACCGCTCGCGGAAGGTTGTGACACTGTTGTTGGCAATGCGATGGGCGGCTTCGGTGTTGGCGACCAGAGGTTCAATCTTTTCAGACAAGTCGCTGAAATCGCGCTCAACCTCCACGTAGTTTTGATTGGGACCATCTGCCACCAGAAGATAGTGGTGGTGTTGGATGTATTGGAGTTTGTGTGCGACAATGACGGAATTACACGCCTGTCGGTATTTCAATGAAGCCGAATAAGAACGACCTAGTTAGTGTCAGCTGGCGTCGTCCAAGTCCCATACTAAATTAGAATGTAACACACCTTCAACATGCGCAATAAACATATAATGGCAATGATCTTCCATCTTGAGGACGTTGGAGCCAGTATGCCAATCAACCTGCTTGACATCCCCCCATGGTTTATCTCTAGCCGCCTCCATCAACGCGCGTCGCAATTTTGGCGCAAAACTGGGCTTGCCTCGCCAGACCAACTGAGGCTTTTTCTGAGACCAAGGGATATCCAATCGCTTGATTCGTTCCACCACCTGATCATACGGCCCCATATAATTGTCGGGGTTATCCCAAGCCCAGAAACTAAAATCTGGCATCAGCCAAACCCCTTGTTCAGTGGGCGTGCGCGAAAAGACCCAAACCGGCCATTCGGAGTTGGTCACGTCTTCGACTTTATCTTCCACCGAGAAAACAAATTCAATATCAGGTCTGGAAGCTTGACCTGGGTCGGCGGCCAGCGCACGATGAATTGAGCTCAACGTCCCCAGAATTTTCCTTCGATGATCCTCGCCCTTGGATCTCGCCGTGATCACATATAGTTGACCACTGGAGATAAAAGCGCGCGCCATACCCTGTTGGATTGGGATCGCATCGAGTTCTCTCGACGACAAGCGACCGTGTGACGACCAGAATTTGCCTCCACGCGCAATATCCTCGAATAACCCAGGGAACGCAGCTTTGCACTGAGGATCGCTGAGGGCTTCATTACGACCGTCGCGAGCGTATTCATACGACCAAGCGGGGGAGGTCTGTTCTTGGAAGGTGGGTTCGGGGCAGGTGAGGCATGTGGAGCATTGGAAGGTGGTAGATGATTCGCATGCGCAGTGTCCGGCGGGGATTAACTGTGTGAGCATGGGGTGAATATAATCTCGGTCGGAGTTCATGCCAAACCAAATGACCATAATGACGCTGGCGCTAAATGCAGTTATGACGCACAGCAGCGACAAGCCGCGGCGCGGGCGAATAGGAAATGAGGCTGTCATGGTGTACTTCCAAACTGGTACGGCATGATCTAGAAGTACCTCGGGAGTGTATAAAGAGGATCTGAGTACAAAATATGCTTAAATGGAAGAAAAGGAAAGAGAGAAGGGGTGACGATCAAGGCAACCCTGAAACCTCCCCGGAAAAGGCAATGATGGGCGACTTGGGATGATCGCCCTCCCTGTCCCTGAATGCTGCCTGGATTGGCAAGCCACAGCCCCAGTGGGGGCGAAGCGGCGTCATCATTTTCTTTTCTGTTTTCTGTGTTCTTTTTTTTTTTGCATCCCTATGAAATTCTTTGGTGAAGTACGATTAGATTGATTGGACAGGAAAAGTCCCCCGAAGTATAGAAGAGACAGAGAGAGAGAGAAAGAGAGCGAGATGAGAAATGAAGTTGAAAAGAGATCAATGCCAAGATTACTAGCGTGAACCCTCTTCCAGCCTTTGGGGCTCCGGGGAAGCTTGCTGGATGAACATTTTGTTCCCATTATATATTTTGGGCATTATCTCTTGATATACTCCGTATATGACCCTAATATTGAGCCACATACTCCGTAGTATCTGGTAGTATCAAAATATAGGCAGTTGGCATATCTCACATACACAGCTTGGTGTTTTTGAACAGTATCATTCCAGTCCTCAAGACTAGATACAAGTATAAGCAAGGTCTCTAACAATGTCTGCTTAATCTTCTAGTTTGAGATACACCAATTGCCCAACCCAAGCCAATTTCCCCTGACATAGAAACGCCCGCTGTAATGCATGGAAAATAACAAAATTTCACCTCGAGGCACCAGGATTCGAAAGCCTGTTCATTGTCCAGAATGACTACGACCATGTCGTATCCTCCGGCTGCGACCACTGGATGGAGCAGGCGTCTCAGCATCCATGTCCGAGGTGGCAGATACGGCTGGTCGACGTTGTCGACTGTGTCGTACACGGCCAAGAGCTCGGCGTAAAAGCCCGTCAGCTTCCTGATCAAGATCCATTTCAACCTTTTCATCTTCAGCCGGGGGTGTGGCAACATGTGCCACCTCATCCGTCCATCCTTCGACAAAGGGTTCTTGTCGTCCGCGTTGGCGAGAGATCTCTTCGGCCGCAGCTCGTTCTTTTCCTTTCTGTTCACGAGACCGATTAGATCCCCGCCGCTTAGAAGCTGCAGCAGATTCCCGCATACTCTCTTCAAATGCTGCGCGATCCTTTTGTCGCCCCTCCAACGCCCATAGCTCAAGTGCACGTGAAAGTAATGTACCAGCTACACCAGCACCGCCGGCTGCATCGCCGCCGCCACTCGCCCCAAGTACACGTACAGCCTCATGCAAGGCGGTCACTGCCTCTGTGGTTCGACCCAACTCCAGTAAGACCAGGCCACGAGACGTATGGAGAGAACCTGTCAGTCCCCGATCTTCGTAGCCCCCAACTCCCGATGCGGTTGCGATCGCCGCTGAGCCGCCAGTACCACCACCCAAAAATGGGGAATAGCCCATACTACTACCGCCTGCGCCCACGCGAAGACATTCATCAAATTCACGAAGGGACTCGGGCAGACGGCCCATGCGACGGAACGCATGACCCAGGTTCGCCCGTGTGGCTACCCAAGCACTAGGTTCACAATGGAGAGATGTAGCTAGCGCCAGTGCCTGTCCAAATAATTCGACGGCGCCCCCAAGATGATTCTGATGGTAAAACACAACTCCAAGCTCGTTCAAAACGAGGGGTCTCCGCCGACGGCCGAGACAATCCCTGAGGGATTAGGGGGTAAGGGAAGGCACAGAGCCCGGGGCAGCTCCAGTCGACATAGCGTGAGCAGCACATAGATACTCATGCGCCAGAGACATGTTGTTCAGGGCGAGATGTTGCATTCCTAAGAAGAGTTGGGGAAGATGGCTGCCTTGGAAAAGTCGAGCAGCAGTGCTGTACGCTGCGATAGCTTGGTCATGCTCACCCTCTGCGGCAAAGGTGTGCGCAAATCCAATCCAAGCTGGCGCCGAATGGGGATCCAGCAGTGAGGCCTTTGAGAAGAAGCGCCGCGCCTCAGCTACCTTTGACACTGAGAGATAGTAGACTCCAATTGCCAAGTATGTGTAAGGCTCTTCGGGAGAGTGGTCTGCGAGCATGTGGGAGAGTAGGAATAGGGCATTGGTAGCACCGGTCTCGTAAAGACAGGCCAAGTGGAGCGGATATATGGCAGGGGCATGGCCAAGGTTATTCTGAGCTGGAATGCTGGGATTTGTGGAGGTCAGGTCGGTTGATTGAGATGTGGAAAGGATAGAGGACGTCAATTCTAGAGCTTCTGCAAACCGACATTGCGTATACAGAGCTTCGGCACGGGATAAAAGGATATCCGGGTTCTCTGCAAGATTATAGTGTGTGGATAGGGTTTCGGTGGCATCGGAAAGTATGGTGGGGGAGGAGTATTTCGATAGACGAGTGGTGTAAAGCATCTTGGTAAAATGGGCGGCTTCTTGTGCCATCATGGGATCGGGAGATGAGACAGAGTCAAAGTCCAGTGATTCTAGGAACTCCAATTCCTCTGTGGGGGACATTAAAGAATTCTTCATGAGTTGGTCAAATGCTTCAAAACACTGCACGTCAATGCGCACGGCATCCTTGTAACAGTCCCGAGCCCGATCAAACGCGTTCTGCTTGGCAAAGCAGAGTCCCCGTAGGTAACACATGGCGGCTTCAAAGCGGACATTATTGGCATCCTCACGTTCTCGCTCCTCCGCTCGATCACCGCGTGTCGCGTTCTTCCCATTACGCAGCGTAACATGGCTTTGGTGTTGGATCTTGCGACGAGTGTGATTATTGCGAATGAGGTCTGTGGGATTATTTTCGCCAAGAATGGAGAGGGCTTGTTCGAATTGATTCTGTTTTATGTAGCAGTGTGCAGCAAGATAGCGACACGCGGTGCTTCGAGACACCAGATCCTTGCGGGAGAGAAGAGCCAGGGCCCGGGTGAAGTTGTTATTGGAGAAGTGTACTTGCGCCAGCCAAAACGCGTCAGAATCACTATCTTTTGGCAGGCAGTTAGTATTCAATTGGATATTCGGATTCAAGGTAGTTGTAGTCCTTACTAGTGAGAGCCAGCACTTTGTCCCCAATGTAGATTGCAGAATCATGCTGCCCACGGTTCAGCGCATCCTGCCGCCAGGAGCGCAGGAACCTTTCCATGACGGAGATGCGTTAAGGGCGTAAATTCAAGGGGACATCAAGGCTAGAAGGAGTCCCAGGAATGTGAGAGGTAACTTTCGGGACCTCTAAACACAGTGGCCCGTGCATCCTGCCTGAAGGGTGCACCTTTTAACTACCAGTTCGCCAGCACCAGATAAAGAAGATTTCTTTCTTCTTCGATTGCCTGAGTAATTTGCTTAGTAGAGTCTCTAATTATCCACCCATAGTAGTAATCAGGTATTTTAATTTTCTACTAACTAGTCTGAAATCAGGCCTAACTATTTAAGCACATTCAGGCACCAACTCCAAAATAAGGCATCCAGGCTTTTGGCCGCTATGCCCAAAGGGTGGCCATGTGGGGCTGGACGACTATGTATGTTATAGGAACAATATATGTTGTACTCCGTATGTCTCGTTGTTCCGGGACCCAATTCCACCGTAAATCGGTTTATTGGGCCAACACCCTCTGCATAGGCTTCTGCATTGGGTGTAGTATAGCCACACCAAAGCCCCCCCCCATCACATGGAGTTGAGATTGCAACGCCGAAGGCCCCTTCTTGGGTCTCTACGTAGCTAGAACCGACATGGTAAAAGAGCAGACGGAATGTGGACCGGAAACCTACTTGGCTTATGAGTGTCTCGGTCCGCGAGAATCTAGGTGTTCACCAATGACTTTCCTCAAAAAGAAAGTGGCCTATTAATCCTTTTGCCAGGATGGAATAGATGTCCTACGCGAGTAGCCGCGGGCTATCTTCCGTTGTCGAATGTTTCTAGGGTCCTATATCATCTGCTCCTAGTAGAACCTCGACAGCCGAGTTAGGTCTTCTTGAGTATCATTTACCGTACTATCTCGTCGTGGTCTACAATCGAAGGTCCCTCAGTGAGATAGTGGCGCTAAGAAGAATGTAGCCTCCAAATCTGATTCATCGCAACCTGGTATGAGAAGCATTTGTCTGTTGTATGCAATTATGCTATGCGACATGCTATCTGACATACTGCGTTCCTCTTGTGTGAATTTACATATAGAGGCGTCATGGGTCCTAGGCTACCGGTATCCTCTTGATACACAATAGAGTATTGATACACAATGGACTATTGATCCACATCGAACTATTGATCTCTCGCTATGGTTAAGATAGGATGTCCCAAATAGGCAACAATATCCTATTGAGATCCCCGTATGAATCAACAATATCCTATTGAGATCCCCGTATGAATAGGCAACCCAGTGAAAACTCTGCCATTGTGTTTCAGGAGAACAATGGAATTCCCAAAACATTGTCTATTCGAGGCAGGTGCTCCCATCGTGCCTTCCTAATTTGGACATGCCCGTTTTTCCACGCACCTCGACAGCGTACAGGGTTTCCGCAGGTCGGATCCATCCTCGATCTGTAAACGCTCCACGCACCTCGGTCTTCGGATCACGCACTTGGCTACGTAATCATGCCTCCATTTCGGACCTCAGATGTGAGTTTCTTCATCTTTCTTTTCTCTCTCTTCCAACTACCCACCCGCAACTAACATGGCTGAGCGAAAGGTCCTGAGCAAGTGGTATCCGCCTGACTTTGATCCGTCCGCCATCGAGCGCTCGGCCAAGAGCAAGGATGGCAAAAGCTCCAAGCTTCCAAACGTTCGACTGATGACTCCTTTCTCGATGAAGTGTACCCACTGTGGTGAGTACATCCCGAAGGGTCGTAAGTTCAACGCTCGTAAGGAGGTCACCGATGAGCGCTACCTTTCGATTCAAATCATCCGCTTCTACATTCGTTGCACCCGCTGCAGCGGTGAGATCACTTTCCGCACTGATCCCAAGAGTAAGTTTTGAAGTCTAGACCCCATGGAGACATGGTCTCCTGCTTAACCTACAGAAACTAATATGAACCTTTCAGACAATGATTACCAGTGCGAGAATGGTGCCAAGCGCAACTTCGAAGTCTGGCGCGACGCCAAGGACGACAAGTACCAGGACGAGACCGAGGAACAGACTCTCGACCGACTTGAGAAGGAGCATGGCGAGAAGGAGGACCAAATCGAGCGCGACAAGATGGCTGAGCTTGAGGACAAGATGCTCGACTCCAAGCGCGAGATGAAGGTTGCCGACGCCCTCGACGAGATCCGTACCCGCAACGCCCGTATCGAGCGTAAGGAGGCTGGTGGCGCTGAGGCTGCTCTTGCGACCGCTCAGGCCCAGGCTGACGAGGAGGCCCTCCGTGCCGAGCAAGAGGCCGCCGCTGACGCCGAGGCTATTCGCCAGGAGTTCCGTGAGAAGAAGCGTCTCGCCCAGCAGGCTCAGGTCGACGAAGAAATGCGACGGCTGGAGGAAGAGTCCGCGAAATTGCGGGCTAAACCCTTTGTTGTCAAACGCCTCCCCCGCCGCAGCGAAGTGCTGGCGGCCCGACAAGCCCTCTTCGATCAGAAACGCCCTCTTGACGCTGGGGATTCCAAAGGCATCCTTGATAAGAAACGCCCTCTTGACGCTGGAGATTTCAAAGGCATCTTCGATAAGAAGCCTCGCAAAGAATAAGGCTCCAACACACGCATCAACGCCAACGATTGTATTTCATGGGAACCGGAGTTCATGGTAGCATCCAGCGATCAGGAGTTAATGACTGAATTTCACGAATGAATGCAAACACTGGGAAGGCGTTATGGATGGATTTACAGGATGAATATCCTACGATAGCAATCGAATCGAAATCGAAATCGAAACATTAATAACTATCAGTGCTAATATTCTGAAGTATCAAAGACATTGTAGAAGGTATTAAACAAGAAATCGGTATCACAAATCATAGTAACGTGAAGTAAAGATGCGCCCACGCTCAGCCAAAAAAAAAAAAAAAAAAAAACCCTGGAGACGAAACCTCCGCTTCAGAGCACAGAATAGCAACACAAAAAGTTCCTATCGCCAATTGGCAGTACGGAACCACCAAAGCCAGCAACATTGCTCACAAGTAAGGCATCCACAACGCATCACATGACGCCAGATGCAGAGGGTTGACTGCCTTGGAGATCAGATCGATGGTGGTCTGATTGGCAGGCAGGTTACCCTCTGGTGGGCTGGCAAGACTGACAGCACGGTTGACAATGATTTCACTGTTGTTGTAGACGAGATCGCGGAGTTGTCCAGGGGGCAGGACACCGCGGTGCTGAGCCGTAGCCCAGAACATCATCTCGTCGCGAACGAAGACGCTAAGCTGTTGCTCTAGCTCGTGTCGTGGCTCTGTCAAGCAGCGGGCGATTGCCATCATTGCACAAGCAAACACACCCTCCGTCGCAATGGGCCCAAGCAGGGTCTGGATGTTGGGGGTAAACCGGAAGGGGACTTGCTCGGGATTGTAGAAGAAGGCCTTCGCTGGGTTGATGGTAGGGATCAATTCGGCACCCCAGATATCACCTGTTGAACGGGATATCATAATTTTGTTCGGGTATCGGTTTCCAATGTGCATGACGTAGGTCATGAAAGCGATCGCTGCATACTGATAGGCAAATTGGCGACGGAAAAGCCAGAAGTCTGCGAAGTTGGGGTATGTCTGCTGGCAGTATTCCAAAACCACGGTGCTGGGAACCCATTTTTCTTGAATCGCAGTGAGGATTTCAGTGCGAAGGACCTGTTGCTGATCGGACGTGCGCTGGAAAAAGGTTAGCTTTTGATATAAGAAGGGTAGACGGCATACATACGTTCTGCTTGGTTTCTGCCAGCGAGCGCATCTTGTCCATTGTGAAGAGTACCGGATCATCCTTGTTAATACCCTTGCGGCGGCAGTAATCCTCGTAAATTCCCTGCATGGATATGTACGAGGAATCATCGCGCACCAAGCGAATGTGAGGTGCTAGAGGTACCATTAACGGCAGGTGGAAGTATAGGTTGCGTCGGCGACTCTCCTTGCGTTTTGCAAGCAAACCATTGAAGATACGGAACAGCTGAAGAATACGTTCTTCACGCCTACAGTGACGGGCAGCTGGATGTTGAACTGCAAATGCTTGTACACTGCCGTCATGTCCTCGGATCTTCAAGCGGCGGTGACAGACACCAATGCCTCGGATGAGGTCCACATCGGGAAGGAAGCGGTCAATGCGGACGAAGTCTTGGTTCTTGTCCTTGTGGAGTAGGTACTGGCCGGGAACCTCGACCTCATCAAACTTGAGGAACCGGAATTCACTCAGATGAGGTGAAGAGTTCTCGAGGAATGTATGCTGTGATCTGCGATCAAGCTTTTCCTCGAACTTGTCACGCCAGCGTCGCAATTTCTGGATGTACTCGTTCATGGTTGGTTTCTTGGTCACAAAGTCAGCCTCAAACGACTTGCGGATATGAGCTGGAAGGATGGTCTCGGCGAATCGGGTGATGTTGGCTTCAGTTGCCGCAGGCAGCTTGAAATCTTGGGCATAAGATCCAGGCATGCGACCCACGTAGGCTAGGCCATCGTTCAGGAGAGCAACGATCAGGCGGTAAGCATCTTCGTCAGGGGGACACTTGAAGTTCTTGTGGATCTGGTCTACCATTGTCTCCATAGAAAGAGCAAGCAACGGGAAGGCCGTCTTGAGTCCAGACATGATTTCGTCCGAATACTCCCAAGGTTTCTTCAGAGGTTCCTTCTCGCCGTCCACGGGTACAGCCTGATTCAGTTGCGGTGTTCCAGTCTGACCTGGAACTTGCAGATGAATTTGTTGCGCTTGGCCCGGAGTTTGGCCAGTCTGTGGGGATGGCTGTGCGGGGTTTTGTGGCTGCGCTGGAGATTGGGTTTGGGCTAGGGCCGGATTCTGTGTAGCGGGTGAGTTCGCAGGAGGAACTGACGGGGATGCCGTAGCAGCCTGAGATTTCAGGGCAGGAGAGCTATCGGCACCAGCAACTGGATTAGGCTTCGTACTGGGCGAGGATCCTTGCTGCTGCTGTCTAGCCCGATTCAACTTCTCCTGCTTCTGGTCATGCTGTTTCTTGATGCTCAGCATATCCTCTCTGTTCGTGCGAAGCAAGAAGAAGAGAGCCTGTGGATATAACTTGGCGATTTTGACCAGTACAGCCTTGCAAAGGCGCGCCTCCCGGTGCGACAAGCTTGTGAGAAGTTGAGGAATGAAGGTAATCCAGTACCATACCGGGGTATCTCCCTTGAAGTTTTCGAATGCACTTGCGATCTTTCCTTCTTCGTTGTCCAGGCTGAGAAGCCAGAGAATCCTGCTGAGCAGTTTGCGGGATTTCGCACTCTTGTAGAGACCAGCAGCCTCTAGGTAGCAACTAACAGCATTACTCGCCAGCTCGTAGTCGGTTGGATCGGCCTTGAAGCGCTGGTCACTGTATTGTCCCCATTCCGACCAGGCCTTGGCGAGGCGAAGATCATAGTAAAGAGCAACTCCAAATGCCTCATTAGCCTCATTGACATGATCAAGCTTGGCGAGGAACATGCCCTTGAGGGTGTAAAACTCGGCCTTCTGTTGGGGGCCGAAGTAATTGAGGTTAGTGTTGTTGATCACATCCAACCCGCTGTTCAGCTCCTTCGGATTCTGGTAGTGGCATTTCGCTTGCTCCCGAAGTTTGAGGAAAGCCTCTTGGATTTCGATGTTCGGAAGGGTGTAGATACGGCTGAGTTGGTTGATGCAGACCTCTGGCATCTGGTGCTTTCGAGCTACATGGGCGAATCGGTTGATGATCCAAGCTGTCTCATGGTATCCACGATAGGCGTAGGAATTGCTGGCCACATTGTTCGTCTGAGGAGGCAAAAGACTGAGGTAGGTGCCGTTGATGAGCTGGAAGATGTGCTGACGCCAGGTGACGAGATCTTGCCATGTGTTAATGTCATCCCAGAGATTAGGTAGACGGTCTCTCCAGGTTCCAAGAAGGAGCTTGAGCTCGGCAGACTTGGTATCTAGGTTTCTTTCGTTTGTCTGAGCCAAGCTGCTACAGATGTGGCTGGCATCGTGCAGCTCAACCAGGAGTTGGAAATGCTGCAGGATGGGAATGTGAGCGTTGGTGATGCGCTTCGGCAATTGAAGCCACTTGCGAATAGAGAGCTGGATAGACTCATCGCAAACACTATTGAAGTCCTGGATATTGTCCTTCTTGGTATGGTATTGGAGAAGGGCCATGAAGGCTTGGAAGAAGGTGCGCCGGGGGGTCGGAGCATCAGATACAGACTTGATCAATGACTCAAGCTGCTCGCGGTTACCTTCACTCTGCCAGTTCTCTATGTTCCTCCAAGCAGCCTCTAGCAAAAGATCGTTGAGGTTCTCATGCTTGGCGAAATCGCTCAGAATCTCCCATTGCTGAAGCTTTTGGGCACAGATCAGCCAGTGATCCTCCCACACGAAGTATTCACCCTGGGAGAAGGGCATGGCACCAGAACGGGCCTTGATTTGGGCGTTCTCGTAGAGTTGCTGAGCCTTGTCCCACATCCCTTGTTGCTCGTACGAAAGCGCAGCATTGGTTTCAACAAACTTGCAACGACGGCGCCAAGTTCCGTAAAAGAAGTCGTCCTCTTGAAGGCCTGCGTAAACCTCGACAAGGGCATCAAGGTTGCTCTCGCGCACAGTAGGCGTGTCAATGATCGGAGTAATGGCGCTTTGTTCAAGATAGATAGCAGCAGTATACCATGCATCGTAGGTGCGGCTGAGATACTTGATAACATGTGGAGGAATCTTGAACCGTGGACTGGCACGCACAGTGCCCTCCAAGAGGGCTTGCACAACGTTGGGTCGCTTATCCAGTTGTCTGTGGTGGTACTCACGAGTGAGCAATGTGACCATGTCCTTCTCTAGGTCAAGGCAGTCTTTGTTGGACAGTGTGGACCAGAAGAGAGGGAAGATGGTAGTCCACAGCTGGTAGGCAACATTCGAATCGGTGTGTTGAAGCTGACATAGAGGCTCGATCAGATCCCGAACCCTGACGTCTCCGATATCCGACATAAACCGCCTCCGTTCTGCAACGAAAGTCTCCAGCTGGTTGTCAACCATGATGTCGGCCTTCCTGGGATCTTTCTCGCCGCTGCCAAAGAGGAACGACACCGGGTACAGGGTGAAGTCATCTGGGTGCAAGCGGGCTGCAGTTGTCATGTCAACACATCCAAGGACTAAGTGTGATGCTTGGGCCAACCAGAAGGAGTCAGCAAGGGTATCCCAGTTCTGGCATGTGAGAACATAGCTGAGACGCGAGCTCGCAAGGCGAGTTAAACTCTTATCAAAAATCTGCATAAAGCGGTTCCGCATTTCGACGTCTTGGGCTCTTGTGCCAATCAGGAAAGCATGCTCCAGACGGACTGTCAATTCAGTCCGAGTAATTTTTGAATCTTCGTAAATTCGAATCACAAGATCAAGGAACTTCTTCAACATTGTTTGATCGGGTCGAGATTCAAAAAGCAGCATCTTGTGTAGAACAGCCGTCTTTTCCTTCAAGGTGGGCCATGACTCAGTGGAATGGAAGATCCATGATTCCGCCATGCCCAAAATCTTACTGCAAAGTTCGTTGTTTTGGGAGCGCTCCACAATCTGTGCGAGAACACTTAAGAATGGACGACGTTGATCTCCAAGATGAGACATTCTCACGGAGATAAGATCAATAGTCTTGAGGATGAGATCAACTCCAATCTCAAACTCTTGTTGATCGATAATTGGAGCTCCTTCGGCGGGCTTGGTACCGTTCGTCAGCTGGGCCCCGGATTGGGTTGAAGCAGCAACATGTTCCTTGGCGAGCTTTGTAGAGAAAGCCTTCATCACTGCGGGGATATGTGCATCAATCTCGGCGGGCTTGATCTTGGAGAGAGTCCACAGAATATTCAGGCTGGAGACGTAGTTGTTGGCAGAAAGTGTCTCGGTAGCGATGGCAGACAAATATGAGCCGAACTCCGAAGGCGTTCCCTCCGTGTCCATCGCATCCTCGTCATCAGGCTGTTCATCTGGAATGGCCTCGAGAACACGGCGAACAGGAGGCGGCAACTTGTGCAAAACATCCATGTTGTCTTCCAGTCCATGTAGACAATCCTGGATCTCTGGGTTGTCTGACTTCAGCGGCTTCTCAAGAAGCTTCTGGATGGTGGGAAGACGAGCGGCAATCCACTCATTCGGTTTGACGGCGATAAGAACCCTCACAACCTGCAGTGTGTTGACCATGTAGGTGATTTTATCCTCGACTTTATCACCCTTGTCACCCACTAGAATTGGCTCGGTCACCTTTTGGTAGAGATCAATGTCTAGATCCCCCCCAATACTCGGGAGAGAGGAGGCTGCGAAGCAAGTTAATAGCCTTGTTGATCATTTCTCCAGTGGCCACAGGGTTTTGTTGCTTTGTTGTGGGCAATTGACGAATATGCGCAGCTGGAACCTGGAAGCGTTCGGGGATGGTGGTGATGAAGGTGATGAGGTACTTGATCAACGACGCACGCAAATCGGTAGGTACAGTGTAGTCCGATCGTTCGCGGCTACTGGGAGGGCCAAGAGCAGGGGACGGCGAGGGCTCTTGAGCTTCGTCCAGCTTGCGTTTCCTGGCAACTGGAGACTCGGATGTCCCATTGGCCAAGTGGCTGGCTTCGGCATTATGAGCCCGCTTTTCCTCCCAGTGCCAAATCAAGCCAATCAAGTTCAGTGCGAGCTTCTTGCTGTCGTTGGAGGTGTTTGGTGGGCCCGTAATCTTGACTAGGGATGGGACAATCAGAGGCACAAAGTGTTCCCTTGATTCGTAGAAGAGGTCAGGCTGCCGAACCAAGAACTGGAAGATACTCATGACCTGCTGGAGGTTGGCAGTTTCCTCGGCCAGAATGCGACGGGGCCATTTAGCCCACAAGGGATACCGTGCCTCTGCTCCAGAGCTGTTGGCAGTTCGTGTGGGGAGGACAGGAGCCAGGACATCAAGAGCCTGCGTGACAAGGGCTCTGCCTTCATTCTGGTGGGCCCTGAGCAATGCGACATAGACTTGGATCACAATCTTGAATGGGGTCTCGTAGTGTGCAATGAAGTAACTGATCAAAACGTAGGCACCATACTTGTTGATGATATCTTCGAGTCGGATGTAGTTCCAAGCAAACTTGATGATGTCTTTGCGGGAATCCTGCACTGTTTGTGAATGATACTTGATCAACAAGGCAGATAGCTGTAGCAACTCCATGCGAGAGTGGTCTACGCCAGCTTGGTTAGACTCCTCACTCAGATCAGCTAGCTGTGGCTTCCACAAACGACTCTGGATAGACTCGGTCATGCTCTTATCCATCAACTTGGGCGTATTTGGAGGGTTATTCCACGTGACCTGGACGTCCATAGCAAAGATGGGGTTGACAAGGTGGCGGAAAGCGTAAGTCTTGGTCTTCTGTGGGCAGCTCTTCTGGCCATAGAGGTCGAGACAGCGCATGATAACAGAGCGCCGGTAATCAATGGACTCATTGGAGATGATGCTCTTGTAGATGAATTTAGGAAGTGCAAGAGTGCGTTTCAATTCATCAGCAGAGAGTCCGTCGATAACTTCAAACAGGAAGTCCAAGTCATGCGTGGCCTCCGTCAAGTACATTGTAAAGATGTCCATCAGTTGGTCTTCGGCTTGCTCCACTCGTAGTCGCTCATCAGCTGGCAAACTATCACCTCGGAGCTTCTTCTCCAGGTCTCTGCCGGAAGTCAAGAGCTTATTTCTCATATCTGCGTGCGAGACCAACCAGCGCTTGGTTGAGCTGTAAGAACAGAGGGAGTGTGCGACATAGACTCCATTGATAGCGGCAGTGTTCTTGCCATCGGCAGCTTCCTGACCAAAGGCAGCAGCGGAAAAGCTATCCGTGTCAGCAACGATGGCGCTCCGTAGCCCTTCACTCTCGGGGTCAGCCAGGATCTGTCCGAAGAATCGACCAAATCGCTCATCGTTGAAGCGCGCAAAGAAAAATGCGAGACTCTCTTTGGGGTAGCGATTGAGATACTTCACGAGTGGCTTTCGGAATGGACTATGTGAAGTTCTTCGAAGCTTCAGTTCGAGGTCCAAGACCTTGTTGACAAGGTGCTCCATGAAAGATGTGGCGGCCGGGGGAAGGAGGTGGAAAATATTGAAGATCGCAGCAACGATTTTCATGGCCGGGTTTTGCTCAACGAGGCTGAAAGACACTTTCTGCAGTACGGCATCATCTGCGATGACTTTCATATGATCAAGCAGGCGAGCACCGATCTCCACTTTGAAGTAGTTGGTTAGCAATGTCAAAAGACGAGCAAGGCCATCCAGGCCAGCAACACTAAGGCGCTTAGGATCCTGGAGGTTCATGAGAATAGGGCGCAGTCCATTCTGCAACAGATCTTTAGGCAGCTTGTTGGTTTGGGTGAGCACGTCACGTAGACCCGCATTCGCTGCTTCGATTACCTCCTGGGACTTTGAGTAAAGTGACTTGAAAAACACAGAGATTATGCGAGCCCTGCTTGTGTTCTGTGGCGTGTTGGCAAACTCGGAGAAGCTCATTGCCATGGATAAGAGGCGAAGACAAGCAACACGGAGGTTCACAATCATATCTGCAGTCTTGAACTCGTTCGGCTTAGACGCTAGGGATTCATCATCAGCGTCAGCGAGCGCGAGGGATTCCAGCATCAAACGGTTGAGCGGTTCATTAAAGGTGACGATGTCATTGTGAAGACCGAGGCAGTACGTGATGGCATCGATGAAACCGATCTGCGTTGGGAAAGGTAGAGCACGCAAAGGCTTGTTGAAGATCGACTGCAAGAGACGATCCCGGACTGGAAGAATAAGCTCGTGTACCTCACAGCCAAGAACATCCTTCAATGTGGTGAAGCAGCGACGGGCAGTCTCCCGGACGTGTTTATTCATGTGCGCGAGCTCAAAGACGAAGAAGCCACACAGTGCATACAGACGGCTCTTCTCGTTCTTCAAATCCTCTTTGGGGATGAGCTTGCCGCATCGTCGCAGCATTAACGTCATTGTCTCTTGTGATTGCAGCCGCGTTGCGGCAGGGAGATCCGCAGGCGTGTCCTTGATTACATACATCAAAGCCCGACAGAACTCAACATGTCGTTCATACAGCCACGTATCTCCCAAGTCCAGCTTGGTTGCGAGCAAGTTGATTCCCAGGCTGCCACCGGCCTTGGTAAACCACTCTTCACTGTAGCAGCTGTGGCAGAAGACACGGCCCAGATGCACAAAGAACGGGAGCTTGGCTGCTTTTTCGGGTGAGCCGAAGATGACGCCCGCGGCATCCTTTACAACCATCATTGCCCGCTCAGCTGCTTCACGGACGTGAACCTCATCAGATGACAAACACTCCACTAAAGCCTCGGCGAGGATCCTAGAATCGAGGTACACGGGACCTTCCCCGTTTGCAACGTCAAAGGGTTTGCGGCCGTGTCGGACTTGGGCCAGGGCACGACCGACCTCTACAAGAGCAAAGTGTTTGCAAACATCCGCCACAAAGGCTGTGGCAGTTTGTTCGAGCTCAGGAATAGTGGTGGCAAAGATACAAGCCTTGATCAACTTCTTCACCGTTGCTTCCTGTGCAATCTTCTTCGGAATAGAAGCCGACCTTTCGGACTTCTCAAGAATATCTGCCATAGCACCCGGCTTATTTTCAAAGAGATCATTCGCGTGGAGTCTGATCAGGATTGCCAAGTCTTCGGGGGTGTTGTCGTAGCCAATTTGGAGCTTGAGGTGCGAGCTGAGCATGCGGTAGGCTTGTTGCTTGTAGTAGATATCCGAAGCTTTCCCTGAGTCCGTCTTCGGAACCTCCAACAGTTTGCCAGCAGCGAGATCGATGCCAATGTCTACAGGGAAAGGCCGTTTCTCATTCGGACCGATCAACCTGATGTCGAAGCTAGGATTGTCATCGGAAAACTGCTTGAATGACAATTCTGGCGGGTGGTTGAGGAACTTCCGATTCCGTCCGCCAAGTTTTCCTAAGATGCGCATAGTAGTGTGTGCGTGAAAGTGGTTGTAAGGAGATGGGCGCAGGTGATCCCAAAGAGCAGTCATCAGCTCGTCCATTATCGGACCCATGATTGGATCTAGGTAGTCGGCTGTTAGGTTGTCCACGCAGAGTTCAAGGGTGCGCAAACCCTGACCGACAAGATCAGAGTCTGCACGCAAAGCGACCACAATTGGGCGCATAAGATAGCTAAGATGAGGCAGAAGGTGGCTCAGCCGGGCAGGAACGGTAAGTGTCAGTTCCACATAGAGGTCTCGTTCTTGCGGCTTGCGAGCTGCAAGCAATAAGTTATTGAACGTTTCGAGAAGCATCTCTAGTAGCGGAAGGATTTCTTTGTACAGTAGCTCGAACCGTCCCCCACCAATACTTCTGAAAAGAGACCTTAGGAGGAGGAAATAGTTCATAGGCTCCTCGGCTGTGACTGAAAGTTCGATACACTTGGTTACAATCTTCGTCACATGCGGGTGGAGGACCTGCTCGTTTTGGACGGAGAACAAAGTCACAGCCATGAACGAAAGTTTAAACATCCTCAGGAGTATCTTTGCCTTCGTCATGTCCGAGGTCCCGACCTCATCAATTCGTTCCATAAGATACTGCAAGACCATACCAGAGAATGCGGGAGAAGTGGCCTCGCTAGCCAGGAAGAACTGGGGCAGGTGAAGGAGAGCTCCATGTTCAAACATGAGCTCGTGTAGGTATGGGATTTCGGAATGGAAGACTTCGTGGAAGGTTGCGGTATCAATGCAGTGGAAAACAGTACCGAAACTTTCCAAAAGCTCCTTTTCTTCGCGCGACATTGGGGCAGTGTATTGGCTTGCAAGGAAGTCGAATGGGGACGCGTAGTTCATCTCTGGAGGGGTCTGATCCACCCCATAGTAGCGGAACACACGAGCTCCCTCGTGGAAGAGCTTCTTGATCACACTAACTTCCTCTGCATTGTAACCATATGAAACTTCCGACCAGTTGATAGGGACGCTATTCGGGTCGATTTGAATATCATCTGGGTTGCAATTCTTCAGTTGCCGGAAAATATTCTTTAACCCATTGATCAAGTTTCGGAAGAGGAAGATGTTGTCCGAAACGGGGTCGCCCCCTCGATCACGCGGACTAGATGTCTTGATGGGAGACGCCGAGAAGATATCAATTTCATCCCAGTCCGGTGGCTGGTCCTTCTCAGCAAGGTAGTTCTCGGCGCATGGCTCAGTATCCTGTCGGAATACTTTGTACGCCCTGGAAACCTTGACAGCGTTCGTGAATTGGTGATTCATCGATGCGAACTTGTCACCGATAGCATCTAAAATCATGATTAAGAAATATCGTGCCTCACGCTTGTCTTCCAATTTGGAAATATTCTCTGCCATGTTCAAGAGAAGCTTTGCGCTCATTGTCTGGAAGCTGGTGCCAGGGAAATCGTCATGGAGGTTTTTTGTGTAAACTTCGACCGTTCGCCGTATTTGGTCGCGACTCAGGTGGTCACGAACGTGGTGTATTAAATCAGCCAACATGCTGTAAGCCAATGGCCTCATGGTTTCGTAGACAGTGAGGCCATCTCCAATGAGAGTCCGCTCATCTAAAAGCTCATCAATCTTCTCAAGAAAGATCTTGCGATAGTTGAAATTGATGATGTGACGAATAGCTACCAGCAACTCCTTCCTTGCACCGGACTTCTCTCGTGGACAATCTTGGAGGAGACGTACGACGACAGAAGGAAGAGTAGGAAGAAAGTCCTGCAGCTGATGGGCATAGAGACGCAGCAGATACGCCAAGAAGCTCATTGTTTTCACCTGAGCTGTGATGAACTCGCCAAATGCAGCGCGATTCTTGATTTCTTTGCAGACACCAGTAAATATTGTGGCTTGGGCTGCTGCTTCTGCGTGTGCCTTTTCCTGCGGCTTCGCCTGAAGCAACAAAATCGTTTTGATGAGCGGAACGAACAGCTTAACGTTAGCCGGCACCGATGCGCGGTGCGTTTGGAAGATAGAAACAACGATGATCGGACACTCTGCGAGGACCTTGAACGACTGCATACCCTTGAGGAGAACATTACTCGATTGCTGATCGGGCCCTAGGTCTGACACTGAGGTGGCAGGTGAACTCGGCCGGGGGGACTGGAAAGTTTGTGCTGTTGCGTTGGGCGTCGATGGCATTCCGGAGGGCGTGGCCAGGTTGGGGGTGTCGAAAGTTTCCTGGACCACTTGCTCCATTGTCTGGAACATTTCCTGGATAAGCTCCAAGAAAGGCTGCACTCGGTGTGCAGTGGCCTTAGCCTGGTTCCTCTCCAAATCCATGATGGTCTTCATGCATAGCACCGCGTTATCTTCGTTCTCGATCCGCGCAAGTTCCATCAAAAGATCGACCATATCGACGGCATACGGCTCCACGTCAGGAGAGCCCATCGGCAGTCGGTGGAGTGTCTCGAGGATGCAGTTTCGTAATTTCTAATGAATAATCAGAGTGGTTAGCTCAATATGCACAACATTCATCGACAGCAAGCTTGTGCCAAAGAATCTCACTTGGTCTTGAGACATGCTTAAGAAGACCGGGTCTCCCTTCAGAATATTTTTGAATACTGGCCATAGCTTCGACAGAAATATAGGATAGCTTGCGCCCGAGCATAGCGGCTCGATGTTGTCTCGTAATTCGGTAGCGACATTGGCTCGTACTTTGATGTCTATTGAGATGACAGATTCGTTAGCACGGAAATTGAATAAAAATTTTAGCTGGCGCAAAGCTCTTCAACATACCCAGCTTCTCTTCGCCGAGCTTGCTGGCGTAGATATCTATGTTTCGCTCCATCGCTTTGATCTGACCCTTCTCAAGGGCTGGCGATTAAATGAAAAGAAACAGCGATTACGGCCGGGCCGAGAGGCCGGCTGAGGAAAGCGTAGTGTGCGCAGTCTTCCCGGGGGGGAATTGAGCTCTCATATGTTGTGTTGCGGTGTCACGGAAGCTGTGTGGACTCGGTCGATATGCGAAAAGATCGGAGACGACAGAACTTAAACGAAGGAAATCATCAAGTCATTGGTTCTTCAAGGAAAACAAACTGCCTATTCCATTTAGATAAATCAAGTCCAGACTGCAAATGAGTGTATCGAATTACCCCGCAGGGGAGGAGAGGTTGAGGGAGATGAGGAGAAAGTTGGGGATTGTATGCGGCCGCGATATTCACGAGAGCAGAACAGAGGACGCGGGCTATCGCAGAGACCCCGAAAGAAACACTAGTCTGCATTAGGAAATTATCTCGGGGCTGGTTGTTCCGCTCCGAGCCCCTTCAAGGTACGGCCCTGAACTATAGAGCTTCAACTATTGGAGTGGAATATGTGCATATGTCGGCATAAGACCTGGGACTCGTAAAAGCTACTGTGTACTTGACTACTCAGTTGTCTTTCCCAAATTTGTGATAATAGAAAAGCATAGTTCACTTTTGATCGAGCAAAATTGTGAGATCGCATACAGTTTTTACTCAAAATATATATCCAAGATATTATCTGTTTGATACGAAGGGGCTCCCCCGACCACGATGGCGCATTTTAATTCAGACAAAGCCATCGCTATAACCTTGAAGGTCCTTTACATGTAAACCCAGAAATGGGTGACCATTGTTGACCTAACGAAGTATACAATAGTCTGTCAGAACATCTTACCTACCTAGGTATCATATCTCCGAATGACCGGTAACAGTGTTGATTGCTTTCCTTCTATTCTCACTTTCCACAGAGTATACGTAGGCAAGTATTGCTCGAAGTGTGTCTTACATAGTATTCAGTATTGGTGGACGTTTCGTCTCGTAATCCACTTAATTCCCGGGGCCGATTAGCCCCGCATTCAGGCGTCTCTGATGATTGTGCCAACTTGGACGAGATTCCTTCAACATTTCAGTGGCTTTGTTCAATATGGATCCCCTGTCTATTATCTCAGCGATAGAGCTCTGCTTTAAGTAAGTTATAGATCACAATCGACTGCTCAAACTAATCATATGGAAGATATGGCACATATTTGGTTCAAATATGCACTGACTTTGCAAATGCCAAAGGGGAGTATGCAGAGAAATTTCTCCGTGTGGAAACTTACTGGATGAGAACGGAGCTTCAGCTGAAGGTGGTGCAGAGTATTGCTTCCGAGCTCAGTGAAAAGCATCGAAGGATCCAACATCAGACGATTGCAATGCTAGCCACCAAGTTGGAGATTGCTGTCAACAATCTTCAATCCATCGTCAAGCGTCATCCTGTCGGGGAACAAGAACTGGGTGTACGTCGGTGGAAGTATGTGATCACGAAGGAAAAGATCGATAGCACCATCGAGGATCTCAAAGAATGGCAGTCACTTTTTGATCCATCGTGGTATTTGATTATGAAGCTCGCAGACAAGCAAGTCGATTCCGACCTGAGCACAAATCGAAAATCTTCTGCCATAGATTTTAAAGACCCGATAGCTCCTGCGCAGTCCCTTAGAAGGGCTCTGGATCCGACAAATGCGAAAACTCCACCTGTTCGCCTGTCAGCGGACTTTCTGATTTCTATTAATCCACAAAAAATCCCATTTTGCACAGCGGAGGCAGGCCGGAGACCAGAGAATGGCCAATCCCTAATCGTGGAACGAGTGGTACCTTTGCCAGGGGCTAATGTCGGGGATATTGGCAAAGGTATACGAGATCTCGCCAGACGGCTGTCTGGGTCTGATGCCATGGAATTTGGTCTCCTTAGCTGCAAAGGATATATCCAACACCGCAACTCCGAGTCCTCTCGATCTACGCCCAATGCATTCACCATCATCTTCCGAATGCCCGCACAGCAGGTTCAACCTCGCTCCCTCCGAGGTTGTTTCCAGGATATAAACCACACCCACTCACTCTCCGACCGATTCAGATTGGCGAACGAGCTTGCGAAAGCAGTGCATTCTGTTCATTTGTTTGGGTTTGTCCACAAAAACGTACGACCAGAGACCATCTTACTTTTGAAAAGTGATGAATCGTCGATTGGATCCGCCTTCCTGATTGGATTTGACAGCTTCCGCATGGCCTCTGGTAAAACTTTGCGCAAAGGCGAGGCGTCATGGGAACGCAGCCTTTACCAACATCCGGACCGCATAGGAACGGTTTCCACCCAGGATTATGTCATGCAACACGATATTTATAGTCTTGGGGTATGCTTGTTGGAGCTGGGCTTGTGGGAGTCTTTCGTGTCATACGATGATTCAATTCTGGACAGCAATGGAAATGCTCCGACACCTACTCGTGGCTCTATTCTGGGAATGGACCAAGGGCTATATTTCCAAAAGCATCTTCTCTTCTTGGCACAGGGTGAACTACGGAAGCGAATGGGGACCAAATATTCCGATGTTGTTGTCACTTGTTTGACATGTTTGGACCCTGAAAATGTCGACTTTGGAGAGGAGGCCGATTTTGAAGATGATGATGGCATTGAAGTGGGTGTGAGGTACATTGAGAAGGTATGTTGCTTCAACTTAAAGCTGAGGGAAAATTGACCTCTAACACATTACCGGGAAAGGTGACGATGAAACTGAATAGCCTGTGCGTCTGATCCAATCGTCACAACCTTGATAGAGCGTAGGGGCAGAAAATAACAAAATGAACAAAAATGAATGTGTTCGAGGTATAGAAGCCAAAACGGGAACGCGTGCAAGCTGGGATGAAAGACAATTTTTGTTCTCGATTCCATTGGACCAGCCCACTAGGTAGTCATTGACCAAGTCATCTCCTGTGACCAATCTCCTGATTCTACCGATACTATCGCTCTTGGAAGAGCATGCCAACAAATTTCCATCAGAGGAAAATGCCACATACTGCTCATCGCGCATGGCATAGCGATATTCGCCAGTTTCAGCCACACGCTTCCATACGCACCCTTTCCGACTATCCTTTCTCGCTTCCAATGCTCTATCCTGCTGACAGGCCGACGCCTTGATCTCACTTCCGGTCCATGATATGTATGAACGGTTTCGACAGTGCAATCGGGTAGGTAATGTGTTTCCAGCTTGGAATCCCGAACCAAATCTGGGATGTTGGCTATCTAGACGGGGTGATATAGAAGCAGAGACTCGAGGTCCAGCGGGGTAATCAGACCCCATCAGATGTATCATAGGAGCAGAATCAAATGGCCAATGGTTTGTGGCCAAAGTGATAGGGAAGGTGATACGTTGCTACGAGTGTCAGGCGGAGATAGCAATGGCTCCAAGGGAGCCGTTCGGGAGTAAATTTAAGGTTAAAATAGATAAGATCACCTCTGGAGTACTGTGTAATTCGTATATTTGAAATAGTAATTTGATTATGCACTAGAATATGCATAGTAGGCATATCAAATCAGTCAGGGTTATGGGGACAAATGGTGAATCAGAGCTCCGAATATCCTTATTAGCTTGTGAGCCTATGACTTACGAGGCAAGACACAGCACATGGTGAAAGTAAATAATGCGTACTTTACAGAGTACTCTGTATATTTTGATCTGCGTTCTGCAACACCCAAGGTGGCCCCAGGTCATATTGAAGCAACCTGGGTAGCCCGCAAGCTTGGCGTGCTCAACTCACTAGCGCAGATCACCCTTGTGTGATGTTTTTGTCGTACGAAGGACTACTTAGCCACCCCCTTACAACCCGGATGCATCAATATGGCAACCTAAGCCATTCAAGTCCATTGTGTGGCCAATCAGGATTTCAAATTAAAGAATGCATGGCAATTGCGGGATCTTGTTAATAACTTGGCTGAGCTGAAGCCGCACATATGATCCCCTGCAGGACAATGTTTGGGTCTCCCCTTTTCTCTGCCCGGAATGCCAAACACGGAAGTGAATGTTGAAAAGAAGCATGTCCCCATCATCTAACATGTTGTCAAGCTCCCATTCAATTTCACCAGACCTACATCAATGGAGAAGATATCAAGTGACCCTCCACAGCAGGAACTCCTGAATGATGCACCCGATGAAGGGGGATCGCCATCTCCACCCCCAGTCAGCGCCTGGAAGGTGGCCTGCCTCACTATTGCCCTCTGTTTAGGTATCTTTTGCATGTCGTTGGTAAGTGAAATGCCGTATAGAGCGCATAGCCGTCAAAATAACGGTCCAACCAGGCTGACTTTTCCAGGATGTCACAATCATCACAACCGCGATTCCTCGCATCACCGATCAGTTTGACTCCCTAGACGACGTGGGTTGGTACGGTAGTTCTTTTCTTCTTACCACGTGCGCCACGACTCTCGCCTTTGGTAAATTGTATACATTTTACTCCACAAAATGGGTATATCTATCCGCCCTCTTTCTATTCGAAGTCGGTTCAGTTGTCTGTGGAGCTACCCCTACCTCAGTTGGTCTGATCGTGGGTCGATGCATCGCTGGCGTGGGCGCTGGGGGTATCTTCTCCGGTAGTCTTCTGATGATCGCTCAAACTGTTCCTCTGCATCGTCGCCCAATCTTCACGGCCTTACTTGGTACTATGTACGGGATTGCTAGTGTCGCTGGTCCCCCGTAAGCTGAAATCGTTTCTTCCTCTTGTTTTTCCTGTCTTCTAACCGCATCAGATTGGGAGGCGCCTTGACAGATCGAGTCTCTTGGCGCTGGTGCTTTTATATCAACTTGCCTATCGGTGCTGTCACCACGATCTTCGTCCTGTTTTTCTTCCATGCCCCTGCTTCAGTAAAAAGGCGCCCTGGCTTCCGCAAAATGCTGGGAGAGCTAGATCCTCTCGGCACCTTTTTCTTTCTACCTGCCATCGTTTGTCTTCTTCTGGCCCTCCAATGGGGAGGCACCCAGTACGCTTGGAATAACCCTCGAATCATTGCCCTTTTCGTGGTCGCTGGTGTTCTCATAATCGCCTTTGTGGGCGTTCAGATTTGGCAGAATGAGAAGGCCACACTCCCACCGCGTATCGTCTGCAATCGAAATATCTGGTCGGCAGCCTGGTATGCCTTTACGCTTAACGCTACTTACTTTGTCTTCTCTTACTACGTATGTTGAGCCCGACGCAGTTTCGTGTTCGCCAAAGCTGACTTTTTAGCTTCCTATCTGGTTCCAGTCAATCAAAGGGGCCACGGCCACTAAATCGGGTATAATGAACTTGCCGAGTATTATCTCAGTCGTCATCGTCTCCGTTCTGTCCGGTACTCTCGTCACCGTATTCGGTTATTATAACCCCATCATGATCTTGGCCTCTATCATTTTGTCAGTTGCGGCCGGTCTGCTCACTACCTTGAAGGTAGACTCGGGGGCCGGCGAATGGATCGGCTACCAGATTTTGATGGGAATTGGCGTTGGTTTGGGAATGCAACAACCGTTCATACTGGTGCAAAATGTGTTAGCTGATGAAGACGTTCCTACCGGGACAGCCGTGGCAACATTTGCCCAGACCCTGGGAGGTGCGATCTTTATTTCCGTGGGTCAAAATGTCTTCCAGAACCAACTCAAGAAAGCCATACACATTGAAGACCCCTTGGTGGATATTGCCAAAGTTCTGGCGGCTGGTACAACGACATTGCGCCAGAAGCTTCCAGTTGAGCAGCTGCCAGCCGTTCTGAGATCTTACAATACCGCCATCACCCAAGCCTTCTACGTGAGTGTGGCTTTGGCAGTGCTGTCCATCTTCGGCACAATCGCGTTGGAATGGAAGTCTGTGAAGAAGCCAAGAGACACCACAACTGCACCCGCCGCTGATGAGGCGAGTTGAGTCTGACTCTGATTTAGGTGTGTGTATAGCAGAGCTGAGCGATATAATTGGTGTCCCTTTCAGTGATCGATTGGTGTTGCTTTCAAATATCAATGTCCGGGTCACATATGTCGGATCTAGGGCAACGCTCCATCGCTTCCCTTTTCCGTTCTCGGTCTTTCATCTTTCAAACTTCAATGATATAATATAATGTATTTATTCGCGATATTATGCATCAGCTATCAGCATACCCCAGCACCCCATATGGGCTATTGTATGCACTTCAGCTCCACTTCACTCGGAAATTCCCGACGTATGCACACTGCCACACCCTTTCATACATTTCGCTTCAGCACTAGTCGCTCGACTTCATCCAGTCCCGTCAACTTCCTGACAGAGCTATCAAATGTACCGAATGGTAGCATACTCCCAATCCGCACCAGCCAAGCTTGGGTGCCCCTCCAAATAGTCGGAGCGCTGCTGTTTAGGAGGTCCGTCACGACAAGCTTTGCCCATTGGTCAGATGGCATACCAGAACCTTCGAAGATGGTTCCCCGAATGGTGCGCTCTACCACTCCCTTTGCGCTTTCATAGATTGAACCAGCTGGTAAGGAAACGGTGTCCTCCTTTCGTTGATTCTTTTGAAAATTCGACAGGACATTGCCTGTTTTGAGGTCCACGACCCTGATACCAAACATCTTGACTTCTAGACGTTCTACATCTGAAAAGGCTGCCATTGCTGCCTTCGAGGCATTGTATGCAGACTGGAAAGGCACTGGACATAAGGAGGCAGCTGACGTGTTGTTGACAATCATTCCCTTTGATTTCAGCAGCAACGGTAGGAACGCTTGGGTGACTGCCAAGGGCGACCAGACATTTAACTCGAAGATTTTCTTGGCCTCTGGAATTGAAAGGTCGGACACTGGCATACCGTAACCACCACCAGCATTGTTGACTAGGATATCTAGTTCCGGTACATTGTTCAGACACTCTGCAATTGAACTATCCGACTGTACGTCTAAGCAAAGTGTCGTAATGCCTTGCGCTGTCATCTCGGTCATTTTCGAAGGGTTTCGTGCTGTAGCGTATACTTGCAGCCCAGCTTCATGGAAGGCGATCGCGAGAGCGGCCCCTAGACCGCCATCCGAGCAACCGGTTATAAGGACTTTTCGGGCAGGCGACATGACTCAATTTATCGGAGGTTTCAATCGCCAGACAAATATTGACAATAGAATGCAGAGATTATCAAATACCATCAATGCAAAACAAAAGTGAAGAACGATTTATACTTGGGGTGTCGTGACGTCAATCGAGCTGGGTACTCCGTAGATGATGTGTAGACAATCGACCTCACGGAAGAGCAACTGGATGCTTGAACTCTTTCAAACACAATCTACACTGTAAATAAGTCTATCGTCAAATACAAAGATATTGGTTTGCACGAAAAACCATTGTCAATGGCCGTATTTGTTCAAGGTGAGGCTTGGCACGCCTTCAGTTGATCAACCGAGGAGACCGAAAAGCAACGTCCTAACAGAGAGAAGATGGGTGACATTATGAGAAGAACCCGAAGATCCTCATAAGGCGGCGGCGCCCGCGGAAATCGTGAGGGCCCATGACCCGGTCCATGGAGTCCCATATCCAAGACTCAAATCAGGACCATATCTTCGTGTGTTGGGATTAGGAGGTAATTAGGCCCTCCGTTGAGACCTCGGCGTGAAAGGTGTAGATAGGTACATCTTTAGTGCTAGTTGAATCATCACCTCATCCCTCCTAGCCATTTTGGTCCCGAATCCAGGTTCATCCACCGGGCTCATGTCGATAGACTGGTCCTCTATCCTTGTGAGCATGATTTGTCACAGGGGCCACGGTGGGCACCCTGGGCTGATGTGCCAGCGTAGGAAGTCGCTTTGCCTTGCCACGTCCACAAATAGTGTCCACAAATAGTGCCCACTAGCGGCCGTGAGGGAACATGGATTTTCCTTGGCAAGCCTTTGCCTTTTGAGTCAGGAGTTCCCCAAAGGGTAAAAGAGCAACCTGTGGTATTTCCACGGAGCCAGGAAATGGACTAACGGATGAAACCCTGTGGACTCAGAAATCCCTTGCATAATGTGACATGTCGATTTGTGCATTCCAACGTAAGACTTCGTACTCCGGACGTAGCACGAGGTCACGGAGGCTATTCAGCTGCACCGCATACCGAGCGGGGCTTTTATCACTGCATGAGATATGTCCTCTCGTTCTGCTGAACATCACAAGCATGAATAATTGACCTTGGTGTGAAATAGAGGGGCGGACCTTGCATTTGGGATGACTCTTGGACACCCAACGTCTCCAACTCACATCCTTTCGGAACAACCACGCATACCTCTATACCACGATGACAGTATCCTCAGTTGAGGCTCCCAAGGCCTCCGTGCCAGCAGTTACACAACCGGCAGACATGCCGCATCGTACGCTTAGCAGGTCGATGACATTTGCCAATCTTGACCAATACCAATACTGGCATGCGGTCGGTCCAATGCTGGGGAGGATGCTCTCCAATGGCAACTACAGCATTCATCAACAATATGAATATCTGTGCCTTTTCGCGCATGTCATAATCCCAAAATTGGGTCCATTCCCTGGTGGAAGGGACATCTACAAATGTCTGCTCGGAGGCACTGGCTCCGTGGAGCTCAGCCAGAATGTCCAGAAACTAGGCCTGACTGCACGGGTTGCGTTCGAGCCTACCAGCTACATCGCCAGCACGGGAGTCGACCCACTCAACCGACACACGGTACACGCTACCCTGGCAGAATTGAGGGCCATCGGGTCTGCCACTGTTGACATGGAGCTGCATCAAATGCTCGTCAATGAGCTGACGTTGACGGACCGCGAGGAAAAACTCATGTCGCCGGAGCAAATCTCGGGAACTGCGTGGAAGACGCAAATTCTGCTTGCTCTGGATCTGGGACAGACTGGGATCACAGTCAAGGAGTATCTTTACCCGGCACTCAAAGCTTCCGTGATAGGAAAGACCGTGGCGGAGTTGTGCTTTTCTGCTATTCGGAAAGTGGACACACAAGGAGTCTTCGAGGCTTCGACCCAGGCTATTGAGACGTATATGCAAACCCAAAGCCAGACAGACCTCTACTTTTTGTCATGCGATCTGGTCGATCCAGCGAGAACTCGAATCAAGCTGTACCTAATGGAGCTGGATATGAGAATGGAAAAAGTCGAGGAACATTGGACAATGGGAGGCAAGCTGATTGACGAAGAGACAGTCCTTGGGCTGAAAATGCTGCGAGAGCTGTGGGTAGAGTTTGGGATTATCGAAGGCATGCGAAATGAGCCAGAGCGCCCATCGTTGCCTGGAGATCCTGACACTATCGTTCCCTTCATCATGAATTATGAGATGAATCCCTGCGAGGCATTGCCAAAGCCCAAATTTTACTTCCCCTTGGTTGGAATTTCGGAGCTGAAAATTGCCAATGTGCTTACTGCATTCTTTGAACGCTATGATATGCCCGAGCAGGCAGCGGTGTATCGTGATAACCTGCAGACATACTAGTGAGTTACCTCTCTAGACATATTTACGAGGAATGCTTCTTGCTAACATGACTTGTGTGATATCAGCCCCAGCAAGGATTTGGCCGTCGCAACGGATCATCAGGCATGGATGTCCTTTTCATACACCAAGAAGAAAGGACCTTACCTTACGATGTACTATCACTAGTAGCTTGAAGCACATCTTTGGGGTTCTGATAGTGTTGTCCGAGAAGTATGAATGGGTTATTAGTTTGTTTCTATGTGATTTAGGGCCTCTCAGGTAACCATCATGAATGAAGCCACATGCCCCGGTAACGATCTATTGCTTCAGATAAATCTACATGTAATAATCACACAAATGTGAAAAGCTAGCTCTTTCTCTCTGAGTACTGAAGGCAACTAAGATAGGGCCCGGCGATTTCTTTGGCTTCTCTGTACTGATATTATAGTTGGCTCTCATATATCAGGATACTGTCTAGTAAGAGAATACAATCTGAAGATAGAAACACTGTGGGACAGTTATCGTCTCGCTGGTGGTGTAAGCCATTTCCGCTAAGATGACTTCTGACCAGTTGCAAAAACAGCAATCCACTTCTGCGGCACCATGCCACTCTCCCCATATGTCTCCTTCAAATGGCGCTCAAGAGCTGGCAGGATATCCTGCTCGTGCTTATCCCTTTGCTCCTGGTTCCACCATTTACTGACAATGATCGGAATAACCGGCTGTGAGATCTTGTACAAGTCCTCAATACTGGTCTCAAATTCCTTGGCGATTGTCGTGACTTGGACTTTCTGGAATCCTGCTTCCTCGAACCTAGATTGAACATAGTCCTCCGAGTCCCATCCTGGGTTCATGCAGGACATGAATTCCTTGGTTGTTGGGAATGGTAGATCAGCGGGGATCGTGGCGACAGCGGCCTCAACAATGGCAAGCCATTCAGCTATGATATGTTAGAATTTGTATTGAAAATACAGTGCGCGAAACATACTTCGTTGCCAAGTCGAAATAGTAAGCGTTCCCCCTGGCTGAAGAATCCGCATGACCTCTGTTCATGTAAATGAGCTTTCCATTGAGCACATATTGCTTGTCAGTGAGCTAACCTTTCATTGCAGCATAGGTATCTGGGAAGGAGGTGAAAGCTACATAGCACGGGTTTGATATCAGTACTCTGGGGTCAACATTGAATTATTCTGATATTTTACATACCAAGGGCTGCCAACACGTGGGTATAATGTCCGGTGGGAAGCTCGGTGTTTTGCGCATCCACCACCTTGGCTGTTGAATTCTCCCATTTTCTCTCCAAGATCTTTCGCTTCACATGGCCGGTGAGCTCAGTTGAGATATCACCACAGGTCAGTTCCCAGTTCTCCTGTGACTGGGAATCCAGTGTGTCATGGAGGGCATCCGAGACAACGCCCGTTCCGCAGGCAAGGTCCAGGATCTTCAGAGGCCGCAGACTAGACTCATCGAGACCAGAGAGCTTTATCAGATCTTGGGCATAATAGCGGGTGATCTTCTCCGCGATCATATAGGTCTCTAGGATCCCCTCGCCGGCGTAGAGCTCTTTGAAGTTGGTGGCGCGAGTCATAATGGAATTATGTGCTGATTGATTTCCAAGTTTGATGCGTTTGGCAGAAATTGAGGAAATCAATGCACGGAAATTGTTTCTTGCGTTTTATAGGTAAGGCATCGGTGCAGTTTCCTAATAGGACATTTGAAACAAACTATATGTTTTGGTTCTACAGCATACGCACTTCGGATCTATACTACATCCATGCCAGAGTAGTCCATGCAATGCATTAGGTGCAAGAAGCAGGTTTGAGAACGTGCATATGGACGCTATTTAGGCCGATCGAAATTCTTTCTCGATTTAGACTAGGCCGTTATAGCACACTGCATAACTCTGCATTACATTCCATGAGTCACAAGATCATGCATCCCTCATTCCAAGTGCCCCATATGGCGTAAACATCCCCCCAAGGACAATCTTCACAGCTACTTGCATCGCCCTATCTTGGTGGCGTAGTCTAGCCCCGTAGATCATTTCATTCGGAGCACCACGAGCTCCATAGCTCGGGATATTTCCGTGTCGCTTATCGGGACCTACCCTGGCTTTGATATACCTTGTGTGCTCAACAAGTAGGCTCACTAAATCGACAAAGAACTAAGAAGCAAAAATGAGCATCGTTTCTGGGGTTCCAATCTCCTACTTTGGGACGGCATTCGCAATTTTGTTGCTCATCGCTGGAGTTACTTTGCTGTTTGTATTCCACGGAGGCCAGTCATTTACCACCGTAAACTCGCATTCGTGGGATCCTTTTCGAAGCAAAGCAAAGCGCGAGTTCGAATCAAATGCAGAAAGCCTAATCAAGAATGGACTACGAATGGTCGGTTAGACCCCAATGTCTTTTCAGCATGCATGGTGTTTACTAACCCCCACAGGGATCGTCGCCCTTCCATATGGTAACTAACATGGGCACCTATTTGGTCCTTCCGGACCGGTACGCCGAGGAATTGAGGAATGATGAAAGATTTAGTGCCTATGAGGCATTAAACGATGTAAGCTTGCTTGCCTCTTCGCCGAATTTTCATTGTGCATAGTTGCCTGATTTTGCGAACTGCAGGTAATTCTACTGGAACTTCTGGGGTTCGAGACTATGTTTCAGGGTTCATTGCATAATCATGTATCCGCTACTGCCATACATGCTATGAACAGGGAGCTAGGTAAGCAAATCGGTGCTTGACTATTTGCTTCATGCATGATTAATACCAGTGTCACAGTCCATTTGACTCGTCCGCTCTCGGAAGAAGCAGACCACTGCCTGCAAGGACAATGGACCGGAAGCTCAGGTATGTCTCAAGTATGCATCAACCGAAGCCGAGTGTGCTGTCTGATGCATTAACAGAATGGCATACTGTTTCAATTCACGAGACTGTTCTGGCACTGGTTGCTCAGATGACTACCCGGGCATTTGTCGGATCTGAGCTGTGTCGCAACGCAGAATGGCTCGATATTGCCATAAGCTTTACAATTAATCGTGCTATTGCCGTACAGGCAATCCAGGCTTGGCCATGGTTCCTGCAACCTGTTGTCCACTGGTTCTTACCCACCTGCAAGGCTGTTCGCCGCCAGATTCAGCGCGCTCGGGACATATTGATGCCAGTTCTAGAGCGCGAACGGCAGACTAAGCACAACAGAGACTCGTCCGTCGACCGGGTATTCTCCACGTTAACCTTTATTGATGATTATGCCCAAGGATCGCGTTATGATGCCACCATGGCCCAGCTAAGACTGACTGCTGTGTCGGTCTTGACCACCTCAGATATGGTGGAGAAAGTACTGGCAAGAATATGCGAATATCCCGAGCTGATCGAGCCACTTCGTGAGGAAGTAGTCTCGGCCTTTGAAAGTGGTGGCTTGCACCACAAGTCCCTACTAAAACTGACACTCATGGAGAGTGTGATGAAAGAAAGTCAACGGCTTGAACCTGCTACACTCAGTGCGTTATTCCTTTTGTTCCATTTTTGATTCTCGGTTTAAACTCTCGATCAATCTTACTGACGAATTGACCTTTCCAGTATCGATGTTCCGCGTGGCTAAAAGCACAGTCACTTTGCAAGATGGAACAACTATCCCTAAGGGCACCAGTCTTGCCTTTGCAAATGATCTTCGCCTAGATCCTCTGATGTATCCGAATCCCGAAACTTTCGACGCTTACCGATTCCAAAGAATGAGGAAAGTGCCGGAGCAGGCTAATCTTGCCCCATTCACCAAGACAAGGACTAGCCATTTGGCTTTCGGTCATGGGAAGCATGCTTGTCCAGGGCGATTCCTTTCGTGCGATGAAGCTAAATTGATCCTCTGCCATATTTTGCTAAAGTACGACTTCAAAGCAGTTGATGGACGGGTTCCGAATCTGAATATTCGTGGCATGTTTATCCAAAGGGATGCGGGAGGGATGCTCTCGGTGAGGAGGCGCCAGGAGGAAGTGATACTGTAATCAGCTGTATATATAACTCTGGAGATGTTCCTCTAATTATCAAAATTGCTTTCCGACAGCCTATGGCGGCAGAAGCTTTAGGAAAAGTGTCGTAACTCTACAAGTTCAAATCAATCGAATTGTTGAGAAGGGTTGTAACACGGCATATCAGTTTATGTCCAAATATATTGAGGTTTTTTTGATAGAAAATCACTATCTTTTACCGCGGTTGATTAAATTATGTTCAGTCAAATCTTTTTATTCACCACGCCTTGAGGTACAATGCCAATATCTTCAGCTCGAAATGTGTGCTTGAGCAGGAAGTAAGCTTCAGTTAAAGAGAAAAAGCCAGAGAAGTGGGCAAAAATCACATGAACAATTTCATCAGGTACGTTAAGCCGCCACAGGTCTCTTGTAATCGTGCACTACCTGATACTTGCTGTCCGATGGGATATTTCGCGGTCGATACCCTGTCATATCCTGAACCGCGCTCATTGCAGCCGGAAACTGCTCATAAACATCACATTGGACGTCGTAGCCAAAGATCCAGTCAGGACGTGGGAACTTCATCATAGATGGGTTCTTCTCGATAGCCTCCCAGTCCGGATCGCGCATCTGGCTATAAATTGCATTGCCACTCTCCTGAATAATGCTGGTACGCTGGTAACGAATCTTTTCCACGACCTGGAGAGCTTGTTTCACTCGGCCCTTACCACCCAACTCCAGACAAATAGCCAAAGTAGCCGCGTCCTCCACAGACTGACCACCTCCCTGCCCTGCAATTGCGGACATTGCATGTGCTGCATCGCCAATGACCATAATACGCCCTCCTCGAGAGCTCCAGGTGGGTAGGGGATCCCGAGAGATGATTTTGTAGTCCGCGAGCTTTTCACTGGGCGTGTGTCGCAGAACAGCAGCTACTCGCGAAAAAGCGGGCCAGTCCTTGAGTAGAGCTAGGGCATCTTCAACGCGGGCATCGGTGATGTTTTCCCAGGATTCGTCGGACTTCTCATGGTTCTAAAGACCCCAAATGCAAGTCAGTTGTCACTCACGCGCTCGAAGCAGTAAGAAGACGCACCCTGTGCCAAACCTGCCAAATAACATTCTGGCCGCGTTTACCAGTGGCCAACGTCAACCCCAGACCGCCCGTCGTTATGTACCTTCGCATCCGGTCCTGCACACCGGCCTCCTTCAGGATCCATTGAGCCTCTGGATCCCCCGCGAGCAAGCTGGCACTAAAGCATGCCCGAAACGCAGCCAGCCCAGAAGGCTGGGGAGCAATCTGATATCCGAGCACATAGTCCCGTGTCTTGCTGTGCACTCCGTCGGCCCCGATGACACAGTCAGCTGCGATTCGTTGCTCACCATTGACAGTCACTCCAGCTCCACCCTCATCCTCCCAGTACTCGGTGACAGCTGAGCCAAAACGTAAATCGATACCCAAGGACTTGGCATGTTCGTATAGTCCATGGACCAATGTGCCGCGGTGGATGATCATGCCCTCACCCACGCCATACCCATCCATGGAATCTAAGGCGTACAGCTTTCCCGCGGGGTCCAAAATCTCCATGGCTGCCACATCGTCGGATTGGGATACGAGGTGACGCAGCACCTCACCCTTGTCCCAATTCTGTAGAACCTTTGTCGCATTGCTTCCCAGAGCGATACTATCTCCTGTTCAAATTAATCCATGGCCGATGGGAATTCAACAGGATCTATTAGAGCTTACCGAGCACTCTAATCTCAGGGCTTCTTTCAAGACCAACTACCACATGTCCCTTGTAATGACACTCGATGGCAGCGACCAAACCAGCAATCCCGAGCCCGATAATAATGACTTCAATTCCACTGGAACGAGGTGTTGCGACTCCATTGGGGCCAACTCCTTGTGTGACAGTCATAGTAATGCGCTTTGTTTACAATCTTAGCTTTGTGGCTTTGGATCAGTATGTCCAACACGAACGAGACGACCTCTCTTTATGGTCACTTGGCCGTCGATCCTCACTACAGAAGGCTGAATGTATACTACCAACCGACTATTGTGGGCTAGGGGCGAGCTTCCGCTTACATTCTTCCATTCTCGCTGGTCATGACGAAAGCCTGCTCCAGCCATCGACCGATGCCTTCCTACCGCATCATGCGGTGTGTCAATGCAATCTTTGTTTTTGTAATCATCCAACCAAGCAGCTGGCACGTTTACCCAATGCTAGCCCATCGACATGATCTCGTGGAATAGATCACCCAAAGCTGTCACCTCTGATGTACAGGTGATATCGAATCAAGGGGGCCCAAAAAAATGCTGCAATGCATGGGAAGAGATTCAGCTGGACGGAAGTAAGCCCCATTTAGGGAACGCGCCGAGATGGCTCGGGACTATTTACTTTGGATGGCAAGGATCATGTAGGGTAGTTGCATGAAATGCACAGTACATTGTGAGATAGAAATGCAGGGAACTGTTAATGTTTCAGTCTAGGTAGTCAAAACCACCGAGCCGGGAGCGCTCCGTTCCAGCCATGTAGATCTCAGTGATCAGGCTTGATGCAAGGGGGATTTGCCACGGGGCGTCTAGGTACGAGGAGATCCCTGCAGTTAATCAGATACTACCTTGTAGCTGATCTATTTTGGCTGATTTCGAATCAATAATCACCTCGAGGGGGCGGATAAAACACCCGATGTGGAGCTGCGAAAACTCGAGGGGCTGGGTGACCCTTGATTGGGTGGAAACAAAATAACTCTAGTCCAACATCAAGGTCCACTAGTTGCAGTAGTCTCAGTAGTCGCAGTACATAGTTACAGGAGTTGCAGAAGTTGCAGAAGTGGGATTGCAAGGTGAGAGGAAGATGAACTATCCATTGCCTATAGATCGATTCCCAACAATTTCGAGCTCTAAATTGCGATCTCCCTTAGCTTCCTGCCCTGTTTTCAGTCCTATCGCTTGTGCGCAAACGAGAACGAGAGACCGAGTCATCCCACATAATTACGTCTGTAGTGCGTCGAAGGCTCATTAAAAAGGATCTGCAGCCAATGGGAGCATATTGAGATTTTGAGACAAGCTTTCCAAGACTCCGATACTTCTCTGTATTCGAGAAAGTGGTACAACATTGGACTTATTCAAATCTGCAGGTGTAAGCGCCAGTGCCTTCAAGCATCGAGAGTACGTGATTAGCAAATGCCAAGTCAGGATACACTTGTGTACTGTGAAAATGAATACTCTAAGACAGAATCCGTGTATTTGGACTAGCTCAACCTGATTTTCACGTTCCGAGATAGAAATAAAACAAATACTAGAGTGCTTCCAGGATGATCTCCTGCTCGGCAACCTTGAACCACGCTTCGCCTCGTTTCTGGGAGCCTTTCTCATCCACAGCAGACTGTCCAGGGGATTTCACCTCATAATTCTCAACGGTGTACGCAACCAACACCTTGAGAATCGTGTCTGCCAATGCCTGTGCAATACACTGGCGGGGCCCAAATCCAAATCGCCAAAAGCGATACCGAAAATTGGACCTGGATTGCTCCAAAAACCGGCCGGGGCGGAATGCCATCTTGTCCGAGCCCCACGCGTCATCCCAAATATTCAAGGCATTGGTATCAACCACCATATAGGTCCCACTAGGAATGCGGTATCCACCGACATCCCGGTCGGTGGGCATCGATTGCGCGTAGGTATAGTTGGTGACTGGTTTCAACCTTGCAGATTCATTGATGCAGCTTGCCAGAAGAGTTGAGCTGCTAGCTATGTATCTTACCCAGGAATCTGCCGCTATGTCGGATCGGGCTTGTAATATTTCATCCCGCAGCTTTCTCTGAAGACCTGCATTCTCAGCTAGGAATTGTGGAATCCAGGAGAAGCTCCCAATGGTCACGTCAATGTTGGCAAACAGCGCTTCGTCCAATGTGTGCATTAGCTCGGTGGGCGTGATCTGACCTTGCTCGACGGCCCTATACAAGGGAACAATTGCACATGCAGATGCATCGTCGCGGTCCTTCGCATGTTGATATGCCCTCCGATTGAAATCGGCCCAGCGGGTATGGAAGGTGTGCAGCTTCTTTCTTATGGTGGGGTAAAATATCTTGCTGATGGAGAACAGTGACAACCCCCCTTTGAAGGCATATTGAAACACATCGGTTCGCAAATCGGTAATGAGCAAGAGCTCATCCGTCATCTCTGGGGACAAATTGCCGTATAAGAGATCGCTAATGACCCAAAAAGGCAGAAGCTTAAGATCTTCAGCCGGCTTGATTCGTAGCGATTTCCCGCCTTCATACTCCTTGTATAGCTCTGAAAAGTGGCGGGAAATGCGGGACTGAACAAAAGGAACGTATACAGTGGGTTTCTGGGTGAATGGCGTTGAAACCACAGCATGAACTCGTTTCCAGTGTCCTTGACTAATGAGTCCAACACCATCGCCCACTAAATCACCCATCACCCATCCACCATTCAGGTTTGAAGCCTTGTAGTGGTTCCCTGAGTCTTTGAAGACCGTCTTAATTTCATCCGCACGGGTCAAAATGCTGCCCTTCCATTTAGCGAGGGTAGTTCATAGTGGCAGAAGGAGCTTACATTTCTGGCGTGAGGCCAACCCAGATACGATAGATCGGGCCATATTTCTCGGCCCACTGACGTGAGACACTTTCTCCCTCCAGAAACTTGATACTGCCTCCCCCATCTGGAAATCTATATGGACAGGTAGGGATGTGTCCAGAGCCATCTGTCGAATAAATTGGGTACCACCAAAGCAGGAATTTCTATATTGACACAGAATGAATGAACAAAGGTCAGTGGGATGAAGTTGACTTGTATCTTCGGAGTAATACCGACATTGATTATGTAGGAAACTACTCGATTTGACCAAGTATCTGGTTGAAAGGCGTGCCACAAAGTGACTAGAAGTGATACAACTGCCAACTGCAGCGTAAGAAGGATGTAACCTGACATCATGTGGAGCTGACGTTGGAAAGAAACAGAAGAAGCAAACGGAGAATTTAAATGACGAGCTTGAATTGAATTTGTAATCGACTCCGTAGCTGCATTTACCCCAATAGGTACATCCGATGGATGTGATCGTATTCCAGCTCTCCAATATGCGGCTGATGTTGCCCGGAACATCACCAGCTGGCCAGAATCTTACATATGCGGGTCTGATGTCGATCAGCAAGGACGATCCTACATGGTCACATTGCGTCAATGCGAGCTAGCGCGTGGTAAACATAATATGTAAGGAGTAGTGTGGGTAGTTGCAGGTGTAGCCACGCACAAAGAATCACTGGGTGCTAGGTTCATCTTGGCAGCTATTACTACATTCTTGTTGCTGACGGGCTGTTCTTGGCTCTTTTGGTGAATATAACTAAGGAACTGATTTGGGCTGAAGTACGAACATTCCATGTATTCATTACCGTGGAGCAATCCTCGAATTTCAGGAGGAAGATAAGCCGTTGAAACTTTTGCCCTCCATCGCCATGGGTCGTCATCACGATCATCATAATATTTCGCTTCCGTTGGATAAGGAAGTGGAAGCAGCTTGGACTGATAACGGCGACGCGTTGATACAGCCTCATCACCTCAAGGCATCTTGGGCCGTGTTGCTTGGCAGACTGTCAGAAGCACAAACAACAACATTTGCAGTATTGGAACAATCGGCAATTCCGCCGGGCAATGTGTGTTCCAGAATAGCGGCATCGGCTGGGCATCTGGAGACATGGGAGATGTCAGAAAGTTCAGATAGACCCTTGGTGGATGCAGCGAAGGAAGTGTATAGAGAGCCTCTTACAGAGACCCAGGCATCAACGGGTGTGGCCATCAGGTGGGATGAAGAACTGAACTTTTCATCCATTGTAAGTACAAGTCTATCATTTGGTCTTATCGAGTTGACTAATATAGCTTCAGTTTCCTTTTGCGTTAAATATAATGATTCTTTTGGACTGCAGTACATCACCCGTCCAGATATCCATGCGATACTCACGGGCATCTCTGACTGTGAACCAAGCATGGTCACAATTAACGACACTTGTTCACATTGTGGGGCAAATGGTTATGAAACCGCTGCTATCATTGCGAGAGGTGGACTTCCTCGGGTCGTATAGCACACGATTGATCCGGCAATGGAATAACACGTACTCACTTGCACGACCTCAAGTATGCATTCATACCTTGATTTTAGAGCATTGCCAGAGCCAACCCTACGCTGAGGCACTGTGTGCTTGGGATGGTTCTATCACGTTTGCGGAGCTTGATCAATTTTCACTCGCAGTCGGGCTCCAGCTGCTGTCACTGGGTGTTGGCCCGGAGTCAGTGGTGCCGCTCTACTTTGAAAAGTCACGCTGGACGGTGGTCGCTATTCTGGGAGTACTGAGAGCGGGCGCTGCTTTCGTTCTGCTGGATCCCTCGCATCCAATGCCTCGCCTGGCCGAGATTTGCTCAGAAGTGAAGGCAACCGTTGCCATCGCATCAGAGTCATTGCAGGAACTGGGTCAGCAACTGGGCCCTCGAGTTATCATGCTCCTCGACACAATCGAAAATCATATCGAGACTGGCAAAAGTACAATTACCTCACATGTTAAGCCTTCCAATGCCGCGTATGTTGCTTTTACTTCCGGCTCCACCGGAAAGCCCAAAGGGATCGTGATTGAACATCAGTGCTTCGTTGCGAATACACTTGCTCAGAATGCAGTCCAGAATATCAATAGTCAAACAAGGGCGTTCCAGTTTGCTTCCTATGGGTTTGATAGCAGCATCCTGGAAACACTCATGACCTTGGTGGCGGGGGGTTGTGTCTGTATACCCTCGGAGAAGCAGCGACTCAACGGTCTGGCAGATGCTATCCGGGGGCTGCGAGCTAATTGGCTTGAATTAACCCCATCTGTGGCACGTTTCATCGATCCCCAAGAGGTTCCCGACGTGCGATCCGTCTTGCTTGTCGGCGAGCCTATGTCTCAAGACCACATCAAACAATGGTCGGGGACGGGCAAGGTCCAAATCCTCAACGCATACGGTCCCGCTGAGTGCAGTGTTGTGACAAGTATACAGCCCGATGTGAAGTTGGAAGATCCCAACAACATTGGCCGTTCATATAGCAGTCACTGTTGGATTGCCAACCCTCACGATCAGGATCAGTTAGAGCCCCTGGGAGCGGTTGGCGAATTACTCATCAGCGGACCAATCGTGGCCCGAGGCTATCTCAATCAGCCCCACCAGAAGTCTTTCATCTCCAACCCTCGTTGGACGTCGCGATTCGGGATTCCTGCGGATGAACGCTTTTATAAAACCGGAGATCTTGTACGATATAATCTTGACGATGGCACGTTACGATATGTTGGACGCAAAGACCGGGAGGTGAAACTTCACGGGCAACGCGTCGACCTACAGGAAATTGAACACCATGCCTCCCAATGTCGAAAGGGGATCATTGCGGTGGCTGATGTAGTTCATGTCAACGAGAGCAGCGCGGGAAAACTCCTTGTGCTGTTCATTGCCACTGCAGCGAATGATGAGAATCGCATGACGAAGGAAAGCTTCGTTGTCCCCATGAGTAATACTCTCCTTGATTTGGTCACTGATATCAAAAGCTGGCTTCGTGACTGTCTACCGCCATACATGATTCCCAACAAATTTATCTTTGTCAATCGCTTTCCTCTAACCAGAACTGGCAAACTCGATCGACGGGCTTTAGTTGATCTTGGAGCATCATTAAAACAGTCGCCGTCTGGAGAGCACCCGTCCAATCAGCGTGATGGAGAAGATGTCCAGCTGAATCCAGAACTTTCGGCCAGTGAATCTATATTATGCTCGGTGTTTGCTGAAGTGTTGGGTCGTCTGGAAGGAAGCGTCGGTGCCCAAGACAGTTTCTACGAAATGGGAGGAAATTCATTAGCTGCCATCGAATTGGTAGCCCGTGCACGCAAGCGTGGTCTGGAGATTGCCGTTGCGGACGTTATCCGTCTTCAAAGTCCTCGAGAGATTTCCCGATGTACTACGAAAAGGCAAGAGGTTCATGAGATTTTGCCATTCTCTCTTCTCGTGGATGCTGAACAGAGTCTATCTGCCGCTACCTTCCAATGTGGCATTGAGAGGGAAATGATTGAAGATATTTACCCATGCACCCCATTGCAAGAGGGCCTCATGCATCTCTCTGTAAAAAGTCCTGGGACTTTCATGGGCACATACCGGTTCTCATTGGCTCCTTCTACCAACCTGCATCGGATATGGGCTGCATGGGAACAGCTTTGGCTCGTACATCCCATCCTCAGAACACGTATCATTCAAACTCAAGACGGTCAAACCCTTCAGGTAGTCACCAAGCAAAAGTCCCCATGGAAGAATATTTCAGCTATGGATGATTCCCAGCCCATGAACTTGGGGACCCCTCTTGCGCGGGTGACATTCCATCCTGAACGAACTTCAAGCGGATCTGTCTCTGGTGTATTCCTACTGACCATGCACCACGCTATCTTTGATGGATGGTCGTATATGCAGCTGCTCGAAGATCTCCAGGTGATTTACAACAGGGAAATACTGCAACCACGCCCTGCCTTCAGTCATGTCATCAAGTACATCTCTACGTCAAACACCGAGGAAGATCGTTCTTTCTGGGCGCAGGAGTTCAATGATTTCCAGGCAACAATTTTCCCTGTATCTCCCCGGCGGCCGTCCGCCCTACCAAATTGGAAAATCAAAAGCCAGCAAACTACCCTAACCAAGTCAGATATGGACTGGACGCTTGCCAATAAAATCAAATTGTCATGGGCTCTTGTGATCTCTTCACAAACTCACTCAAATGATGTGGTATATGGGTTGACAGTTTCGGGCCGAAATGCCCCAGTCCCAGAGATTGATCGTATTGCTGGACCAACTTTTGCAACATTCCCCTTCCGCACGCATCTTGATGATGAAATATCGGTGGAAGATATGTTGATTCAAATGCGACAGCATGATGTCTCGCTCATACCATTTGAGCATACTGGTCTTAGGCATATCGCAGAGTCAAGCTCAGATGCAGCCATGGCTTGTGGATTCCAGAACCTTCTCACCATTAGGTTGCAATCTCTTCGGATTTCTCCAGGCGCTTTGATTGAAATGCCAGAAAACGAGGATCACGACTTCAAGTTTGCATCGTGTCCCCTGTCAATCGTGGCCCAGCAGCAAGGCAAATCACTAGAGGTCAAGGCCGTCTTTGATAGCCACATTTTGGGCCCTGATAGGGCTGAAGCACTTTTAGAACAATTTGATTCGTTTTTGCAACGAATCCTCCGTGAGCCCAGGGCAACAATGAAAGATCTGAGGAGCCAGCTTCCTCCCGAATCACAGCAATTGGCAACCATAAACAAAAAGACCCTGCCCCCCCTGTATTGCCTACACGACATCATCCAGGGCTTCGGTGCCACCCAATCAGACTCACAAGCCGTCTGCGCATGGGATGGCTCCCTAACATATAGAGAATTTGTCGCGTTAGCGCAAATATTGGCAGGCCATCTCCAGTCTCTCGGATCCGGGTCGGAACCCGGCGCAGTCATCGGGATTTGCGTGGAAAGATCGAAATTGTTCCCCATTGCCATCCTGGGGGTCATGATGTCCGGAGCCGCCATGGTTTTGTTGGAACCCAACTTCCCCCAGCAGCGTTTACAGCATATCTTACGAGATGCTGGGGCGCGAACGATGATATGCTCTCCCGCATTCCAAGAGAAGTGCACGGGCATGGTCGACGATATGTTCGTTCTGACTCCCGATGTCCTGACCCAAGCGGACAACAATGCTTGGACTCCATCAGCGGTGTCGCATCGAGATCCAATGTATGTTGCTTTTACATCCGGATCCACTGGTGCCCCAAAGGGTGTTGTGATAGAGCACGGCATGGTATATTCGATGATTCAGGCCCACAAGGACGTGATCGGCGCATCAATTGCATCCCGGGGCTTGCTTTTTGCCTCTCCCGCGTTTGATATCTGCCTTGCTGAGATTGTCCTTATCCTCGGATCGGGAGGCTGCGTCTGTGTACCTTCCGAAGCTCAACGCATGAACAGCTTAGCGAAAACCATGACAACCATGCAGGTCAACATGGCCATGCTGACACCTTCTGTGGCTCGAACCCTTTCACCAGCTGCGGTGCCTTGTCTTCGAACTCTGATTCTTGGAGGAGAGCCCCCATCAGCCTCTGATCTGGCAACATGGGCTTCAGTAGTTCAACTGCATCAATCCTATGGGCCGGCCGAGTGCGCTATGTACACGACCACTACGGCGCCATTGACCCCCACCTCGGATTTGGCCAACGTCGGATCTTCTCCAAATGCTTCCTGTTGGATCGTTGATCCGGAAAATCATGATGAACTTGTGCCTGTGGGTTCGGTCGGAGAACTACTGATCGGTGGACCGATTGTTGGAAGAGGGTATATCAACCGAGCCCAGGAGTCTGCAGCAGCCTTCATCCGTGATCCTGTCTGGAGCTATGAATTCCCCTTCTTGCGAGGAGGCCGGCTTTATAAGACTGGTGATCTCGCTGTCTTGAACGCCGACGGGTCTTTGATTTTGGTCGGCCGAAAGGATACACAGGTCAAGCTCAATGGGCAAAGGATTGAGCTACACGAGATTGAGCATTGTGCAGAGAGATACCAGCACGGTACCGCAGTTATTGCGGAACTGATCAAACCAGCTGGCATCCATAGACCCAAACTTATCATGTTCGCCTATGATCCTGGGACGGTAGAAACTACAGTGGGCATCACGTCGGCCTGTCATGACCATCGGGAAGTTTTTAACCCACCATCAACACAAAATCAAGCGTACCTCGAAGGTTTAAAACATCATCTCAGTCAGCACCTTCCACCCTACATGATACCATCCCTTTTCCTTTCCCTGTTTCGTCTGCCGCTTAGCCCGAGTGGCAAGGCCGACCGCAAGACACTACGTCAGATTGCATCGAAAATGGACAGAGAGACATTGGAGATGTATCTAGACAATCCGGTGGCAGAGAAACGGGAACCAGTCACAGATCAAGAGCGGTTTGTGCGTGCAAGCTTCGCCACAGCCCTGTCACTAAATGAGGAGGCCATTGGTCTGGACGATAACTTCTTCGCCTTAGGCGGTGATTCTATCACTGCCATGCGGGTTCTTACTTTGTGCCGGAGAGGAAACATGGCCATCTCTATGCAAGATTTCCTTTCAAAGAACACTGTTTCCTTGTTTTGCGCACATGTCATTGTGATTCAAGGCGAGGCCGTCGATTTCAAACGGCAGAAAATGCTGGACTCACAAAAGTCGATTCGAGGGAAAGACCTACTTGTAAAGTTTGAGCACATCGACTACCAGCTGGATATGGTTCGATCAAAGTTGAATTTGTTGAAATCGGATTCCATTGAGGACATTTACCCCTGCTCCGACGCCCACAGTGGGGTGTTAGAGCTCTATACGTCCAATTACACCAGCACTGCAATCTTCGAAATTTCATCTGCGAAGTCTATTACCCCGATGCAGGTGAGCAATGCTTGGAGTCAACTGGTGCACCGTCACGTCGCCTTGCGGACGGTCCTCATGAAAGAGCCAAAGTTTCACACAGATTGTCTCCATGTAGTCCTCGACAAGGGACCAGCCCAAATTCTTGCTCTTCCTCCCAGCAATAATGCCTTGTCTGAATTGAAAGATCTCGAACCAGTCCAATCGTGGGGCTTGTCACCACCACATCGCTTAATTATTGGTCAGAACCATGATGGCACGGTCTTCATGAGGCTGGAAACGGGGTGTGCCTTGATTGACGCTTTTTCTATGACTATATTACTAGAAGAGCTTTCTCTCCTGCTACAGGGTCAGCCCCTGCCAGACACAGGGGTCTCATATCGTCAATACCTGTCACATTTGCGCACCCTGTCACATGCAGACACGCTGGAATACTGGAAAAAGGCGCTTTGTGGAGTTTACCCTTCTCACCTGCCCAGACTCCCTGCCACACAGTCCTCTCTCGCCGAATCTCGCTTACAGAGCCGCTCCCTTCCATTCGCGCAATCAAAGCATCTAGATTCCTTCTGGCGCTCTAATAATCTCACCATCACCAACGTTTTTCAACTGGCATGGGCCTTAACACTCTCCCACTTTACAAATTCGCGGGATGTATGCTTCGGCACCGTCACCTCGGGACGCGATTTGCCTGATCTTGAAGTATGGAATATTGTTGGATCATTTTTCAACGTTCTTCCGTGTCGAATCGCGATTGATCCCACGCGCACGGTGTTAGACACCCTCCGACGGAATCAGGAGGATATTCAGTGTCGAAATGACCACCAATACTGTTCCGTGCCAGATGTAATCCGCAAATCTGGAATCAGAAGCTTGGAAGATGGTCAGCAGCTGTTCAATACAGTTCTGACAGTGCAGAACCCCTTCTCGGCAAAAGCATCTACTGGGAAAGATGGGGGCAACGAGATCGATATCAAACTCATCGATTTGGAGGATGCGACCGAGGTGAGTATCTTTCGAGCTTGAATCATGATCAACCCGATTAATGATGATTCCGTTTAGTATGACCTTTGCGTGGCTATTCTTCCTTCTCCTTCTAGCATCAAGGTGGAACTACGCTACTGGTCGACCACCGTATCTGAGGAATACGCTTCGGATATTCTGGATCGTCTTTTCGATCAGCTGGAACAGATTGTACAGCATGCGACCAAGCCGTTGAGTGTCATGGCCAGCATTGAATGATAAGATCTTCTGCCATGACTCTTTTATGATGGCTCCCTGGATATAACATACTTTTTGGGGTTTCTTTTCGACAGGTATCTAATTTTGCACGTTTTACTTTTGTTATTTCCACTCTTTGTCATCCCCAGCCGGTCAATCATCAAGAATATAAAGCATCATATATTGGATAAAGTTGTTCCAAGGATGCTTGTCATCCAAGTCTACAGATATACCAAGTATCAGATTCCAAGGCAATATCATATCCTAGAACTGGTCTAAAATAATAGAAGAGAAACAAGACAAACACAGAGACAGCCACCGACATTGTGGTCAATGGATGAAACGCCATTCGCACCCGTTTTCCATACCCGAACACGGTTCTAAGACTGGTTCCAACTCAGATGTTGAGGGAGTCCTGTCGCGAAAGGGAGAATATCGAAAAAGAAAATCCATGTACACAAAAGAAAAAGTGGAAGATGGGAAACAAATCATCGGCAGGACACAGGTTTCAGGGCAGTCCGGGCGAAAATCAAACAAAAAAATTGCCCCATAGTCGCTATGCCATCGCAGGAGAAAATAAACGGAAATCACATGTCCATCAGCAGTCCATCTCCTCCGAGACATTATTTGGTAGAATTGCTTCGATGCAAGATCTGTACATTGGTCGCACTGGTACCACTGCCGACCGAACGTCGTCGCGGGCGAACCTCGCTGCCGCTTCCGCTCCGTCGCCGTCGGCCAGTGCTGCGAATCGAGCCTCGGCGTCTTGTCTGGAGCAAACGGACGTTCTCACGTTAGAATCACGCTGACTATACATGGGCGGACGTGGTCTCTTAGCAAAAGACAAGTACGAGGGTGGATAGGGCCAGGCAAAAAGGCATTTCAAATAGGAATGCAGTATCTGGGCAGCAAAGCAGCACGGATCAGAGACGCACGGGACTTACCGAGTTGGGGGTACCTTCCCGGTTGGGACGTTCCTTGGAGACGTCGGGGTCCTCTTGCAACTTCAGCGAGTTCAGCCGCTTCTGGCTCTCGTGGGTCATGGCCTCTACCTCATCGATCGGCTCCGGCACGTCAAGAGGCGGCGGAGGAGGTGGGGGAATGCCATTCTTCCGATCTTTGGCCTGTTGTTCGATGACATCCCACCGGTCAGTGCGAGTCTTTTCGCGTTGGTCTGCGTTGTTCTGGTGCTCCGTGTAATCGTGAGAGCATTCATCGAAGAGTTGCGGATTGATCTCCATGAACATTTTCATGGCATTGTAAACCATGCTGTGAATTGTTCTGGATAAAGAATTAGCTTAAATTGAATCGAGTGGCATGAGCAGACTACACTTACCGGTTCCAGTGTCCCTTCGAGTTCTCATAAAGCGGTGCGAACATAAGCGGAAGAATTGTCTCCACGTTATCGCTCACAAGGTTACAGAAGTACTCGTTATTCCAGAAGTACAAAGCACGTTCAGCGACCTGGAAATGGGGACTGGCAACAGACTTGGCCAACTGATTGAACAGAGGCTCCTGGACTTTGGCGAACTCGCCCGGATCCATCACCTCGAAGATGTCTTCCACCTCATTCAGGTACATAACCTCTTTGGTACTATTGGTCTTAGGCCAGAAGCGCAGTAAACCAAGGACAACCTAGGCATAGTGGTTAGTACTCGAGGTAGATTGGAGAAAGGTAGATGAGGGCTTACATCTTCAGTCAATGAGGAGTCCTTCTCCAAAAATTGAACGATGCAGTAGGCCAATTGCGGGTGGTACATGCTAAGGCTCTTCACCTTGTGCATGGGCAGGAGCACTCTGGTCAAGAATAGCTTATGCTCTTCCTTCAGCGGCAAAGCGAACCCGTTGATAATGGATCCAAGAATCTCGAGCAATTCGGCGATTCCGTTATGGCGTTCTGTCTCATACATGAACTGGAAGAAGACATTGTTGATAGATCGGCGGATATAGGAACGCAAATTCAAGAACTTTCCATAAATGCGATGCAGAGTCGTCTTGAGGAAATCACGTTCGCGCGGATCTTCCGAGTCAAAGAGGTCCAACAACTAGATGTAGCATTAGCTTGCATTAAATGTGAAGTTGATGAAGCACCAGGAGACATACTGAAAGCACAAATTGATGGTCAATATAACCCTTCGCGATGTTCGTGTTGAAATCCTGGCTTTCGATGAATCTCAAGAAGAACTCATATACAACCTGAATATGGGGCCAAGCGACCTCCAAGACCGGCTCATCCTCCTCCGGGTCAAATGCTTCGCCCTGGGGCGTCATAGGTGGAGGAATGGGACGGAAGAGGTTCTTGGCGAACATCTCCACCACGCGGGGATACATGGGCTCCGTAATCACCGACCGATTGTTGGCGACATAATCTAAAAGTTCGTGCAGCGCCAGCCTCTTGATCTCCTTAGACTTCATATCGGCCGTCGGGTCGTTGAAATCGAAGATGATGTTGCACTGATCGATCTTTTGCATGAACAAATCTTGGCGTCGGTTGGGAGGCACTTCGTGGAATCCCGGCAGCTTCTCCAATTCTCTCTGACGCTGATCGGAGATGTCGAATCGGGATGAATGTTGGCGTTTGGGGGTCCGGATACCTTCCGACATGTCCTTAGGAGTTGTTTGTAGGCGGTCGAAGACGTGAGACTTCCTAGGAGGTGCGAGGTCTCCGGGCATCGTTTCAGCAGCGCCAGGTGGGGGAACATGCTAAAAAAAAATCCCATCTTTAGCAAATACAACAGTGGACAAAGTCGGAGATAACTCAACTTACCGGTGCGCTTGGGCTAATGATGACGCTGGGGGCCGCTGGTTGGCCTTGTCTATTCGGAGTTGCCGGTCCATTGCTTACAGGCTGTCCTGCGATCCCCGCTTGGGGTATATAGTGTTGAACCGGAGTGCCGGGGTGAGGTGCGCCCGCAGAAGGGGTGCCGGCGGGGGAAGCGTTGTCCGGCGATTTGTTTCGCGAGTCATTGAGAGATGTTGTGGAGGATGTAGGTGTCCCTTGGTTGGGGGAAGTAGACTGCTGTGTGGTGGAAATGCCGAGGGACTGATTCTGTGAGGTGGAGTCTTTCTTTTTCGAGGACTTGTTGTCTTTTGCCCGCGACAACTGGTCGTGCTAAAAGCAAACGCGATGTTAGATTATTTGCGGAATAAGTAAAAGGACACCGGCCGCGTAATGATGAAGGAGATAGATAGGAAGAAGTGATTGTATGGTGAGATGCACTCGGGCAGGATACGCGGACAACTCACCACTCTCTGTCTGAAACCCTTCATTTTGAATAACTATGTAGATGCCCGCATGTACTCGGCTAGGGTTCTTGGTGCCAGTGCAGCCAGGCGGCGCACTCACTCTAGCCGGAGTGAATCAAGAGAGCCCACTGAGATTACCGCTCAGGAAAACCACGAGGGGGAGGGGAGGTGTTTGGATCGGCCTAATAGGAGAGTCTTGTAAGCGGTCCGAGTCACACAGCATGTAAGACGGGTATTGGATATGGAAGGCGTTCTGAAAGACCGATAACAAGCCCCGGCAATGTATGGAGGAGGAGCTGAGGTTCAATTGCAACAGCACCAAGCGCTCCAAACAATGTGCAATCGCAGCACGCGCACAGGGCAAGATGGTTCGACGCTGGGAATAAAGGGCCAATACAGGCAATGGGAGACGGGTGTCCGATCAAACGTACCTCCGTAGTTTCGAGTTGGACAATTGATAGATCGAGTAGAAAACTGCTTGGGGAGACTGGGTGTTATGGGACGAGCTTAGTTGGCGCTGGAGGGTATCCGTGTCGCTTAGTGGCAGGCTGGGAGCGGGGGGTTTGGGAGCACCAGAGGAACGGGGACTCAGGTCACAGCCCACAGCGAAAGCACGAAAATCTCAATCTGACTAGCAAGGGACAAAGTCGACAATGTACCAGATACCAAATAAAGATGATGGCGTTGGGTTGTGGAGAGAAGGGAGGGAAGTGGATTGTTGTTGAGGTGTAGGGAAAGGCGGGCTGGTTCTCCTGGCTGCGATGGTGATGGGAGGGGGAGACCACGCCCAGGTACTATATGGAAGACTTTACGTGGATTTCACTGCCCTGGATCTCTCTGGGCTTTTGATTTAAGGGGAATTTAATTTATATATATTTTTACCATCCCTCTGCTAATACGACTTTCGTATGCTTTTCCCGCTTGTTTCAAGTGCCGCTTATGTCAGGATCCACGTGACATCCAGGGGGACTCGAATTTCAGGCACAAACACAACGTCACTAACACCGCAGATACCAAGGTACGTACAACGTCGGTACATGTGTTTTGAATCATTCTTTAGAAGGTGGTTATGCAGTTCACGGGTAATATATCCAATCGAATCAAGCAAAGCAGGTTCTGGGACTGCGGGATATATATAGAGAGAGAGAGAGAGGTCTGTGCTTTTTGACCCACACCCGACCACCTCGAAGGCTTGAAAGTTGGACTTGAAACAGGAAATTCCCATGTATGTTGTACTTCAAAGATCTCATTGTGAAAGTGTATGGTTGAGATTATTCTAGGTGTATGGCCACTAGCTCAAACACTAGCACTCACTAGTGCTATGGCAAGATTGTGCAATATCATTGACGATGGGGAAATATATATATGCAAAAAGTACTGGTCTTTGCTTTAGTCAATCACATTTTACTCAGTTTAGTCTCTCTTAGTCCTCTAGCTATCCCCTAATATCCCCATGAACAATACTGGAACCACGACGATCTGACCGAGGAGGAATTCAAAAGGCATGTGAAGGTTAGGGTGAAACTTGTCACTATGACTACTGACCTATGTTTTGCCTTTGATGACTTGGTTGAGACACAGTGCACGGTCTATATGCTGATGGATAATGTCACTGATCTGAGTCTTCGTTAATATATTCTAGATATTTAGATATTTGAGTGTATTTATTCACCTATAGACAGGAAGCTAGGAGTGGCTATTTTGCCTGGTGCAATGCCAGAGAGCATATGATCCGTCCCAATTCCAAGCCATATTGGCAGTATACCATCCGAGCCACGGCGCATCTCCGACTCCGCATGGGCGAAGAAGCATCCCTCAAATGGGCTGCTGCGATCTGCGCCTTTTATAATGACCTTGGGGCAATGGTACGAGACTGTTTCTTTTCCACCGAGGTTGAGCACATCGAGGAAGAGTTTCCTCCTAGCCTTTGAATTAATTGAGTTGATTTGCCTAGTCATTTGTAGTGGGATTTCGTGATGTATATTCACGATGTGGCTTTTTTTCGCGAGTTTTTCTTTGCGAGGTTTCCTTTAGTAGCGTGGTGAGGCCTCTATTGATCATGACTTCAGGACCTCTGAGATGTTTTCTCGCCTGGTTCTGCGGTGGTTGTAGAGCTATAACATAGCATGTTAGATGCATTGTCTTCTAGCGGGCCTCTTAGGGATATAAATCCAACTCTCTCATTTTGTTTGCCCACTAGCATTTGACTTGCCATCATCTCTCATTTTTCCTCTTTATTAACTTCTCTTCCTCTCTACTCATCCTTCCTTGATACGTATCTCTTCCTTTCTGCTCATCCTTCCTTGATACGTATTCCATCCAATACTATTGAATCTCCCAAGTGAAACCATCATCATGGCTCCTACGACTGCTGAGCATGATTCGGATGCTGCATCCTTGACTCAGCAGACACAACGCAACATACCCACCCTCCCCATCTACCTGGTTACCCTCTGGTGCCTGCAGTGTTTCCGCATCTCACTTCGGGACTGGGATACTGCTCTTCCCTTCGAACCAAAGTGCTGGATCGACACTGTCGCCTCCCAGATGTGCGCTCGTTGCCATGAAACTAAGAGCAACTGCGAATCGGTATGTCTCACTTCCTCTTGAGATTTATCTCACGTAGCACTCACTGACTTGATTCTCGTGTCCTACTGTAGGTTTACCGGGGTATTCGGGGCCACGTTTTTGAATTGATGGCTTTGCTAGAATTTGCAAAGCAATACTGGCTCAACGAGGGTGAGGGATTTGGACAAACCGACGTTGCAGATCTCGTGTGGGATTATGGAGTCATCAGGGATATTTCTGAGGCGGTTCGAAGCCTCTGCCTCTCATTTGAGAGTCTGGTCATGGCACATGGCGAGGCTCACATATTGACAGACAACGCCTCTGATGTAAGTATCGTTCGGCTTCCAAGTTCTATGCTTTTAGGGTATTTACTCACATGTGGACAGGATGCCAAGGCAGCCTACTCGACTTGGTGCAATGATAGGGAGCATTTGACCTACCCCGAAACCATGCTTATCACCAACCTAGCTCAGAAATATGCCTCGCAAGCCACAGAGCACCTCCGTCTCCGATTGGGCGAGGAAGGGCAGATCCACTGGGCGGCCGCGATTTGTTCATTTTACGATGCTGTCGAGTCCGCTGTGAGATCTCACCAGGAGAGAGTGTGCGCTACCCAGTGTGATCAGGAAATTGGATGCTCCCATCTGATGGAAATTTCTACCAACCTCGATGAAGAATTTCCTCTCCCGCGCCCCGAGCTCTGAATATGTGGATACTTTACGAAAGAATTTGGGACATACTTTCATGGTTGTCTCGCTGGCTGACTAGTGGGAATTTGGCCTTTTTGCAACGATCACTGGCAATGCCGTGGTAAATGCCCTTTGGGAGTAACATCTTTTGATAATTTGGCCGCCTCGCTCTTTGGTTATTCTCTGCGCTATTTGATAGTATCACTAATCCATCTTTTTGATTGGCTTTATGACTTCTCGTATAGTGTAGGTGCCTTGGCCATCTGAAACAGAAACAAACTGCTCTTCGAAGTGAATAAACGGTATGTACCCCGAGCTATAAACATCTATGGATATTTGGATAGATTGAACTCTTATTCAATACCAATTGTTTGATGTAAGATATTTCGAAGTTATGCCCAACTTGTTTCGAATTCTCGTCTCGTGAATGGGAAGCCAAGAACTATCAGTATAGTTATCGCTGCGTACTTAGACATGAAATTCTGTCTAATAAAGCATACAGAGATTCGTTGGACAGCGCAGCGACATTAGTATTATAATCAACGTGTATCTCCCTTTTATCCAAGACCCTTCAATAAGTGTTACAAGGCATCGTGCTAGGATTATGTTCACTCTAGCTGGTGATCTACCTGAGTCACCTATACATTCTTATTCGTCAAGTCTCGTCCAGTTTCATGCAACCTCATCGAAACAACATGAGCCCCAGTGGCACAGCGGCCACCAGGGCTCTCCTCAAGCTCAAGCGCGTGCTTGCTGCAGAGTTGCTTTTATCGCCTGTGCCACTAGCACCGGTACCTGTCTGTTCCGCAGCATATGTGTAGTAAAGACTAGCAGCTGTCTGCGTGCCCAAGCTATCGACAGCAGTACTACTCGGTAAATTTGTCGCCGATGCCTTCGACCATGCATTTGCGAAAGGATAAAACCCTGTCGTTTGAGGATTGGCGCTACAGTAGGCGCTGGAGACCTCCTTCACGTAACTCTGTGGGAACCAGTGGTAGCCTGCGCAGGAGTTAGCTTCTCGATCGAACCAAAAGAAAAACATAGTGCCAGCATATGCTGTAGAAGACACGCACCCTCAATGCCTCCATGCTTTCTGAAACACTCCTGACAACCGGCCGCCGAGTCAAAGAAAGGATATATGTCACAATAACATTGCTGTTGAACATCCCAATCACCTGAATACTTTTGGAGGCCCGAAAATGTTCCATTTGTGTTTTGGAAGTAGCAATTAGAATTAATCGCTGCTTGTCGCTTACACGGAGCCTCGTTGATCAAATAGGTAGGCTTGGGGGAGACGGTCTCAGTCGAGTCATCCCTGCGGAAATTGTGGTGTGGCAATGGGTTATAGGGTAAATAGCATTCATTGTAGAGATCAATGTCAAGGTCGGTTAGACCAGAGTCCTGGGACGAGACAAGGTAGAACCTGGAGATATAGGCGCCGTTTGGGAATACGGGGTATTCTTTGGAGCCGGTGTCTGCAGCTGCTGCGCTAGAGGACGTGCTGGTACCGAGAAGGGAATCGTATCCGTAGGATGAAGTGGGCTCTAGGGATGTCGTTACAGAGGCAGGCATCGCTGTTGTCAAGGTAAGGCAAAAGGGGTGATATCGTTGAAATTACTTCCATGGTAGTCCAGGTGGGCCTCGGGAAGGCTGCTTGGCAGCCCCGGCCAATCAGATAGCTCAATATCCGGGATGTCCTCCCGGAATGGATCTGCCATTGCTAGAGGCTTTACAACTATGAAACCTGAGTGAAGTGCGTACACTACCCTTGTAAGGTCATTTAGAAAACCACAAACTTACCGGCTCGTCATCTGTTTTAACAAGCTCCGGGGCAAAAAATCATCTTTCTGTCTGTCGTTTTGCTGGTAGGAGCAATAAAAACAGACAATGCCAATGTCAAGATTGGCAGCAAATCTTTGACACGGATCATGGTCGACGATTGCTGTGAGGTAGATTTTGCCAGAACTAGGGATCTCAAAAAACCCGTTGAGCTCTAGCTTTCGCTACTAATCTCGTGTATTCGGAAGAGTCGAGGATCCATTGACCAGTGACTTCTTGTACGTCTCTCCAGATGTCATTTTCCTGTACTTGATGGTTGAGATCGGACAACCACCGCAATATTTCTTGTCTTTTTTTTTCATTTCCAAAGTTGTTGTTTCATTGTACTGTTGTAGATATTGTTGATCTGACCGCTGTTGTGGGCAACCTAAAGTCCAGCATTATGACCGGCAAAGGATACCGTGAGGCTCATATTAATGTAAAGTCTGGGCGGGTACATATAGCGATAGTGAGATGGCAGTGGAGATTACGCTCCAGGCCCTTATATAAACGTCCATTAGCTATAGCAGCCCAATGCCCCGCATCAGTTGGCTACTGGGGAACAGCAAATAGTACACACATGGTCAATGGAGCACAAAAAAGTCCGACTGTATGACAGTAGTACTATGAAATCAAAAAGATTCAACGCTGATGACTAGGGTTGGGCAATGATAAGCGTCGGGCCGAGTGTTGTCGATTCATCGCCATCCGCTTCGTGATGAGTCAGCGGGACATTGCCCCTGGGCGCACTAACCGCTTGTGGAATGTAGACTTGATTCTTTTCCCAGACCTGAGAGATACCGCTAGGAGCCTTTGATTATCGCGCCGGTGATGAAAAACATAGAATCTCGGACAGCAGGTGTATTAAGCTGAGATAACCGGAGAAAAGTGGCGGCGCTGGCTTTGGTCGCAATTGCGCAACCTCCAAGAGCAAACCAGAACCAAACCACAACTGCCATCAATTGAGGCAAAAGCCTGCGGCAAATGATATTGCAAACACCTTATCCATAATTCTGAAATTGAAAAAAATTACCATGGATGAACAGCGGGCGTCTAGAACTGCCCCCTTCTACGCAGTGCCATCCCGTCGCCTCGTCAGCGTCGAGCACCCTGCCGTGATTCGCAATGTCGATAGGGCAATCGAGACCTTACAAGGAGATGCCGGGATAAAAGCAGTAAGAATATTCCCCCGGCCCCCTCACAGACCATTGAATATTGAATACTGAATACCGAATATGAATACATACTGATATAATACAGATTCTGAACCCGGAAAAAGACGACACACTAGCTAATCTAGTGTTCCGGCCCGAAGATGCCATGGCTCGATCAGTTCAGTCGACCAACATCCAATCGAACAATGTTTTGCTTAAAGTTACTGTCCCCAAGCGGACAGGACGGAAGCGCAAGAGAGGCTCGAATGAGCCTTTCGCAGACGTTCCAGAGTCAGAAGCATCCGAGGCGCCCCCGCGACGGATCGCTAAGGATCTCTTGCGTAGTCTGAGTGACAATCCCTCCAAATATCAGATCGAGCCCGTCGGGAGGGTTGAACGGACACATGTGTTCCGAGGTAATTTGATTACACTGAATGGTCCATTGCTAGTTTGTTAACGTCTGATATCAGGAATCCCTGATTTCGTATACTCGACTACGGCGAGTTCCTTTACGAACCGGTTCCGCGATCAAATCCTGCCATTTGACTGTGAGTTCACTTAACGTCACATCTACTAGAAATATACTAACAAGCGACAGTCGACAAAATGAAGCAATTCGATATCGACATGGCCAAAGGCACCACTGCGAATGCAGATCTCATTCCACCACCGTCATTCAGTCACGGAGACGTCCCATTCCACTACATGTAAGAACTACCTCCCCAAAGTCATCAACCCGAGACCACCAGACCACTAACCCCCTTCGCAGCTACCGCCAAAACCCAACAGTGAAACAAGCAATCGGCCAATCCGGCAAGCTAGAAACCGTGAACACGCAAACCGCCAACAAAATCTTAACCCATCTGGTCCCCTACGACATAGCCGTCGTCCCATCAGAGCCACGGGCAGGCATGCTTCCAATCAGCGCACTGGACCCAGGCATGCTCCGAACAATCGCAACACTGAACGCCCTATACGAAAAACAACCCGCCTGGACCCGTCGCGGACTCCGCAACAACCTCAAAACCGACGAAGACCGCCTGAACCTCCGCCACGCAATTCCATACGTAGGCTACATCTTCCGCTCGGGACCATGGCGCGACGCAATCATCAAACTTGGCGTCGACCCCCGCACCTCACCGGAATACCGATACTACCAAACCTTCATGTTCCGCCTTCTCGCACGCGAAGCCGAACTCGCCCGCGACGGCGGCGGCGGCCGACGCCACAACGTCCCCAGACCTAGCGACATGCGCGGAAACGACGACGACAACGCCAGCGGGTCATCAACGGGCCATATCTTCACGGGCAAGCAGCCGTTCGCGCAAGACGGACGGATCTGGATGGTTGGGGAGATTGAGGATCCACAGCTGAAAGCGGCTTTATTCCCTGCTAATCCAGAGCCTGGATTCCTGCGCAGCGAGTGTGATATCGTTACCGATGGATGGTTTGGGAACGGCACTCTTGCGAAAGCGAAGGCTGTGATGCGACATAAGATCCAGGCGTTGATGGAAGGACGGGAACCTGTTGATGAGGATTATGTGAAGGTTATGCAACTTCCCACGCATGCGCGGTCTGAGGCTGATTTCCCGTTGTTTACGCTTGATCCTGAGGTGGCGACGCAGAAGGAGATCACCCTTGCTACTGAGATTCGGGCGATTATTCGGGGTTCGCCGGTTTGGAGGACTTTGACTGCTAATGCTGGGTTGATTAGGAAGGAGGGTGGGGAGGGGAGGGGGAGGGCTAAGGGGAAGCAGGCTTTGAAGGGGAAGAGTGTTGAGACGGAGCCGGAACAGGAGCCTGAGCCCGAGGCCGAAATTGAGAAGGTTGAGGAGAGTGAAGGTGAAGAGGAAGAGATTCAGCGGAGGGAGATGCTGGCTGCTCAGGTTGCGGATGCTGTTGCGGCGAGGGATGCTGATGAAGTTGATGAAGTTGATGAGGACGATGAGGACGACAGTGATGATATGGATGAAGACGAGGATGAGTGATGGGGATCGAAGTGCTACATCTTAAAAATGATGCCTTGTACTCAAGATAGTCGCCGAATGAACCGGTTTAATCATTGCCTAAGCTATGGGTAGACTTCGAATACAATGTGGAGCATCAAACATAACGCAGACAATATCTCATGAATTAGACGGGATAAAGAGAGTGAACCCGGGTGGTCGCAATAATGAAGTCAAAAAAGATACATAATTCGTAGCGTACGTTATAACAAAACACCTGATAGGATGAACGCCCGTGTTCGAACAGATAAACACCAAGCAGCAAAAGACAAACGCCAAATCAAGCAAATAGGTATATGTATTGGGGCCAAACCCAGGCCAAAACCAGCGCCACTGAACCAGATGCAGATGCAAAGAATGATGAGTAGGCAGATCAGAGAGCAGACTTGGTGTTGTCAGATGAGCCCTCGTGCTGGGGATCAGCAGCGTTGGAAGTGACATCCAAGACAGAAGCGATGGAGTCTGTGATGGTGGTCTGCTGGCTCTGCGCAAGAGGCGAAGAAGGCTTCTTGAACTCTGGTTCATCGTCATAGACGATTGTGTATGAGAAGGCATTGCAGCCCTCGGCGTAGTATTCAGTAGCGTTGAGCTCACCGAGCGGGGCACGGGGCTCATCCATCTTTGGTGCCTTGCGAGCGACGGCGGGGATAGCGGCAGCGGATTGGCGAGCGGCAGGGAGTTCGATGCCCAGTTCGTGAGGGGGGATGTTCTCCTTGCCACGGGTGCAGGGTGGGTCGGACTTGCCCTCGTCGTCGCTGATATCCAAGACAGTAGTAGAGTGATGCATCAGGTTGGTCATTTCCTCCTGCTCGGTGTCGACGTGGATATCGAAGCACCACGAGGCCGGGGTCGGGGCCTTAGGGGCAGGTCTAGGCTTGGGAGTTGTGGATTGGGCGAGAGCGGAGGCAAGAGAGAAAGGGCGAGCAACGCCGCGCTTGGTATATAGCTCTGAGCGGGGCTTGGCGATGAGTGAGCGACGAGTAGCCGACTTGCTTGACTTTGGTGGTGGGGAGCGACCGGCAGGTTTGAGGATGGGAGCTGATTTGGGGGTTGTAATGGAGATCTTCGAGGGGGTCGAGAGACGGGGGGAGATGTTGATGCGTGTGGAAAGAGCCATGCGGGATGTTTTGATGGGCTTGGACGCGCTGTCCTCCTCGTCTTCGAGAGTACGCTTGCGTTTTGTAGAGAAGCTGGCTGGATTGATGTTCTCTGAATCTGTCTCAATGAAGATAGAGCTCTTCATGGAACTCTTCATTGGGGTGGACTTCATAGACATGGTACCTGGTCGGGATTGTAAGCTAAACCATCTTCGGAACATCAACACCTGGGTCATCACGTACCATTTTGTTGGTTCTGACGATTGAGCTTCGATCGCATCAATGGCATATCCAAACAGCCCAAAGGCTGACGAGTAGGAGTCATAGTGAGAGTGGCCATGGTGAAGGAAGAAGAAGAGAGGGATGTTTTGTTTTGGTCAGCGCCAAGTGGGGGAGGATTAGCGGTCTACAATAGGCACTAGGCAGGCCGATCGCAGGATTCGAAAGACGGTAAATGTATACCGAAGAATCAAAAGAAATATAACTGAATGATTGAATGATGGAATGATAGAAATTGGTCGGAATTCAGATGAATGATAGAATGGGTCGGATATCGACTACACCGTTGAGAGCACGAGGGATTCGTAAAGACGTAAAGACGTAAAGACGTGCAGATAGATATAATAACCTGAGAGGTGAAAGGGTATCAAGGCAAGGAGAGAACTTGAGGAGTCACAAATGGAGGGAGAAGGGAAGTATTTCAAGGCCTGCATACTCCATAAAAGCGCGTCGCGTTCACGGGCGTTTATGCAATTCCCAGCACAATGCAATTGACGGGTTTCATTCTTCTGTCTTAGAATGGATGTAGATCCCTACGCGCTGTATGATCTAGTGGGCTCTGTATTATTCTGTTGTATTATCACCATTATCCTACGTCCTACACAATGAATTCCATCTCAATGTTGTAGAATTGCCTGTATAAATCCCTGAAATCGATGTCAAGGCCAAGTCCTCTTCCCCCCCAACACTGCATGGTCGCGCCCTTGAACGCGTCCGCAGCCAAGTACCCGGTACTCGGCATCCCGGCACTAGCGTATACAGCGCGTAAGTACCTGGTACTTCCACGCTCCACGTCGTGAACGTTTCTTCACACGCGACTTCGCGTTCACGTCTCCTCCTTGCGCACTGTGCGCTCATTCGTGAATGATGATTATTACATATACTAATAATATATTGCAAATATCTAATGAAACTTTGCCAACGCATCGGTCGCCATTGGCCATCCTCCACCCAGACTCAGGTTACCGGATGAAACCATGCACGCACAGGCCGATCGGGGGCTGCTGATGTTTGAGGTGAATGTGGAACATACGGATTACCATCTTAGGCTAAGGTTTGGAGGTGTCTGGGGGTGTTGCACACTCAAGGCTGGGGAATGTTCTGGGCTGGCTACCTAGTTCAAAGTAGGAATTCGCCCCTGAAGGCTGTTCCAAGGTGTAGAATGACGGAGGGTTATTGATAGGGATAGTACACCTGGGTACAGACGGGTTTTCCAAGGTTCCATGGCACCCGCGCCCCCCTGTTCCTCGTGGGCTCGAGATCTCACCTTGACGTGTTGATCCTTGCATTCCTCGCGAAAGCCAACAGCTACTTTATGCCATTGATGTAAGATCGCGTCGGCATTCTACTACAGGTGGGAAATGCCGACCGAAAAAGTCCATAGAATTCCGTCTCGTGATATAATGTAGATGTTCGCAGACTTGCTATGCCAATTACCTCAGACCTCATCCTCAAAAGGAATGCTATCCATGGCACCCCGACGTTCCACCGCCCGAGCCGAGGCGCGAGCAGCCCAACGCATTGTCTCATCCATGAAATCTTTGTACCGGTATGCCTTCTCATCATCGACGACATTCTGCCCAGCCTTGCCCTCCACACGACGCTGCTCACGCCACCGCGCCACTTTGACTGCGTAGGCTCCAACAAAGGTATCACCCGCGCCAGTAGTATCCAAGACATGAGAGACAGAGGCGGCTGGGATCTCGTTAGTGAAGCGCTGTACCCCATCACTGGGTCCAGACGAGCCAGCATCCGCGGCACTATACCAGACGCCCTTCGCCCCAAACGTGATAAGAATGTAGGTGACACCCAATTTGTGGAAATACCGAGCGACCTTTTCCTTGCCATCTAGGCCCTCTGCCTCCGGAACCGTGCGAAGCAGTTGATCCACAGGCGGAGTCATCAGCTCAGCCTCCGTCTCGTTCAGGATCAAATGATCGACAGCAGCATATACATCCTCGGGCAAGCCGCCAGGCGGCGCAGGTGCCGGGTTAAGCATAACATCCGGACCGCACTCAATCCCACGTTTGCCAGCCGCACGAGCCTTGGCCTTGTAAGCTGCAACCTCACGCAGTGTCCCGATGACCGTGTCAACCGGGATCTCGCCCTGCATAACGATAACATCGGGTAAGGGCGCTGCTAGGGCCATGCCCAGCACCTCCGGGGTCGGCTGCATGCCATCATAGTTCGCACCGGGCGAAAACAAAATGCGGTTCTCGCCGCCGGCTGACGAGTCCACGATGATCACTGCCACACCTGTGTATGCGTTCTCGACGACTTTCACCCGGGACGGGTCGACTCCAGATCTCTCGAGGGTCGGTTTAAGCAAGGAGGAGAAATGACCGTCCAATGCGCCTACGGCACCCATCATTTCGACATTGACGTCGCCCGTGGAGCTTGTGGTTCCTGTGGATTTGGCTCGAGACATGCGCCCGCATGCGACGGCTTGGTTTGCGCCCTTGCCGCCCGCGCTGGTGAAGTAGGATGAGGATGTGATTGTCTCGCCTGGATTTGGGAACCGGGGTGTGACTGAGACCATGTCTGCGTTTAGGGATCCGATGACTCGGATAAGAGGTGCCATGGTGGAGGTTGTGGTTTGGGTTGCTTCGTGTCTCGCAGGTTGGGGGCTGGTTGTGTCTTTGAGTCGGGCTGGGGAGATACAGCACGCGCTAGAAGGATGTAATTGATGAAACGACGTAAATATTGCAGATCTGAAGTTTGAGATGATCCACACGGACGATGAATGACTGTCCAAAACTTTCGTCAGATAATTGAGAACGCACTGGAGTGGAAGACGGATTGGAATGACGTATGGGCGGGGCCCTTCGGACCTCGGATGTGGGATTGTGGGGCCGACCGCCACAGTTCCGCGGATCCGATCTACAAAGTACAGCCACGTCTATTTTGACAACATACATATCTCCAACATTGAACATAGGTCGCATCCTCAAGAGTAAATCGAGAAAAGGTCAAGCGAGAGGGGGTGACCGTAGTACTTTACTCAGAAGATCAACAAAAACTTTTGGATATTGTCGAACGTAGCAAGTAAAAAGCAAAAATGAAATCCCCCTTGGGTCATGTAAACTCCTGGGAACCAGGAAGGCCTCCTCCACTGGGCTCTCATGACCCAGTCTGCTAAAATGTGCAGGACCCATATACTACATATTCCAAAGTAAAAGTGAGAGTAAATATTATTATTTGATGACATAGATGCAGAAGAGCTTAGGGGAAAAAAAAACGGATCCCCCCTAGGCTAAGTGTAGGCCTGGGGTCGAACCAGGTCCATCACCGCCCAACTGACCTCCCTATCACGACTCGGTCTAGCCATGTCTTTCTAGCAGAGACTAATTCCGGGGAATTACACACTGCACCATAAGGGGTCTCCGTTGAAAAATTCCATATTTCAGTTAAACTTAACACAAACCTAAGATCCCACCTACCCATTACCTATCTCATCATTATTTACCGCTAGAGTCTATTGAATTCATATCATACACCAAAGTCAAATAGAGAGTTATGATGATTATCTGATGAGATATATGGAGAAGAACCTGGGAAGAAAAAAAAAACGGATCCCCCTAGGCTAAGTGTAAGCCTGGGGTCGAACCAGGTCTACCACCGCCCAACTGACCTCCCTATCACGATCTGGTCTAGCCACGTCCTTCTAGCAGAGACTAATTCCAAGGAATTACACACTGCGCCATAAGGGGTCTCCGTTGAAAAACATCAACTTACAGCTAAACTTAACAAACACTCGCGTGAGATCCCTCCCATATATTTCTCACACCATTTATCTACAAACTAAATCTATCAAGTATTGCTAGATCTCTCAGGATAAAAAGAATGGCAATTCTAATCGTCCAATTAGAAAGATACATAAGCGCCAAGGAAAGAAAAAAAAATAAGCAGTAAAAAAAAAAACAGATCCCCCCTAGGCTAAGTGTAGGCCTGGGGTCGAACCAGGTCCATCACCGCCCAACTGACCTCCCTATCACGACTCGGTCTAGCCATGTCTTTCTAGCAGAGACTAATTCCGAGGAATTACACACTGCACCATAAGGGGTCTCCGTTGAAAAATATCACATTTCAGTTAAACTTAACAGACACGAGCCTAAAATCCTACCCACACATTACCTACATTATTATAAGTTTCCATTTACTGATAGTGCAACTAACCCATAGAAAAGTGTCGATTTCATGGAGTTCCTTGACCATCGCCCTAATCTCTTCTCTTGCATGCCTCACACCCAGCCTTTTGTATTCTGCTTCAACAATATACCAATCAAGCAGTCCTCTAGAAGTCCCATCTAGATTGTGAATATTGACTCGAAAAATGCTGCCAAAATATGGATCACCTATATCTTCATGGCTACTGCTATGAGCCGAGGTGAAACCAAAAGGAAAATGGAACGTGTATCTCATGGGATCAACGAGATGGTTCATGAGGAGATTGTATCATACCCGCAGGCCACTCACTACGTTGTCAACTTTATGCACCAAACCAGTCTCCTCCAGCAGTTCCAACATGTTGGGATCGAGGAGGACGATGGCGAACTAACAGGCTTCGCGGCAATGGATGTAGGTGTGGAAGACGATGGGTATTAGTTAGTGATGAGAATGATACTGAGACACGAAAACCCAGCCAGACTCAACACATATACCTCCAATCAACTGGCCAGGACAACATCATCATGAATTGGAACTGAGAAAGGGGAGAATACAGAGAGAAATGGAAGTTGGAGGGCGCACTCCACGGCAGTCATCATATATTTATTACCTATGTATGGGATTGGTTGGGCTTTGATTTATGGGCTTACAGGGTACAGGAATGGGTTGATTCCACTCTTTCCAATCAGCATCTATCTATATACGCTGGGAGAGATCCCACTCAGCGTTCAGCTTCGACTTCTTGCTTCGGCTGGATGAAGTGCCTGCATACTCATACGTAACTAGTTAGACTGCAACAGATTAATTGAACTTTGATTGATTGATTGATCCAACGATTACCCTATCATGACTTGATAGCTTGTATGCCATTGGCCTCATTGTAGGGGATAAAGGAGTTTACTAAAGGGGATTCATGGCATCCGATGCCTTTGTCTAGCTTGTTATCATACATGTAAGACTAGGAGAAGCTCTGGTAGCCTTAATGTATTAGTTATGTCCCAAGTATAAGGCAGAAATGATATAAAAGCGAAAAAGAAGTGAGGCTAAGGAGAAGTGAGGCTAAGGAGAAGTGAGGCTAAGGAGAAGTGAGGTTAAAGAGAAGTGAGAAGTGAGGTTAAAGAGAAGTGAGAAGTGAGGCTAAAGAGAAGTGAGGCTAATGAGAAGTGAGGCTAATGAGAAATGAAATCAAAGGGTAAGACAGTTAAAAGGCACAGCCAGTGTATATTAGAAGTGAAACTAAAGAGTGAATCAACTAAGGCAGTGGAATACAAAAGGGCAGTAGGAAGAACCCCCCGGTTAACTCGCCCCCTCATGTTCGCCATATGTCCTACATATTTTTGAACCTATGATACAATTTGGCAGAATACACTACTGAGCTATAAGGGCGTTTCCATGGAGTGCCTTATATTTGCCGCCAATATAAGGGATCTTCACTTGCTATTTAGGAAGAAACCGCTCATGCTTTGTCCGCCATACACGTGAACAATTTCATACAAAGATAGTTACAATGATACCTACACTTCCAGGATATCCTTACTACCTTACCAGATATTAGAGGTCGATGCTATATGACCATGATTTGCTACTCAATCACTCCAACATCTTATCATATTAATCTCACAGATCGGAAGGTATCAACAAACTAAATCCAAACAAAGCATTCCAATAATTTCAGGGACTGGATGGGCCCAAGAAAGGCCCAGCGGCCAACAGAAGGCGAGCTTAGGGCGGCCCTCATAGTTTGATCCTTGACCTATGTCGTTGAGGGCCAACCGTTCGCTGTTTGCACAAAGAGCTGACGCTGAGTCCTCTTAGCCATTGCGTCGGCTGCTACATTTCCTGGTACCCTACGATGTCCGGGGCTCAGGTGTAGCTCGACATGGACCCCAAGGGTATTCAGGGCTTTGGTATGAGCACAAATCGCAGCAATCTCGTCCGCCATATCCCCAATTGGTGGGTACGCCAGATCTCCATCGATTCGCCGAAGGGCATTACAGTCATCTGTAAAGATGAACAGCTCTTTTGCCATGGTATGAATGTGTGACATGGTCCGTCCTGGGGTTCCTTGAAAAAATTCCTTGTCTGACGGTAGCTTGCGAACAACACGGGCTCGGTCCTTCTCAATATCCTCAATTGCTGCCTTTAGTGTGCAAGAAATTGCAAACAATTCAACGACACTGCTGTCTTCCACGCTCAGGGGATAGTAGAACCCTTTTCCATCCCACTTCGGAGAATTGAAGGTTTTCGGCCACACAACGCCAGCAGCACCACACAAAACGCGGACGGAGGCATCAAAGAAGTAGACCAAGCGTCTTTGAACTTGGTCTGGAATAGGAAGTTGCAAAATCTTGTCCGCAATGTGCCAAGCCTCGTAGCCATTGATATGAAACACGGATCCTATGAATCTGTGACCTAGCTCCCAACTAAATTTCCAGCCTGTCTTGTCTTTTCTGATGCGTTTTCTCCTCCTTTTTATGGGCGGTGGGAGAGCAACTGGATCTTCAGTGGCTGAAGAGCGACTTCTTTTGCGATTTGGGGGGCTGTTCACTTGTGCGGCTGCCTGTGGGTCTTCTCCCAGGCTGTGCCCCGCCGGCTCGTTGTGCGACTGAACATTCTGCTGAGAGCCATGCCCGTCTCCAGGGCTTGGTGGTCGTTTCGGCAAGGGGTGTACGTACGGAGTATGTCCGGTCGCGGGCCCGACGAGGGGATCCAGAACAGGCCCCGCCGGCCGGTTGTGGGACGGAAGATCCCCATGATAGCTCTGTCTGTGGCTAGGGCTTGGGGGCTTGTTTGGTAACGGGTGGATACGGGGGGTTTTTCCAGTCACAGGCCCGACGAGAGGACTCAGAACATGCTCCCCAATTGGCTCGTTAGGATGCTCACCAGCGGGTTCAGCGGTTGCATTGACGGGACTTTTCTCAGCAAGAGACTCAACAGCAAGATCGGTTGTATGGCTGGGAGCAGCTTCGTCACTAGCTGTATTTGGATGTTTCGAGGTCGATGCTTTTGTTGCTGCTTGAAATATTGAGGCGCCGAGGGGGTGTTGGACGTTTGAGACCGTATCAATAACTGAGGCTTGGGGTGGTGCGTTGCTGGCCGTCTTGTTAACACTGGCTGGAGCACATTCCGTTTCCTGGAGCTCAGATAGAGCATTATGAGAGGTAGGGTGGCTTGTTTGTGGACGTGGAGATTGGGGCGAAGGCACGGGACTGTCGATAGATCCCAGCATGGAGGAAACCATGTCTTCGCTGTGATGAAGCTGACTTGGTGTAAAGGGCAGGGCTTAGGATCAATTGGGGATGCAAGGGAACATGGAATCCGACGAACGAGAAGATGGAATAGAAAGAAAAAAAGCGAAGGTGAAGGAGAAAACAAGAGAAAAGCATGAACAGAGAAGAAGAATACAGAGCTCCTTTTGGATAGGTGACGAGTCTGGACTTTGCTACAAAGCTCAGCTAGAGTGGAAGCTGCGCTGCATTACTGCGCTGCATTACTGCGCTTTTTTATCTAGCCTGGAGACAATTCCTGTGCTCCCATATGGCCTCCTCTTTCCTCTTGCCATTATGGTTGTAAATGATACTTATGATACACTTCCTTTTCCAGATCGGACCCACAGACTAGTGTTAAAGGGTGAGGCTTTTGGTCGGTTTTCAAAAGGTCTCTCATGGCAGCTGAAGGCCCTGTTGCAAGGTGAGTAGATAAGGTCTGTTTCCTTAGACGGACATCGAGGACTACCCAATATGCGACAGGCTATCTCCATCTCCCGGTCACCGATAGTCTCGCTCGCCGATTGACTCACACTGGGAGACAGGCTATAGGACCTAACCCACGTCTCATGCGGCTCTTTAAAAAAGATTTGGTCAATCTGCAACTTCCTTGATCTTAGCACAGCATGTGACACTCATCGCAGCTTCTGTGCATGACTGCATGACTGTACAGCCTGCTAGGCCTGTCAATTGTCATGTTGCTGAAATTTTCATTGCGTTCGGAGGCATCATGTAGAGGTTGACGAGACGGGAGTCAGCTTCTAACCCGGAGAGTTAAACAGGATGTTTTTCATGACAGAAGGATTGGCTAGAAAGCAGGAGTGATGACAGGGATTCCAGAAGCCGAATTCTGATACATAATTCCGTTACTGTCACAACCAAAATCTTTCTCCCTTTCGATCTTGAGCCAAGCATGGAGATGAGCAAAGAATCTTCCACTAAGTAAGTATATGTTTCAACAAGCCACCACTGACTGGTAACTAATAAGCAACACGCAGTCATCCAAAGACCCGCTCGCCCAGCCGTTGCGCAACCAACGGGAATTTCATGGGCCTCAAATCGACCACGCGAATAATCATGACTGTCTGCCATCGTACTTGCTCTAACGCTGGGATGAGAGGAAATGGGGACACCTTCTGTTGATATGCTCCAGTATTATCGAGCCAATCTAGAGCTCGTGATGTCAAAAATCTTATCAATTCACCCGAGCCCTGCCTATGGGCTTCACCTCCCGTCCCGATCCACAGATCCTAGACAAAGCCAAATACGAAAGTATGACCAACTGGAGCACTCCCGTACTATTCCAATTGAGGGTGTACGCATTATACTGGAGGATCCGGGACATTCCCTTCCATGTTAGTGCAGCAAAGTATTCACAAGAAGGGAGCTGTACATCTTCAGGGATGATATGCAAGTACCACATTTCTTGAATGGGACTTACACGGTACCCGGTGCAGTATGTTGTCCTGGACCCTAGGTGTACTCCGTACAGCAGTGGAAATAAGGCCCTAGACTAGTCTGGAAGTGGGTTAGTGTGGATATCACGGGACTGAAGGACCCACCGCCTAATATTCGAAGTCTAAACAAGTGAACTTCCGGGAAATGGCCCCACACTTATGTTTGCCTTTGAAGGCATGGTTCAGAATAGAGAATCACATAAGATGTTTGTGTAATAACCAATAGAGTAGTAACCGAAAGAGTAAGACAGTAAAAATATCACACGATGGTTATGATGCGAATCAAGCTGTATGGGAATGGTATGGACTATGAACTTAATAACACGCAGAACTTTGATAAGTAATTAAGATCAGAAACACGACATTCAAATACAGCGCTTCTGTGTGGGATCCCTGGTTAATCAGGTCCAGAGGTAATTGGGGGTAATTACTCAGTACAGGGTCCAAGTATCATCGCGACGCTTGGTATCTGGTAGTTTATCCAGGCAAGGGTCGAAACAGACTATACCAAACTCACACCTCACTAGCGTGACTGGGTGAATGAAATTATCAAGACTTGACTAGAAGAAGGAACACTGAATCATAAGGCGAAAGCTTGCGTACAAGGTACATACAAGGGGACCCTTTTGCCACGACAGCTGAGCGATTCGCTAGCCACAGCCTCTTGATAATTGAGATTTTTGGGTGTTAGGGGTGGGATGCTTTCGCTAGAACGTCAAGAAGAGGACTAGATGTGATGCCGAGACATCAAGAGCAACATGTTGGGGTGAGGCTTTATGGGCTCCCAAGGTCAAGACATTAGGGGTAGAAGTGGTCCTAGGAAAGGGGATCATTATCGGAAGACTCAATCAGCCCGAGACTTGAACTAAAAATAAATAGGAGTTCAAGATAAACGGGTCGAAGGGTTAAGCAAATCAATGCACAGCAGTAGATTTAGATAATTTTAAAGGTAAGAAGAAGCAAGGCCGAGAAAAGAAAAAAAAAAAAAAAAAAAAAAACAGATCCCCCTAGGCTAAGTGTAGGCCTGGGGTCGAACCAGGTCCATCACCGCCCAACTGACCTCCCTATCACGACTCGGTCTAGCCATGTCTTTCTAGCAGAGACTAATTCCGGGGAATTACACACTGCACCATAAGGGGTCTCCGTTGAAAAATATGAACTTTCAGTTAAACTTAACAAGCAGCAGTCTAAAGTCCCACCTATATGTTATCCATATCAATTTTCTCTACCACCCAGAATCATATAATTTACTAAATATATCATGACAAAATCATTGATGAACATAATTTTCAAATAAGGTATATCCAAGTAACTACAAGAAAAGTAAAGCAAAAAAACGGATCCCCCCTAGGTTAAGCGTAAGCTTGGGGTCGAACCAAGTCATCCACCACCCAACTCGACCTCCCTATCACGACTCGGTCAACCATGTCCTTTTAGCAGCGTCTAATTCCGAGGAATTACCCACTGCGCCATAAGGGGTCTCCGTTGAAAGGAACTGGGCTTGCCCCAATCATAAGAGACCACTTCTGCCATTTTGGGAAGGTGCAACCCACTACTAAATTGTACCTGATAGCTGTGGTTTATTCTTAGCCTTCGTGATACATTGGCTATCGATCTTTTGTTGCAGATTGAGTCAACTTCTGCTATATGGTGGGTCGATATCACCATTTCATTTATCACCGTTTATCACCTTGACTCTCTGGTCTTTTCCACAGTCTTCACTATGCCCTGCTAACAGGCTACATCAGACCCATCACGCACCTAGATAGGTATGGTGGTTGGAGAAACCTTATTTGTTCCCTTGAACCTTACTGAGGACCCACTTATCACATCTTGCTAATCCATGGAACAGGAGTATCAGCCCCACACCCACATGAGCGTGGACATTCGCTCGGCTCTGTCCACTTCGCCCTCCTGAACGGACGTCTCGCACAAATGATACAACCTATCTTACAGGTGAAAATCCCGTGGACTGCCATTTCGTACATGCCATGACTCAGTGCTGGGACATATCTCAAAAAATTTGTCTCAAACGCTCTAGGGAACTGAGGCAGCCAACGAGATGGCCAACAAGATGCAGCATGAGTCTTGTATAAAACCTACCCCATGGGGCATGGAACTAAGGATTAAAAGGTGTCAGTTATGCCTGGTGTCACAATGAGCTTGTGGATCTACAGGAGACCGCTGCCAATATCATTGCTCTCCTGAATGCTTGAGCTGACACATCCACACCACTTCCCGAGGTCATAGGTGCGCAAATACTTCGATTGAGGGCTGCTAGGCTCTATTTTATTACCACAGCACATGAGTTGAGAAGTTGAGAAGTGGATTACCAACCCCGGCCTCTGGGTGGCGTCTTAAGTCACAGCAACCATTGAACCACTCCGCCACAAGGCCATGGATCATAGTCAGTACCTACGCCATCAAACATTAGTATTCTTTATGCTGACTCCACTGTCAAGTACATACAAGACCATTAGTACCCACATGCATACGATCATTGGAACAAACATATGCGCCCTCACTAGACCCTTTGGAGAGCCACCTGCACCGATCACATATCTTTGATCCATGAGACTGGGCTATCAGCCCACCATTGGTGTGGACCTTTCCTCTGTGATCTTCGACTGACATTTTTCATGCCAGGTACATGCCAGGTCTATAGGCAGCCTCATCGCACAACAGCACACGGCTCCGCCTTCTGTCAGCCTTCATCTCAGAAACGATCGTTTGGTGTGCCGAAAGCCGAGTCAGTTAGTGAGATGGCTTAAACCATATCTCGTCACACAGAGGGATTCTACGCATTGACTTGACTAAATAGGCGGTTACACAAAACTGACGTTTTGTTTTCATTCTACTCCGCTTCCCCATGGCTACCGGTGTGATCTCAGCATTCGCAGTTCAAAGTCCGAGAGTCTGTGCTAGTGAAAGTATTTCCTCACAACACAGGTCGTTGAAAAAAACCCCTATGCGTCTCCTCCCACCCACATCTTAAAAGTGAATGGCCATGTGCTGTTCATGGAATTTTGCTATCCGGATATCCCAAGGACGAACCATTTTGTCAAACTCGGACATCCAGCAGTGCACAACGTGCTGTCGTCAACACTCACATCTTTCAATAAACCATGCATGTTGACATCTTCCACTACTACGCCTCTCTTCTGCCTCACTACACTTCTTCTGGACAACTCTCTTGCGGTCCCGGGCCGAATATTCTTTGATCCCAAATCCACCAAGGGATTGCGCGGTAGAGGCACAGCTTTACAGCTCCAATATGTGGTAATAGGCACACTAGGGGCCAGCGCTGCTTCAAGGGCCGGTTTCTACAACCAGTTTGGCAATGGCCACAGCGGCCCCTAATTCCTGGGTGGTTCAAATTAGTTTCTTCGCCCTTCAAAGTGTACCTGGATCAAGAAGTGCTGATACTGTTGTTGCAATGGAAAGAAAAGGTTGATTGAAGTCTTCAAGGTAACTAAATGCACCATGTGCTGACGGTTGTAAGTACAACCAACAGGCTGAACATGCCGTAGAACTTATTGTCCCACTGCAGATTTTGTTTTAGATGATTTCTCGAAGACCTGCGAAGCAACTCATTAGAATAATATTAACCTGTTTTTACATATTCCAAACGTATGAGGAAACTCTGAATGGTAGAAATACGTGATACCATTTTCCAAATCACGAACAATTTTATCTGGGCTGTCAATAAAAGGCTTGATACATATCGATAAACGCTTACTTTGGCCATGAAGGAGATATATCTTAGTGGTCTACAGACTTGTATATTAAGCTATATAGCGTCGTGAACTCTAACCAACTCGCAGTAAGAGATTCTTCTTCGGCTTCCACAATTCCTTGATGTTCATCCGGCAGAACACGCGTGTCTCCGTTTTCGTGTTGAAACAAGGTGACGAGGCTGGCGCAACCGTAGAGCCCATACGCTCCAGCTGTTTGAGCCCGTTGATATCTCCGTAGCCGGTGAGACAACAGGCTTTCATGCGTGACGATCAGGCATCCAAAACTCTCTTCGTAAGTGGAAGCTCGTAGATTTAGTCAATCATGACAATGATATGATTCTGTACTTACCCACAGATGCGAGTGCTTGGGGTATACCGAGCAGACCAATCCTCCTGGGGTCTGATGTATTGAGACAGTAATCACGCGTGTCGACGAGTATGAAGGAGGTTCTCCGACCGACCAACAAAGTGAGGAGGTCTTCCGGATCACAGATGTTTGTTCCCATGGTTGCTCGGGTTGGATATCCAAATGTTGGCTGTAAAGAGAGTGCCCTCGAGGGTTCATCGAATACCTGACTCGCTGGATGGATTATAGCCGAGGGCGCAACAATAGATAGTTCGAGGCCTGTCCATTGCCAGACAAATGAATTGGGTCTGAATCCAATCAAAGGTTAGAGCGATGCTGTTGCAATGGCTTAAGTTGGATGGATGGGAGACGCAAGGCAAAGTCTAGAGCAAAGCAAGGCCGACTCTAGAGACTTCGCAATATCAGACGTGGAAGGTCTTGAAGTAGAATGGGCGAATGGAACAGCATGCAGCGAGAGGAACAATTAGGAGTAGAGGTGAAGAAGGAAGCCGAGTAGGAAGGAAGGTGCGAAGGGGCTTATACTTTCCCGTGAAATTATGTATACGATCATGCATCAGTGGTTGGAAAGATTCAGCGAGAAGATACAAGCAAGGAAAGAGAAATGAAATTGATCCAGCAGAGAACAAAAATCTACAATAAACCGAGCGCAAGCATAGTATGTCCTTGTTTGTAATTTGAAATGCCACGTTTATTGAATTGTACCAGCCAATAGCAAAACTGACGAGGATGACCCCCATGTCTCGGCGCCATCAAGGCCCTTAGTTGAAGACCAAGCGTCCATTATCATTTCCAATGCGCTCGGACAGGTTGATATCCGCAGCTTGGCCTTCTCCTTCGACGTCGTTCAAAGTAGCCCGCAGAATGGGGAGGTTGTCATCTCCTTCGAGCTCTAAGCTGATATCATCGGCACTGGACTGGAAGTCACCACCTTCCCATTGGAAGTGTCCTAACAAAGCGAGTTAGAAAGTTCATTACAACGAATTCAATCTAGGGATACCCCGTAAGGACCAAGACTGACTGCAAACATACCATTGTCGTTTCCGATGTGATCATTGAGATCGAGGGTGGACTCCTCCTCATCACCATCCTCATTGCGCAGCACCGCCTTGAGGATGTGACCATCCTCAAGCTCGATGTTGGAAGCAGATGCGTGGAAGCTCATAGTGTCGATGTGGGAGAGAAGAATGCAAAGTAGAGTATGTAGACCAAGTATCATAAACTTCCTGGATAGCAAAAGTAACCGGGAGAGGGGACCTGTCTTATATACCCCATTTGGGCAGGCTAATACACCCCGAATCGCGATCTGGGCTAACACAAGGAATCGTGCAGCAGCCTCCGGCTCTAGTCCGACACTTGTCCCCGACTAATTCGTCGCACTGCATCTCGATTGTCCCATTACGGCTGGCAGTGGGGCATTCATAGGGAGCAGCGGCATTGGCAAAGCGGGGATACTGGGTTTGGAGTCAACGGGGATGTCTTGCAAGACAAAGAATGCTTGGGAGTCGGTCTGTACTCCGTACACTCCGTACACGGTGTACACCTGTGGAGAGGAAGGGAATGGGAGGATCCACTACACCGGTACACGTCAGTGGGTGGAGCAAGACCCAATGTACTTCGGGAGTAAACACCCCAGGCTGTCGTCTTGGCTGGATATTTGGCACAAAGGAGTATGGAGCAGATGATGTCTCGATATCCAGTTATCGTGGCGCATAGCGACACACCGGCCCCAGCCACAGGAATCACAACTCGTGATGTTGCGCTGTGCATGCCAAGAATGCACGATTCCCTGACAGCCCTAGGGTATAGCCACAGGATGTGGGCCACACATAGCCAATGGGTATCGAACCGACTGAGAAATGTTGTTGCCTAAGACAATGCAGTTGACTGCTCATTGCCAAGTTGAAAATGCAGCCTCATGTCGATTTCTTGGCAAGGATTGACCAGTGGCGTAGAGGGGAGGTGTGGCTGGATAAGGCTAGCCTTGTGAGGGATTTTTGGCAAATGTCCAAGGTGGATCAAAAGGGACTACACAGATGATTTGTCTTTGGTTCTCACGACATTCCAGAGTCAACTTACATATGAACTATTCACTCAATACGATCGAAACAATCAGCCTGAGAAACTTTTCATTGCTTAATATACACAAAACAATAAAGTGGAGAGCACAGGCACAGGACCGAGTATCATAATTGACACACAATAGGAAGAAGGGAATCATCCACGGAACCTTTGAATAAAAAGAAAGATCCCTCAGAGAATTCTTCGGACAACAGAGAGTTATCTCTGTATTAAAGGTTCCAAAAATTGGGTCGAAGGAGATGAGAGCAGAGCCCCTTCTAAGGTCGGTTCAGCTCCTGGCAGACAATGGGAGTACCCAGACACGTGCAGTCAGGTTTAGCAGAGGTCATAGCTAAGGCCCCTCAGGTATCCGAAGATGACCAGTCGGTAAGCCTGCACGTACATGCTATAGGTTGTTCGCAGCCCAGCCCGAGACCCCATCGCCCACCAGAGTCCTCAGGATATACCGATCACCGGACAACAGTAGACATATTGAATATGCCCCTGAAGCTGACCAACCGGTCAAAAAATTCAAGAATGCTCAACAGGAAAAACGATGTGCAATGTGAGCCCGGAGTGGTTAGAGAAGAAAGAAAGAAAGAAAGAAGAGAGCAAGGGGAGGGAGCAAGTATTTATACCCTCCCAGTGGGTGAAGGTGATGAGAGAACTAGGGTAGGTGACGATGTATGGCCCAAATAGAAAACTTACGACACACATAACAAGGTACCACGTCTAGTAAGAAACTTCGAAAAATGGAGGGAAAAAATAGTATGTATTCTTCTTGCGAATAACCTCAAACCCCAGTATCAAAGACACCGAACACCGATTGCAAACTCCCATGTCTTACAAGATCGACAGATGCACAGAATCACCCCATCCCATAGCACACATACCAGGTTGTATCAACAGAAACACATTAAAATCATAATAAGTCACAGATTAAACTCCATTACGGTAGATTTGAGATCCACCAGAACGGATCTGAATGGTATCACGTCGCTGCAAGATCACCAGCGCACGGTTAAGTGCTTGCTCGGTGTAGTTCTTGCCATCAACAAAGTCACGGCGCAGGGTTGCCAAGCTTGTGCTCCAACCAATGGGGAGACGACGCTTCAGTTCATCTTCAATCTTGCTGCTTTGCTCCATAAGTTCCTTACTGCCTTGGCCCTCGCCCTGAGTAATCGCGTCCATGGTAGATGCCAGGAAGAGACGGATGGCCTCGTCCACGTGGGCCTCTGTGGCGATGGGGGAGAGAGAAAGCTTGGCGAGGGACTCGGAGATACGGACAATAGCCTCAAGTTGACGGACGGTGATGGGGATTGATGACCGAGCGTTGGATTCCATCTCGGCACGGTGGACTTGCTTTCGGATGGAGACGAAATGGGACGAGAGCTTTTCCGCAGCCTCGGGCGAGAGACGGGGCGCACAGCGACTAGACGCGATGTTAGTATGAATTGAGCGGTACAAAATCAGTAATGGGGGTTCACATACCTGCGGCAGTAGCTGATGTAGCGCTTCATCTGTTCAACGGGAATTTCGGCTTCCACTTGCTCCTCCACACCGCGGCCACCCATGTGGACACCCATGACGTGCCGGGCAATCTTCTCATCACGGCCGCGCTCGTGTTCATCGCGAACGACGAAGATCATATCGAAACGGGACAAAATAGTGGTTTGGAAATCAATGTTCTCGCCGGGGGTCTTGAGATCATCGTATCGGCCGAAGATAGGGTTGGCTGCGGCCAGTACAGACGTTCTCGAGTTGAGAATTGTGGTGATTCCGGCCTTGGCGATAGAAATGGTTTGCTGTTCCATGGCTTCGTGAATGGCCACTCGGTCCTCGTCACGCATCTTATCAAACTCATCAATACACACAACACCACCATCAGCAAGCACCATGGCACCACCCTCGAGATAGAACTCTCGAGTGGTATGGTCTCGCTGCACGGAGGCTGTCAAACCGGCAGCAGAGGAACCCTTTCCGGAAGTGTAGATGGCAATGGGAGCAGCCTTTTCCACAAACTTCAAAAGTTGAGACTTGGCAGTACCGGGGTCACCCAACATGAGTACGTTAATGTCACCACGAAGCTTCATTCCATCAGGAAGAATCTTCTTTGAGCCACCCATGAGCAGACAAACGATGGCTTTCTTGATATCCGCGTTTCCATAAATTGATGGTGCAATGCTTCGGGCAAGGGCATCGTACAAGTCAGGTCTCCGGCTAAGTTCCAAGAATTCTTGCTCCTCTTCGTCGGAGAACACTGAGGCGCCCTTTGCTGTCTGGTCGACGTCGGAGGTGAGGCCCACCGCGCGGAGATAGGGGTTGCGGATAGCCACAGCAGCCTCCTTTTTGACACCCTTCGCTTGGTAGATAGAGAAAATGCCCATGACTGTGCAACGGGAGCCAGGAACAACACGGTTGGCAAGGTAGCGATCGGCTGAAACAAGGACGTGTCGCGGGAGCTCACCCACTGGCACCTGGTCAGGGGCTTCCTGAAGCTTGAGGACTTGCTGGTCCACAAATTGACACTTCTCGTGGTGAACGACGTAAGGATCCAAGGGACATTGCTCGTTGGGTTGGTCGTTTTCGTGTTTGGGTCGGCCGCAGCGACGCGGCAACTGGAGGCCAGAGAAACCGCCATCGATATGGATGTTCTCGCTGTGATCGCAACCCTTGCAGCGAACATGAACGATGGTTGATTTGGAAGATATTGTTGAAGCTCCAATCACAATTCCGGGAATGCGAACGAGGTGGGAGACGTTGGTGGCATTAAGATCACGAATGGAGATATGCGATGCTGATGAGTGTAGGAGCAGTTGGTGGGAGGGCAGTGTGATATCTCGCTGCCCGGGGAACACAATTCGTGCAGTACATTGCTTTAGGGCCAGCTCGAACTAGTTCGAGTTAGCAAGGGCCAAGATCGGCGGGCCAAGAAACTTACAAGAGGGATGATATCGCCGGGCTCGGTGGTGAGTTTATGAGCCAACTCTTCATTGTAAGAAATGAGATGGGCAATGTCAATATCACAGTAATATTGTTTCACGAGGGCATTCTGCCGTAATTGATCCCTGTTGCATCATAGATTAGCCTCCATTGGACCCTTGTGGCCATAGGATGCGTACCGATAGACGAATGCATTATCGAGCTGAAATTCTAAGACAAAATCTCGCAGGCGGTTTTGAATAGTCGTGCGATCTTCATCACCGCCATTTGTGCTAGGCGCAAGTACGCTCAAAGTATAGGGGGTGCGTCTATCCATGGTGTAGGGGACCGCAAATGTGGCAGGTTGGGGGGGGTTGATGATTTCGCGGAAGGGAGGCTTCAAGAACTTTTGGTTATTGTGGAACCAACGCGACGCGTCGACAGTTCACGCGTTAAGTGGTTTCTGAGTCAGCTTTGGCCTGAGGCCCTACTATATGGCCTGGGGCCGAAATGATCTGAGTCAGCACGGGGAAGCGCTCGGCGTTAGCGCACTGGCCGATTGGGGAGCCATGCCCAGCTTCATAGAAAGAAAGCCACATCACGGTCATTCTGCACACTGGACTCGAGCGAATCCGGACGAAATTACGAACCGCAGACGCTGATTTAATCAGCCTTAGGCCCCGTACCTGAGCCTGCCAGAGCTCTGCTATCAGCGGTTTATCCACTGTCATGATCAGATAACACAGAACACATCAACGATCGACCCTCCCCCGGTGGCTGTCCGATCCGGCTCGTGGCAGCGATGTCGTCAACCAGTCCACGAAAGTCAATTGATAGCTTGGCGTCTGGGATTTCGTCGCCTTCGGTCTCTTATTCAACAAGTCAACTGGAATCTCCGCGCGCGGCCCCTCAGCGGTTCCCCCTGAGGAGGGGATCAACCGCGAGCTCGATCGTGAGCATTGGAGGTGTTTTGGACTCTTCTCACTATCATGGCTCAATTGCAGAGTCTGGGCAAAATGGTTTGTGTCCATCGGAGTGCCAAATTGCTCGATAATTGACCTGTTAACATCGATGTAGCCATTTCGACTCTGCTCCAGCCCCCAATCATCCGCACCGGTATGACGACCGGTAGTAGTACAGCAGCGGCCACCTTCAAGCCCCCTTCGACCCGCGATATTCCCCCGGTAACCTTGACAAATATCAAGCATGTGGATGCAAAGGTCTTCCAGCCATATCTGTCACAAGTAGGCACGTTGTACGATGTGTTTCAACAACCGAAAGAGGGTGCAGAGGAGGGTACTCAAATGGCGCAGGCTGCTAAATCTCCGAAGCCAGATTCTGATCGCGATTCCTTGATGCCATGGTCCCCCGATCGGAGGTCTTCAGTCATGTCGACCGGTTCAAGATCATCTTCGCCATATGATACTCGCGGCCGACGCCAGTCTACAGGCCGTGGTCGCGCCCCCGCAGTCACTCCTCTGTCCACCATTCCTCCGGTTTACTTTGAAGAGGACTTCCATCTGGAGAATCCCCGTACCTTCGATGTGATATCAGAAAAATCAGATGTGGTTCGGCCACCAAGACCTCCGACCAAAGACGATAAACACGCCAATGGATTGGTTGCGGAGCCAGTACAAACAGGGAGAAAAGCGCTCGCAACGAATGCTATTCTGCAGGAGAAGCTCTCGTGGTACATGGATACAGTGGAAATCCACCTTATTTCGTCTATTTCAACTGCATCGAAATCCTTCTTCACCGCGCTCGGGTCTCTCAGAGAATTACACGCGGAAGCCGCTGACTCGGTCAACCGGATACAAGTACTGAGAAGGGACCTGCAGAAAATTGATAAGGAAATGGCTCTGGGCGGTCTTAAGATTGTTAATTTGAGACGACGAAGAGAGAATGTGCGAATGTTGGCAGCTGCCGTGGCTCAGCTTCGCGATGTGGTAGAATCTGTCTCTCGGTGTGAAGAATTGGTAGAGCAGGGCGAGATTGAGGAGGCTGCCGATGGACTCGAGGAAGTCGAAAAATTGATGGCCGGTGAAAAGCTCTCTGACCGTGCAGCTGACGAGGACGAGGAGGGTGGCCACAGACGCACCATCGACCTGCGGGGCATCAAGGCCCTCGAGGGAGCATCCGATGACCTGGCACAGCTCCGCCAACGCATTGGCATGGGCTATGAGACCCGTTTCTTGAATGAACTTTTGGGAGATTTACGACAGCATGTTCAATCTGTGTCGGCGAACGTGACCCTACAACGCTGGGGAAACTCATTCCAACGGCAGCGTGGTGGTCAGCGGTCTGGGGTATCGGCATCGCCTGCCTATATGAATTTCAGTAACGAGTTGCGATCTCAATTGAACACCCAACTCAACGGACTCGCACGTGCTCGTTATACCATGTCAGCAGCAACTTCTTTCAAAACTGCTGTTTTACGAGAAATGAAGGGTCTTATTCGCAAGCACCTTCCCAGTTCTAGTGATGATGATAATGAATCTATGGTGTCGCTATCGACACATGCCGGTCCTCAGCTAAGCCAACAAGAAAAGTCATCAATCCTTGCTCGCAACCTACGCGCACTCGAAGCAGAGGATGCTTATGCGATGTTGGTGAGTGTTTACACCGGGATTAGTGAATCGCTCAGGCGACTCAGCGTCCAAGTCAAAGTTCTTCTAGATATTGCTAGCGGGTTGGGGAATTCACCAGCCTCTGGTGTAAAGTCACCACCACGGAGTCCCAACCCGCAAAGTATGGACCAAGCTGTGAAATCTACACAGATCGGGCCAACAGCTTCTGATATGGCACAGGATGAAATCCTACAGGTTTTGGATATGTCAAGTTTGCTTGGTCAAGCAGTTGACATCGCCCAGTCCCAGATAACAAAGGTCTTGAAGGTACGATCTGAACAGACCGCACAGCTCTCCAAGGAGGAATTCCTCAAGTACTTCACTCTCAATCGCCTCTTCGCCGATGAATGTGAGGCCATTTCGGGACGGAGTGGTACTGCTCTGAAGACAATAGTTGGAAATCAAATCCGCGATTTCATTACACGTTTCGGTGATGGTCAGCGCCATCAAATTGTCAATGTCATGGATGCCGATCGATGGGATGCTCGCGATTTCGGAGATGCCGAGAACACCATTCTTATTAGAATTCTCGATGCAAGCACAAAAGACATCGACGCCTGGGTGGAAGTTTCCAAGATCTGGGCTCAACCTGCTGAAAATGAAGAAGGGAAATCCATTGACTCTGCCGCTGCCAATGGGACTGATAATTCCAAGGTGCGCAGTGCCATTATCGACGAGCAGAAATACATTCTGCCTGACTCTGCTGTTGCCATGATGCGCAGCATTGAGGAGTTCGAGTTCCTCATGTCGAATATCCCCAGCATGATCCAGGATATTGCGCCGCATCTACTAGATATCCTGAAATTATTCAACTCGCGGTCATCGCAATTGATTCTTGGGGCCGGCGCTACACGTAGTGCAGGCCTTAAGAATATCACAACCAAGCATCTCGCGCTGTCGTCACAAGCATTGAGCTTTGTTATTGCTTTAGTTCCGTACGTACGGGAATTTGTCCGTCGCCATGGACAGGCAACCCCATTGATGGCGGAGTTTGACAAAGTCAAGCGACTATGCCAGGAGCATCAGAGCGGTATTCACGAGAAGCTGGTGGAAATCATGAGCTCGCGCTCTTCGGTCCACGTCAACGGGATGAAGAAGATCGACTGGAATGCCAAGGGAGCAACTCCTGCTGTGAATCCTTACATGGAAACCTTGGCCAGGGAGACGGGCACTCTCCATCGCGTCCTAAGCAAGCATCTTCCCGACATGACAGTTAGTATGATCATGGTACCCGTATTCAACAGCTACCGTGATCAATGGACGAAGGCATTCCAGGAGGCCGATGTGCGGACGGAGGCTGGAAAGAAGAGGTCAGTTTGATTATTCCAATCCCCCTTATGGTTCATACTAATCATAAGCACAGAATGGAAAATGACATCGAGCATTTCCGAACCAAACTGAGCAAAATCGAAGGTGCCAGCGAGGTTGGCGACAAGCTCCTCGAAGTCGTGCGAGCCAAAACCATTACCACTACCGATGAACCGGAGAAGTCCGAGACGAGTGAGAAGCACCAAGATCAGGACGATGGGTCTGATTCCACGAGGTCCTGATTTGCATTCTTATAGCATTTTTACCCTTTTATACATATAATTTCTTTTCTGCATTTTCTTTTCCTGGGCGCTCATTCCCGAGCTGTACACTTGTCATTGCCGCTACTACATAATTGTTTACTTGCATTTAAAGAGCTAGCCCGGCGTTTATGGATATGAATATCAGAGCAGATTGAATTTTCATTCCAATTCCGCTTCACGCATTACAAAGCCGAGCTTGTCTGTCATTCCCCTACCTTGATTCCTACTAACCCAAGACCAATTTATGACATGAGAGTATCGTGTATCATTCATAATATATGCAACTCGTCAAAACACCAAAATACTCATACAGGATAATCGCCATCCCAAAAGGACATAACGTCATATCAAACTTGAATCAAACCCTTATTTCCCAGCGGTGTTCTTCTCATCAAGGGAGACAGGCTTCGCAGCCCCACCATTGGGATGCTCCGATCCAGCGGTCGGCAAACCAGGGTGGACGTCACGGCCGGAGCCAGTCTGTTCAGGCATGGGAGCAGCCTTGTGGGAGCGGCTCAGGTCTGCGGGCTGGTATTTGTTAGCAACGGCACATGATTATAGATTCAGTTGATGCTGAAACGATTGGATTGGAACTGTAGCGGAACATACCTCATTGCCGGTTCCGTGGGCCTTGTTAGGACCGTTCTCGATTGGGTTGTCGCTCTGGGGGACACCGTTGTCGTAGTCTGCGCCGCGAACCATTTTGATTGATTTTGGTAGAGAGTAGGTGGAAGATTTGAGGTTTTTGGGAGTGGTCTTGAAGGATTGGTTTTTTGATGGAATAGAAAGTTGCTTGATGCTTTGATGCTTGTACTTATAGTTGGAATTTTTTGTTCCATTTTGGCCGTGACAACATTCTGAAATCATAGTGGAGAATATGACTTCATGTTCGTTGTATATCAAGGTCTTGGCGTGGATTCCTTGGAAATGGGTCTAACTGGGTCTAGAGATTTAATGGAATGTCGTAGATGAAGATGATACTGTACATAGTGAATGATTTAATTAGGGTAATTGTACCTGGCTCATCGGGAAACATTTCAACTTGGGTGTTCTTTGCGTGGAATATATAGCACTCGACAGAACCGGCTGTCAATTTTGGTTATATATTAACCATTTTGCGATATGTATCTTAGATATATTTCTGTTCCAAATCGAAATATACTGATATAATATTCGTTCTCATCCATGTATCGAACTCTATTATGCCAATAGTGTACTAGAATAGCCTGCCGAGCCAAGAGATGGAAAGAAATAGATTAACTACCTATGTTAGTCTAACAACACCATTTTAAATGTTATGAGTTGTGTTAGCAATGCACCGCGGCATAAATAGGTAGTATCTGTGACAAGAGGCCCGCCAGCACCTACTGTTCTTCTCAAATGAAGTTCTACGCCTGATGACGTCGCTTCCTTTGCTATCCATGGATTGTCAGCAAGATCAATGGATATACTTCAAATCCAGGAACATAATATGAAAAGCTCATTTATTCTTTTGCTTTATGATATCCGTCTGCAAATTCCAACCTTAGCTTCAAGTCTGACACAACATTGACTCACAGACATGAGAAATAAATGAACACCAATGAAGGACCATTGTAGGGATAACAAAAGAAAAAGAAAAATTCCGTGTTTTTGACTCTCTTCGAACCGGAGCATGTGAGCACCGATTATTCTCTCAACGATATCTTCGGTGTTGTGCAGCCGATCCCGCACTGAGACACATTTCCCAACCAGAGGGGTCAATATTCTCATCGATGAGATCGGTTTCAATACGCAGAGGTAGGTCTTCTTCAGAGGGGGCATAGAACCCCATATTGCCCACAGGACCGGCCCAAGGGGAATCAGGTGCGAGGTCTGATAAGGAGATAGAGACACGATTCAAGGCCCGAGAGCCATGCGCCGCTTGAGGAATAACCAACCCTGGGGGAGAGATTGTTCCCGATCCACGAGTTCTGCAGTGCCGGCACTGCGGGCCAGATCTGAGCGAAGATGGTAAACTGTCACTGTGAGTTGGCAGCCGGGTTGGCCCACGGGGGTTGAGTTGGTATTGGAGATCTGAATTTTCAAGTTGAGGGCTTTTGTCACCGCGGTGATTGTAAGGGTGACTGTGGAGAGCGCGATGTCGCCCTGCTAGACAGCCGTCGCACATTGAGGTTGGTCGGTTAGGGTACTGGGGGACATCAGGTGGTGCTGACGCAGGGTGAGAATGAGTGGTTGCTGAGATTCCAGGTGGTTGAGATCTGGTTTTTACTGCAGATGAAGAGGGAGCAGATGAGATACTGGGAAGGTGGGAGGTAGATGTCGCAGGGGGCAGTGGAGGTAATGGCCCATGTTGGATTTTACGGCTGAGACTGTATGGTCGGTGGTGTAGTGGTGTAGTCACATCATGGGTTGTATCTTCGGGAATGGGCAGCAAGGTATCACTCTGCGTGTTGTTGAAGATGACACTGCATGCTTTTCGAATTACGAGTGGTCGGGGTATGACATTTGGGGAGATATGCCAGTTGCTTAGGATGGTATTTCTCTTGTTGTATGTATGGCGGATGAGAGCTTCTGCAGTGGACTTCCGAGGGTTGGCCCTCCTGATGGATGATCGAGACATTTCCGATGACGACGTATGTTAAATCAATGAATCCGCATGCTGCTGGGTGTCTGCACATGAGCAGACACCATTCTTAGAAAGAGCAGGTGAGGTGCAGTCGCGAAGAGCTGAGGTGATGAGACAGCACAATCGTGGATCGGGATGTTGTGTGAAATACAACTCCGGGAGTTGAGGAGGTAGGTCTTCAATCGCTGGAAAACTGGCCATCCCAAAACTGAACTCTGCGAGAGCAGAACGTAACTGCTCAGATTGTGTTCTCTCACCACTTAACTCAGCAGGTATGCCTGGGCTCATTTCCCTAACTGCGGAAAGCTCGAACACATTCCTATGAACTTCAAATACAGAAATTGAGTCTGACTCCTCGGACTTCCCATCACTACTCAAAACAGACAAGTCTGGATTCATAATCCTCAGTGCAGAATGTCCATCCCCCCGCCAGCTTCCACGGGGATCAGGATACGGAGGCTTGGTAGTAGCCTCAGCAAGTGCTATTCTGTCGACCAGAGATCCGTTGACCACATCCATATCCAGTTTAGGAGACTGACTTTGTGAACTCTCTGACGATGAGGACATCAGAAATCTATCTAGCATCGCATTATCCTCGTCACTGAACAGAGACCTCCTCCTTGGGCTCGATACCTGACTATCACTGCGGTGCCGAAAAAAGCGACTCGGATATCGATCATTGAGGGCATCGAAAACGATGCGATTGAGCTCACAATCTGGGACAATTCGACAGCGCTTCCGCTCAATCTTGTTGATCAACTTGATCCTCACGTTGCCGAGAGGAGTGAACACCCAGCTTCTAAGCCAACGCTTGACCTTGATGCGCTTGCGGGCCTTCTTCCTCTCAGACATGCTTAATGCAACAGACGATTGAAGCTCAGAGCTCGTGTTATTCAGAAGAGAAGGGTCCTTCGGCGCGGGATGCTGCAGAGGCTCTCTTTCTTGAAGTCTCATCTCGCTCAGCCTTTTATATATTTCTGGCGTGGTATACTGCTATCTCCGAGATCGACATCAATGAGCCTTTCAGTTGATGCATCTCGAAGTGACACAACATTGTCATGTAGTAGGGAGGACTCAATCTCATTTACAATGAGGATGGGAACAAACACAGATTTGAGACTTTTGAGGTTCTTTGTTCATGTCAATGATGAGCTCTTTGTTTCCGTGTCTCTACTTTGATGACTCAACTGCGGTGGTGCTAGCTCCCCATGTAGGTAGCTCGCAACATGGGGTAAAAGAAACGTGGTCTCATTATGCCGATGTCTATTGCGGCATCTACATCTTGGATATAGGTATCTAGTGCTGACTGAAACCGAAGCTGTTCCGGTAGAAGCCTACTTGAGTTCGGTCAGATGTTTCAGGATCTCGGATATATTCTCTCCATAGGGGGGTGGCTGTTTATGTAGAGGCCAGGAGCACAGTGTTGTACAAACAGCAGTAGTTTGCATCTGCTATGTTGTACGGTATAGGGATATTTCAACACCAATGAGGAAATTGGACTGCCAAGCCGATCATCCCCTGCAAAACGGTCCGCGCGATGTTGTCACCAATAAATGCGGTTAGTAGAAGCCATTTGAAGTCATTTGAAGTCATGTGAAGCCATTTGAAGCCATCTGAAGCCACCTGAAGCCACTTGAAGCCATTAGGGCCTATCTTGGTGGACAACGATGAAGATCAAGCTCAGGCGGGGCCGTGGAGTAGCAGATGACATCATCCAGCTTTCCCCAGAATCGATCAACTGCAATTGGATAGGCCAGCAACATTCAAGACCGGGATTGATGGTAAATCAATGTAGATCACGGACTCAAATAATTGGAGAACCCGGAGAAACGTTCAGTCAGTAAGGGAGGGAGACACTATCAGGGGAAGACCGAGAGAGAAAGAGAACAGGGCGATCCCATTTTGGTACTGGTACAACTGGTCCCACTGTTACTACAGTTACATGGGAAGTACCAAGTACATCATACCATCATTTAAGACATCAAGACAATTTCCCAATTTCCCAACTTCTCCCAATTTAAATGTGAAATCTCTTCAAGCTAAAAAGTACTTTTCTCAACAGTCTCGGGTGGAATTTCCCTAGCTCTTTTTTTTTTAGCCTAAGCGCAAGGTCACACCCGTAGACCAGCCCGAAGAAAAACTCTTGACACACCGGGACAAGGAAACGGGAATCGTACGGAGGACAATATATTCTAGCAACTTCACTTGGATCGACATCCCACTTTCACCCCCAGCCACCCCAGAAACTCTCAGGTTCAAGGTCCACTTCTCCCCGCACAGACTCCGACAGCTCTTCCAAGGTTGCGGTCCCCCCCCTTCTCGCTTCTCGCTTCTCATTTTTCTTTCACTCTCATTTTGCTGTTCTGCATTTTGAGCATCATGGAGGGAAACGGCGAACCTATTAAGCGTGATGTGCGCAATCACATGCTCTTCGAGGTGGCTACTGAAGTGGCCAACCGAGTTGGTGGAATCTACTCGGTCCTCAAGTCCAAAGCTCCGGTGACCACTGCGGAATATGGTGAGCGGTACACTTTGATCGGCCCACTCAACAGAGCTTCGGCAGCGGTGGAGGTTGAGGAGCTGACGCCGACCAACCCGGCCATGCGGGAGACCATCAAGTCGATGAAAGAGCGCGGCATTGACTTGATCTACGGTCGCTGGCTCATTGAGGGTGCCCCGCGGGTTCTACTCATTGACACAGGCACTGGTTATAGGTGGTTGGATGAGTGGAAGGGCGATCTTTGGACTACTTCGGCCATCCCGTCCCCCGCTGGTGATAACGAGACCAATGAGGCTATCGTTTTTGGATACTTGGTCGCTTGGTTCTTGGGAGAGGTACGTTTGCAATGTTCTCCACATTGGAGATGGCAAAAGCGCATGACTGACCCATATCCCCGGCTGTAGTACATTGCTCACGATCATCGCCGCGCGGTCATCGCCCACTTCCATGAATGGCTGGCTGGTGTGGCTCTGCCACTCACCAAGAAGCGGCACATGGACCTCACGACGGTCTTCACCACCCACGCCACATTATTGGGTCGTTACCTCTGTGCTGGCTCGGTTGACTTCTATAATAACCTTCAGTACTTTGACGTGGATGCGGAGGCCGGCAAGCGAGGAATCTACCACCGCTACTGTATTGAGCGGGCTGCTACTCATGCCTGTGATGTCTTTACCACTGTATCGCACATTACAGCCTTTGAGAGTGAGCACTTGCTGAAGCGCAAACCCGATGGCGTTCTGCCTAACGGTCTGAATGTCAAGAAGTTCTCTGCCATGCACGAGTTCCAGAACTTGCACTCCCAGGCGAAGGAGAAGATCAATGATTTCGTTCGGGGACATTTCTACGGCCACAACGACTTTGACCTGGATAACACTCTGTATGTCTTCACCGCGGGTCGTTACGAATACCGCAATAAGGGTGTCGATATGTTCATTGAGTCACTGGCCCGTCTCAATCATCGATTGAAAACCGCTGGGTCAACCATGACCGTGGTCGCTTTCATTATTATGCCAGCACAGACCTCTTCCTTGACAGTGGAAGCGCTCAAGGGACAGGCGGTTGTCAAGTCTCTGCGCGACACTATCGAGAATATCGAGAAGGGGATCGGCAAGCGCATGTATGAGCGCTGCCTTTCCTGGAAGGAAGGTGACAACATGCCCGATGATAAGGATCTCATCACCAGTCAAGATCGCGTGATGCTCCGCCGTCGTCTGTTCGGCATGAAACGCCATGGTCTCCCCCCGATTGTCACTCACAACATGCACAATGACAGTGAGGACCCCATCCTGAACCAGCTCCGTCGTGTTCAGCTGTTCAACCACTCCTCCGACCGGGTGAAGGTTGTCTTCCACCCCGAATTCCTCAACTCCGCCAACCCCGTATTGCCACTTGACTACGATGACTTCGTTCGCGGAACCCATCTGGGCGTCTTCCCCTCCTACTATGAGCCGTGGGGATACACGCCGGCCGAATGTACAGTGATGGGTGTGCCTAGCATCACCACCAACCTGTCTGGATTCGGTTGCTACATGGAGGAATTGATTGAGAATTCCTCCGATTACGGAATTTACATCGTGGACCGTCGCGCCAAGGGCGTTGATGACTCCGTCAACCAACTGACTGACTATATGTTCAACTTCACGGAGAAGAGTCGTCGCCAGCGCATTAACCAGCGTAACCGCACGGAGCGTCTGAGCGATCTGCTCGACTGGAAAAGAATGGGCTTGGAATATGTCAAGGCTCGCCAGCTTGCACTGAGAAGAGGTAAGTTGCAATTCCCAGACGCCCACATGTGCTTTTGTAGGTGATTATAACTAACACCTTGTACAGCTTACCCATCCTCCTTTGAGGGCCAGGAGGATTACTTCGATATCATTGGAGGAACTGAACAGAAGCTCTCCCGCCCGCTTTCCGTTCCTGGATCGCCTCGGGATCGGTCCGGAATGATGACTCCCGGTGACTTTGCTTCTCTGCAAGAAGGTCATGAGGGACTGAGCACCGAGGATTATATTGCCTGGAAGCTACCGTAAGTTTCCTCTTATCATTCTACAAGATTCAATACTGATACATTCCATAGTGAAGAGGAAGAGCCCGAAGAACACTTCCCCCTCACACTGCGAACTCGCAAGACGAACGACCGTCCTGCATCCCCATTGGACAGTATATCGGTCAACCGAGCCAGGGAAGACTCGGCAACTGCAGGTCTGGCAGAATAGCCGAGGATATTGGACTTTGCATCTTCACAGACCCCGTTGGAATGGGTGACGTCATTTGTTTAATCACTTTTATGATCTTTTCGCTGTGCATTTGGAGCCTTTCTCTTAATTACTATGAAATCGAGATTTGTACTTTGCAAGAATGAATGTTATATATTTCTATCGTAACTTCTATAACGAAAGTGCAGCGGAGGGATGACCTCCGAGTATATCCACTCACGGAGCTACATCGGATGATATAAAGTTACGGTGAGCCATTTAGCGATTCATGCAGGAAGCGCTCGAGTATTTCTACCCCTCCTGCCCCTCCATCTTCTTTCTCATCTTCAACTACTCTCAACTCGTCTACTATTGGTACGACTCTCCCCATGGAGCTGCGCAAGTCTACCCCACGGGGCAGGACTATGTCCTCGCTACGATGAAGAGATGGATCAAGGTATTTGTTCGTATAACAGTCGGTGCCCACGCATGACAGGTGTTCGGTCCAGCCAGTTGGATGGGGAGAACTCTATAAACCCAAGGTCTCCTCCAAGGTCTGCAGGAGACTGGGTTTCCTCTTCCTACCACTGGCTGGCTGATCTGAGATTATACTGTCAAAACTTGATCTAGACAATACTAGCGAAAGGACATGCGTGACTTTGATTGTTCCCCTGTTTGTGTTTTGTGTCTGGCTCTGCTCGTGTCGTGCTGTTGACTGTTCAATTGAATACATAGATTGAATGGAGACTTCATTGACAGAGCAGAGCTGGATACCTTCTCTCTTGGCATGCTGACCGAATCGAAGTATTCAAATAGCTTGATCTTACTGCCATCATGTCTACCGACAAGATTACTTTTTTGACAAACTGGTATGCTAACATTATTCCAGAATCAGAGTCCCAGAGCCCAGTGCTCGATTTGGTAGTTCAACTTGGCTAAGTTATTTTAAAGGCACGCTACCCCGTACCACGCCCCCTTTACCTCGCCCAGGCCAGAGGTTACTTCAAGGATGAAGGTCTCAAGGTGGCTCTCCTCGAGCCTAATGACCCCTCCGATGTGACCGAGATCGTCGGAAGCGGCAAGGTCGACATGGGCTTCAAGGCCATGATCCACACCTTGGCGGTGCGTAATCCTACCCTGGATATACACGACCATATCAACCATACTAATACCACATTCAGGCCAAGGCCCGCAACTTCCCTGTCACCTCCATCGGCTCCCTCCTCGACGAGCCCTTCACCGGAGTCGTGTACCTGAAGTCCAGCGGAATCACCGAAGACTTCCGCTCCCTGAAGGGCAAGCGAATCGGCTATGTCGGCGAGTTTGGCAAGGTAAGAATCTCCCACTCACCTCAAATACGACCCAGCAAGCCCTAACCCATCCCAGATCCAAATCGACGAACTCACCAAGTACTACGGCATGACCGCCGACGACTACACCGCCGTCCGCTGCGGAATGAACATAACGAAAGCCATAATCCAAGGCACCATCGACGCCGGCATCGGCCTCGAGAACGTTCAAATGGTCGAACTGGAAGAATGGCTCGCCGGCCAAAACCGACCACGCACCGACGTCCAAATGCTCCGCATCGACCAGCTCGCTGAGCTCGGCTGCTGCTGCTTCTGTTCGATTCTGTATATTGCGAATGACGCCTTTATCGCCGCGAACCCGGAGAAGGTAGCTGCGTTCATGCGCGCCGTGAAACGCGCCACGGACGATGTCCTCTCTGATCCCGCTGCTGCGTACGCGGAGTACATTGATGTCAAGCCTATTATGGGGACTGATGTTAACCGTAAGATCTTTGAGAGGTCATTTGCTTACTTCTCGCGGGATTTGAAGAATGTTCAGCGTGATTGGACTAAGGTTACGAACTATGGAAAGAGACTGGGGATTTTGGATGAGGATTTCGTGGCCAATTATACGAACGAGTTCCTTTCTTGGGGACTGGATGCGGATTCTGTTGATCCTATTGGTGATCAGAAGCGTATGGCTGCGCTTCAGCAGGAGGTTGCTGCTGATGGTGGCTATAAGCGTCTAGAGGTTAAGGCTTCGGCTTAGGTTGAGCTTTTACTTGATCGCACTACTACTGGTGAAGATATTTGTCCTAGGCTTCACTCTTTAGCCTTGGTCGCTTGAGTTAAATTCGAAAAACCTGCCATATTGGTATCGACTGTGCTGTAAACATGTAGAGAGAATCCGCAGAATAGACCACCTGGTAGTACATGATGCAACTTAAGGATTTCTCACCAGTGGCAAAGAAGATCGTATTGAGAAAAATGTATGTACGAATATCATGAATTTTGGAAGAATAATTTGTTTCGAAGGGCGTTAACATCAAAGTCATATATATCATGTCTCATAATAGGCCACCGCGCTACGAAGCCGATTTAACGCACAGGCGTGCTTTCATCCCCTGGACGTTGAAGCATAGCTCGTAACCGACTCTCCGCGGACTGTAACGCAGGACTAGATTCAGGCGCAGCGATAGTTGCAGTCCAATTTAGCCAGCTAAGGAAGGATTGAATGATTTCCGGACTCGAGTTTCCTGTAGCAGGCGACCGATGACCGACCAGATTAGATTGCAAGAGAATATTGAATTCAGTGGAAGATTCATCATTTGCAGTCGCTTCTAGATGCACCTCCGTCACCACAGCGGGAGTTGCCATCTGAGATGACTGCTGTTCGCCACTGCCAGCAGCAGCATTCTTTGCAAGTAGATCCCGCCCGCTATGTTTAGGTCTTGATGCGAATTCGCGTGTGAAAGGAGTCGACGATATGGTCTTTGGGCTATTGGTCAAAACAGGTTGCTCCTCAGAGTTCATGTCTGGAGATAGGGGAGGATGTTGTCTTTGAGTTGTTTGGCCGGATGTACCATTCTGCTCCAGCATAGACGCAGTCTGTCGCAGGGTTTCTAGATAACGATGGAACGAGAACGGATGATCATCACGAGCTGGATCAACCGGAGTAGCCTCCTCATCAACAACAACCGCATTGCTATCCTCCGCACGTCGTTCTTCGCTAGGTCTAGCCTGCTCGACAGGTCCAGTCGCGCTCGACGGAGCACAAATCTCACCTAACGGCGCAATGTGACTCCCATACTCGTTTGAAAGACTCAGCTTGCTCCTTCCACAGATCTCAGCAATGGAGTCTAGAATACCACGGATATCTGGCTCGATGGCTTGCAGTATACTCTCAATACTGAAGTCCTTATCGGACGGCAATGTTATATCTGGCTGGGATGGGCGAGGAGCCGAGCTCCTTGACCCGGAGAATGAGAGGAACCGACGCGCAGACATAACAGATGATCGTCTGGTTCTATCCTGGGCATCGCCTGAATACGCCCTGACAAGCACAGGGCGTGTAGCGACAGTCGATGAACGCCGCGGAGTGGGATTTTCAACTCGGACAGGACGGGTTTGGGGTCTCGGAGAGACGTTTGACTGACAAAGAGCTGTGGGACGATATGCTCTTGCTTGGTCTTCGGCGAACTCGTATCGCTGGTTTGTTTGGTGTGAGGGGCCAGCAGCGGGCACGACTGGAGCGTGGGATGGGGATAGTATTCTGGGCCATCCTTGTCGATACAGGGTAGACGACGGCCATGTGCCGGGCAATGTATCTGAGTCCATCTCCGTACCGGTTGCGGTAGCGTACAGCTACGTTGTTATGCAGGAGACAGCGCAGAGACTAACCCCGCTCTGGAAGGGCACAGGACTCCGAGAGGACTAAGGTCGGCTCACGAGGGATGTATCCACGTTGCATGCGCAGTGCATATTCTCCGATGTGCGTTGGATGTTTTGCCTAGTAAACCATCCGAATGGGTAGTGGGGGGACGGTGGATGTGTTGGGCTGATGCGGCCTTGAGGATGTCAATAATGTCCACGGGTGATTCAGGTACCTTGCACTAGTGAGATTACGAGTAGATATATTAGCAGGATTTGTCCTAGACATATTCGTCCAAGGACTGAGAGGAAAAGCACAACATGGAACGGCTCTGTCGCGTACGATGATGCGTTTAAGTGATCAAAACCCATTTGATGAATCTCCCAAGCTTGGCGTTCCTAGCACCGAGGCATCACCACGTTTCCCCAGTGTTTACTCACCCATTGACCACCTACACCATGAATCGGTTCGAAGTATGAACCCATGTCACTCGCATTGATACTTCGTCTAACCTCCTATAGTTCAGCGACTCCGACGGATCTTCCTCTGACTTCGATGAAGACCCATCTGGCCTCCCCTTCCCGGAACCGCTATCCCGCACCTCATTCCTCGCCCCTGACTTCGATCCAGCCACTTTCTTGTCATCATTGACGAACCGACACCAGAGTCTTGAGGATTTACGACAGGAACTACGGGGACTAGAGCAACTCTTGAACAAGGAGCTGTTGGATCTTGTCAATGAGAACTACCAGGACTTTCTGTCGTTAGGCAGCGCGCTTCGCGGCGGCGAGGAGAAAATTGAAGGCGTGAAAGTTGGCGTGCTTTCTTTCCAGCGCGATGTCAAAGCTATTCGGGACAAGGTTGAGGCGCGACGTCAGGAAGTGGAAGAGCTGTTGAACGCGAAGCGGCAACTACGAACGAATGCCGACATTGGCAAAGACCTGTTGGACTATGCGGATCGAGTGGAGGAATTGGAACACCGTTTGATGATTCAGGACAAGTCATCGCAAGAACATGCCACATCAGGCGAATCCGATTCAGAGTCCGATCTGTACAGCGGCGAGAGCGATGACAGCGATGACGATGAGCTGGCAGATGGCACGCCCGCAATATCTTTGAAGAGGCTAGAACACCACGCTCAGAAGTTTGTCTACTTGACCTCGATAGCTGCCCGGGTCGGCGAGAAACATCCTTTCCTTCTTGCGCAACAATCACGCGTCGCAAAGATCAAGTCCACAATACTCCTGGATCTCAAAACTGCCTTGGAGCAAGCTACCGCAGCAGGTGGTCAACAGGGCAAACGCGACGCTAGGACAATGGCGATCCTGCGCATCTACGATCTTATGGGCGAGGATGTCAGTGCCGTCGCTGCGCTGAAGAACCTCAAGCTGTAAAAACAACGTGCTTCGTCCTGGAAATTGGCAATGTGCACTGGTTTGCATACATAGCGTCGGCGTTTGGTCTTATAAAGTTCTAATTCAACAATGATACCATGATACACCATGTCCTTTCCTAATAAAACAATAAATTTGTACACGCCAAAGGATATAAGAAATTTGAGTATGTTACATGCCGGTCAAGGCGGAGGTTGGGGGGATGCGTCGGAGCGGAACTCGCCGTTGAGTGAGAATCCGGGTCCGTTGGTCGAGCTCAGTACCTGATGGTGTTGTTAGAGGCTTGTTTCAAGAAAATATCCATTGAAGTACTCACCACCTCGTAGACCTCCTTGTTGACACGGTCAGTCAGGGCGGAAGCATCCTTCTTAATCTGGTCAAGAGTCACGCGCATGTTATCGCGCAATTGCTCCGGAGAGAAGCCCAATTGCCCGACGGGCAGACGGATAACAGCATCACGCTCACGGTACACAGTACCACCACGGAGCATTTCCACTCGCGCAGCAACGTCTTCCACAACAGTACCAGTCTTTGCACTAGGCATCAAACCGCGAGGACCGAGGATACGACCCAGTGCGGCCTTGTTCAGCGCGGGCAAACTGTCCGGGTGGGCGAGACAGCGGTCAAACTCAATGGTGCCTGCTTTGACAGCATCGAACACTTCTTGCTCACCGACAAGGACGGCACCCGCAGCGAGCGCTTCCTTGGCTGCTTTCGAACCGGGAGGACAGATGACACAGATGCGGGATTCGGTCTGAACGGCGTGCGGAAATCGGAGCATGTTACGGATGACGGGACCATCGCGCTTTGTGCGCAGTCGGATGTGCAGTTCGTATTTTTGAACGGAGGGGTCGCGGCCGACTTCGATGGCCCGGATATATCTGCAGAAAGGAAGATATTAGTTGATGATCCGGCCATTGACTGAAGTCTCAGTTGTCAGATGCCCAGTACATACCGCATAGCATCACACAGAGCATACTGCGGCATATCCTTCAAATTGATTTGTCGGAACTCCTGGGGTCCTTTGCGGCTCTTGGTAGGCTGCTCTTTCCCCTTCTTTGGCTTGTTCTTGATACCTCGGACCTGCTGGAAACTCGAGAGAACGGGAGCAATTGAGGTATCCCGCAGCGGATTCCGGCATGCTGAGAGAATTCCGCGTGCCGCTGTGGGCAATACCGAGCCGTAAGACGACATGTTGGCAGGCGTTGATTTGAGCTGATCGGCTGGATGAAGCCGTGGAGCAATTGTTTTCTGCCGGAAAGCTGTCGGGATCGGAGAAATGTGGCTCCGGACGGGGACTGTAGATAATGACTCTGCCCCTCCAGAATTTCCCTTTGCTCTCCACACTCCACAATGTCTCAATACGAACTGAAAGTGGCCACTCGCGGCAACCACGCGGCACTCCTGCCTGTCGTGCTCATCGTCACCTCTATCAATGAGGCCCGCCCTACCCCCGTGGTCACTATCACCCTCGAGGATACTGCTCTCCTCCAGGATGGCGACAAGGCTATTGTGCAGCTCATTAGTGGCTCCAACTCTGTCTTTGGCACTGCCAATGTTATCCAGGAGCTTACTACCATTTTCCCTTTCCTCGCTGGCAAGGATTCCAAGTCGGTGAGTTCCTACACTACTACTACCCCGCGATCGACTCATTTTTGGAAACCGGAATGTTCTAACACGATCACAATAGGAAAACGAGTGGATCTCTCAGTTGGATTCCCTGACCACTCTGGACTTCAAGGCCCTCGACCCCGTGCTTCAGCGTCTTGACACCCACCTGCTTATGCGCTCGTTCATTGTCGGATACTCTCTCTCTACCCCCGACATTGCCATCTGGGGTGCTCTTCGAGGCAACCGTGTCGCCGTTGCTGCCCTGAAGAAGGGATCCCTTGTGAACCTTACCCGCTGGTACCGGTTCTTGGAGGAGCTTTGCCCCTGGACTACTGCTGCTGTAGAGTCCTTGAACGCAGTTGCCAAGGAGAAGAAGGTGGCTAAGTCTAAGGAGGGTGCCAGTTACGATATTGCACTCAAGAACACTGAGAACGGTGTTGTCACCCGATTCCCCCTGAGCCCTCTGGATACCTCCACATTGGTCACGCCAAGGCCGCCCTTCTCAACGACTACTTCGCGCATGAGAAGTACAACGGTACTATGCTTCTTAGATTCGACGATACCAACCCTTCGAACGAGAAGCAGGAGTTTGAGGACGCCATCGTGGAGGATCTTGCCCTCATGGGCATCAAGCCTAACAAGATGACCTACACCAGTGACTACTTCGATGAGTTGTACGATTACTGCGTCAAGATCATCAAACAGGGTGACGCCTACGCCGATGATACCGACAAGGAAACCATGGCCGCTCAGAGATGGGATGGCTTGCCCAGCCAGCGTCGCGATCTGTCTCCCGAGGAGAGCTTGGCGCATTTGGAGGAGATGAAGAACGCCACTCCCGAGGGTCTTCGTTGGTGCATTCGTGCTAAGATTTCCTTCGACTGCCCCAACAAGGCTATGCGTGATCCTGTCATCTACCGCTGCAACCCAGCGCCCCACCACCGCACCGGCACCAAGTGGAAGATCTACCCCACCTACGACTTCGCTTGCCCTATTGTCGATTCAATGGAGGGTGTCACCCACGCTCTGCGTACTATTGAGTACCGCGACCGTAACCCCCAGTACCAGTGGATGTTGGATACTATGAAGCTGCGCAATGTGCAGGTGTGGGATTTCGCCCGCATGAACTTCGTTCGCACTCTCCTCTCTAAGCGTAAGCTGACCAAGCTGGTCGAGACTGGTCTTGTCTGGGGTTGGGATGATCCTCGCTTCCCCACTATCCGCGGTATCCGTCGCCGTGGTATGACCATTCCTGCTCTCCGTGAATTCATCTTGAAGCAGGGTCCCTCCAAGGCTGTGACCAACTTCGACTGGGGTCTTATCTGGGCTACCAACAAGAAGTACATTGACCCCATTGCCCCGCGCCACACCACTATCTTCGATAAGAATGTTGTCAAGACCACTGTCACCGGTGGCCCCGCCACTCCTTACTCCGAGGAAAAGCCTAGACACATTAAGAACGCCGCCGTTGGCATGAAGAAGGTTGTCTACAGCAGCTCCATCATCCTCGAGCAGGAGGATGTCAAGCTCTTCAAGCCTGATGAGGAGATCACCCTTATGAACTGGGGTAATGCCATCGTCCGCAAGATCAGCACCAATGCTGAGACTGGTATCATCACCAACCTTGAGCTCGAGCTTCACATGGCCGGCGATGTCAAGAAGACCGAGAAGAAGGTCACTTGGCTCGCTACCGAGGGACAGGACCTCGTCCCCGTCGAGTTGGTCGATTTCGATCACCTGCTGACCAAGGATTCTCTTGGTGAGGATGACAAGCTGGAGGACTTCCTCAACATGCACACTGAGTTCCGCGAGGCGGGTCTGGCCGACTGTAACGTCGCTGATCTCAAGGAGAGCGATATCATCCAGTTCGATCGCAAGGGTTACTACCGCGTTGATCGTGCTTACTCTCCTGGCAAGCCTGCGGTCTTCTTCAACATTCCCTCTGGCAAGTCCAAATAAATCCTGTGTCAATTATGATGTGAAGCATGTTTTATGAGTGTAGTGAGATACGAAAAGAAGAATGAAAAGTTATTTATATGCTTCGACTTCGCGTTCAATATAATCACGAGACTTTGGGGTCTGCAGTGTCCAAGAAGACTGAGAATGTTCTCTTTTCCTCACCCCAATTTGGTTGGTTGCCTACAGTTCTAGGTTGGTTCTGTCTGGATGCTTAATCCTTCCACCACTGCGCCAGACAACCATCTGATATGTGTTTACTTTCGTCACGTATATTTCACCCCACCTACGTAGCCTGCAATCTACTATACATCTACAACGAACTCCCTTGAACGCAAGGGGAATTCATGGCATCATCTACCGTGGTGGACAGGGACTACCAGAAGACATTCTTTTATCTAGGTATTATCCGGGGGCTTGGCTTTAGGTAAGGGAACTGGGCAATACCATGATCACCCTAGGAACCATGGGCGTTAGGTCGCTGTAATGGCCCATCTAGGGCTGAATAGGGTCACGTGTAGCCGAAGCCGACTGCAATAATATTCCCCAGGTGAGTTGTCCACTGCCATGCTTCTTATACTTTGCATTTTCCAAACTATTTGGTTTAGTTTCCGACCATTTGATTTCTCCCGACAAACCTTGAAGCCGACGCCGAATGGATGTAAATTCCGCCGGCCGGCTGTCAGCGGAATGGTTGAGCATGACGTCGAAGACTACCTACCTACGTTCGATCAACATCCGGACAGCCGCTCGCCCTTGACAATAGAACTTGCTTAGTTGATTCGCTCCCATACTCTCCAGTGGCTCCCGGGCTTGCTTCTGGTTTTTTTGGCTTTGGAACGATAATATGATTTCATGAGTGCTGGACAAGCATTTGGACATCCAACACCAAATGGTGTACTGGGATAGTGCTGAAATTCCCTATCAATAATGCTCTTTGCATGATACATCCTATATCTGCAACACTTCCAGTACAGCACAAGACCCTTACCGCTCTCGTTTGATCTGGCCCCTGCCAAGGGAATATCTTCTATGATCCATGGGTGACTGCTCTATTGACTTGATGTCAATTCGGGTACCTGCCTGCGCTTCCGGTTTCATTCGAGCTTAGCGCGTACTAAACCATTCTAGCCTGCATCTGGATTGGTCGAACCAGTATTCTATGCGTTCAAACCCAGCGGAAGATCTTCGGGTCGTCCGCGGGTCGTCCCTTTCGAGACCTGGTTCCCCGGCTATATCCTCCTTCAAGTACCGAGCATGAAGACAAAAAAAATAAACATACATGCGTGGGCATGAGATTTTCCTCCCGAGTGCTTCCTAGCTCGACGTCAGCATGATTTACTTCGGAAGGGAAAATCTCGTTGCTCTAGCTTCCTCCTTTTTCTACTCCAGATAAAACTGCTATATCTTCAATCGTTATCATCCTGCAACTGCTAAGGCGCAAATAGAACATTTGAAAACCTCATCTTCTTTGGTATTATTGGTTCCTCATTTCTATATCCCTTTGCTTTGTGCATTCGTTCTTACTGTCATCAATAATCAATAATTTTGTCTCTTTTAGCAGGTATGTGTCATTGCGGTCTATTTGCGCCGGAAAAAGATGGTATCTGACTTAAGGCAGCCAGACATGGCCGGCGAAAGCAAAGGCGAGCGTTCCGAGGCTCGCCGCCGCAGTTCACGTATCTCTCGGGCATCTCTGAGCGGTGACTGGAACAGTCTGGACGAGTATGGCAAGCTCGTCAAGTACGTGTCGACATTCCGTGATCCCAATGCAATGGATGAAGAGCAGGGCGAATTGACCGAGCAGCGTGTCTGGTACGCCCCATGGAAGAAACGCAGGGTCCGCGTCAAAAGGGTCGAAGCGGAAACCGGCAAATTCCCCGATGAATGGACCATGACGGATGTTCGAGAGGGACTTTCTAGCGATGAAGTTCCCATTCGTCGTCGTCGGGCTGGGTGGAATGAGTTGACATCCGAGAAAGAGAATCCTATTGCTAAGATCCTTTCTTATTTCCAGGGTCCAATTCTCTACGGTAAGCCCCTATCCAGATTCCCTTGACTACCACGCTGACTTCAGTATAGTCATGGAGTTGGCCGTTTTGCTGGCTGCTGGTCTAGATGACTGGGTTGACTTTGGTGTCATCATTGGTATCCTGTGTCTGAACGCGGCGGTGGGCTGGTACCAGGAGAAACAGGCGGCCGATGTCGTTGCGAGTCTCAAGGGTGACATTGCCTTGCGCGCGCAAGTTATCCGTGATAGCACTCAACAAGAATGTCTTGCTCGAGAGTTGGTCCCCGGTGACGTTGTAAGTATACTTCGGATGAGCCCCGGTATCGATACATGACGACTAAGAAATCCCTAGGTCATCGTTGGTGAAGGTCAAGTCGTGCCTGCGGACTGCAGGGTGATCTGTGACGTCAAGGATGAACATGGCTGGGAAGAGTTCAATCAACTCCAAGAGCAGGGTATGCTCGGTGGTGGGTCATCTTCTGACGAGGAGGATGACCCAACCAAGAAAACCGAGAAGGAGAAGGCCGAAGACGATGGAAAGGCTAAGGAAGCCGAAGAACATCAAGCGAAGAAGGCTCGCAGACGCGGCTATCCTATTCTTGCTTGTGATCACTCTGCCATCACAGGTGAGTCGCTAGCTGTCGATCGTTATATGGGGGATATGATCTTCTATACGACTGGCTGCAAACGTGGCAAGGCCTATGCAGTCGTTCAGACGGGTGCGCGGACTTCCTTCGTTGGTCGCACTGCAACGATGGTGCAGTCTGCTAAAGGTGCTGGCCACTTCGAACTTGTCATGGACAATATCGGAACATCCCTCTTGATTCTTGTGATGGCCTGGATCCTCACTGCCTGGATTGGTGGATTCTTCCGTCATATTCCTATCGCGTCACCACCTCAGCAGACTCTGCTTCACTACACTCTATCGTTGTTGATCATCGGTGTGCCTGTCGGTCTACCCGTTGTGACCACTACAACCATGGCTGTTGGTGCTGCCTATCTGGCGAAAAAGAAAGCAATTGTGCAAAAGCTGACTGCAATTGAATCACTGGCCGTAAGTCCGCATCAGTCCTCTGTACAACCCAAGCTGCCGTGAAACACTAACAGCAAAGTAGGGTGTGGATATTCTATGTTCTGATAAGACCGGTACTCTCACTGCAAACAAACTGAGTATCCGTGATCCTTATGTAGCCGAGGGCGTCGACGTTGACTGGATGTTCGCCGTTGCCGCCCTTGCATCCTCGCACAATATTGAATCGCTTGATCCGATCGATAAGGTAACAATCCTGACGCTCAGGCAATACCCAAGAGCACGCGAGATCTTGCGACGGGGTTGGTCAACTGAAAAATTCACTCCCTTTGACCCGGTTTCAAAACGGATTGTCACGATTGCCACCTGTGATGGCATTCGGTATACCTGCACCAAAGGCGCTCCAAAAGCGGTGCTCCAATTGACAAGCTGCTCTAAAGAGACTGCTGACTTGTACAAAGCTAAAGCCCAGGAATTTGCGCATCGAGGCTTCCGCTCTCTCGGTGTTGCTGTTCAAAAAGAAGGCGAAGATTGGGCTTTGCTTGGAATGCTGCCTATGTTTGATCCGCCCCGAGAAGACACTGCTCAAACCATTAGCGAAGCGCAAAATCTCGGTATCAGTGTGAAGATGCTTACTGGCGATGCTATTGCCATTGCGAAGGAAACCTGCAAGATGCTAGCTTTGGGCACCAAGGTGTATAACTCAGACAAGCTAATTCACGGCGGCTTAAGTGGTGCTATGGCTAGTGATCTTGTTGAAAAGGCCGACGGCTTTGCCGAGGTGTTCCCAGAACACAAATACCAAGTCGTCCAAATGCTACAAGAACGAGGCCACTTGACTGCTATGACCGGTGATGGTGTAAATGACGCACCGTCTCTGAAAAAGGCCGATTGCGGTATTGCCGTTGAAGGCGCCTCGGAAGCCGCTCAGTCTGCATCCGACATCGTTTTCCTCGAGCCCGGGCTTTCGACAATTATCGACTCAATCAAGGTCGCACGTCAGATCTTCCATCGCATGAAGTCCTATATCCAGTACCGCATTGCACTATGCTTGCACCTCGAGATCTACCTCGTGACTTCGATGCTTATCCTGAATGAAAGCATCCGCGTTGAGCTCATTGTCTTCCTGGCATTGTTCGCCGACCTTGCGACTGTCGCAGTGGCATATGATAATGCATCTTTTGAGTTGCGACCTGTCGAATGGCAACTTCCTAAAATCTGGTTCATTTCCTGCCTCCTTGGCGTGCTACTAGCCCTGGGTACATGGGTTATCCGAGGCAGCATGTTCCTGAAATCGGGAGGCATTATCCAGAACTGGGGATCTATTCAAGAGGTTCTCTTTTTGGAAGTGGCACTCACAGAGAATTGGCTTATTTTTGTCACTCGCGGCATTGACACATGGCCATCTATCCACCTAGTGACTGCGATTCTTGGCGTTGATGCTCTGGCTACTATCTTCTGTCTATTTGGTTGGTTTACTAACCAAAACATGAGAACCAAGCCCGCAGATAAATTTGTCGAGACTACCAATGGCTGGACTGATATCGTCACTGTTGTGCGAATCTGGGGTTATTCGCTCGGTGTGTCGATTGTAATTGCTCTCGTATACTTCATCTTGAACAAGATCGAGTGGCTTGATAATCTTGGTCGTGCTAAGCGAGACAAGGGCGAGGTCAAAATTGAGAATCTGCTTGCTCATCTGTCTCGTCTGTCACTTGAGTGGGAGGAAGGTGGTGCACCGAAGGGTCGGTTCTGCTTGGCTACAAGCAAGGAGGAGGAGGAGGCCGAGTAAAGTGGTGGGATATGAAGTGGGAGGTCTGCTGTGTGGAATCAACTGTCATTGGATGTCAAAGGTTGTTTTTTGTTCTGTTTCTGGGCTGATTGGGTCTTGTTGATGGTGAACGTTATTATTATGGCGTGTTCTCGGGGGTCGACGTACAAGAGCACGAGGGTGTCTATGTTAATCTCTAATGTGTTGGATCTGTTTCCAATTATCCTAATGGCGCTCAAATACCTCTAGTTTACGACTTCTGAATTCGATAATTTATTATGGACGGAAGAGATGTGACACAATCGCAGTTGATAGGTCAATAGAACGAGCTACACTCCTCAACCCAACAAGTATTTACTGAATAATCAATACATGGCAGGGTGGCACTATTCGGACAAGACATAAAGTGATGTAAATGGTGTGATATTCCAATGTTTGAAAAGACAGGATCGGATAATGGGTATCATATGAAGAGAAAGACAGGATATCAGACGGGCTGAACGGAATCAAATCAAGGGGTATGAACGGGATCAAAGAAATTCAAAAGACAGGATGGAAGTGTGCCTGATGTAAAACGAGGGAAACTGCATCGCAGAGGCCCTTTATATACGCCCAACAGTCTAATCATGTGTGTCAGTGGTAGCGAAAACGCACAAACTGCCAAAGAGAATGAACCTCCCCCTTAACAATGACAATTTGGCCAGCAGCGTGACACGCTCAGGTACTACTGCGCTGTGCATGCCGGAGATTGGTCAGAACATGGACCAAGCTGCTAGCAACCTGATTCGCCTTGCGGATACTGTCAAGCAAATCGAGAAGGTCGTTGGCAATGATTGAGCTAAGATGATCAACATCCGAGTGATCGTTCAAATTGTCATCTGGAATATTTTGTTGGTTGTGCCAGTCATCCTGGCTCGAGTCGTTCCCACTCTGTGGGCTATCAGTCGAGGTGGAAGCCGCAGTTGTCTCGGCAGATATAATCGTAGGAGGCCTCGGCTTTTCAGTTGCAGTGGCGACAGTAGTCGGATTGACGGTCTCTTCGCCGGTCACAGTCGTGGTAGTGGTCGTGCCGAGGGGCTTATGTTGCTTCACGATGTCTTCATCATCTGTGTCCTCTTCATCATCTATATCCTCTTCTTCGTCCATATTTTCTTCTTCATCTATAGTCTCTTCATCCCCCTTGGGCGAAGCAGAAGCAGATGAGGAGGAGGAAGACAAGTGTGAGGAGCCGGGTGCATTGGAAGATGACAAACTCGTTGTCTTCGTTGGGTCAGTGGACGTAGAGGTAGATGCTGAGGTTGACACCGGGTCGGGCGACGACGAACCGGAATCATTCGCAGGGCCAAGGCTTTTCCGCACATCCTTGATATACCCATCGTTGGCGTATGCCTGTGTTGCATCCCACATCATCACACCCCCCAGACTCTCAAACTTCTTGGTGTATTGAATCACTTTGTCCAACTGGGCCGCCGGGATATATCCCGTGCTTGCCGCTGTCGTGAATGCAGGCACGCCGATGATGACCTTGACATCTTTGTTTTTGGACACCGTCTTAGCCCAGTTATCCCACTCTTCAAAGTTGTACTTGCTGCTTGAGCTGTCGGTACTGAAGCCGTTGACACCGCAATAGTTGTTGTAGAACTGTACCCAGATGGCGTCAATGTATACAGGGCCGTTGAGGAACTCTTTATCTGCCTGGTCGGGGTAAGGGCATTGCGGTGCTGCTGTCAAAAAGAACTCCTGCTTGCTCTTATCTGCCTTTATCAGTGATCGCAGCTCGTTCGCAAAGGCTGCCATGTTTTGGACATTGGCTTCAAAGTCGAGGTCAAACCCGTCCAAAATGGCGTCACCGAAAGGACGAAGGGCTTTGGAACCCTCTTTCTTGGGGCCAAAGGTCTCCCACATTAGCTTCGCTCCGTCCTTGGCCTCCTTCTCGGACTTGAAGCCGCCCTCGCTGTAGGTGGCACCCCCGATTGAAAGAAGAATCGTCTTGCCCTTCTTTTGGCACGTCTTGATGTCCTCGCTGGATGCTGTCAGTCATCTAGCTAGTTGCTAGCATATGCAAATTAGTAATACTTACCCAATCGCAGGACAGTTTTTTAGTTGGGTTCCCTCGAAGACATCGCAGTCCTTGCTGGTAACCGAGAAATCAACCTCCGGGGCGCCTCCTGGGCCATTGACCATCATATTGAAGGCCATTGGTATCACCTATGACACTTTGTCAGTCTATGAATTTGTGACCCTTTTTCTGATCATTTGAGTCCTACATCAATGTCCTTATCTAGTGTCTCTTGTTAGTTCTAACGACAACATTGAAAACAGATCATTCACTCACTATCGCAGTAATGTGCGAGGGGCTGCTGTGCTTGATCACCCTTTCCATTGAACGAGTTCTGGCCTTCAGCACGTATGCCACGTAAGCATTCATCCGTCCAAGTAATGAGGAGTAACCACATACCCCAGTAAACAACAATGTTGCTGGCCGATTTCAAGTCCAGCTTTGCCTCTGCTCCTCCAAGCGAAGCCAACAAAATGGACCAAGGTAAGAGACACTGACAGCGACGCATGGTTGAAAACGCCCTGTAAAGTACCTGCTTTCTAATTTGTTATGAAGAAATAAACTAATATATAGGGTTAGAGGAGGTCTAGGGACAGAAACGAAGAAGACAGGCCAGAATAAGAATCCTCATCTTGAATGAGCGTTGCGAGTCGTTAAATAGTATACCATGGACTTTTTCCTTCGGTATTTTGACACAACAATAGCTGACTTCCCCATTCAAGTGCCTCGCCCGGTGCTCCCAGCGCATGGTATGATCCACATGTCCACGCCAGCGATCTCAAATGAGCTTGATAGCCATTCCCTGCGTCCCAAATAGATTGAATGTGCGGCTTATACTGCCAGATGGCTAGTTTGATTGGATTGTGGCGTGTTTCCGGCTCCCTAGTTTGCATTCCCGTGTTGTTGTCAGGGGACTGAGGGCCGATCCAAGAATGCTCCGAGGGATGAGCATGTGTGCCATACCATCAGCTTCTCGGATATTAGCCTTCGGGGACTCTAATATAGAGTGTATCTATGTCCATCTGTTAAGGTCAGGAGCCAGCTATATCTTTTGTCATCTGGGCGGTTGCGGCACACCATCTGTTAGCCGAACTATACATTCCACCGCCACATGAGACGATCTGCACGACGGCATAACCCATTTGGCTTGATTACTGTGACATTCAACTCTTCTCGAAAATGCAAAGGCTAAGAACTGTGAAATTGATTTTGAAAGTTGAGCGAGAATATATGGAGCATGAAAAACACCAGAGGAACGACGATCCCAAAATGTATGTATATGAATCAATCTGATGACGCAACCCTTTGACTAGTGCTCAGCACACACGCTCAGCATTTAGCTTGTCTAATGTTATTTAACCGTCTAATTATCATATCCACAATGAACCCTTGATGTGGTTGGACGGGTTACCAAATCAGCTTAGCGTCAAATGCTGCCATCTATTTCGATCGCAAAAAACACGCGGCGAAAATGGCGAGGATAATATAAACAACACCTAGCAATTTGAAAATTATTAATGTACAATCCCTTTGGGAATGGATTCACTTACCGAAGATCCAATTCATGGAAGTGTAGCCAACCTTCTCCCGAAGGAATCCTGAGACGGCTGGCCCAATGGTCATCCCGCTGGTTGCAGCTACGTCAGTCATCGCATAAACGCGAGAAAGACCCCCACGAGGCCCAAAGATGCCTGGAGTTGCCTTCTCATAATCTCGAACAGAAGCTAAGAGTGTGTTAGTCAAATGTCTTACGCGAAGTCAGAGATCGGCAAATTGAGACACACCAGTCACTTCCACAGGCCCAACACCGGTGACAAAAGGTCGCAAAATGCCGAGGCAAATTATGGATGATATGTACAGCACAGGACCCCGATGGTGCGAGCTTGCCCAGGGAAAATGGTCATTCCCGGCCACTCCAACCAGGACATGAAATACTGCATGGAGAGCAAGGCTGATGGTGATAGGCAACCGGACCCCGATGCGGTCACGTAGCCATCCAGCCGGTGTACTGAGGAAGAGCGCTGGGACAGAGAGCAGGAAGAACATTATTCCAACCTGTCTTGGTTTCCAATCAAATGCCTCCTCTGTGTGTAGAGGAAGTGTGGCATGGAAACTGGTAAGAATAGCCGTGGTCAAGATCGTGACAGCCAAGGCTGTTAGGACGCGACTGTCACGAAGCAGGAAGATCCAGAAACCGAATGTAGTAGATGCATCATGTGGCTCAATTTGTTCGGGAAGAAGGGTCGTCGTCTCATCCGCATCGCCAGAGGAAACAGGACTTGAATGGTGCGGATTTTCAATCATCAACAAACGCGCGATGATATCAATAACCAAGACTCCTAGTGGTGCACACCAAGTCAACCAGTATCCAACAGAATCTAGTAGGATACCGGAGACCATGGGCCCACTAATTATACCAGCGCTAGCAAAGGACATAATCAGACCCATCATTTTGCCCATGTGATTTTCATTCACAGTATCTGCTGCGGTGGCAAGACCGACAATCCAGACGGCAGAACCAGCAATGCCTTGAAGTACTCGCCCGAGGAGAAGTACAACGAGTGAAGGCGACCATGCAACAAGCAATGTTCCCACAACACACCCCGCAAGCGAGAAAAGCAATGGTTTCCTCCGATTGGGCATCTTGTCAGCGAAATGTCCAATTAAAGGTCCAGAAATAGCAGAGACAAGGCCATGAAGGGTAAGTATTCCAGCAGTCAAACGCTGGGTCTGTGAGGGATCTTTGTGGAGGCGATCTTGGAATAGGTATGGTAACATAGGCACGAGGAATCCATAGAGAAATAATTCTAGATGAGTTAGCGAAATTTGTGCAAATGGACCATGGAGAGATACCAATGAATAGCGCAATGGAAACGGTACTGATGATGAACCATGTAGAAGAGCGCCATGCGTAGCCAATAGGCCTTGTGCCGGGAACGTCCATATTTGATCAACCGGCCGTGAAGGAGCTTTAGAAGAAATTCCCATGGGCGATAGGTAGTGGTCCAGAGAAGAGATTGCGAGATCCAGAAAGTAGACGTACAATGGACGGGGTGGGGTGTCCTTGTTTCGGTCGAAATGTTCACTTACACCAGAATTTGGGCAAGGATGTCCTCGTGATTGAGATAATACGCCGAGTCCGACCAATTCCGTTTCGTCGGTAATTCACTTGACGTAAAATAAAAGCAATATGAGACAAACATGCGTGTGGGGCAATAAGCTAACTGTCGGCCATGGCAAGATGATTATATTTGAACAGGTAGGCTGGCCTACCAAATCCAATAGGATGACTCTGACCAGAATGAACAAACTTATAAGATCAGCAGTGTTAGACATATCATAAATCTCACCACGAAGGATGATCCACGCGATTCATCGGCAATCACCTAGAGACCAAGATAAAAGAAGGCGATGAGATCAGACAGTAACAGAGCCGGGGTATTCATGCAAGCTACTGTTGTATAACAAGCAATATCATAATTCTCACGAACCCGCCAACCCCACAGCTACTACTTACTCTTTCTTCGCAGGTTTCCCCTGGCCTATCAAAATAGGAATATATTGCCGATCTACGGAGTACAGCCAGCCACATTCTACATACAATGTACAACGTAGGGACTGACACTCCACGGCCACCTTTCGCAGTGTTGGAAACTCCGTACCCTGCGGATTCACTATCTCATCTATTGTTCCTTATGAAGCAGTAGTTTCATTCCTGTTGATAGACCATAGGGCGAATCTACGCCCTTGGAAGTGAACCAAAAAAGCAAAACAAAACCATAAGAAACTCTCAAATCCAGGCACTCTTGGCAAGATCGTGCGATTCTGCATGTCAGCAAAGGAGCTCTTACTTACATGGCTCGTTGATCCTATAGGAAAACAGGGAATTTTCCTCGGCTCACCTAGAACGTCATCGTGCATACTAGATGCAAACTAGTAGTGCCAATAGTATGAAGATGTGCATATGCAAAGATTGAATTGCCTCCCAGGTTAGCATGCTTAGATCCACTCAAATGTAACCCTCAATAATTTGATCGCTTTACTCGGTAGGAAATACCTAGTTGAACGAGAACTCTCGTTGAACATGTGCGAATATCAGTTCATGCGCAATATTTACGGTCGTGTGTGAGTCACGGCAATATAAAAGAGATGCATCTTATGGCACGAATACTACTAGGCACGCCACACAGGTGCTCTTTATAAGAACGCAACTTGTTCGTCTTGTCTTCGAATGGAAATCAGGCATATTCTACTCAGATTCTACCAGCATTGGTAGAGTCAAAGACTCTCTCAAACATGACCGTACCTTCCGGCCGACTGGATGAGATTTCCTCAGAAAATGCCAGAGCATGTGTACAAAACATCAGAGACAAAGCTTCGAACATCGACAGTGGCAGGGACGCAACAAGATCTTATGAGATACCTGCCATTGAGTCGAGAGACAAGATCGCTCCTTTCACCTTACTCTGCAACACTGGACTGAGCCCAGGTGAAGCGAGAGCTCGGACAGCGGAACAGTGCAATGTACCCGAGGACATGGTTGAGGATGTATTCCCCTGCACACCTCTGCAAGAAGGCATGATGGCCACGACGATCAAACGACCGGGCCAATATGTTAGACGATGGGTGTTTCGTCTAGCAAAGGATGTTATGATTGATCGTCTTGTTCAAACATGGGATGAGATTGTCGCACAACATCCTATTTTGCGGACTCGAATCATTCAAATTCCGGGTCAGACAATGCTGCAAGCTATACTTGCATATAAGCCTCCGAGGTCGATCACCACTCACCAGGGTATTGATCAGTATATCGCGGAGGACGACACCCAGGCTTTCAGATTAGGCACGCCTTTGGTCCGACCTGGCTTGGTTATTGAGACACATAGTGACCATCGATGCTTTGTGCTTACCATGCATCATGCAATTATCGATGGAGTTTCAATTGTGATGCTCCTCAAGGAGATTGAAGTCAAATTTCATCAGAACTTGTGCAAATCTACTTCAGCAAACGATGAAATCAATGTTCCATTCCAATCCTTTGTGAAGCATCAAATGGATACGGAGAGTGAAGCGGTGAAATATTGGGAGCAGAAATTGAGAGGCTCAGATTCATCAATCTTTCCCAAGCTACCATCCCACAATTACGACCCAAAGGCCAATGAAATCCTGGAGTATCGAATGACCGAGGTCCCTCGTGTTCAAAAAAATGACATTAGACTCTCGACTGCGGTTTGGGCCGCTTGGACAATTCTTCAAGCATCCTACACGCACTCATTGGATGTCGTATTTGGTGTTCCCCTGACTGGGCGACAACAAATCCCAATTGCAGGTGTTGAAAAAATGATGGCTCCAACTGTTGTCACAGTACCGCTCCAGGTCCGATTAGACTGGAACGCCTCCTTGGGTACATTACTCCAGGAAGTTCAGACCCAGATAACCAACATGCTCCCCTTCGCCCACGTGGGCCTACAAAAGATCCGACAGATGGGGCCATCAGGGGACCAAGCGAGCCGGTTTCAAACCATCCTGGGGGTACAGCGTCGGTCAGTGGTGCAACCTGGCAACAACAGCATATTTCAGTACGACAGCGAACGCAGCGCTCGAGACCTAGGAGTATTCAATGCCAATGCTCTAATGATCGAGTGCCAGATCGACACTGATGGCTTGCATCTACTGATGAGCTTTGATTCTGTGGTAATCAGACGAGATCAGGTTCTGAGATTGGCCCAGCAATTGGAGAATGTGTTACGCCAGATTTGCACCAAGGGTTCGCAATTCATCGAATTGAGGAGGATCGAGACTCTCAGTCCCCAGGATGTGGGAGATATCCGACGGTAGAATACAACTCGCCCGGTCAGAGTGGATCGATACGTACACGATCTCATTGCAGAGCATGTCAACGACCGTCCTGAAGCTCCCGCAATATGTGCGTGGGATGGTAATTTGACGTACCGGGAGCTTGATGATCTTTCAAACAGGCTGGCTCTTTATCTTGTGGAAATCGAAGTTTGTCGGGGTAAAATTGTACCATTATGTTGTGAAAGGTCCAAGTGGACGTTTGTTTGTATGCTCGCTGTGATGAAGACCGGTGCTGCATTTGTTTTCCTGGACGAAGCACTTCCGTTGGAGCGCATGAGGGAGGTTGTCGCGCAGACAAAAGCTCAAGTTCTTCTCACCTCAAAGAATTCCCTGGAGAAAGCTTCCAAAATTAGGGTCCCCCTTGTTGTTATGGCCGGCGCGGGTGCAGACTGGTTGAAAACCTCGGATGTTCCAGTACAAACCCATTTTGAGACCCTTCGCTCTCATAGTAGCACGGGAACACCTGGAGACTCTCTGTACATTGCTTTTACATCGGGCTCGACGGGGAAACCCAAGGGAGCCGTCATAACGCATAGCAGTTATGCATCAGTAGCCTGCGCCCACAAAGGTCCCATGGGATTGAATCAAGACTCTCGAATGCTGCATTTTGCATCCTACTCCTTCGATGCCAGCAACTTTGAGGCACTCACAACATTCATTGCTGGTGGATGTCTCTGTATTCCATCGGAGGAGATGCGCAAAAATGACTTGTCAACTGTTATAACGGAGCTTCAAGTCAATTCTATGTTTCTAACACCAACTGTCAGCCGATTGCTGACGCCAGGCGACATTCCCACGGTCAAGGTCATGTTGCTTGGTGGCGAGCCAATTATGGACAGTGACATTGAATTCTGGAGTTCCCGCCTGCATCTGAAGATCGTTTACGGTCCCACTGAGTGTTCGGCTATCTGCTGCTGTCTGCCCGATGCTACGAATTCTGACGCAGGTACCATTGGCCATGGGACCGGTGCCAGTCTATGGGTTGTGGACCCCTCTGATCATCATAAGCTAGCCCCGGTTGGAGCAATCGGTGAGCTTATCCTAGAAGGGCCTGTAGTTGGCAACGGGTACCTCAATAATGCCGATAAAACCGCGTTAGCATTTGTGGACCAGCCTGACTGGGTGTCCAACATCCTCCACCAGCCATACGACGAAAGCTTCTCCTGGTACCGAACCGGTGACTTAGTTCAATACCGTGAGGATGGCTTGCTCAGGTACATCGGACGAAAGGATCAGCAAGTTAAATTGCACGGGCAGCGGTTTGAGCTCGCTGAGGTTGAGATCCATCTTCGCAATGTGTGGAAAGAGGCGAAGGATGTTGTTGCGGCCATTGTCACGCCAGCTGGCGGAAAGACGGCCCTTGCAGCCTTCATATGGCTCGAGAAATCTCCAAAAGACCTAAACAGCATGTGCAAAGAGATATTTGCGAGGACCGTCCCAGCCCAATTTTCAAGTCATGTCCACGAAGCACGGGATCAGCTGCAAAATCTCATTCCTAGCTACATGGTACCTAGTCTTTTCATTCCACTGTATTTTATGCCACAGCGGGTCTCTGGCAAGATTGATAAAGCACTTCTTTGTTCACATGCTGCAACTTTCACTCGATTGGAACTGGAGACCTTCATGGGAACGCAGTTAGCGAAAAGGCAAGCGTCTACATGGATTGAGAAAATGATTGTGGGGTTTGTTCAGGATTTGCTCAAAAACAACACTACACCGAGTCCAAACGACAATTTCTTCAGGCTTGGAGGCGATTCAATCGTCGCAATGAAGCTGGTTCAGCTCGTACGTCGGGCTAAAATGACCTTGAATATTGCAGAAATTTTCCAATCGCCAAAACTATGTGATCTAGCTTTACTCATTGAGCGGCGACATGGAAATGTTCGTCCTGCTTCTTCATCGTCATCATCCTCCTCATCTACGACTCCGTCTCCTTCCCTCACCTCATCTTCAGAGTCATCGCACATAAGCCTTCCACAGCTGGCACCATTCTCAATGGTAAGCAAACAGGTTCAGGATGAGGTATTTGAAGAGGTACTCTGCCACTGCGGGCTAAGTCCAGAGGAAGTTGAGGATATTTACCCTTGCACGCCTCTACAGGAGGGGTTAATGTCGTTGAGTATTGGCAATCCTGGGACCTATATCCGGCAAGATAGATATCTTCTGCCGCCGACAATTGACGCAGGCCGTGTAAAGGACGCGTGGTATCAGGTAATTAATGCCAACACCATCCTGCGAACCCGTATCTACCATCCCAGATCCGGAGAGAAAGCCTTGCAGATTGTTTTAAAGACTGCCGTTGAATGGAAGAGCTGCGAGGTAGAAAGCTTAGCGGGTATCTTGCCTAGCCACTTTGAGAAAAACAGCGTGATGGGATTCCTTGACCCGCTCCTGCAGCTCACACTGATCAAAGAGCGTCAGGGAGACCCCAACATGACTCCAAGCTTTTTGTTGGAGGTAACGCTGCACCATGCAATTTATGACGCGTTATCAATTGAGCAGATTTATGATCAAGTTGAGGCATCATACCGTGGCATCCAAGTTTACTCTCGGTCTTTCGCCCCGTTTGTTGAACATATTGAGCGCTCGATACTCTCAGGGAAATTATTTTGGTCAACACAGCTTGATGGAGCCATGCAGAGCATAACACTGTTCCCAGCTCTTCCAGATGGGAATTATGTCCCGCGACCTATGGAGAAGATAGAAAGCTCGATATCTATCCTCCCAGATCATAGACAGATTGGCTATACGCTGAATATCCAGCTACGCGCAGCGTGGGCCATGACAATGTTTCAATACACATGTTCCAACGATGTGGTCTTCGGGGTCACTGTGGCAGGTCGCAGCGGTGACTTACCAGGACTAGACCAGGTCACAGGGCCAACATTTGCGACGATACCGCTACGTGCTACTCGTGACGAGTCAAAGACTGTCCAGGAAACCCTATCTTTATTCCAAAGCCAGATGGTCGAAGCTATTCCTTTCGAACATTATGGATTGCAAAACATTTGTTCCGTCAGCGAAGATGCGGCATTGGCATGTCGCTTCCAGACCTTGCTCATCATTCAATCTGCAGCTGAAAACCAGAACTTCAACCGTGGGGAGCGAATGATATTTTCATCCCCGATGGCTAAAAGCCCGGAAGAAAAGTCCCAATCTGACTCATACGCCTTGACAATCGAATGTGCCCCACGCGGTGATAGCATCACTGTGAGGGCTATCTTTGACTCAACTCTGGTCCCAGTCAATACTGTCAAGCAAATGCTACAATTGTTCTCACACGTCTTCCATGAGTTGATTGACCTAACCCGCTCAATCGGAGAGATCAACATGATCAGCGCAGAGAATCGAAGCCAGATATCCACGTGGAACTCCACTTTGTCTGAGAGTTCCAGAGTGAAAGAGGTCAAATCGAAGCATACTGTATATGATCTGATTCAACACCAATGTGACACGCATCCCAGCGATCTCGCTGTCTGTGCGTGGGACGGTAATTTCACGTACGAACAACTCGGTCATCAATCATCTATCTTCGCAGCTCATCTTCTACAAACCTTTAGCATTGGACCGGAAGTGATTGTACCATTATGTTTTGAGAAGTCCCGGTGGACAACGGTGGCTATGTTGGGCGTTATGAAGGCGGGTGCTGCTTTTGTCCTCCTGGATCCCTCCTCGCAGCCTGTCCACAGAATGCAAGGCATATGCATGCAGGTAAATGCCACTTTTGTAGTATGCTCCAGGGCCAATGCCTCGAATTTTGAACATATTCCGGGAATGAGTGCCATCATTTTGGACCGGGAGATTATGGCCACGATGCAGAGTTCCAAACATCCAACGTTGAAACATATCGGTCCTGTTCCCTCTTATGAAGATGCGTTATATGCGGTCTTCACCTCCGGATCAACTGGCCAGCCAAAAGGGATAATCATCGAACACGGTGGGTATGCCACCACAGCGTTAGCCCGTCAAAGTGTCCTGGGCCTTCACAGGGGATCACGTGTATTGCAGTTCGCATCATATGCCTTTGATGTGAGCATTGAAAACACCCTTGATACGTTGATCGCCGGTGGTTGTGTGTGTATTCCGTCAGAATCTCAACGGAAAGCAGATTTTGCTCGGATAGCCGACGAATTCCAGGTCACATATGCAGATCTTACGCCTTCAGTTGCTCGACTTTTGAGCCCAAGTGACATTCCAACCGTCGAAATCATGGTTCTGGGTGGAGAGACAATGGCAAGCGAGGATGTTAGCAGATGGGCAAACCAAGTTCGTCTCGTGAATGCTTACGGTCCAGCGGAGTGTACAGTGACAGCTACTGTGAAGCACGTTACAGTGACCAGTACTAGCCGCAATGAAGACGCCATCAACATTGGACGAGCATTCCCAACGGCAGGAACTTGGGTTGTCGATCAATTCAACCACAACAAGCTTCTTCCCATTGGAATTACGGGAGAGTTGGTAATTGAAGGACCTCTTGTCGCCCGTGGGTACTTGGATGGTGGGAATGAAACATCACGATCAACTTCCTTCCTGCAGGACCCACCGGCATGGAGAAGTCAATTTTCCTCTTCCATAGGACCTATGTGTTCGCGAATGTATTGCACAGGTGATTTGGTTCAATACAACGCCGATGGATCTTTGAAATATCTCGGTCGTAAAGATCAACAAGTGAAGATCCATGGACAGCGTATCGAGCTAGGAGAAATTGAATCTCAGCTTCGTGCGGCTTTTCCCTCAGCAATCGACGTGCTGGTGGACATGGCTGCCACTATCAAAAATCCGCGACCCTCGCTCATATCTTTCGTCAGTTTTCCATGTACTCAAGAAGAGATCAAGAGCTGTGGAGAGACCATGATACTGTTACCGGAGCCGGACTTCCAAAAAAGGATCGCAGAGGCGGAGGTCAAGCTGCATGAACTCCTTGCACAATACATGATACCAACAGTCTTCATTCCCGTGCGGAATATTCCTCAAACCTCATCCGGCAAGGCCGATCGTCGCAAACTGTGTCAAGCGGCCTCCAATTTATCTTTGAAACAGATAGAGAGTTGCATGACATCCCAGGACAAAGCGCGAGCTCCTTCTACCGCAATAGAAAAGAGACTGCAAGCCTTGTGGGCTAAGGCTTTAGGCGTCCCGCCAGAAAGTATCAATTCTAGTGACGGGTTCTTCCGTGTTGGAGGAAACTCGATTCTGGCTATGAAACTTGCGGGACTCGCCAAATTGGAGGGAATCAGCCTATCGGTTCCCGACTTGTTCGAGAACAAATCTCTGGAAGCGCTGGCTTTTGGTCTCGAGTCTTCAGCTCATGTGGAGGCTGAGACTACAGCACCATGCTTTGACTGGGATCTGGAAGCTACAATTCCCCAGAGTCTGGACGACGAGTTGCAGCTTTATCTTACGGCTGGGTTCCACCGTCAGAATCAGCCTGGAGCCTGTGACACGGGAATCGAGATTGTTCTCACCGGCTCCACGGGCCATCTGGGAGGAGAAATACTCCGACAACTTGTTGCTCGCGCTGACGTCCGATGCGTTCATTGTGTCGCCGTCCGCAGACCAGATCAGCTCGCCATCCCGACCTGGTCGTCCCATGACAATTTCGATTGGAAGACTTTATTCGATCAGAAGGTGAAAGTTTACCAAGGAAACCTTTCAATGCCCCGAATCGGTCTGTCGGATGACGAGGAAGCAACTATCTTGTCAAATTGCAGGGCTGTAATTCATTGTGGTGCCCTTGTCTCGTTTGTCAGAAGCTACGAGCTCATGCGAGATGTCAATGTTGGCTCGACTAAATATCTTGCAGGCTTAGCAGTCAAAGGGTCGATGGTGTTCCATTTTATCTCGACCGTGGGAGTCAACTGTGCACCCTGGTCAGAACAGCTAATTATCGAGGAGACGTCTGCAGCAGATACCCGGCCACCCTCTGACGGTGCAGGTGGGTATATTGCCAGTAAATGGGTCAGTGAGGTTTTCCTGGCGCGTGTTAATACTCAATATGGTCTACCCGTTTCCATTCATCGTCCATCCAATGTTGTTGGGCCGAACGCCTCCAAGGACGATATTATCAACAGCTTGCTGAATACTTGCCGTCAGCTCGGAATGGTACCGAGGCTTCCAGGCTGGAGTGGCTATTTTGATCTGATCAGCGTAGAGGCAGCTGCGTCAAACATCATCAGTGCTATGAATGAGAGTATTCAAATGCATCACAACATCGCCGGGATCGGCAGTGTGGAATATCGACATGAGTCGGGCGGCGCAGTTATACCAATTGGTGCTTTGAAGTCAGTGTTGGAGAAAACCGGGGGGAGGCCTATTCGCCTTGTGGATTTGAATGAATGGATGGAACATGCTCGATGTACCGTCGGCACATCAGAACTCGTATTGGAGTACCTGGAGATGAGGAAGGGCAAAGGAATCAGCATGCCGTTGATCCGCAACAATCGCACGGCTTGGTTCTCTGGGGAATTCACCACAGGGGGTATTTTGGAAAGAGGTAAAATGTCGGAGATGAAGGGAAGGGGTATGGTCGAACAGATTGCCGCTCGGTAGGGGCCGACACAGGCTTCATCAAGATTGTTGGGCTGTCATCATTTGGAAACTTGATCTTCTAGGATACGGACGCAACTTTTCATCTACTCGATTCCTTTTACTCACATTGAAAATCTCGTATCTTGCCAATAGGCTGGCTCTCTTTTTCTCTTATTAGTTTTATCGACTGTATCTGGGAGATAGTATACTCCGTATGGGGACTCTTGACGGCAATGAGCTCATTGCCGAGAAAGGGCTTTTTTAATGGTCGTAGACGAGTTCGCTCTAACATAGGCAACTGTCGCTCAACATGTCTACAGAGGCCCTTCTATTTATATACAGACAGCCTTGGGAGACCGATTTCAGAAATGATCAGCCGTCAAAACTCACTGTCGTTAGACTGCGGCTGAGATGGACCCCACCTCAGATACGAAGTAGAACTGTCATCTTCTCCCCTTCACACGCCGAGTCATCGAAGCCTTCTACAATATTCCTACGTAGAGAGGCCTCATTTCAAACCATAATGTCGCGAAAAATCGATAGGCTACCGGGGCCTGTCAGTAAGCGGCCAATGAAAGTGATCGTTGCTAGCCCAAGTCGGTAAGCTGTCGACACCTGCCACTAGTATGATTTTGATGGGTATACCAAAGTCTTTTCTCAGATCTGGAACTCTAGGTCTCTATCGAGCGATGCAGATCCTAGGGTTTAAGCCTTATCACTCTTACGAATGCCTGTTTGTGCATGGTGTGCCTCATATGGAGGTCGAATATGAAGCAGTAATGGCACAGCACAACCGCTTCTCCGGCATCAAGCGATATGACAAGGCGGATTTCGAGAAATGGTTTGCCGAATATGATGTGAGATTATCGCTTCCCTATTTTGGGTTATTCAATTAACGTAGTGCAGTGCTTGGTTGAAGTCCCCAGTTTCTTCGGAATGGCAGTGCTCAGCGCCTACGCGGATGATCCAAGCGTAAAGTTCATTCTGACAGAAAGAGAACCCGAGAAATGGGTTGCCTCTTTCAATAACACTGCAGGTACCTTGATGAAGATGGCCGATAGCTTTCCACTTGTCATTCTCCGACATTTTGATGGCCCGCTGAACCTGTTCTTGAAGCTTAACCAAACTATCTGCTGGGCACTTTCCGACAAGACGAATCCCGGGGAGCCTGATAATGCACTGGCAATGCGGAGGAACTATGTCGAGTAGTACGTGATATCACATTCTTGCAGTACGGTCATTAACCTCTCTAGTATTGAGATGGCGAAGAGAATCATCCCAGCCGACCGTCTCTGCCACATCAAGCTCGAAGATGGACTCGGCTGGGAGCAAATCTGTCCGTTCCTTGATATGCCAATTCCCGATCAGGAATATCCCGATCGCAATGAGCCTGCGAAATTCCAGGCTATTGTTGCTGGGTTCATTCAGCCGATGGTGACCAGAGCGATGGTTAGATTCGTCACCGTTGCAGTTCCTACCATTGGAGTCATCGCATGGGCAGCTGTGAAATATGGGCCGACAGTCGCTGCTGTAAAGAAGATCTAAAATTCACAGATGACCTATCTTTCTCTGTTTTTAGGTGAAATTCCCACACGTGAGGGAAATAACTACAGCCTGTTCTGCTCTCCACTTGAATCATTCGTTTACATCTCGCTTAATATCGCCTCGGATGCCCAATAGTCAGGGGCAAGAACGCATCTCCCCCTACCCTTGTAATGCACTAACCCACGCAAGCCCTAGCCTAAAGATCTGATTTGACTCGACCCCTGCCAAGCCCGCCAGACGGGGCATTCGCTTGGCTAGCGGGAGAATGGGAGGAGATTAATCCACCGAAAGAAAAGCACTATACTCCGTAGGCTTCATTCGATCATTTCCAAGACCATTAGTGACAGCAATTTGACTAATCAAGTTTAGTCTGAAATACCACATCATGAGCATGCACGCTGACTATAAAGCAATGCATTGGTCACCTTTTTTGGCCGCTCTTGTATTTTCTTGCTCAGAGCTCAACATTAAGATTGCTTAAGTTTCGCGATCATGCCTACTGCATCCGTTGGTGGCGGATACTGGACCTTTGAAAACTACGGCCCTGTAACGACGACGTTCACCCCCGCGCCCAGCTGTACCGCGACAGATAGACTCTCCCTCGCCTTCATCGATTATGATAGGACTCTAGACCAATTCCAAGTCGCCTGTCCGACATCAACGAGCGACTGGGACTGTATGCCCCCTGGTACAACCACATCGGCAACATGGTATGATGAAAAGAAATGGGTCGCTTCTGCTGGGTACTACTCGCCGGGATTGTACTGTCCTTCCGGGTGGGAGACGATTGGTAAGGCAGTGCGCGATGATAAGTCGCTGTCTACTTCTGGATTCTTGACGACGTCGGAGAAGAAGATTCCTTATTACGAGGAGCCTGTGACGCTTTTGGCGAGTTTGTTGAAGCCGAGTGAGACACTGGCGCTTTGCTGTCCTAGGTAATTCGAGATCGCTTTTATTACGGATTCGGACTGATTCATTCTCTAGCTCCATGACACCGAACGGTATCGGCGAATGTATCGCTCAAGTCCCAACCTACAAGCCCAGCGTCGGCTGTGAGGTCGACGTAGACATGGACTACAGTTGGGAGAAAGTAACATGGACACAAGTGTATTCCGGTGTCACCGAGACAAACACCTACGATGTGAACTCATTTGTGAGCGCTACTACGTCGACTTCGTCGACATCCTTTACTCCTGGAGCTGAGGATGCGTTGACGGCTATTTCTTATGTTTCTATGATTACTATGGTGCATCATCGGTCTGATCTAGAGGCAGCTGGGGTTACGGGCGGGTCTACCAGTGCCCGCTCAACTGGGACTGGGACTAGGACGAGCGCTGGCACTGGGAGCTCCGAGGCTACAGGAGCTGCTGCTTCCACGTCGAACGCTGCGTATAAGCTTGGTCATAGAGCATCTCCTTTGGATGGAATCGGTGCGATTATTGGGGGTTTGGCTGTTACCGTGACACTTGGTGTGACTATGATTATTTTGTAGAAGATCCTTGGTAACTTTACATTCAAACTTTATTGTTTTTAGCTCTAAAGGAGGTGCAGAGTACGCTTTTGATCTCCTGCAAGGAGTGGTATCTGGATATCATAGTACACATCAAGTATAGCACGTTGCTGAGGATACTGGAGTGATCATTTAATTTGTCGCCTCCAAGGGCAAATTTCTCTGGCAGTCCTCGGAAATCTAAGCGGAATAGTGTTATCATCGATATCCATCATATCCCATCGCACACAAATACATGTTATGCTCTGGCGGGTATAAATTGCAACTTCCGCTTCCCAAAAGGGTAATGACGCGCCCCTGCTAGTCTTAGCTTCTCTCTTGTTTTTTTTTCTGGCCTTCAACTACTTCGTATATCTCCTGTTTTGATTTAATTTCTTTTGAACTTCCTATCAATGGCAAATTTAGTAACGAACAATGCTACCCCTATCTCCATTTCACAGAACATCCGAAATGCCAAGCTTTTTGTACAAATCGCAGGAATAGCCGGATTAAATACATCTCCGGTGTGCCGGTCTATATACTCTATTAGTTTATTTCTTAGACTACGTATTAAATTAATTTACCTTAGGTAAAGCGGTGTGAGCAGTAGTGCTCCTTTGGGCTTTAGATATCAATCTTTCCCCCTAAAATGAGGTTCTAAGCCCGGTAGCTATACAGCTTCCGGATCCCAGGGGTGATTATACAGGGGTGAGAGCAAGGCGGTGCAATGGGCGGTACAATGGGCGGTACAATGGGCGGTCAACAGTTTCTATGGGTTGGCGCGATGGCGGTTAAAACCTGCCGTACATTGAGTTATGTACAGCACATATATTATTGACAGCTTTATAGGCGATGAGTAAGCCTCCAGCGCTGGGCTTACCTTACACCTTGTAACTCATCATCTTTTGGTCACAAACAAAACACAGATTAGGTCTTCCAAGGTCACCCAAGCTCGAAGTGACATAGAAAATCTCGAATAAGATATGAATACTTCGTATCCCGTCCACAATACCACGCCTTACCACCTACCCAGGTATTACCTAGGTACCTAGTTTGACATAGTTAGTCATACATCAGAGAGCGCCTAGAAGAAAGCGCAATCTATCAATTCAATTTTCTATACACAGCAGTGCCAGAGTGGTTGATATAATACTCCCCTCTACGCCTTCCACTATACGCCTTGGCCAAACCGCATAGGTACTAAGGCCTAAGAAAAGGTTTTCATACCAAAACTTATCTATTTATCTTTTCCTCGAACTCGAACATACACTGGTTCTGTAGTGTAGTGGTGATCACTCCGGTTTTTGAAGCGATAAATCGTTAAATTACCGGTAACCCCGGTTCGAACCCGGGCAGGACCTTTCTTTTTTTTTTTATTCATTTTGTCATCTCAAATACGAGAAACCTTGGAAGATCAATTGCCAAAGTAGAGAAGAAACAATATGTATTGACTGAGACTGGAGCCGGCAGGCTTCTGCCATGACGGTTTGGGTGTATTTCACGCTCGCTTTGTGAACCGGCTTGGCTGCAGACGTTGCTATGTCATCGACCTAATTGTTATTATCATCTGAGTCGAACTTTAGAATCGTCATGTCCCTGGAGGTTTGCATATGTAGGGTCGTGTACGGCAAATGACATTCGAGTCGGTGTCGATTTCGACAATGGCTGATTTCGACAATGGCTAAAATATCAGCACAGTCAGTCAGGACAGACTGGGAAAGTTAGTATGTCTTCAAACTAGACGGTGCTAGGAGGCACGAATAAAAGGTCACTCGGGACCTTAAATGTGAGATCATCGTGAAATCCCTATGAGATTCTTTTGAAATTGATGGTGTTAGCGGAGAGGAGCTAGATGATCGATTCGTTTATAACAGAGAAGTAATCTGCAAATCTAGTATCGATGATCCACTGCTTGAAGAGGGAAAAACTTGGAAGGAATAAGCCTAAGAGAAGTTTTGCACCACAATCAAGTATTTTCGGGCTTATGAATACCTACATTTCTTACTCATCTTTTCACGACGAAGAAGTGACGGCTTTCATGGCCTAACCCTGTATCTCTATACTATTCAACCATGATATCTCACATTGTATCGTACACCTACACGGTTCTATATACCTCCCTCTCCTGGCAAGGAGTCTTCGATTATATATGAGACAATGTTTCCTTGCGGTATCGTCCTTTCATAGTCCGAAGGACCGAAGGAAGTGTGCAAGGTTTGATCAAAGCAGACAGTTGCAAGGGAGGCCAAGAAGTTGGGAAATACTTAGGTACCTTTCAGGTCACCCGTATCTAAAGGGCCTGATTTGTGTGAATGACCTTTCCACGTATCACCTCAAAACTAAGAGTAAGACTGAGACTAAAAATAAAAGAAAAAAAAAATCAAGCGGTGTTCTCCAAGTTAAGGGTGATAATTGAAAAAATTTTCAACTTCAACTTTCCATATGTAATAAGAGATAGGTCGGTGCATGAATGTGATATGGTTTAGCGGAGTGTTTTAAGCGGAGACGGAGATAAGTGCAAGAAGGTGTGACTCCCCTCTTGACTGCCCTTCAACATGCACTGGTTTTGTAGTGTAGTGGTGATCACTCCGGTTTTTGAAGCGATAGGTCGTTAAATTACCGGTAACCCCGGTTCGAACCCGGGCAGGACCTTTCATTTTTTTTTAAAAAATTCACCTAATAGTCGACCTCGAACTCATTGGTGAGGAGAAAACATAACCTATCGTCTTCTTGCCATTCGCTGACGATTTGGGGTAAGGGAATTGAGGCTCTTGGCCCTAAAGCCCTAATATTGGGAGTCTCAAAACTGGGTGGCTCGGTCAGTCTCAGCATTAACTTTGAGACTAAAGACCATGCCCCCGCGCGCCCCCCCAATGCTGATACTGTAGAAAGCTTCACATGACTCTGGTAACGACATGCGTCTTGACGTATTGGGGACCAGCTGCACGCTGAACAGATATTCTCGGTGGCCATCGGTTCCTTTGAGGGTATATCAGATTCAGATGGAATCAGGTGTACCAAAGGCTTATGTACAGGGGAAAATGGGGGGCGCGACAAACATGTATCATATTGGATGATTATCATATAGGATGATAGTTTATCTGCATGATATCTTAATACTGTTGAATGAGGTGATCTTCGCCGATTAATGTCTTTCAAACCTTGCGGAAGTCCCCGGACTGCGTGTGATAGACTAGGTCAAAAGGATGTCTCTCACAATAGCAGTCTTGACTAACTCTCAAGTATGTGGAATGAAGTAGATTCATTATCTTCCCTCTATATTAAAAGTCGAGATTGGACCTTCTCTGAACACCCCATCTAGGAGCCTAAACTTGCACACATCAGTGTAGCATATCCAGAATCCAGCCCTTGATGGTATCGAGTATATCACTCCGCATATTATCTATTTCCTCATGTCTGTTCAGATCCGTGGTCTACCTCTTGATCCCAATGACACGCTGGATAGCCTCATCATTGCCCATGGCCAAGTCAATAACACCAGCGACCTTAAGCACATCGACAACGCCTCCAATGATCTTATCGTCAACTCCACGGGTAGCATTAGTGAACTTGACATCCTTAAGCCACTCCTTTGCATCCTCCTCGATATAATTGCATCCAAGCTCACCAGTACCCAAAAGCTTCACAACCTGCGCAGTATCAGCTTCGAAATCCTTGATACCCTGATCGAAAGCCCGGAAAAGACTGTCCAATCGCTGGTCCTGCTCGGGGTTAGGGAACATCTTCGTAGAAGCAACAATCATCCACGAAGGCCAGGGCGTGAAAATCTCCCCAATCTTCTTGAGCGGCGGATTCGGTTTCTCAGATGTAGCATGGAAGTAAGGCTTCGTGGTGAATTCCTCCCACATGAAGAACTCAGCCGATGGATTCGCAGCCTGGTCAGGCTTCGACGCATCGAGACCGGATACACCATCCCGCAAAGGTCCGAAGGGTCCCAGAGGAACTGTAGTCAAAGAATCGGCTTTCCAGCCTTGTTGCTGGGCCAGAACGAAGGACATAATATGAGAGCCGCTGTAAGCCACGATGTTAGTTCTCAATTTATTGTGTTTGCCACGGTGCGACCTTGATAGCTTACCTTCCCAGTCGACTAACGCCGACCCTTTTATCCTTCAGATCCGATAGTCCATTGATCTCGTCGCGGTTGCGGCCTGTGACTATAGCCCAGCGCAGAGGGTTGTCTACCCAGTGGCCGATGATTTTGTATCCTCCATCTGTGGAGGGCTGGCTTGCTTGTTGCTTCCCGGCTAGACCTGCGACCCAACCCTCTGTCAGACCAATTGCGAGGTCGATTTCATTGCCACGGAGCGATGTGATCATATGGCCCGTTCCGGACGGGAAGGGAGTTAGGGCGAGTTTGAATGGGAGGGAGGAAATGGCCGGGGAACGAAGGGCGAGATGGAGGGGGGTTAAATAGTGCTCTGGTAGGGGATAAAAGCTAATTGTTAGCTAGATCTGGTTTAACAAAAGGGGAAGATGATAAACAGGCTTTGTTGAGACAAAGCAAGTAGCTTGCGCATGGCAGTACTGATTCTTCAGCTGATGCTGATGCTCTGGGAGGGACGTACCAGGCACATAGCCAATGCGGATTGTGGGTAAGTCAGTCATTGTGAAAGTCTTAGCTGCTTTATCGAAGGAAAATATCTACTAGAGCTGGAAGTTTGGGGGAAGATGTCGGAGATGTTGACATTCCGAGGCGGGGCAGCCCCCCACCAGACGCAATCGGATAAGGACTCTTCTGACCATATTGACATTTATCTCGTTCAAGTTACAGATCTATAATGTTGGCAAATGCTAGCTATCTACAAGAATATTCTAGTCCAAGTTCCTTCAGTTCATGCGATAATCCTTCTCGTGATGATCCCAGCTGCCATTCTGCTCCTTGGACTCGCCTGCGGGTTGGGAGCTGGAACGGGAGTGATAAGTGGTGAGGGGAATAGGGTGAGGGTGAGGGTGGGAGAATGAGTTGGAGTGTGAGTGAGAATGCGGGTTAGAGAACGAGGAAGAGAGCGAGTTGTGGTGGGAATGGGACGGGGTTTGAGAGGGGGCGTTTCGAGTAAAGAAATAGAACTGGAAGCCCAGATAGAAGTCGCAAACGCACTGGAAGATACCACAGAGCTTGAACGCCCATGGAATGGTCTCCGTGCTGTTGAAGAAGTAGCTCATCTTCATAGTGTCACCGAGAATCCATGCCGCAACAACGGAGACTCGGAAGCCTTTGCACGAGCCGGATCGGTGGTTGGCGACGATTTGAGGAATGGGGAGAGTAGCCTCGGTCGCGAGTCCGATGTACCCAAGGAGGCTGATATAGAAATCCGACTTGGCGACCGGGGTCAGGTGGATGAAGGTCAAGATTCCGACGAAATAGGCAATACATAACCAGTATCTTTGAGAATCGGTAATTAGTGTTGCTCACTGTTGTTGGAGGCGCCGGAACTTACGGCTTAGTGTCCCTCCACTGCCAAAACTCATAAGGCCTTGAGGATGAGCCATCGAAGTTACCACCGCTGAAGGGCGTGTGCTCAATTCCATGCCTCCCGCCAGCGGAAGGCCGATTATCCAGTGCAACCTTGAGCAGCATGACCTGCACCACGATCATGACAATTGCTTGCGTCAACAAAGTGCCTGAGTAGTATTCGCCAAACCAATAGAATATCCTGATCATGTTAGCATTGGACTACCTCGAAACTCCGACGCGCCATTGAGCGGGATCTTACTTCAGGATCGACGAAATCAGCATAATCAAAGGAATGTCCAAGGAGAAACCCGCCGAGCTCCTTGTGCGATAAATGCTAACAATTTGGTCGGCATAGGACGTGACGGGAGAGCTGATGAGGCTGTATACGAGCTTTATTAGCTGGGGACGTGCGGATCAAATTAGGAGGTTCCTACAAGAATGGTGCGGCATAGTCAAAGGCGATCTGAAAAAGAGACATAGTGGGTGTGTCCGCAGTCGCTATAATTGCGGGAGGCTTTTTGGTGAATACTCCCGAGCGATCAAGGAAAATGGGGACAATCAAGAAAAGGAGGTCAAACCAAAAAGGTACACTTCGGACACGACTGCGATTTTTCGCCGCTCCCGGGCTGCCCTGGATTATGTCAGCGCTCCACTGGGGCTTTAATGGGGGCCACTTGGCGTTATTTCAGCCAATCATATTAAAGCTGGCTTTTTATATGAGTTTATTAACACGAGGTCATTTGCCTATCTTGGAATATCAACTATACAACATATGTATTTGCACAACCTCGTTTACTGCCACCTGTGCCTGGGCCCATTGATCGACCGATGTCCATTCGTGCCGCAATCCACGAGTGGAGTTTCCGATGTCTTGGAATAACCCCTGCAGAAAGTGTCGAATTCTTTTGTATGTTGTACGGTAGAAGAGAATTTTGTCAACGCCAGACGCATATCGGATATGTTTTTCCAGAAAATGCGGGTACTGTCGCTGGTCTTCTGCACCCACGCTATACCCAGTGTCCTCCATGGATTTCGCATATCAACTTGGTATTCGTGAACTTTAGCGATGACTTTAACATCGTTGATGAGTATGGTGACATCGTCGATCGCATGTCATTCCTCAAATTTTCCCAATCCAGGGCTCCGGCTCAATATTACTGTCGGAGGGTGGACTTTCAGTGATATCCCAACACAACAATTATGGACTGAAAGTAAGTCATCAGTTGACTGAACCATTCCGTAAAATATACGATACTGATATTGCAAAAGTGGCTGGTTCGTATGAGAATCGATAGACATTTATTAACTCCGTGGTGAAATATCTACAGGATTATCACTTAGACGGCATTGACCTCAATTGGGAGTACCCTGGTGCTGCTGATCGTGGTGGTCAAAGCTAGGACGCTACGAAATATGTCACCCTGTTAGCAGAAATGCGAGAGGCGTTCGACCGAGAGAATCCCGGATGGGAGATCTCCGCAACCATTCCAACAAGCTACTGGTACCTACGTGGATTTGATGTCAAGGGAATACAGAAGTATCTTGACTATCTCAACCTCATGAGCTACGACCTTCATGGCATGTGGGATCAGAATATCAAATTCACCGGTCCGTACTTGGAGGGCCATACCGATATAAGTCAGATAGAGCTTGGCTTGGACCTTCTCTGGCGCAATGACATCGACCCATCAAATGTTGTCTTTGGGTTCGCGTTCTATGGTCGATCATTTACAATAAAGGACTCAAGCTGCTTCAAGCCAGATAGAAAATGCGAGTTCAGTGATGGTGGCATTGCCGGTTCGTGCACCGATACAACCGGCATTTTGTCTTACGCAGAAATCAGCTCTAGCAACAATTCGCTAGATGTGCATACATCTTATGATCCAAAGACAACAGTCAAACACAATGTGTACGGAGGAACAAAATGGATCTCGTATGACGATGAACAGTCGTTCAGCGATAAGAAAAGATTCGTTTCCAAGCGCTGTCTGAGCGGCTGGATGGTTCAGGCCATTGATCAGGACAATGGTGAATTCGATGCTCTGACTGGACTAATTGGCGAGGATCTTTCTTCGTTGCAGATGAAAAGCAACGAAGATAGTCGTTCAAGTCATGTCCTTGCCGATCCATGGATGCATTTTCTGCTTATACTGGTTAGACACTCCGCTGACAAATTCTAGCAATGATCGGTGACATGAGCTCAAATTGGAAAATGCTAGACGCCGACACCGCTAAGAACGACGATGTGGAAGACTTTTGGGTGCCATGGAGAAACGACAGTATGTTTTTACGGTTCCCTAATGATCCTTTTGATAACCCCTCTGACTCTCTTTCGAACACTCTAGAGTGGACTAGAACCGCCACATTTGGAACCAACAACGAATTTGCGTAGAAACTGAAGGAATACGGAGTGAAACAACCGCCTCCGGATGACATTTTAGTGCGGGTAAGTCTAGATACTGGCGGTAAATGCGTTACCCAATGAGCTAATTCTGACAAATAACGCAAAACAAGAACAATAGCAAGGAATCATGGACGTTCAAGAGAGACTATCGTGCTACATGGATCACTGATGGCTCCAAGCCTGACGACGGGTGGAACTTTGTTAGCCGCCGCTGGTACAGTGAAGGCTACGAGGGGGATGTAGGAGGCGAGGCGATCTTTTGCGCAATGAATCACTTCGGTCAGGACAATGTGTACAAGTTGGAGACTGAAAAAGGGAAAATGTATAATGGCTTCTATCTTAGGAATGACGGCTTAGGCATGGCGAGCGACTGGCAACAAATGCACAATCTGGGCAAATACTTGATCACATTTGGCAACACACAGGGCCAAACCCCGGACTCGACCAATACCAAGAGAGATAGCCAAAGTTGAAATGGCTGGGAAGTTGAACGTAAGTCAATATACCCTAATATTTCAAACGCCGTGGCTCACCTACCTAGGTGTGGAATTTGTCGATTGAATTTTGGCGTTATAGATAACTGTGGGGTGTTAAATATTTTATAGTAAATATATATGAGCCGTTATTGAACATTCTCGTAGTCGGCTTACTTGTATATAAAATTGGCTTTGATCCTTTCCCTCATACATGGTAAATAATTGCTATAGATAGAGCTTTCAAGCATATCCTTTTTACTTTGTTACTAGTGAAATAGCTTGTTTCCATATTCTCTCTTTCTTTCTCCAAGCCAAGCCAATTTGGCCCCCTCACTAAAGCCCCACCGCCACTACCTCAAGAACCCGAGATACTTTTCCCTTGTGTTTCTTCCTATTCCTTCTCACTCTTTCCATCATGAGGAGGGAACACATTCCATGGGGCGGACTAGCCGTTGAACAATATTTGATCGTATATCTCAGAGCCTCAACCTTAGAACTCGCTAACACGTTGAAACAGAGAAACTGGGATTCAGCCTCGCCAGAGTCTCCCTCTGAGCAACGTCTTCGACTTATTTCCGGCTTCCTTGACTTAGACGAGACCCCGTATGAATGGTTTATGGATTTACATGCGACCTCGCCCTCTCGACAGCCAACCGCCGAAGAAATTGAAATAATCCTTCAGCCTTGGAGACCCGATGCCCTCCGTAAAAAGGCCGAGTGGATGCATAGCGGCGATGGAATACCTATCCTTCTTCGAACCCACTATAGCTCCAACCTAGAAGACGAGGAGACACTGAAAGCATGGATAGATGAAGAGATGTTTGAAGAAGCCTCAGACTGGGCATGCCTCAACGACGAGAAACTCTTCAATTTCGGCGATGGCTGGAGGCAAATATTTGAGATTCTACCCGAGGTTGCTGGCCCAACGAACTCAAGACAGCTACGATATATACCTCATGATCATCTAGTGTTGTTTCGAAATAACTTTAAGAAGCATATCTCTACCGTGAAGCAGAATTGTCCAGATGACTGGAAAGAAAGGGAAAGCCGGGATGAGATTATTCTGGATTGGGCCAGTAGTCTGCATAGGGTCGTTACCGAGGTCTATCTTCTCATCGCGGATGAGGAAGCCTTCCAAACCAAGCAACTTCGGCTGCTCTATTTGGATGGGAAACGAAATATTGTCCGAGAGGCTCGTGTCGACCCGGACGTTTGGCAGATGTACGACAGTATTATGCAGCATGATACTGTCCCTACTGAGCCTTACGAGTTCTCCACTGTGGGCGAAAAGTATCGCGTCGATGGGGAATTGGGAAAGGAATTGTACCAGCTATCTGAGGGAGATCTTGGACCAGATGGAGGGGTAGCTCACTAGATCGCTCTAGAATACAACCTGGTAGCTCTCACCTTTCAACAGTGTACGGCTTTGTCCTGATAGCTTACTGACGCCTTTTTCAGGTTTAGGTGGGCATTGTGTCAGTTAGACTGCCTGGCTCGGTGTCTGTACAAGAGAGCTATAGAGAAGGCTCTTAAATCTTTGCCACTGAATCTCAATGAGACATACCAGCGTATGTTTGAAAGCATACCGACGGAGCTGAAAAACGACGCGACACGGCTTCTCCAATTTCTAGTGCATTCTAGGCGACCTCTAACGCTGGCCGAGGTTAAAGAAGTAATAGCGACGCATATTGAAAGCGACTCGGGAGAGTTTGACATGAAGCGTCGAGTATTTTGCGAGACTGATATCTTGGCTTACTGTCCCAGCTTAGTGACAGTTGTCCATACCAATGATAAAGAGTTACATCTTGCCCATCTTTCTGTGAAAGAGTACCTTCTTGGTCATGGGCAATTCCAGGCCACAGCTGCCAGCATTTCCATTACGAGGACGTTGCTTGATATATCTTACGGATATCAACGGTACCGAATTCAAGATGAAGCGGTATTTTCCGTTGGCGGAATATGCGGCCGAATTCTGGACGTGCCATGCTGTATTGGCTCAGGCCCATGAGGAAATTATTCGAATGATAGTCATAAAAACTGGCCATAACTATATTAGGAAGTAAACCCAAGACTATGTGCAAATGCGTAATCATGTTCTGGCAGGGCGGTTGCCTAAAAGAGGGCAATGCAGACACCACAGCAATCCTCATTAGCCAGCATCGGCGTGAGCCAACAGTATCGTCTAATCGAGCGAGTGCTTTACCCCTCCATACACATGAACAATTATTTGACCCCACCACACAAGACGTCGTATCACGGATAGGAATACACGCGGTTCCGGTTTTCGTCCTCACTGGAACTCGAGTGAAAGGACCATGCAGCCTCACGCAGCCTCGTTCCACCAATCGCACACGGTACTAGGAATGCCCCTCAAATTCATCCTTCGGTCACGTCAGAAAAGATGTGACGGCGCGAGGAGCCGCAATTGGATCTGCTCTTCGACCGACGTAGCCGCCGGCCTAGATTGTGGGCCAGGCGCTAAGAATGCACTGGCCGTGCGCCGCTCATTCTCCGTCACTGAGGGTGGTCTGCCTAATAGGAATAGTTGGAGACAGGGTTGCCAACATGCACACTGTCGGGCTCAGTCATTGTTAAGCGCAAGGATTGGATAAAAAGGACTTCATAAGTGCTCAAGCCCCCAGAAATGTCTATAAAAACGGCCCGTATCCCCTTGAGTACTTCTATTCAACAACATTGAACCCCGGAATCACCACTCAAAGACAATCGCACTCCTTAAGTGACTTCGAAGTGAGAAAAGGAATAACTTTTAGGAATTTTACCCTATTAGGTACGTCTTGACCACGAACCTATATTTGGTCAACTTACTTATGTGTACCGTTGACGTCTCCACAAAAATCTACGAGTGCGGCGATAGGATTAAGGAAGATGTCAGGTTTACACCTTGCCCCAAAGTCGGCACCCCAGCTTGCCCAGGTCGCAAGGAAAACCCCTTGGGCTCAAGCCGGGTGAAAGGAAAATGTGGAACCCACGGTTGCAGAAACCCATAAAATCTGAGCCAATTTTGGATGGGATCCGGGGGGTTTTAACTATTCTGTTCTGTTAGCTGAGGACTGTCATTCTAAATCATTCTTTTGTACTGGACTTGCAGAAAGAAGCGGGAAGATAGCACATGAATTCACTTGTTGTCAGAATGCTGTGTAAGCTAGGCTACGCCCATACCGACGAGCTCCTATCTCACCAAAAGACAATTTTTGATCTCGAATAAGCGCCCCTACATCGCCGTATCGTTCTGTCCAACATCCTTGTATCACGGTACCACCAGGTAGACTATCAACCGGAGGATATTTCTGAGATGCAAAGAGGGTGTCTACCAGTTCTTCGTAGTCGTCCTTCTCTGCCACGGATTTGAATGGCCCAGGAGACTTATAGGGCCAATGGCCGGTCATTATCGTGTAGAAAATCGATCCAAGACTGAATATGTCCACAGCCTCTGTTGACACCCATGGTTTGCATGGATTGAAAAAGCCCGAGTCGGGAAGATGTCCACCATCGATGTCACCACTTATCGATCCCCCAAAATCACAGAGTAGAAGATCGAGCTTACCTTTAGAGTCGGAGTGTAATAAAAAATTCTCTGGCCGCAGGTCGGAATGAATGACGCCCTTTTGGTGGATATAGTGAACGGCTTCCGCTGCCTGGCAACACCACTTCAATCGAAGGCATAGATCGATAGTATTATTATGCTGGTCAATGTAAGTTTGCAGATTACCATCGCTAGCTTCTCCGAAGAGTAACCCACGAGGCTCCTCTGAGATACCAATATAGCTACAGTGGAATAAAAATTAACACATTGAACCGCTTGGCTTTGGCTGACATACCGTATTATTCTAGGGTGTGCCCCTAAGATATTCAAAAGTCGCTCTTCAACCTCGAAACTACGCTTAATGTCCTTGACAAAGGGGTGGGCATCCGCTGCTTCAGAATGCCACCACGAATACCTGGGGCATTTGACGACGACACCTGGTTTCATTCTTGCTATCAATGAGGTTGAGCCTTGGCTCAATGTTTCATTGAAACGAGGTTCATAGAGAACCGGATTTGCTATTCCGCCGGGAAAGACAGCTTGATCCTCTTCATTTAATCCCAAAACGTGGTTCTTCGCGATGGCTGGAGAATCATTTTTCGATAGAGGGCGTCCGCACCGCTCAAGATCGTCAGGCTCTTCACGTGTGGACAAAGAATTTCTGATAAAAGGAGGTACTAGGCGAGAAAGGAAGCCAAATGAACCATATAGAAAATATCTTACAACTGAATGAACAGCCGAGCAACATTTCCACAGGTGCGCCAACATTTTGGAGGTGCTATGAGTATTTGCAGTAGCCACTGGGAGGCTCCAAAAGGGGGTGCGATTGTCACATGACATGTTGGGGGAAAGCAAACACGTCAAACAAAATACAATCGTGGAATGGGCTGTTCGACTAGAATAAGTACTTCTTAACGTTGCACTGTACTTCATGGACAAAACTCGATAATGTGCCCCGCCAATCTATATTTGCGAAGAAATCTTTATGCGGAACGATTCGTGCCATTTCTTTCACCAGTGGTTGGTTTACTTCTACTCCTTTCTCCACCTTAAGAGTAGCTACATTCAAGGGCATTGCCTTCGTACTTCACTATTTCACTAGAATAACTGGAAACTCTGCTGTATGACTGGGCTATTGTATGGCCAAACTATATGCAATAGCTTTTAGCGAGAAAGACAAATTCTATGGGCTCGACCTTACCGATGGCTGCGGATCTGTGGAATGGACTACCGTAGTGTGGAACTGTGGACTTGGACCACCAACACTCAACTACATTGTTGAATTCACAGTCCTCACTTTATTTACGTTGTGGTTGATGGTGCAAGGGAAAACGAGGGAATGGTCTAAGTATCGATTAGGCTGGCATTTCCTACGTGGCAGCCGCCAAAGATCGCCGCTGTTTCTTGAGCGTCGTGCTCCAGTACATCTGTATGGACCCTTTACTTCTCCGGGCGAATTTCTCTGCAAACTGTCTCGTCACCTCCGACCAAGCAAGATCCTGTTCTTCCCTGAGCTTCACCAATAAAGTTCCTTCTTCCACAGACCATGGTAAACCTTTTCTCGTACAAGGAGTATGTTGAGCATCAACTAGTTCGGTATTTGGGCTTGGCTGGTCACAGTCATATGTGATGTCTGAATCTTGGTTTGCGATGTATCTTGATACAGTGACATCTGTGCTCAAAGGCGTAGAAATACAATGAGATAAAGCACCCTCAAACAACCAGGACAGGAACTCTAGCCGGTCTTCAACGGGAAGGGCCGAGAATTGAGCACGAACGGTAAGAAACGAAACGCTGCTGCGACAATGAGGCCCTTTATTAGACCGGCCAGCACCATTTTACGAATATCTCTTCCTAGCACTTGAACATTTATTTATTTTGAACGTTTATTTATTTTGGACTGGCGACCAGGAACCGCCCCTCCCTTTGCATGTTGTCGTCTGGATTGAAGAGGTGGATCTTGATTCGGAGAGTGGGAGCACTCTAAGAGACATCTGTCTGGACATGTTGCGATGCCGGTGATATTTTCCGTTGCTTGGGTCTGCTTACCACCCGGAAAGGCATGGTCGTCTAGAATTGCGGGATCGATTGTTTCAGGGTCTAGAAGCTCTCCAGTCTGGGTAGGGTTTCCAAAATCGACAGCTTGCGGGTGCTGACCAGCAATAACGGCAGGCTCCAAGTCGCACGATCCGAAACCGGGGGATCGATGCTTAGCACCCAGACAAACATTATTGGGCATTGTGGGAGAATCAACATCTTCGGTGCCTGTTATGTCTTGCGATCATAGGAATCCTTTAAGGTTATCTAGCACTAGCATTTTTTCTCGCGACCGCCCAGAGGGCGGTCTAAGGAACTTGTCAAAATATATAGATCAGAATGAGATATATCGAGTATCATTAGGTATGATATGTTCACCTAGAATCACGATGGATCACCGATGCCAAACAAGATCGTAACTTGACTTTCTCCTCCAATTCCCGAAAGGATCACAACTTGGTGCCTTTCGTTCAATCTCGCTAAACGTTGATCCCTCCCAAACATCTACAATGAGTAAGCCTAGCAAGCAGAACGCAAAAGAAAAGTGAGTTTGAAGATCGAGAGCAGGTAATGGACTGAGGGACAAAGTGATGCGATATGACTTCTCTGGCAGCAAACTTGCCGAGACGGTACCCAAGGGAAGCCGATATCAGCGACGAAGGCGCTATCTTCTGGGGAAAAAGATCCGTGCTACTATCGAGCCCCTCAAGTTCTGATCTGGGGATTCGCAGATGGTAACTCTGAGAGCCCAGCTGACTTGATCGATGAAGACCCCTATCTTCCAGCATGGAAGAATGAGGAACTGTCATTCGCCTTCTCAGACCAGGAAAGCAATTCAACGATGACGAAACTGGACTGGTAGTTGCCAAACCAAAATTCTCCAATTATATAGTTAGGTATGTCTGCCTTCGAGAAGATCAAGAAGCCATTTGCTGTCATGCTTGCTAGCTGTGAAAGAAAACTTTCTTCATCTTGCTCATCTCCACTGCCTTGGGTACAAACATACTGAATTATGTCGTATACATCACATGGGTATGACTGTACCGAGGGTAGAACCAAGAATATATTTGTAGCTAGTAAATATCATAGGAAGTGAGAATGAAGGAGCTATGTATTGCTTAAGGAACCACGTAAGGACAGAAATTCGGGTAGTCAACTTGACAGAAAGACCTGCGATACATCCCTGAGTGTTGTGCGGTGGAGCTTTTTGTTGTATCAAAGATGCATACCAAATGAAGTTGGAAGAGACCACGATGTTAGAAAGACCATTAGACCGGCTTCTCGCCTAGAAGGGCAAAGCTCCCTTCCTTGTCAACCTTAGCGTAGCAATGACCATCGTGCCCAGCCTGTCTACTAGTTTCCACGGCCTCTTTAGCACGTGGGCGCATCTGCTTCTCATAAGCTCTGACAGCGTCACTGATTGACATGTGGCCATCAGCAGCTGATTTGATAGTATGAGCGAGTTGACAGGCGTCCACAATGGCATGGTTTACTCCCTCGCCGCGATCTACTCAAGTTAATTTGAATTCGTGTGCTCCTAGCCGAATATATGATAGACTTACAGATCACCATACAATGAGCCGCATCACCGATCAGAGTGCAGGTGCCGTCCCAATTGTTCCACTCAACAGAGGGCCAGTCAACCAGGTTGACCTTGGTAATGACGGTATCCTCAGGCAGGGCCTCGACCATATCCCGCATGCGAGGGAAGAACTGTCTGCCCTTCTGCTTGAAAACATCCAGCAATGGCTGTTTCAACAGCTCGTCGTCGGCATCGGATGCAATCCAGGAGAAGTACACTTGAGCCCGGTAAGGCTGCCCGGAAGTCGTAGGAGTATCCAACAAAGACCAGAAGACAAAGGTATTTGTTTCTGGATGAGTACCCATAAAATAGAGTGGATCAACGTGGTCTTTGAAGTAGTTGACCTGTTCCTCGCTCATAGTCAGGGCACAGCCCACAGCATTGATGGGAAGGCGGTGCAGCTCGTGGGTTGTTGGCGCGAGGAACTTGCGCACAATCGAGGTCGAGCCATCTGCACCCACCAAGGCATCCCCGAAAATACTCGAGCCATCCGTGAACTCAGCTCGGACACCACCATCAACCTTCACAATGTTCACAAGACGTTTGCCCCACTACAATGAGTGTGTTAGCTCTATGTAGACAAGGAGAGACATAATGAAAGGGAATCTCAACTAACCCTGATTTCCAGACCCTCCATTAGAGCCTTCCGGATTCCATCCCGTCTCAGCCTGAGCCTCTTACTCTTCGGGACAGACTGCTCAACCTTTCCAGTAGCGCCATTAATCCAGGGCACACCGCGGACTTCATCGCGGCCGATAGCAGGATTCACCTGTGCCTCGCAAACGCCGTCATAGATCTCCGGCAGGATATGCGCTTCCCACGTAGTCAGAGTCGAGTGGATGGAAACACCCCATCCCTGATTTCGGACCTCGGCAGATTCATCGCGCTCAAACACCGTGCAAGGAACTCCATGACGACGCAGGGCCTGGGCCAGCGTCAAACCGGCAATACCTGCTCCGATATGTACCTTGTCAGAACGCGATTCCAAGTGAGCATTTGGGTTAGTAGCATACGATGAGGATTCCCCCGTTGGGATCATTGGTTGAAATATTGGAAGACATGATGGTTCGATGGTTCTCTGGGAGATAACGAATTGTAAAATCTACGGGGCTCTACGGCGGGCTTTATAGGGAATCTCCTTTAACTGTGCGTCATTTTTGGGTCAACAGGGTAGGGGTACGGCACCATCGTGCCGTTGAGAGTGAAAAGGTGAAACTAATACACAGGCTGGGCGATATTTTAGTTTATATACTGGCTGGTGGACCGACCCACCTCGAGTGCAGATCTTCTCTCGTGCCTTCCCAATTAGGAAGTTTCGGCCTATCATCAAACTTCCTAAGGCCGACGCTGGCCTCATTGCCGCTGACAAAGCAGCACCTTGATGGGTCCTGTTCCCTGCAACGTCACATAATTCTGTTCAAGTTCGATCCTCTGCTCTATTAGAGTCATTACGATCACAGGCCAAATCAATAGCGACATCGATCTCGGCAATCTCGTAAGACTACACTTACAGGGCTGTGAAGTGGTCTTTCCAGGTCTTCTCAATGGGTTTCTCAGTGGGCTTCCCAGTTATTCTTCGGAGATAGATTGAAGACAGTTTTCCTCCTTTCCAGTCTGTAGGTAAACGGCAGAAAACCCGAAACGCGTACTTTGTGCAAGAGACTCTTCTATGTATCACTTCTGATAAAATAAATATGAGTAGACACATCAGTTGGAACTCGTCAACTGGGTCAACTGGGCGGAGTGGATCTACAATGTACAAAGCGGGGACTCAAACGCGTTAACGTTAACGCGAACTTTTTCTGCACAAACACTACACTCTACTAGTTTGAGAGAGACTCCATTTCTGACTATCAGACCACCTGAAACCAGCAATTTACAATGCAAGAAATCTCGAACTACCCACAAAACCTGCTAGACAGAGTCAACGCGGCCCAGCACGCTCCCTCGCGCGATTCCAACGATAAATACGTCTTCCATGTCATCCACAGGAATGACGACGATGATCTGAACGCGCTTGAGGAGATAGACTCAGAGGATGAGGAGATGGATTCCGAGGATGATAGCGAAAGACAACGCACATTCGACACCCTTGCAGAGGCCAACAATGCTGCTTTGGCTCTTTTCCAAAGCATGTATTTTGATTTCTTTGCTCAAGAAGAAGATATGTCAAACTGGTATGAGGAGGGAACCAGTGAAGAAAAAATGAATGAAGTGGTGTGGGAAGTCAATGGCAACGGGGAGGTTTCCTTGAAAGCCCATGAGACTGAGGATGGGATAACATATGAGATTTATGTTTCTGCCTCAAAGGTCTAGGGCTTCTGATGGAAGCAGACGTGGGGAAGGGGGAAAGCAAAAGTAAATCATGTTCTCATTGAATATTTTGTTGCGAACAGAGCCGATTCTTGATATGGGGAAGATCATATTCATACTCAATAGTTGTGGTGCACGCAACACAACTCACCGAACCCTATGATTTCCCTGGCTTACTAGAAGGATCGATGAGATCAGAAGTAGCCAGCTTGAGGAGAACAAAGCTGACTCACGGCGCGCGGGCTTTCGTTACTCTGCCCGGAGTGACAGTGAGCCCAGGGAATTCATGTGGATTTTTCTTCTGATGGATGTCAACATATGCCATTATACCGCAAATCACCCAAAAATAACGTTCTCACCAGATGGTCACGTTTAATATGCCCACGGAGCTTCACCACCTGAGGGTCAGTGGTACCGAGAGTATCGAACTTTGGGCAGTAGGGACACTTGTAGGCACAGGGCGGAACAGTCTAACGCGAAAAAGTATGAGCATCGGATGGGAATGGAAGATTTAAATTTTTCCACTTACAATGACAGCATGGTCCATTGGCCATTGGGTTGACTGATGGTCATCACAAGCGCAGAGCTTCTTGTTCTTTGGACTGCCAGAATCTGTGAGCCGTATCCAATTGATTCAAAGCAATGCTTACAGCCACTTGGTTGGCGGAATATCCCTGCTAGCCTTCCAGTAATGGCCATAGAGCCCGTAGTAAGCATGTTCGAGAGTTGTTTCAGCCGGTTGGAACTCAGACGGGGTTGGTGACGCCGTGTTGGTCATGGTGCCGGTGTTTGCTAGGTGGATGTGCTTCGTGAGAGATCCAGTGCGATACTTTGCTTACCCGCCTCTCAGATAGGAAAGCAGAAAGAAAACGGAAGGAACCCAAACAGGAAAGTGCGACTGATACAGGTTGACACGTGCCCAGTCCAGGCCTTACACTCCCCTGAGAGTGACATATTGTGATATCAAAAAGAATCAGAAATTCATCCAGTATTTACAACACATACTTGAACAGCGGCGACTTGTCTCCCATATCAAACAACTGATCCTCAGTGTAGTTGGCCCTCGCATCATCTGCAAGCCTTTCCTTCTTTGCGTTACCCAGCTTATAAGTCCATTCAAGAAACAAAGCGACAAAGAATCCAACCCCGGCAAGTGCCAGACTGAGGCCAAATCCAGTGGGGTATCTGGGACTCTCCGTCTCAATATACATGAAGCTGCCTAATATACCACCAACATTGCCGACACAGTTCACAAGCGCAATGCCCATCGCTCGTCGGGACGCTGGAGCAATGTTGTTTGCATTCCAAGACGCAGCGCCAGGCTGGATGGGGTAAATACCAATAACAGACAAGACGACTGCAAAGTATGCGACTCCTTTCTTCTCTTCGAGGGCTCCGTTCAGGGACATTATAATCGAGTACGCTACCACGACGATCACCATTGGAATGCAAACAAATGGCATTCGCCAATAGAAGCGATCGGAGAAACGCGCAAAGATGATAGCAGATATCGCGCCGGCGACGTATGGAGGCGCAGAGGTGAGCTGGGCATTTGTGGAGCTGAAGCCCATGGCTTTGGTAATAGTCGGCATGGTAAATTTGGTACCTAAGTGTAGATTGAATTAGCCCAATGCGTCGTATATAATTTGCAGGACTGATACCGTAAGACAAGGCCGACTGGCAAAACAGAAGGTAGCCTTGTACGTATATTCTCCAGTTTAGCAGGACTATCTTGAGGTCTCTCCACTTGAAGCCTGTTTCCCCGGTACTAGTTCCTCCTTGTTTGATGAACATCGACAATTCCAGGTAGCGGATTTCTTCGGGAGATAACCAATGCTTGGATAAAGCCGGAGTGTCGATGAGGAGGAAGAAGCATGAGATACCGAGTACCACGCTAGCAAGGCCTTCTAGAATGAAAATCCACCGCCAGCCCTCAAGTCCAGCAGTACCGTCCATCTTGGCAATAGCAGCAGCCAACAGACCGGAGAAAGCACCAGAAAGCGCACTAGCACAGTAAAAGTATGAGATACGAAGCGCCAACTCCTTGGGCATGTACCAGTAGGAGCAGAGGTATATAGCACCGGGGAAGAATCCAGCCCTATAGAACAACATATTAGGGCGGAAAGCAAAACGTGATTGATTGGTATACTGACTCAAAAACACCAAGTAGAACTCGAGTTGCCATAAGACCAGCAAAGTTTTGAACCAGACCCGTGCATGTCATGACAATACCCCAAATCAAGACAAGAAGGCCAAGGTATACCGAAGGGCGCTTGAACTTTTGAGTAATATGTTACTGGGAACTTCAAGCAGGACGTAGGGAATGAAGACTACGCATCGCGAAAGTCAGCACACCTAAGCAGCACTAGCTTGCCTGTTGTCCGTGCAGGAATCGAACTTACATATTGAAAGAACAGTATTATACTGCAATCCAGTCATCTTCAGATCTTGGACCATGCCTTCGATTTTAGCATTGCCGATATTCGCACGATCGATATGGCAAATCAAGTATAACACTGCGAGCATGGGGATTAAACGCTTATCAACCTGGAAGAGGGTCAGATACATAATATGTATTTGAGGACGTCAATCATTTTCACCTTATGGAAAACCTTTTTCCGTTTCTCCTCCGGATAGTTATTATAGAAATCTGCATCGTCAGGGGTCAAACCAACGACGCGAAAGTCTCCGATCTGAGTGACTAAAGAAGGCTTGGGAATATTCTCAATATGAGAAGGTTGATCGACAATCTCGACGTCGTCTTTCCCAATAGAGCCGCGGTTCATAGCTGCGGATTATAAGATGCAACCTTGGGCTACTTCAAATGGGCCAAGCGGAAGATATATTCATGAAGATGCAGGGTCTGAAAAAGGTCACACAAGCAAATCGACTAGAGAAAGAGGCTTTATATCACTAACCATAGTGTCGGTTACCCTAGGTAGAATGGCGAAATGATTTCAGGTCTCATTGTCTACCCCAGTCTTGGCGGCTACGTTCTAATAGCCAAGAAATGCGGGGAAGCTTGGCCATTGAAGGGCCATGACCCAGCTTTATTGACTATGCCGGTCGATCTATTGGGTTGGCTAGCAATGGGCTATGCCAAGGTGAGCTTGTTGACAGACATCCAGTCAGAGCACGATATGTTGCGGAAAGCACGGACGACCACCGCGGGTGGGCATGCGGGGTGGATGTTTACTCCAACAGAGCAATGATGGCCTGTTATCCGGGCTATTCTCCGGGCCTTTGTCCGAGCTTCTGGTCGGGTCTTTCTCCGGTATCTGCTCCGACCTCATTTGGATATGTGGAAAACTGTTGAAAGTCATGCAGCTAAACCGCTAGATCATAGCGAAAACTAAGCTATCTGTTTATGGACAGGCGAGACTATATTCTTGTCTGACAAAGAATATCATATTACATTTTTGGTTAGAAAGAAGGCCTCTCGATGCCCTTGGGACATTTCTGCCCGGAAGAGGTATATCAACGTAGCAAGACATACTCAGTGTCTTGTCTCTTCGTCAAAAAGTATATCTCAAACCGCAATGAAAGAGATCGATATCAACCTGGTGGAATTTCATAGCATTCCATTGGTGGATAATGCGGTAATGCACGAGCCGCAGCATCATCAAGATCAACAGATTCCACACGCGGCTTGGACTAGTCACTCGGCAAATTAGCTCGCATGGCCCACTTGGGAAAAGCTACCTAGAAGGTCGAAAGCCTCTCAGTATACGACGAAATGCATCATATAAACTATCAACCAGGTTGGCGGTTCACAGGACAAGCCGAGGCAAAGGCACAGCCAACAGCCACCACTTCTAGTCTTTTCCCTCTTTCACATTTCTTACTCTCAAGACAAGCTGGCAGGTCTTTTGCCGAGCAACTCGCTCGGTAGTCCTGTGAGACTTTGTAAAGTACCCCGCATAAATCTTCTGTAAATGTGTCGGACAACTTCCGGCCGCACAAGAGATATGGCACGGTGCTAATTCCTGGAGGGGTCTGGAAGCAAGCCAATAAGCGTGCAGGCAAACATGGTCAAAGATTCATTGTTACCAAGTACGAGGTTCAGTTGCTTGCGCGGAAGGTGGAGGCCGCAAAGGCGCTATTGTGTTCTCGAAATGGCACATCTTGCCAGCAGGTTGTGGGATGCGAGGGAAACTACCTATATGACGAGGTTTGGGCTCGATATATAGACACATTTCCAAATGATCAAAAAGGTAATCCTAGGTATGGCGCCGTTAGATTTTATGAAGGGGCTGTCTCCTTCTAGAAAAAGATTTGTATAGAAAACCAAAAAGCTGTCCATGAGATGCAGGCTTATCAACTTCTAATAACGTGAGTATTGCATACATGTACTGTGGGAGAAATGAAATATATCGCTCAGAACTCGATCCGCCATGTCTTTCCAATGCCAACATTGGGCTTCTTCACCACAGCATAGGAGGCTTTTCCGCCATCCTGCTCGTAGAACTCCAACGAGGCCTTAGAGGCTGACTTCGCTCCATCTTCGATCACAGTTACGGTGTCTTTAGCCTTCCATTCGGCAGGAGGATCAACGAGTACCACCCGCTCTACTGTCACACCAGCCATGGTCTTAAGGTACTCAGCAGTCTTGGGTCCCTTGGTTCCAATGTCCTCCGACGACAACACCGACTCACGGTAGTTGAAGCGACGGTGAATATAGGCGCCACGCTCGTAATCAAATGTCTCGCCATCATCCACGTACAAAGTGCCTTCCGCTTCGCTATTCTTGTCTAGCGTAATGACCAATGTGTACGGATCCCATCGCATAAGGCCGGTGCTGCGACGAGGACGGTCCTTGCGGGGAATGATGTGACCGCCCTGGATCAATACAGGCACTTTCTCCTCTGGCGCAGGGACGGTGTGTTTCTTGCCTGCACCCTGGTAGACGGTGAAGTCGAAGTAGTCATAGTACTTCTCGTCATCGGAGATATACACCTCTGCGCTGTGAGTGTTCTCATGCACAACGGGCTTCACAAGAATACCCGTGGAAGCAAGGTACAGCTGATCGTCGATAGAAAAGCCTTGCTCATCCTCTGGGAACATGTAGTACTGAGGCCGTACAATTGGCGTGCCGTTAACTGAGGCTTCATGGAAGGCAGTGTACCAAGCGGGCATGAGCTGGTATCTCAGGCGGATTGCCTGAGCGATGTAGGACCGGTACGGTTCGCTGATCAGATACGGCTCACGACGACGAGTATCAATGTGAGCATGCGCGCGAAAGAAGGGATACCAGATACCTGTCTGGTACCAGCGGGTCAAAAGGTGCTTATCGGGGTTGTGGAAGAATCCCCCGACATCTGCGCCGGCAAAGGGGAAGCCTGCGATACCATTGTTTAGGACCATGGGGAGCGAAGCTCCCAGGTGGTCCCAGGTAGCTTGGTTGTCTCCGGTCCACATAGCAGACACCCGCTGGGCACCGGAGTAGTACGAGCGCGTCAAGATGAATGGCCGGCGCACCTCGCCCTTCCTCCGCTCCAGCATTGCTTTGTAGGTGGCGTTCAAAAGGGTAAGGCCATTAAGGTTGTGAATATCGCGATGTTCCCAGTTCCCATGGTGCAAGTTGTCCTTGGGCATGGTCATGTCAGGCCCGTTGAAGACAGAGGGTTCATTCATATCATTCCAAATGAAGAGGTTCTGAAGCGATCCCTTGAATTTGTCAAACTTGTGCAGGGTGGCCCACCATGCATGCGCAGCGGGGTTAAAGCAATCGACCCAATTCGAGGAACCTGGCCAACACCATCCATCATAAAGCTCGCCATCCTTGTTCAGCACAGCGAGATTTTTGCTTTTAAGCTCCTCGGAAACAAAGTACTTGTCCGTGTTCTTGATATGCGGATCGATCAAAACCACAAGCTTTCGCTCAGTTTCATCGAGCTTGTGCTGCATACCCTTAGGATCAGGGAACGTGAGGGGGTCCCATGTGAAGTATTTTCGGTCATCGGTATATTCAAGATCAAGCCAAATCACATCGTACGGAATCTGATACTTGTCGAACTTGGCGTCGACTTCCTTGACATCTTCATCGGTAACATAATTCCAACGGCATTGGTGATATCCAATGGCAAACTGCTGGGGCAATTGTGTGTATCCTGTGAGTTCACCATATGTTTTACTGATATCATTCGGCGAGGGCCCCAGGAAGACGAACAGGTCAAGCTGACCAGATTCGGACATCCAATGAGTCTGGGTGTCGGTCTTGGAGTGGGCACCCAAGGCAAGAGGGTTAGAGGGGGCGGTTGATTTGACGATATCGATCCATGTTTCCGCTGCATTGAGCCAAAAGACACCGATGGTGGAGCCCTTGCGGTGGGCTTGCATCAGCGGGATAGCTCCGTATAAAGTCATCGGGCTTTCAAGTTCATATTCAAAGACATCTGAGTTGTACAGGCGGTAAGGGTTCTCATGGTTGCCGGGTCCACCTCTAGTCTCCTTGAGCGAGAGGGAATCTGCATGCTCTGGGATACCAAATACATGACTATAACCGGGGAAGGTAATGTCAAGAGCAATACTCTCGGGACCACGTGGCTTTGAGTCAGTATTTCCTCCAAACGTCTCTTCCCACCAGGTGCTCTCGTCTTCGCCGGATTCATCATCTTTGTCTACCTTCGGTCGCCAGTGCTCCATGTTCAAGTAGCCTTGGTGGTTCAATTGAACATGAGTCTCGCCATCTCGCTGGAACTCGACACCAAATGGCGCGTGGCGAACAATTGCTTGGAATTTGTCGTCCGGTCCGTATAGAATGTTCGTGAAACCAGTTTCGCTTTGAGCATTGAGTGTGGCCGACTTGCTGACTTCCAGCCCACCCACGATAGTCCATTTTTCAGTTTCGTCATATCGCTTCTTGTTCGCTTGGCTACCATGTCGCATTTCAATATCGCCCTTCATCCGCTTCTCTTCATCCACCACAATGCGGGCGGCTCCCGATTCCAGGAAAGACACCGTGAGAGGTAGCCGGACCTTCTCATTGGTGGCGGTTGTTTTGACGATGACTCCGGTAAGCATACCATCCTTAAAATGTACGGTGGCGGGGTCAAGCTCATAGGGTGAGCTCCATGAAGTGCCCTTGGAGGCGTTATCAGCGTAGGCACGGTTTCGTTTGCAGAAGCCAGACTGCTCGCAAGTCTTGAAATCCTGGTGTTTGACTGCCACTATTTGCATATATGAGTTAGCTTTCGGGAATCTTGAAATTTAGGGAGAGGTAGACTTACAACCGGGGGCGACAATGCATCCGAGGAGGATGACCAAGGAGAGCAACATTGCCCAACGGGGCGCAGGTAGACTCCTGGCCATGGTAAAATAAATAGTATGATCAATCAGAGACCCTCAATCTCCGATAGAATGGCGTTGTTTATCAATGATTGACCTGCATTTAGAGGTGGAGATGCCGTCAACAGAAGCTACAAGCTGGCCTGAGCTGGGGTAAGACACCTCAGGCGATAAGGCAGCCATGACGGCTTCAAAACAGCCAATCAGCTGGATTTGCCTTTGAACAGGTACCTACTCCGTAAACCACATGAATATGAAACCCCAATTGTTTTTATATTGTACATTTACAAGCCCATGGAAGAAGATGTATTCTTTCTGGCATCAGTCTTGGTCTATATCTACCCTCAGCCTTTGCCAAAACAGCCAGCCGTTTGCGCGGTATCTGGGGGTCAAAGGTCGAAAACAGCGGCCCATCTAACAGCCACTGACCATTCAGAGGCTTGAAGAGATTGGTCCACTCTTGGGGTGGCATTCCAGTCATCTTCCGCATGAGCCGATGGAAGCATTTCAATTTTACTAATGATATAACAGCTCGCCGAGCTATGTTGCATATATATATATATATATAGATCTAAGCTCACAGGATAGGACCTCTCAGCGGTAGTGGGAACAATCTCGTTCCCTAACTGCTCCAAATAATCGAATATTTCAAGGTACTAGAAATTGAGAGTCAGCGTCGGAGATTAGGACTAGACTGAGGTTATGCATATTGAACTGCAGCTGGACTTTCGAGGGGAAACAGCTGGACATGGGCTAGATGCGAAGGATCATATCCAATGTTAGAGACCTTGACATGGGATGTGAGGTACCCATACTGTATTTAGACTGTCATTCTCGAGGCAATCGACATTTCTCCCATTGTAGTTGAATGTGAAGCAAAAAGAGTGTATACAAGCTTACCAAGGTCCACCACCTTTGGCCTCAGAAATATGGCATCAACACCCCACCAATCAGCCCAAGTGGGAGGACCCGAATTTTTTAAAAGCCTTTGAATCTTCCCCTCTTCCCGCTCTCTTTTCCTACTTCATCACCGAATTATTCAAAAACATTCAAGATGTCCGCCAACGAGGAACAGACGTATGTTCAATTTTACCTTCCCCCTTTTCTGTTACCATCACTCGTTGCCGGTCAAGCTAACCAATTGCTCTAGTTTCATTGCCATCAAGCCCGATGGTGTCCAGGTACGGACATACCATTCGATTCCGAATTCCTCACGGATTCGGAGGAGTTGACGGAATCAATCAATGTATACTGACAATTTGAACCAGCGTGGACTCATTGGCCCCATCATCTCTCGCTTCGAGAACCGTGGCTTCAAGCTCGTTGCCATGAAGCTCACCTCCCCCAGCCAGGACCACCTCGAGAAGCACTACGCTGATCTCGCCACCAAGCCCTTCTTCAAGGGTCTCGTCGCCTGTTAGTTGCCTCGTTCTACCCGTTCCACAATTTGTAACACACTAACACAACTTTAGACATGCTGAGCGGCCCCATCTGCGCCATGGTCTGGGAGGGTAAGGACGCCGTCAAGACCGGCCGTGTCCTCCTCGGTGCCACCAACCCCTTGGCTTCCGCCCCCGGTACCATCCGTGGTGATTACGCCATCGTAAGAAACCCCTCGATGCTCTACAATCGCGTCCTTTCATACTGACAAAGTCATTAGGATGTCGGCCGCAACGTCTGCCACGGTTCCGACTCCGTCGAGAACGCCAAGAAGGAGATCGCTCTCTGGTTCGGTGCCTCCGAGGTCCTCAAGTACACCTCCGCCCAGTCCGCTTGGGTTTACGAGTAAATTCCTCGTCTTTAACTAGACTGGTCGGGCGGGCTTCCTTTTCGGATACTTCTAGCATAGAATAAAGCAGCAGTTACGAGGAAGAAGTCCAATGGCTTGGAATAATACAATATACAAATTCATATACTCTATGGACACGGGTCCCCCTGATATCACAGTAATAATCAACTAGTTGACCCTCTACGGAAGAGCCGCCTGCCTAGGTTTGCTACTGGTGTAAAGACCGACCTTGCGAACCACGGCGTTGCCCAAACACTCGCTGCTAACCGGGCTGGAAACAAAGCTTTCGTGATAGCATAGGCTGTCGCAAATTCCAGCACTAATCGTACCCCTGCTCGGTCCGCTGTCTTCTCCCCAGTGTTTTCATGCTGGGCAACAGTATTCACATCGGTCTCATCCACCCAACCTTTCTTTTTCAGCCAGCGGCCGAAACGCGCAATTCCTTCGTCGAAGGCATTGGTCTCGCCTGTCTGCGATGCAAGATCCGGCATCCAGGCACCATAATGAAATGCACCGACTAAACCAAAGAGTGGAAGAATGGCGGTGATTTCGTGAAGTATGAGGAATGACGTGATATGGGTGACCGGCGCTCCAAGTAAGGGTGTAGTGTATGTGCGGAGAAAGCGAGGGAGGCGGTCGTTGAACCGACGCAGGCGAGAGTGAGAGTCACTGGGGCTCCGATGTGACGATTTTGGTGGCTGTGGAGGAGAGGGAGTGGAAATAGTCCGTCGCGACACATGCGATCTAGAGTTTCGAGCTGGTTGGAGACGGAGATAGCGGAGAATGTTGGGTGGTCTGGAAGTCATATTTTCGTGGAGGACTGGGCTAATTGGCAGAGTTCAGAACGATAGATTGTATACGTTCACAACAGAATGGTCCTCCGACCGGCCAGTATACAGCAATGCAAAATAGTCAAGTTCAGCTCGTCGATCTCGATATAAGTTGGAAATCAGCCCTGGAGCTCGGGATCGCTGAGTCATCTCTAGCGCTGCCACTTTTTTTCTCTAGCTCTTCGGGATCAAGATATAGTTGCTCCTTGCATAGAAACAGTATTTAAGCATTTGAATGCATTGTAGTGTATTTGCTGTAGAACCTTGTTGCGCGATGGCCACTCGGCAGCTGTAGACATCATCGTTCCCGGACAGATGGTGACATTTGGTCCACTTTTGCCCGAATCCTCTCTTCTTCATCCAACCCCTCCCATTGCCGACCCATACACCTCGAGGACGCAATGGAGAAGAAGATCACCGAGAAGATCGCGGCTCTGCCGCCAGATGCCAACTACTTTTCCTTGGAGTTCTTCCCTCCAAAGACCCGGATGGTGGGGGTTACCCCGCGTGCTGAACGCATCGTGAATATTTGCTAATGAGGCCTACTATAGGGTTTCGCCAACTTGTCCGCGCGTCTGGAGCGGATGGCTCAAGCACTTCGTCCTCTATTTGTTACAGTTACTTGGGGTGCCGGTGGTAGCACTGCGGCTCGATCGCTCGAACTGGCGGAAGTATGCCAGCGCCAACTGCAGTTGACGACCGTCCTGCACCTGACATGTACGAACATGAGTCGCAAACTGGTGGACATGGCTCTAGACGAGGCGAAGGTCCTTGGAATTCGCAATATTTTGGCCCTGCGAGGAGACCCGCCCCGCAGCGAGGAATATAATATGCACGGAGAGGATGACAGCAACAAGGATTTCACTTTTGCCGTTGATCTCGTACGGTATATTCGCCAGACACATGGCGATTACTTCTGTGTTGGTGTGGCTGCATATCCGGAGGGCCATCCTGCCGACACCTTCCAAGACGTTCAGGATCCGGTTAGGGATATACCTTACCTGGTCGAGAAGACGCTGGCTGGGGCAGATTTCATCATGACCCAACTGACCTACGATATCGAGGCTTACAAGAAGTTCGAGAACATGCTTCGCAACCATGAGTCTGGTGCTTTCAAGACCATCCCCATCATTCCAGGCTTGATGCCCATCCACAGCTATAAGATTCTGACCAGAGTGACTAAGCTCAGCCACGTTACGATCCCACCTCCCATTGCCAAACGCATGGAAGAATTGAAGCACGATGACGACGCAGTCAAGCGTGCTGGTGTGGATATTGTCAGCGAGATCGTGGGAGGCATAAGGGACATCCCCTCCCCGGGGCCGCGAGGATTCCATTTCTACACCTTGAACTTGGAGAAGACAGTATCATTCATCTTGGAACAATGCGACTTGATTCCTTCATTCTCGGATGCAGGAGACCTTGCTATTGAAGATGATCCTGCATCGATTCCTCTTGATTTCCCCGGACGTGCATTGCGAAGACGCCGTGCGTCTTCCCTCAACTCGCAACCCCACAATCGCGTCATTGTGGACAAGCTATCTGCCCATGATTCATCACATGCCTCCGATCATGAAGCCCGTGCGGACAGTGCAGGAATGCCGGCACCTCCGCCAAACCGCAGCACTACTCTCCTCATCTCCGAGGGTCTTGGTGCCCTTGGGAGAGAAGCAACATGGGATGACTTCCCCAACGGACGATGGGGTGACGCTCGCTCACCTGCTTTCGGTGAAATTGACGGCTATGGTCCTTCACTTCATATGACTGCCAACTCCGCACGTAGGCTGTGGGGTCACCCGGTGGACGACAAGGACATGAGCGCACTTTTCCGGCGCCACGTCTCGGGCGAGCTACACATGGTTCCATGGTCGGAAGGTGGTGCCGAAGAGGATGGTGACGGTTTGAACGCAGAGACTGAGCTAATTCGACCGGAGCTGTTGAAGCTCATCGAAGGCCGCGGCTGGTGGACACTTGCTTCGCAGCCCGCCGTGAACGGTGTACGCAATGACCACCCCATCTTCGGCTGGGGCCCCCAACGGGAAGGGTTCGTCTTCCAGAAGCCATTTGTGGAGTTCTTCTGCTCAAACAATGACTACACCAACATCTTGAAGCCCACATTTGCTAAGCACGGCCATGACAAGCTTACCTGGTTTGCGACAAACATTAAGGGCGATTTCGCATCTTCGCTCCCAACTCAACCTGCTGATATGGAGCTCGATGACCTTGGCGACAACCCCGACAGTGTCAACGCTGTGACTTGGGGTGTATTCCGTGGTAAGGAGATCGTCACTCCAACCATCATCGAGGAAGTGAGTTTCCGTGCTTGGGGCGAAGAGGCTTTCCGCATTTGGGACGAATGGCGTCGCATCTACCCCCGCGGCTCGCCCACTGAAACCTATCTAGACACAACCAAGAACGATGCTTGGCTTGTATGTGTTGTCGGTCAGCAGTTCGGTGCCGGTACCAAGCGCGGCTCGAAGGAGGAGGAAGACGAAGTCAAGTGGATGTGGCGGGTTTTGGCAGGTGAAGATGTTTAGGACTGTGTCTTTCTACAAATCGGGATAAAGATATACCCTGTATCAAGAAGGGTTCTTACGGTTGACGGTTTAATGAGGGCAAGCCTGGACATATGAACTACGAATGGCACAAAATATGGATTTCTGTATACTAGTCTTGACCCCATCCCATTGAGATGAATATTACGATTATGCGTGCATTCCTGCTTTTATAAGCTTCATATTTATTGATAGATTTCATACGCCAATTGCTAAGCAAATGCCTCTATATACGTACCGTTTCTCATGCGAGCGTTTGCAAGAGGCGATCCTCCCTGATGCGGGCGTGGTCACAACTTCTCGGCAAACCCGTGTTCCTCGAGCCCGCTCGCGTCGGTGTCTGGGGTAGCGACCTCTGATTGGGACTCGGCGTACTTCTGTATAGCATCGTCAAGCTGGCCCCATATCTTGGGCATGCGACGGGGTTGGTTAGGCCCGTTGGCTGGGAGTTGGTACCCACGTAACCTGAGACGACTGTTAGCAATTTGAAACAAAATGATACATCCGGAATTGACATACCTAGGACCTGTTCCTTTACTCTCTGGCATTGAAGAGGCGTAAACACGAGCAAACGTCGCAACGTCCTGCTCGAAGGACCCACGTTGAATACTCTCCCGCACTCCTGCGAAGAAATTATCCATGACGTGGAAATTATGGACTTGAAGAAGCGCCCAAGCGGTCATCTCCTTAGCAACTAGGAGATGGTGGATATAAGCTCGATGATAATTCTTGCAGGTATAGCATTCACATCCCTCGCCCAGAGGAGAGGTATCTGTAGCATGATCTCCAAGCCACAGATCGATTCCCAAAGGCTGAGGCTCGGACTTGCCCTCTTGCAAGGCAGCTGGAGCGGGGAAGGCGAATTGCATCGCGATACCACCGTCTGACGATGCGCCTAGCAGAGGCGTGGTCAGAAGATCTGCTCCGAGGGATACATCACGAAGAATAGTGTGAGGAGTCTCAGGCTCACTGAAGAGCAAACGAGGAAGGTCTGCCAGCGATTCTGGGACGAATCCCAGTGACGCAGATTGATATAGCGCAAGGCCAGATATGTCCCATCGGAACTCGCTCTCCAAATCATCCAGATAGAGGGACTGCTGCGCGTTATCAAGGGGTAATACAGGTGCAAAGAACGCGCTCTTTGACTTGTTTTCCTCTGTGGCACCGTTCCCATAGAGCTGCTCCAATGCTTCTTGAGTCCAGGCATGTGTCCGGTCAACCATTTTCGCCCGTCTCTTGGATCCGGGCTGTTTATTAGCCAGGTCCACCATCCCAATTGCAATATCTGGTTTCAGTTTTTGAATTGATTTCACATATTCCGCCGCAGACAGCTGGGTGAACCCGACTGATGTCAGCAGCGCGATGGAAGTTGATGTGTTCGCGGGCGGACATGGGATCGGAGGGAATCGCCGCGGGCCCAGGATCAAAGGCATATCATCGGCTACACATATGAATTTCTTCAATGGGGACTCATGGTTTGCGACAGGTGTCTTGTATACGGGTGCGTCCTTTTTCGCGATGACTGAATATATGCCCGGAGAGGCATGCGCTGTCAGTTATGTCCAGTACAGATGAAAGCCAAATGTGGTGATCTTGCAGTAATTCACTTACAATCTTCTAATCCAGCATACAAGCTGTTGATCTCAGTGTGGTCGCGCATCACATCGTGTGCAACATGTGGGACTGTGCCCCGCGAAGTGAGCGGGACATGGTGTGGTGTCGCGAGAGTCTTGCGGCCTGGAATGGCCAATCTGCCTACTCGAGGGGCAAGGACTGGAGCAGTGGATGTCAGGACACTGAAGGTCATCGCTGGGGACGCGGACGTCGCTTGGTCCATCGTGTTAGTGGTTATTGAAAGACCGTGTTGGGGGGCGGCCTGGATCTTGTCCTTATCGGCCAGGAGAAATTGGATTTCCCGATAAACATTACCCTCATTATCAGAAACACTCGTTAAGCTATTTTACATATATTTAGCTGGAATTGAGGATCCTGGTTTACATTTCTCAACCCATTTACACCTAATTGTACCCCAGCACACTAGTCAATCATGACAGACACATCAGCGCCGCCGACGCGACGTGGAGCTCTCATTGTTGTCGAGGGACTCGACCGCGCTGGCAAATCGAGTCAGTGTGAGATGTTACGGGACTCTCTTTCGCAGCAAGGACATGTGGTTAAATACATTCGATTCCCAGGTACTCAATTAATTATTCATCATGGTTGTCATTATTTTAATAATGTCCTCTAGACAGAACGACGCCCATCGGAAAATTGATTGATAGCTATTTACGCGGCACATCGCACCAAGACGATCATTCCATCCATCTTCTTTTCTCGGCAAACCGATGGGAAATTGCAAAGAGCATTGAAGAAGATATTACGAACGGAACAACCGTCATTGTAGACCGCTACTCATATTCTGGCGTTGTCTACTCCGCCGCGAAAGCGAACCCCACGCTATCGTTGGAGTGGGCATGGCAGCCAGAAATAGGACTCCCGCGCCCGGATATCTGCCTGTTTCTTAGTATTTCACCTGAGGAAGCAGCAAAGCGCGGTGGGTTCGGTGCCGAGCGATACGAGAACGAGGCGATGCAAACCCGTGTGCGCGAGCTCTTCCGGACAATATTCGAGAAGCAGCAGGATGTTGCCATTATCGATGCGGGAAAATCGATCGATGAGGTGGCACAGGAGATACAGAGTGCTGTAGCCAGTTGCATTGCGCGTCTTGACGTGAAGGGCGCGTTGAGGAAATTGGAGCCTCTTGCGAATTAGTGAACAAGAGATAAGATTTGGCATATTTTTGCCCGGCTCTCATTCAATGAGTTCTGCGTCGTCCCAGTCGCTGTCTTCAATGACAATTTCGAGCCTAGATGGAGGTCGAGTCGAGCGGTTCTTCTGTCGGCCCTCGAAATCAGAGTCGGAATCTATATCGACTTCCTCGAACCAATTCGGCCCGAGGTCGTCTTGGCTCGGTTCTTCTGACAGTGACCTTGGTTCGATGGTAGATGACCGAGGCCCTGAAAATGTCTCCACGACGGCAGACTCTTTGCGAGCACGTTTCTCTTTCTTTTTTAGAATTGTGCGCGCTTCTTTTTCTCCTCTGTTGCGGAGATTAAGCTCACGCATCATTGTCACCCACTGCACGGTGTTTCCACACGACGGGCAGATTCCCTGGGTGGGCATCAGGAGGTCGGGTTTGTGGGTTGCGTCAAGGAATTTTGTAGATAGACATAATAAATGACTCGTGCCGCGGCAATTCGGATGTGGACACACTACAATTTGTTCTTGGTCTGGAGAGATCGACGTTTTACAGACCGTGCACTGTAGATCCTCCGGGTCTTCCAGCATGAACATTGACTTTTCGAGATAATCTTCAATTCTGGTGTAGTCAATTGATAGATTGTTGATGCTTCCGACGGGTGCATTTTCATCGTCTTTCTTAGCAGTAGGTACCGTTGCTAGGTTGTCCCCATCTAGAACAACCTTGATATTGGGCGGTAAGTGGCCATCAACACGATCATTCCACGCCCGCCATGCACGATAGACATCGGCACAAAAGAAACGGACTCGTAACGGCCATGATGAGAAATGACTTGAGCGAAGCAGAGAAAGCAAATCCTCCAGATGCGCTACTAGGGATCGCCTAGCCCGCGCCTTGGGTTTCGGTTTCGGCTTTCCCGTCTTCGCATTGGTATTAGCCTTAGCTCGAGGCTTGGGGTCCAAATCATCTTCGGAACCCAGGTGCCGGGATCTTTCCGGGTGTTGCCATGCCCATCTACACGAGATGAGAAATTGAGACGCGATGTATATAAACAATTCACATGCGACTTACTCAAATTGCAACGCGCCGACTCTGCTCGTGAAACCCTCTACAACAAGGGTCATTTCCCAGGGGCGTAATTTATCTCTGGCGGTTCGCTTGGCCCCACCTTTGGCGACACCGTTGTGTTGAGGGAGCCGTCTGATCGGGTTTGGCGTCGAGCCGATGTACAGTGAGGCGTGTCGAACGGTCGAACGGAGGAGATAACAACAATAATATGCCGGGATTGGTTTGGGCTTTTCGAACTCCTCCATAATGTTTGATTTGAAAAGATTTGATATGGTTTGTCACACTGATATGTTTAATTCAACGTTGTAGGCTTTGTCAAGTCCTTGAAATTAGCTCTGCCTATCGAATCCGTGCGGGTCCTAAACGGTACTTAGATACATGTACATATACACCGAATCACATGATAGAAATCTTTTTTTTTACCCTGTCTAGGGAAAATACTATTAGAGCCTAGGGGTATAAAAGAATCAATATTAAATCAGAATGACTGTGTATCTAAGGGATATGTCAAGAATGACACAGGAAGTCTCTATAAATATGCTTGAAAAACAATAATAAAACAATAAAACCCTATCTGATAAACATTTGAACATATCAGAAAGACAAAAACAAATAAAATACATTTATAGATTGAAACTAAAAAGTCAACAAGGCTTATACAACATAGATACCACTCGCGCTAGAGACTATCCGAGGCTCATCTAGTATGTCACAAGACTAATCTCCATATTATACGCCGTAATATTGGGCTCTCAAACAGACCGAGAAAAAAAAAAGGGACACCGTATGATGCTCCCGTTTGCAGCATTGCAGTATAATTACCAAACTTTCAGGTGGAACTCAGGGCATAAGCGGTACCTGAGCTCAGATTAGCTCATAATTACAGTATCTCTTGTACCGTACTGATCGGTACCATCGCGGCTGGGTTCGAGGTTCCCCCAGGGTCACTCATTGGTTCCTTTTTTACTGGCTGGCCACACAAAAGGGACCTGGCGGTACTTCTGGAGTACCACCCCAGTCGATCTGTACTGCACATAATCTTCCTCCACTCTTAAGGTTTCTATCCCATCTATCCTTCTTTCCTCTCTACGATTTGGGCCTCTATTTTCTTATATCGCCTTTCGCCCGACTTTTCCTCTCGTTTTCCTTTCCATTCTCTATACTTTGGTTCGTCACCGATCCTTCACCCTTCGGTCATATTGACCAAACGGCAGCCGCCTTTTCTGATATCTATCATCACACCCTGGCTCTGTCGCATAACAGTCATTGTTAATCGGATTTCCCTCAGACAGACACGCTCAATCCAACATACTACCTAATCGACTGTTCCATTTCGAACAATGGGAGCTCCGGCCTCTGCCGGGGCGACCTCGACGGCCACGGAAGGCCAGCCGACTCGGTCCTCGAGCACTCATCCGTCGCACTCCCACAACGTCCCCCTGAGCGCTCGCAGGTCCACACCTCTTGATTTGTCCACCGTGGAACGGCGTGGACAACCGAACAACCCCAGAGAGCCATCCAAGCGCATTCGTCCTCACGGTATCCCAGAAGCCCCGACTTTCCGTCCAACCGAGGAAGAATTCAAAGATCCGGTAGCCTACATCCAGAAGATTGCCCCCGAGGGAAAAAAGTATGGAATCTGCCGCGTTGTCCCACCAGAGGGCTGGCAACCGACTTTCGCAATTGATACAGAGGTAGGAAACCCTCCTTCATCGCTTTTCGCGCATGATCACACCTGACAATGGATACAGCGGTTTCACTTCAAAACCCGTCGACAAGAGCTCAATTCAGTCGAAGGAGGTAAGGACTCGAGCAGGCTGCCCCAGCTAGCAGGATAACACCGCAATGCCGTTCTGACCCTCATGCAAATATAGGAAACCGCGCGAACATGAACTACGTCGATGGACTTGCCATGTTCCACAAACAACACGGCACTAATTATAGCCGACTACCCAGCGTCGATAAGCGACCATTAGACTTATACAAACTCAAAAAGGCAGTGGAGAGTCGTGGTGGGTTTGAATCCGTGTGCAAGACGAAGAAATGGGCAGAAATCGGTCGTGATCTTGGATACAGCGGCAAGATAATGTCTTCTTTGTCCACCTCGCTCAAGAACTCCTACCAGCGCTATTTGCAGCCGTATGAGGAATACTTGGCCCGAGCCAAGCCCGGTGTCCAACAACAACTTGAGCTTGAGCACGGTGGCCCATACACCCCTTCGCCTTTACAATCCCCCTTGACTCACAAGCCCCTGATGGATGAAAATGGCACGCCTTCTAAAGTCCGCGACGACACCCCTAGCTTGCCTCGAATGGCCGCTTCGCATACCCCGATGGCGTATACTCCCGTGGCGCACACTCCAATGGCACATACCCCAATGGAAAAGTCCCCGGAGAAGCCAACGCCCCCCATCGAACCTACTCCCCCCCCTTCACGTTCAGCAGCTGCAGGCTTTACACCCGTTAACTCCGGCCTCGGTGGCTTTACCGCCGTCAACCACTCCCCTTTCACCCCCGCGAACAACGGCCCACCAATCAAGCGAGAGGGAGAGAACGGTACATCAACACCTAAGGTCGTTTCCGAGCATGCCTTTGTCTCGACTCCCATGAACAGTCAAGATGAGGAGTCGCTGAAGCGTGCTATCAGCCGCGAGGACAGCTCTCAGTGCGAGAATGGCGATGACGATGATGGAAGCGGTCGACGCAGCAAGCGTCTCAAGAAAGGTATATTATTTTTTTGCTGTCTCAATACTCAAAGCAGGCTGTGTCTAATGCCTCTTCCAGATTCTCTCCCAACGGTTGCGGGTTCTCATATGTCCCTTCTTCGCCCGGCACCGGTTAAATCGCGTAAGGATGGCTCCCAGCCAGCTGGAGAGGTAGGCGGAGGTTCGTGTCAGCCTTTTATTCATATACTGATTCAAGAACAGAAATGTGAGACTTGTGGAAAATCGGACGATGAAGGGATGATTCTTGTATGCGATGGTTGCGAGCTTGGATATCACAAAGCCTGTCTCGATCCGTCTACCACCACACCATCGGAGCACGACTGGCACTGCCCCAAGTGTTTAGTCGGCACAGGGGAATTCGGATTTGAAGACGGCGGTGTTTACTCACTTAAGCAGTTCCAAGAGAAGGCTAACGAGTTCAAGAAGAAGTATTTTGCTTCCAAAATGCCCTTTGACCCTGTTCTTAACACGCATCGACGAGAAACCGAAGACGACGTCGAGGCCGAATTCTGGAAGCTTGTTGTGGATCTTCATGAGACAGTTGAAGTCGAGTACGGCGCAGACATCCATTCGACTACGCATGGAAGTGGATTCCCAACTATCGAGCGGAATCCCCTTGACCCGTATTCTTCAGATCCTTGGAACCTGAATGTCCTTCCATTTTATGGAGACTCGCTCTTCCGTTATATCAAGTCTGATATCTCTGGTATGACCGTTCCCTGGGTCTATGTCGGCATGTGTTTTTCCACTTTCTGCTGGCACAATGAGGATCACTACGCCTATTCGGCTAATTACCAACATTTCGGTGCTACGAAGACCTGGTATGGAATCCCAGGTGCCGACGCAGAGGCCTTTGAGGCGGCCATGCGAGATGCGGTTCCAGAGCTTTTCGAAGGGCAACCGGATCTTCTCTTCCAGCTTGTGACTTTGATGCCACCAGACAAGCTTCGCAAGGCCGGCGTCAACGTTTATGCGGTGGATCAACGAGCTGGTCAATTTGTACTCACGTTCCCACAAGCATATCATGCCGGCTTCAATCACGGCTTTAATTTCAATGAAGCAGTCAACTTCGCGCCTACGGACTGGGAGCCATACGGCGCAGCAGGTGTGGAGCGTCTCCAGAACTTCCGCAGACACCCGTGTTTCTCCCACGATGAATTGCTTCTTACCGCTGCTGCACGTGATACCTCTATTGCAACTGCCAAATGGCTTGCGCCAGCACTAGCAAGAACCTGCGCTCGTGAACTGAGTGAGCGAGCTGCTTTCCTATACCGGCAAAAGGAGGTGTCTGCTCGTACCCCCGGCTTTGGTCCCGACTCCATGACAAACGATGCGCCGCCGAGATTCGTAGTTGAGAAGGAAGACCTTCCTGAGGATGATTACCAATGCCAATATTGCAAGGCCTACGCTTACCTCACTCAGTTCCGTTGTCACAAATCAGGCAAGACTGTCTGTTTGTCGCACGTGGACACCTATGACTGCTGTGGTGAAACCTTGGCTCAGAAGTTGTGCGGCCCAGGACACACCCTCCGTTACCGCATGAGTGATGATGAATTGCAGGGGCTTGTGCAGAAAGTCCAAGAACGGGCCCGAATCCCTGAGGCATGGTCCGAGAAGCTCGACAAGACCCTGGAGGATGAACCGAAGCCCCAGCTTAAGGCCCTTCATAACTTGCTCAATGAAGGTGAGAAAATCCCATACCACTTGCCAGGCCTTCAAGATCTTGCGGCCTTCGTCCAGCGTTGCGATAAATGGGTTGAAGAAGCCAATAACTACATTACCCGGAAGCAGCAGAACCGGAGAAAAAACGAGAAGGCTTGGCGCAGAGGAAGCACCAAGGCGGCGCAGCTGGACGATCGCGATCGCGAAGTCCGCAGAATTGAACATATCTACGCCCTTCAGGCAGAGGCTGATAAACTTTCGTTCCACTGTCCACAGATGGCGGCGTTGGAAGAGAAAACCCGCGAAATCGAGAAATTCCAACAGGATATTAACAACGCTCTGATGCACCCGCACACCCGGCCTCTCCAGGAGATTGAAGAACTGATCGAACGCGGCAAGAACTTCAACGTGGAAGTCCCGGAACTGGAACACCTAGAGCAAGTTTCCCGCCAAATTAAATGGATCGAACAAGCTGCGCGCAAACGAGACCAATACATGACCCTCACCGATTGCCGGGAACTTGTCGCTGGTGCGGAGCAGCTCGGCCTCCCCGATACCAATGAGCACTTGATTCATTTCAAGGAGCTTGCTCGCCATGGTGATGCGTGGGAAATGAAAGCCAAGGAATTAATGTCTGTTGAAGCCGTTCACTACCAGCAATTAGAAGCTCTCTCTGCACAGGCGTCCCGTTTCCCTGTTTCACCTGATACTCTTGCAGCCGTCGATGCTATATTGACCAAGCAGCGTGAAGCACAGAAACGGATTCAGACTCTATATGAGAAGAGCAAGGATTCGGAGATGAAGAACCGACCCAAGTATAAGGACATCCGTGACCTCATGGAATCTCTTGAACATTTGACAAGTCGACCTATCGGGGCGATCGACTTGGAGCGTGAACAAAAACGTCATGAAGACTGGATGAGGAAAGGAAAAAAACTATTTGGCAAAGCGAACGCTCCTCTTCACATCCTGAGATCCCATATGGAATACGTTGAGAAGCGGAACTCGTACTGTTTCGACTTAGAGGACAGTTACCGACCCCCTGTGGAGCCCTCATCTCGGGACAACTCGCCCGAAGGTTTGCTTGAGAATCCTGGCAATCCCAACAACATGTGGGGTCCGAAATCACGAAAGCGAGATGTGTTTTGTATTTGCAGGCACTCGGAAGCAGGAATGATGATTGAGTGTGAAGTCTGTCACGAATGGTAAGCCAACAAAGTTTCTGCTTGTGGGTTACTTTACTGACCGATGTAGGTACCATGGCAAATGTTTGAAGATTGCTCGGGGTAAAGTGAAGGAATTTGATAAATACACCTGTCCAATTTGCGATTGGCGTCAAAAGATTCCGCGTGATGCTGCCCGTCCCAAGCTTGAAGATCTGCAAGATTGGCACGCGGAGATCGCAACTTTGCCTTTCCAGCCCGAGGAAGAAGAAGTACTCGAGAGTATCATTAATCAAGCGACAGCCTTCCGCGATTTCCTGCAGGGCTTCACTAATGCTGCCTGCACAACGACCGAGGAAGTGCCTACTTTGATTTTTTACCTCCGCAAAATTGAGGGTGCCGAAGTTCTTCTCACCTTTGAGACGAATTTCTTCCGACAGGAGATACACAAGTGGGCGCCCGTCGCACCGGAACCCCCTCCAATCTTGGAGCAATCTCTGTCAACCCGAAAGCCGCGACCGACCAAGCAACAGAAAATAATGGCCCAGCTTGGGGTGAATCGTCCAGAGGATCTCCCGGAGCATCTTCGCCCCAAGCACATTAGCGCAACTAAGAGGAAATCTGTTGATGCTCAGTCGCAGTCGGTTTCTGGTCAACCCGCATCCATGCAGCCAGCACCACCGACTTCTAGTAGCGGACAACCTCCTAGCACAGGTCCAACGTTGGCGCAAATGGCAGACCCGAACACTGCACCATATCCCTACTCTGCAAACTATTCTTTGGCTGCGAGCGATTCCACACCTGCATTTGCACCTACTTCCTCCTCAGCCTTCCTCCCCCATGCCGCCGCTTCTCAGTCCCCCTCATTCCTGCCACGCTCCCCTCCTCCCCCGCCAGACTTGGAACCCTCCCTTTTCAGCCCTCCACGCTTTGGTCATGAACCCCAGTTCGTGAGCAGCAGCCCTCGTCAAAACCTGGATGACGTATTCGCAGACTTAACAAACCAAGAGATTGACCCTGAAGCTGAGAACCAGCCCATGGACAATAGTCATGCCAACGAGGCCCTGGAGGCCCTCGTGGTCAGCAATGGTAGTAGTCGTGCGGCTTCTATTCAAGGGGAGTTGGCTCAAAATGGTGAGCCTGGTGAACCACAAGCTGAGCTCAAAGTGGACGGCACCAATGGCGCCCTTGAGGACGAGGAACTTTGACCGAGTCTTGCTTTTCGTCTGAATGAATATTTTGCTTTGAATGAAAACCGGACCACCTTCTTGTTCTGGTCTTTGTTTGGTACGTTCTGGTTGTTTTTTTTTGTCGCTTTTATAGTCTTTGTTCACTCGCCTCTCCTATTTGTTTATCGTTTTACTCGGATCAATCTTCAAAAAAGGTGTACAAGAGACTGGACTGGCGAGTCTGGGGGTGTTTTCCAGCGATTTTACGCTTTTCTGTTTTTCCATACCACAAGACTATGTCTGTCATGACTGCTTTTCTTTGCTGCTACACCATGTAATACTAGTTGAATTCAGCCATTCTTATTGTTTCCGACTAGAAACCTCCATGTTTTATATGACATCTGCATAAGCTCCTAAAGATGCCTGTCCACCTGTATGAATGAACAGTACATTCACCTGCTCCAAGGGTTTAACTGAATCCACGACTTCTCCCTCATTTACCCAATGCATCAACCCTCTCGCAACCTTGGTTGTATAGACCGGATCCAGCACCATACCCTCTGTCCGCGCCATGGTCTCTAGGGCCATTTTACTCTCGCTATCAAGCACACCGTATGCAGTCCCAACGAACCGATCATCAAGCCTCACATCCTCAATTCCAATATCCTGCTCCCCATCAAGCCCAATCAACTCGCCCGCCCTCCTCGCAAAAGCAAGCACCCTCTCTTCATGATACGCCCGCGGTTTAGTCGGCGAATTAAGAATCCCAACAATCTTCCTCGGTTCCCCAATTCTCTTTGACGCATCCAATCCCCCAATCTTTTCCAGCAGCTTAAACCCAGCCACCAACCCACCAACGGTACTCCCACTCCCACACGCAACAAAGACATAATCAAACCTCCCCGAGCCCCCAAGCCCCATCTCTTCCTCCTGCGCAGCAATCTCGAACGCCGCTCGCGCATATCCCAGCCCACCAAGCGAATGCAAGCTCGCACCACCAGGAATCCAATATGGATTCTGTCCCGCCGCCCGTAATTCATCAAGAAGAGGCGTCGCATCCTGCGCTAGCGGATCACCTTCTTCACAGACGCGAACCTCCGCACCAAGCAGGTGATTAATTTGCACATTTCCGCTGCGTTGGAAAGCTTCCTTGTCATTGGCAGCTGCAAGTCCACCGCCTGTGCCGCGGTGCAAGAGGATTAAAGCTTTCAGTCCTAGTTTCCGTGCGAGAGCGACGACTTGTACGGTGTGGTTGCTTTGGATTGCGCCCTCTGTAACGAGGGTTGTTGCTGCGCCTTGCAATGGGCCTGGGGGTGTTGGGTTGTTCTCATGGCTGTGATAGAGTGGTTTTTTGGATAGTATATCTGGGACTATGTATTCTAGTTTGCGATATTTGTTTCCTGCGCAGGCTAGTGGGGAGGAATGGTCTTCTCGTTTGGCGTGGATGGTGATGAGGGGATGCGGGGAGACTCTTGGGGGTGAAATTGAGGGTAAGGGATGGATGGGAGATGGAGTTGAGTATAGGATCTTGTAGCGGGGGATTTGGGCGAATGTTTCTGGTAACTGTAATGAAACAGACATTGTTTTATGCATGGCCTTTGGTGTGATCAAGTTGAGATGTCGCGATAGTTAACTAGTGCATTTAATATTGTTTGGCCTCATTTCCAAGGCATCGATCTGATATGATGTGTCAGCAATTGAATGACGTCGGGTCGGATATCTCCCCGCGGGCATACGGAGCTTAGCTACGATCAGTTAATTCAATGAACATGACTCTCCTCCAATTCTTACGACAAGCCCGTCAAATACACCTCAAATTTCTTTCGGGTGCCCTACCAGAGCCCCCAATCTATGTAATCGGCAATCCCTCCGCCGATCTTGACTCCATCGTCTCGGCAATCATCTACTCCTACTGCGCGAACAACAAGCTCCCAGTCACAGCCCCAAGACCCCATATCCCTCTCTTGAACCTGCCCAACTTTCCCGCTGGCACGGAGCTGTACCGACTAAGACCAGAATTCTCAGCTGCACTATGGTCATCAACCAATTTCCCCGTGCTGAAAAGTGATGAGCAATTCGAGAACACCCTACAGTCCGCCGGGAATTTCCTACGCGAGCATGTCATGACAGTCTCGGACTTTGCGGAATCGCTCAAAGACCAGCATGTCTGGAAGCAGATACTTGCTGATGCAACGCTGGTAGACTGGAACGCGTTTTCCCGCCCTTCAAAGACCGATAAGGGCTCGGGATCCCTAACTGGATTACCGGGTGTCACCTTCCGGACTGTTGGATGTATCGACCATCACGTGGACGAACACTCCATGCCAAGCACTGATGAATTACCAGAAGGTCAGCCGATGGTTATTCAGCCGGGACCTGGATCATGTGTATCTCTCGTCACGCGCGAGTTGCAAGAACGGAAACTTTGGGATGCGGGCCCGGAGATGGTGCAGGTTGCGAAGCTTGCTCTTTCAGCCGTGTTAATTGATACCTCGAATCTCACTGCGGAAGGCAAAGTGACCGATGTAGATCGTATGGCTGTTCAATTCCTTCGATCTCAAGTAGAGGAGGAATCACAAGGCGGTTGGGATTTGGAGACGTTCTACAAAAGTATTCTTCATGCTAAGGAGAATAGCCTCGATCTTCTTACTCCGGGTGAAGCTTTGGACCGCGACTACAAAGACTGGACTGAGACGGCACAGTCCTCGGGGAAGACCGTGAAAATGGGCTTCTGCTCTGCCGTTAAGCCGATGCGATGGATTGTACAGAAGGCGGGTAGTCCGGAGAAATTCCTCGATGCTTTGCGCTCGTTTGCAACTTCTCCCGAGAAAGACTTGGATGTGCTTGTTCTTATGACCGCCTTCACAGGCAATAACAACAAATTTTGTCGCGAGCTGTTTATCAGCGTGATGAGTGACAATGAATCGGCCGTTAATGGTGTCAAGAGGTTTGTTGAGCACTGCTCTGACCATCTTGGGCTCATAGCATGGTCTCCGCTCGATGGGGAAGATATTCCTGAGCTGACAGGAGATTCTCTAACTATATTGAATGAGGATTCACCCCACTGGAGGAAACTGTGGGTGCAGACCAACGCGGCTGGAAGTAGGAAGCAGGTTGCGCCGTTGTTGCGGGCAGCAGTAGCTCAACTATAAATGAAATCTATAGATAAGTACTTGGCTTGAGATGTCAGATGTCTGTTCGCCTTAGGCTTCCTCGTTTGAGGCCGTTAAAGGCAAATTTTCGACCTGGTTTCCGGTGATTGTTCTCTACTCCTAGCCTTTTCGGGTTACTTTTTGATCACTCATACAGACTTGAACTTCTCAAAACTCCAATGGATTGACTCTAAACACCGAAATCCAGATCTCTGGAATAGACCCTGGACAAAATGCAATATATGCAATGCTCCACCCTAACCTCATGTAAATGCCAGCATGCCAGAAGGGCACTATGACAAAAATAAAATATGCAACCCGCAATAAGGCAAAGCAAAAAAAAAAGAGTAAATTGTAGACGGCCACCTCTTGAATATGGTATGAGCTTCAAGGTAAACGCCAATATGTAAAAGGAAAATCAAACACATTCCCACTCGCAGAATACACACCAGCGCGCAGCCCGGTCAGCTAGCACAAGACCGCGCCACATACCACGTTCACCGATCTTAATAACTGTCTCCCAAACACTGCCCTCAGCGACGGCATCGGTGACTGATTCGGTGCCAGTATCAGTGCCAATCATGTGTTCAGCTTTACGGGTAAGACGAAGGATCTTGCCGGACGGAGACTGAATGGCTAATTTCGCAGCTTTGTCACGTCCAGAGGCTGATCTAGTCGACGAAATGGCCGAAGTCGATGCCGAGAATTCATTCGAGGCACCCGAGACAGTCGAGCCACCCGCTGTGCTGGACACCATGCTCAGTGCACTAGAGGGGCGAGTGAAGACGGACGAGGGCGAGCCGCGGCCATTAGAGGTCTCGTCCTTGGCGGATGCGGGAGCAGCAGAGTGTTGCCGGACAGCGAACACAAAGGTATTGTTGACTGCGAGGCGAGAGCATTGCGGCTGCATGATGTACAAGTCGTGTCGCTGGGCGTGGGGTGTAGGATGGCGCAGGACAAAGTCGTAAGATGGATTCTCTCCAGTGTGGAGAATTGGCAGGGCCAGAGCTAAGGGATGGGGAATATCTCTGCTTGTGTGCATCAGGCCTTTCTTACCTGCATAGATCCTCAACACACCCTGGCCTTCGTCGCCTGGTAATACAGCCTTTATTGTGATGCGTTTTTGGCCTCTGATCCAATCCGGCTGGACCAGGGCACGCTTGCGCACGATGTCTCCACTTTCGAAGACGTCGCCATCTGCATCGCGGGCAAAGCCTGGGGCTTCGACTTCCGCAGCACATTCGACATCTGCAGGTACTACCATGCGTAATTGCATAACTTCCAATCCATCGATACGGATAAGACTTGTGTCATAGTCCGGTAACTGGATGTTAAGCTTGAAGAATGGTGGGCACACGGTGGGTAGGGAAAGCAGAACATCTGGTGAAATTGGCGGGCAGATGTGCTGTTCTTCCGGATAGAGCGGGACATGAGTGTAGCAGAGATCAAGGGGGCGTGTAAGGAAGTACCAGCTCTCCGCTATGGAAGAGTTGTTTGAAACGAATTTACTACGTTGAGGGTTCGTGGGGTTTGCAAGTGCGCAATCCATAAAGCGCCATTCGCCATCAACAAGGACAGAGTTCCACCAGTGGTTGGGATGGGAAAGGCTTTCTAGATCAAGGACGTCACCAGGGCTCTTAAGGAATCCTCGGATGATTTCTGTATGCAGACCAATGGCTGCGCACATCTCGTGTACCAGTAGTGCGATTTCCTCTGGGGTACCTCGTTTGGCCTGCAGAAGTCTTTTCATGTCAACTTCGAGGCCGTCGACAGGTTCCTCCCACGATATTTTCTCGCTGACCCAGGTAAAAATGGCCCGAAGGCGCTGGACATCACTCTTATATGGTCGACAGATATAGGCTTGTGCGAGGCTCATGGGATTCGTCATTGGGGGTAGACTGCTAATGAAACGTGCACTCTTATCAACGAGGGTGAGATTGGCCGCGTTGAAATTAGTTGGCTCGGTGATTGGTTGCCCATCGATGCTTTCATCGCCCTCCGCGGTATCGTATAGCTCTTCCACAGAGTAGATAACAGGGTGGTCCATCATCTGGCATCTCTCTGCCCTGTCGATTCTCTCATTTCGACTCGGGGACGACGCTCGGTTCACATCTCGGCGTACCTGAACCCAGTCAATGGTGCCCGTTCCGAGTCCTAGGTCACGACCACTATCGCGGTTGGAGTGAGACGTGAGAGCTGGTGATACGACGTCTATTCCTCTGCTACTCTTTGTCGGAGAACCCGATCTCTCGCCATGACCAACGGAAATGCTACTCCTTGCGCTGGCTGCGCCAGTCTTGGCTGTTTCAAATATCTTTTTGAAAAACCCTTGCTTTTTGCTCTTTGGGGTAGTAAGACCACCAAAAACACCGCTGTGATCCGTCGCATCCAAACCGGTGGATGACCACGGAATAGCCGATGACGCTCCCTGGCGAGACGAGTTATGACTAGAATGATACGAAACACCTGTGAAAGGCGTCTCCGGGCGTACGTCACTGAAACCCCGGGAGCGGACAGTGTCCATAGCAGTATTCGGCCTCTCATTCCCGCCTCGCCTGGCGAAGCTCCCTGCACTCGTAGCACTGAATCCACCCGCAGAAAAACCACTCATAACGCTTTGACTGGTCTTGTCTGTGCTCGTTGTCATGGATGTGCCGTTGCTCTGCACCCCACTGGATGAGTTGGTCGCACTGGATTTATTGGTAAACGACCGGTTCAGGATATCACCCCGAATATCATGACCTGAGCGCCGTGCCTTGAGGGGAGCGTATTGCCCTGGTATAGAATTATTTCGCGGGTGGTAAGTGGCATGTTTTGGAGGGGGAGGAGGAGCGTTGTCGTCCTCCTGATTGGCTCTTCGATCATCAGACGGTCTGTTCTGATTTTCCAGCTGCCGTAGGCGGCTCTCCATTCTTTGCACGTAGTTGTTCAATTGAGGCGGACCATCCATCTGTTCATGGCTATAAACGCTGTTGCGGTGGGCGAGTCCACTCTGTGGTTGCTCTTTATGTCCATGAAAACCCGTTGATGTCAAAGCCCGGCGTCTGTTCCCTTGAGGGGTCCTGTCTTGCGAAGTCTCAAATGCTTCGGGGGCCCAGGGATTATTGAATACTGGGGACGGGGAAGGCGACTGGTCTCGGCGAGGAAGGCCCATGTCTTCCAATGAGGTCATTACATCTTCCATGGCATCCCGAAGCGGAGATGGTGTATTTCCATGGATGTCTGACTGTGCTGAGGTCGCAGAAACAGCGGAGTGCATTGAAGCCGCAGACGGAGATGGGGTTCGATCAAAAATTGCGTAACGGTCATTCATAACTAGTGGTGTGGGGGATCGTGACGGGGGCGGATGGTGGTGTGATAGTGGGTTTGGTGGGTTTGCGCGATGCTGGGATGAGTGCATTGGTGGTAGCGGCGAATGACTTCGTGCTTGAGAATGCATGGGCGGCTGAGGAGAGTGTGAGCGATGTTGGGATGAGTACATTTGTGGTAGCGGCGAATGACTTCGTGGTTGGGATTGCATTGGCGGCTGTGGAGAGTGGGATTCCGTACGACCGACGACAACTCGGTGTGGCGGCGGGGGCGGAGGAGGTGGTGAGTCTTCCCGCTCTTCGTGCATTGGCACCGGAGAAGGCTCGCGATATGGGACCCGATAAGATGACATATTCCCGTGAGAGACGAGCCCTGATGGAGGTTCCTGCATTGGCAACGGGGATGGAGCCCGGTAGGAGGACATACTTCCATGTGGTATGGGCGCAGGTGGGTGGTCCTGCATGTACAATGGAGATGGCTCACGCGAATGATCCCGGTACATACTACCATGTGAGCCCATTGTAGAATTCTCCTGCATTGGCAGCGGAGATGGCGCCCGGTAAGATGGAATACGCCCATGTGGGACCCTCGCAGATGAATGATCCTGTATGGGTAGTGGCGAGGGAGCCCGGTATGAGGACATACTTCCATGTGGCATTGTTGGAGGTGGTTGATTCTCCATATACATCGGGGATGGCTCACGCGATGACACCTGATAAGTCGAAGCACTTCCGTGGGGAATAGTAGGGGGCGGATATTCTTGCATTTGTAATGGCGACGGCTCCCGCGATGAGCCTCGGTAGGATGGAATACTGTCATGCGGTATGGTCGGGGAGGGATAACCCTGCATTTGCAACGGAGATGGCTCACGAGACGAAGCCCGATAAGATGTGATACTGCCTTGTGGAGTCGTGCCAGCCGGATGCTCGTGTACTGGTAAAGGGGACGGATTTCGGGACAGAGGCCGAGTAGATGAGACGCTGCCCTTCGAAGTCAATGCATATGAACGTTCCTGCGTTTGTAGAGGAGATTGCTCGCGGGATGAAGGCCGAGAGGATGAGACGCTTCCCCTCGGCAGCATCGATGGCGACCGATCGGGCTCTGCGGACGAACGAGGAGAGGCACCGCGAGATGAAGGCCGCGAGGAGGTTGATTGAGGTCGAGATACTGAGCCTTGATTCTTGACAGCTGTCGCATGCGTGCGCAGTGGCTTCGTGCTTCGTGGAACCCCACCATCGCGAGGTGGTGGTTGGGGAATCGCGGGCGCAGCTGGACTAGATTGGGTTGCGCGCCGAGCAACGGAAGCTGGTGATACGGCTTCCTTATGCGCCTGGAAGGGTTTCCGCCAAACGGTCTTCTGTTTCTTGGGGGCTGATGTGGGATTGTTGATCGGAGAAGATCCCGCTAGCACCATTGGACTTGTAGTATCACGGCTCACGGGCACAAAGTCTTCACTCAGAAGTTCGACAAAATTTGATGGGAACAGTCCAACCGCGCGCCTGTCACGGCGCAATCGACCCATCCACCATTGTCCATCGCCTGCATTCAAGCATTCGATCAAGTCACCCTCCACGAACCCCAGATCTCGTGTGGTCTCTCCACCCCAGGAATATACTGCTCGGCACCAGCAAGGAAACCGCGCCGGGAGCTGAGCCATAGTTGTCACGTAAACACGGTTTTGCCGAGCGCAACACACGGGATGGACCCAATACGTTTTTTTGATACCAGGCGCACTTCTGAAAAATCCACGCCCAGGTGAAGGTAGAAAAAAATATGTATCAATCGACGAGGCTTGGTTGTTGGTTATACAACACAGCTTGGTCAGATGGGTGACAAGGTCCGCACGGCCGCAGGGATAGCAATGATCGCTCAATCAATCAGCATTGTCGGGAGGATAAGGAGGTTTCAATTGGGTGTTTGAGATAAAAGATATTAACGAATGGAGATCGAATTGCATAAAATGGGACCAACAGGGTTGCAAAGGCGTGGGGAGGGGAAGCAGGGTGGTTCAGATCGGTGAGGCCTAAGACGACACTTGGGGCGTAAACTGGAACTGGGGTTGTTTGTTTGTGGCCCGATCAGGACTAGCGGCGGAGGGCTGCCTTATCGATAAGCTTAATGCACATTATGTAATATCTCCTGTTCCCCGAGTCTCCATAACAAAGCGTGATCGCTCTTCCTCTTCAAGCTCATGTGTCTGTATGTAACCATGAGATGATCTTCAAATCAAGCCCCGCAGTGCTATAGTAGTAGTCAAAACCCAGAAGATGTTGGCTCATTCATTGTGACTATGAGATAGCCGGATCCGCAGCCGATCCATGGTTCGGTATCAAGCAACCCTGGTACTCACGACAACAGAGGGTCCCTGCCGAACTATAGATATCTTTATTTCTACTTGTTTGCTTGATATTATAACGACTACAGGTCTCGGTTACTGCCTTGAAATACCAAGATCATTGGGGACTGCTAACTCTAGACATTGAGGGGAGACTTGAAAAGGAACGGACAATCACAACCGCGTACCTCATAGATGAACATCTGTAACTGGTTCAAGGCTGAAGCCAAGAAGTTTATTTTCACTACCCAGCAGCGAAATTTTACCTGATACCTAAGCATAGTAAAAAATCGATGACCTGGATTGACATAGCTTCAATAAAGAAAGATATGTATCTGCATATATACGGGTGGTCCCATATATATTTCTCCACATTTTCATCGATTGTTTCTTTTCACAAAACCTCATCTAGTGTTACTTAATGTGTCGACCTGGCCAATTGTATAGATTGATGTTCTGGCAAGCTTTCCTTAAACCATCTCATCGGTTCATTGTTTGACGGCTACCCCCAAGGAGACAACTAGTTTGAATTCAACAGCCAGACAACCTCAAGATTGCTCCACCATGCTATGTGATACAGGCGCCACCCCTAGTGTTTGATTGATACCGTGAAGCCCCTGCTACTAATGTCTCACATCTCGCATACTTTCATTAATTGGTCTTGACTCGTTGAAATATTCTCGATAAGCAATCTCTGATTATTCGAACAACCAGGTCGAAGACAGAGCCAATGTACGAACAATGTGAGCTATTGTATTTTCAATATATGACTCGAAAATCTGGAAAATCGGATGGCTATTGCTATTTCACACTAGGCTGCCGCATCTGGAAAATTCCACATTCTCATCGTGGCTATGGAATCTCCAGCCACTCACAAACGGTTTGCCCCTTGCATAAAATGAACTTGAACCCTTTCCAGGAATTTTTCTGACCAGGTCTTTAGGACATTGTTGGGTGAAACCTTCAAGCAGTCTTTCAGCCGGGGTCATCTCATCTTGAAACGGAAAACAATCTAAAGTCAAAAATACCCCAGCCATCTCAAATCTCCCTACGGAGTACTGAGCATCTACGGAGATAGCATGAACACAAGCCCGTCTCCTTGATTATTTATCAAAATGGAAACAGCTTTTGCATTTCCCAAATGTTTCTCTATGCGACCAGCCCTATCTAGGAACATAGGGATATTGATTGTTATGATTTCCATAATGTAAACTGTCAATTCTCTCCTTGGGTTTTCTAACAAGACATACTGTCGGGGATTTGATACGCAAAAATCACCTAGTATTCTATCACCCTCAAGGTCATTCGGCCAGATCTGAAGCAGTATCTCTTCCACTGATATAACTCGAAGATCTTTGCAGCTGTGGCTGCCACTGGGCTCATGCAGCTAGCCCAGGCCAAGCAGGTTAACTTTGATTTGGACCTGACTTGGCAAAAGGGGTGCACCTGATGGCAACATGCGCGAAATGATCTTCATGAACAATCAATTCTCCGGCCCTGAACTACACATAGATCGGGTGTGACGATGTCGAGGTGGATTTTGTTCGCAAGGAAATTGCGGTGAAAAAGAGAAAGCGTACTAAGTGCCCCTAGTTCGTTTTACACAACTACATGCCATCCAATACCACCATACAATTCCACGGTGTTGAGCAGCGGAATACTCCATGGTCTGACGGTGTTCCTGGTCCTACCCAAAAGCCGATCCAGCCAGGACGTAGCTGGACATACCGTCTGATCGCATACCAGTACGGCACTTACTGGTATCATGCCCATGCTCGGGGTGACGTGTCCGATGATCTCTATGGGCCCATTAAGATCAAGTACGATAGTCATTTTCTGATTTTGCTACGTGTAAAAAAACTAACCTATACAGTCCTGGTCCTGATGTGCCTCAACCCTTCCATCTTATCTCGAACAATATGCAGGATATTGAAGCAATGCAGAAAGCGGAGAAAAACCCCTAACTTGTGATGCTTTCTAACTGGGACCATTCAACCTCTTCTGAGTACCAAAAAACAATGGAAGACAGTCGTCTGGGTCTGACGTAAGTTGTGATCTTGTTGAACTTTACGCAGGAACATGCTAACAACTTCCAGCTGTTCTGACAGTATTTTTATCAACGGCCACGGAGCAGTCTACTGCCCAGGAGCCGAGAAGATATCCAGTGTAGAACTTCCTTATCTGATAACTTTGATTGATAATAATCCACTCCCAGACAAAGGGTAGGATATTATTCAGCACCGAATCAAAAGCTCTCTCGGTAAATATATACCAGATGCCTTCCTAATATCTACGAGACCCAGGGCGACTTCCCCCAGCCTTTGAGGGCAAGATTCCAGCTGGACTGAATTCCGGCTGTACTCCTACTATTGGCTCTCATGTGACCATTGAAGTTGATCCTACTGCAGGGTGAGTCAGTCTTTAGTAGTTCATTAGTGCCGCGTCTATTAAGGCTCTTATGTTCTCTATGAGCATCCGATGTATATGTATGAGGTTGATGGTAGTTACGTCGAGCCTCAGCTCGCTGAGAGTGTTAGCAGCTACAGCGGCGATACTCTGTAATGATTAAGCCCACTAAGACCTGGAAGGAATACACCATTCGAGTTCCAGACACCCAAGCCGATCAGATCATTTCTGGGTTTGCTACAATGAAGTACAAAGGTTTTCAGGACACTACCGCATCTCAGCCCTATGTGGATTACGGTTGAAGAAACACTTCCGCTTCTATCCATGTCCTAGAAGTCAAGGCCATACAGAAACACCCTGCTGTCACTATTCCTAAGACCGCTAATCAGGTAGTCAACCTCACCATTGGTCGTTTAGGCTCGTCTTACACATAGACTACTTCAGGAAGTGATTTGTATGACATGATGGCCAACTGGGATGACCCTATTCTCTATGACATCAATGCAAAGAACAACCTAGAATCACAGGTTAACATACAAACCAAGAACGGGAGCTGGGTGGATTTGTTGCTCCAGTTGGGTGGAATGTCTAACAGCTCTGCTATCCAGGCCTATCATGTGATGCAAAAGCACCCCAACAAGGGATTCATTCCTGGTGTTTGTCCTGGCCTCTTCAAGTGGTCCAGCACCGGAGAAGCTCACGCTGAGCGGTCTGAAATCTTCCAACTGGAGAACCCCCAAATGAGAGATACTGGTCACCATTGGCCCCAAAGGACCAAAATGGATGATTGTGCAGTATCAGGTTGACAATCCTAGACCTTTCCTCTTCCACTGCTATATATGCACCCACATCGCCAATGAAATGGCTGTTGCTCTACTCGATGGCATTGATGCGTGGCCTCAGGTGCCTGAGGGTGAGAACCAGAGCCCCTAATGTCAGACTCGTATCTTGGAGACTATTCAGTTAGTTTGAAATGTTGATATAAATTCTCTTATTTTCTTTGTAACATAAAGTCTGTTTGCGGTCGTTTAGTTCTCGTGGGAGCTCGGTCCGAAGGATCCGGGTCCACCGATGGCTTGATTGCTTGAAGAGAAGCCGGTTTGCCATGGGGTGATCGGCCGATTGACCACGTGTGTTATTGCTTGTTCATTCCAAATTCCCAATTGAGCGACTGATATCAAGGCAACAATCCATTCTTTGAAAAAATGCACATTCCACCTAAATAGGGAAATGGGCTCGGGGTGAATTACCCTGAAAATGCGACTGAACCCCCTCGAGACATCCCAAGCAAGGCTTTATGTCTCAGAAAAGATGTCTTGAAGCTAGAGTCATGACGTATGGAGAGTATGGAAACACTACGATGATGCCTCTAGGCTTTTCTTACTAAATTTTCAAAATATCTGCAGGGTGCTTTCATCATTGGTTTCGTGAGACTGCACAATTTCTTCTGCATTTTGATGATTTTACTTTGTGAAAGACCCTGATGCATGATTTTAAAATAACTGGTCGTCTAGGAAACTAGGAGGTTGGTCTACGTAGGGCAAATCAGGTCATGTGATACATGGATACAATGGCTGCATTGCAACCTTCCGAATGCAGCCACATCCTCTCTTTAATTGCCACTTCATTGTAAATTCTATTGAGAATGAGTCCACTGTCTATGACTCCACTGGATTCAGGTAATGCCCTCACGGAAAGTCCGGCTGAACTATTCCTTCAAAACCTGATTCATTGAGTCACTGGTTGTTTTATCCGCAAACAGCACTCAGACATCTGTAAATTATCATCAGTTTGCCTAGAACTTTAGTGATTTCAATCCATGATTAAGGATTCAATCAGATTATCCAGGGAATGGATGTTTCAGTTCGGTCCAGCCCATCCCCGTCTGGAGTCTACTTCAGACAGACATCGAAATCTTGGAGGCATTGTGGAATTTACTGCCGTAACCGTGTCATTAGTCCATTTTAGGACGTAAATACCAGAACTATGAAAACAATAGATTTTCGCCGCATACTGGGGTATGCCCGGGACCATACATATCCTATCAATTTCGGCCAAAGTACAATACCATAGATTCCTGTTCATGTGAAAGTATCTGAGACCCAGACTCCCACACTTCCCCTTTTGATATAGCCAAGACAATAGAGCAGTCTGTGGCGAATCTGGAACCATTCCCTCTATAAAGTATGATATCCTATAATTCGCCCTGCTTCTGAACGTTTTTCTCTTTCCCCATATATTTTTGAACAACCTATTTGTCATCGGGGAGATTATGGAAGGCCCCAGTCAGGTGTATCTCTTCGGAGACCAGACTGCGGATTTCGACTCAGGTCTTCGCCGTCTACTGCATGCAAAGAATGATTCGCTTGTGGTGGCCTTCTTTGAAAAGACTTACCATGCGTTGCGCAAGGAAATTACTTCGCTTCCGCCATCTGAGCGCCTGGTGTTTCCCAGATTTACCAGTATTGTTGACCTTCTTGCGAGGTTCAAGCAGTCAGGGCCAAACCCAGCTCTGGAGAGCGCTTTAACGGCTATTTATCAATTAGGATGTTGCATTCAGTGAGTGAATTGCCTAGCTTGTGGTGAAGAGACTGTGACTGGAATCGAATTTGCTGACAAATTCCGATAGCTACTACGGCGATTTGGGCCATGCTTATCCCTCAGGTGATGATAACTGCATCATTGGTCTTTGCACAGGCCAGCTCGCATCTGCGGCTGTGAGCTCTTCAAGGACTGTCGGGGAGCTCATTCCGGCTGCCGTTGAGACTGTGGTTGTTGCCTTGAGACTGGGAATGTGCGTTCTGAAAGTACAAGAGCTCATAGAATCAAGTAAATCGGCAACTTCAAGCTGGTCTGTATTGGTTCATGGTATCCGTGAGCCCGAGGCCCAGGAATTGATTCAGCAATATGCGAAAAAGAATGTAAGTGTCTTCTGCAAAATTAGCTTGACATCAAACAGAATGATTGTTAACATTTTCAAGGCTTTGCCCCGCGTTTCCCGGCCTTATGTCAGCGCAGTCAGCCCTAATGGACTTACAGTCAGTGGTCCTCCGACTTTCCTCGGTCGTTTCATTGAGGATTATCTCTCGAAGGAGCACAAGCCTACAAGGGTTCCAATCCATGGCCCTTATCATGCCCCGCATCTGTATGATGACAGAGACATTAATCGAATCATGGAATCTTGGCCAACCGATCAGTTCATGACCTACGTGCCTCAGATCCCTGTGCTGTCAACTCAGACAGGTAAGCAAATTCAAGCTGACGGCCTCGAAGAGCTCTTGAAATTTTCTCTTCAGGAGATTCTGCAAGGACAGCTCTGTTGGGACAAAGTCATTGAATCCTGCCAATCAGCCTTGCAATGCGCCACAAGATGCACTCTTTACCCAGTTTCAAGCAATGCAACCCAGAGCATATTTAACGCATTGAAAAAAGCTGGAGTCCCCAATCTGGAGATTGACAGCACAATGGGTGACGTTCAAAAGGATTCTGAGGAGAATAACCGCACTGGCCGCGCTGAGCAGTCTAAGATTGCAATCATCGGTCTTTCCGGGAGATTCCCAGAAGCACCGGACACCGAAGCATTCTGGGATCTTTTGAAAAAAGGACTCGACGTCCACCGCGAGGTCCCCCCAGAGCGATGGGATGTCAAGGCTCACGTCGACAGGGAAGGAAAGATCAGAAACACCAGTCAAGTGGAATATGGATGCTGGTATAACGACGCTGGAATGTTTGATCCTCGGTTCTTCAATATGTCTCCTCGTGAAGCGCTTCAAGCAGACCCCGCTCAGCGGTTGGCACTTCTTACTGCTTATGAGGCTTTAGAGATGGCAGGCTTCATACCTGATAGCACTCCCTCTACACAGAAGAACCGTGTGGGTGTCTTCTATGGAATGACCAGTGATGACTATCGTGAGGTCAACAGCGGTCAGGATATTGATACCTACTTCATCCCTGGTGGTAACCGTGCTTTTACTCCCGGTCGCATCAATTACTATTTCAAGTTTAGCGGCCCTAGTGTCAGTGTGGACACAGCTTGCTCCTCCAGTCTTGCAGCAATTCATGTCGCCTGTAATTCCCTATGGAGGAATGAAAGTGATTCTGCCGTGGCCGGTGGCGTCAATATCTTGACAAATCCTGACAACCATGCTGGTCTTGACCGTGGACATTTCCTCTCAAGGACTGGAAACTGCACCACCTTCGATGATGGGGCTGATGGCTACTGCAGAGCAGATGGAATTGGCTCCATTGTTTTGAAGAGACTCGAGGATGCCCAGGCGGATAATGATCCGATCTATGGTATTATTGGAGGAGCTTACACCAATCACTCCGCAGAGGCTGTGTCAATTACTCGGCCTCATGTAGGAGCACAATCCTTCATCTTTGACAAGCTTCTGAACGAGTCCAACAGCGATCCCAAAGAGATCAGCTATATTGAAATGCACGGAACTGGCACCCAGGCAGGTGATGCGGTGGAGATGCAATCGGTTCTTGATGTCTTCGCCCCGGACTACCGTCGTGGGCCCGCTCAATCCCTTCACCTTGGTTCAGCAAAGTCAAATGTTGGCCATGGAGAGTCCGCTTCTGGTGTCACAGCTCTTATCAAGGTGTTAATGATGATGCAAAAGAACATGATTCCCCCTCACTGCGGTATCAAGACCAAGATCAACCACAATTTCCCGACAGATTTCCCCCAGCGAAACGTGCACATTGCACTTGAGCCTACCCCCTGGAACAGGCCGGTCGGTGGCAAGCGAAAGACTTTTGTTAACAATTTCTCGGCCGCTGGTGGCAACACGGCTCTGATGGTCGAGGATGGCCCCCTCAATGAGGTGAATGTGGACGACACCCGGTCTGCCCATCCTGTGGTTGTCTCAGCACGGTCTCAGTCTGCACTGAAGAATAATATCTCTGCTCTCGTGCAGTATATTGACACAAACAAGAACTCTTTTAATGTCAACGAGGCCAGCCTCCTTGCCAACCTGTCTTATACAACTACGGCGAGGCGCATTCATCATCCCTTCAGAGTCGCTGTTACTGGATCGACTTTGGATGAAGTCAGGAGTGCTTTGGCTCCTATTGTCAACAGAGACAGCATCAGTCCCGCGCCTGTCAATCCACCTGGTGCCGGCTTCGTCTTTACCGGACAGGGGGCTCAATACACAGGCATGGGACACGAACTATTTGAAAACTGCTCCCAGTTCCGTGCCAACATTGAGCACTTGGATTGTATTGGCCAGAGCCAGGGGTTCCCATCTATTGTGCCCCTTATCGACGGGAGTGTGCCAATTGAAGAACATAGCCCGGTTGTTACCCAACTCGGAACTACCTGTGTGCAGATGGCACTGACCAAGTACTGGACTTCTTTGGGTGTTATGCCTACCTTTGTCATGGGCCACAGCCTGGGCGAGTTTGCTGCGCTAAATGCTGCAGGTGTCTTGACAACCAGTGACACCATCTACCTCGCTGGGCGGAGAGCCCAACTTCTCACCGAGAAGATCAAGGTCGGAACACACGCTATGCTTGCTGTAAAATCTTCAGTATCACAGATCAAGCAGTTCCTTGATGAGACTACCGAGGTTGCTTGTATCAATGCGCCTAGCGAAACTGTAATCAGCGGTGCAAGTGAGAGAATTGACGACCTTGCACGCCTTCTTACCAACGAAGGATTCAAGGCAACCAAGCTGAATGTACCTTTTGCTTTCCATTCAGCTCAAGTTGAGCCTATCCTTGAGAGCTTGGCCGAGATTGGAAAGGGTGTCACTTTCAATAAGCCCTCCATTCCCTTCGTATCTGCCCTTCTTGGAGACGTCATCAATGAGACCAACAGCGAGCTGCTTGGCCCCAGCTACCTTGCCCGCCACTGCCGGGAGACTGTCAATTTCCTGGGTGCACTGGAAGCTACCCGGCACTCCAACTTGATGAATGACAAGACTCTGTGGGTTGAGATTGGCTCTCATCCCGTCTGCTCCGGAATGGTCAAAGCAACCTTCGGTCCACAGGCAACTACTGTGACTTCTCTGCGCCGCCAGGAAGATACGTGGAAGGTTTTGTCTAACAGCCTTTCAACTCTCTATCTGGCTGGGATTGAGCTTGGATGGAAGGAGTATCACCAGGACTTCACTGCTGCACACAGAGTCCTCCCACTCCCATCCTACAAATGGGATCTCAAGAACTACTGGATCCCATACACCAATAACTTCTGTCTTTTGAAGGGTGCACCAGCAGCACCAGTAGCTGATGCAACGCCAGTCTCCGTGTTCTTGTCATCAGCAGCACAAAAGGTTTTGGAGACGAGTGGTGATAATTCGTCGGCCTTCATCGTCATCGAGAACGACATCGCTGATCCCGAGCTCAATCGCGTCATTGCAGGCCACAAAGTGAACGGTGCCTGTCTTACTCCATCGGTATGCCTATTCCTAATTTTCTTACTCAAGGGTATCTATTTTCTAACTGAAGTTTAGTCATTGTACGCCGATATTGCACAAACACTCGGCGAATACTTAGTTCAAAACTACAAGCCGGAGTGGAAAGATCGCGGCTTTGATATCTGCAACGTGGTGGTCCCCAAGCCGCTTATTGCAAAGGGAGGCAAGCAACTTTTCCGTGTCTCAGCCACTGCAAACTGGGCCGAGGAAAGTGCCAAGGTGCAGGTGTGGTCTGTGACCCCAGAGGGAAAGAAGATTCTTGACCACGCCACTTGCGACATCAAGTTCTTTGATCCACTTCCTTACGAGCTCGAGTGGAAGCGCAGCTCTTATCTCATCAAGCGAAGCATCGAACATCTTCAAGAAAGCACGATATCCGGCCAGGCTCATCGCATGAAGCGGGGAATGGTCTACAAGCTCTTTGCTTCTCTAGTCGATTATGACGAGAATTACAAATCCATTCGCGAAGTCATCCTCGATAGTGAACAACACGAGGCTACCGCTCTTGTCAAATTTGAAGCCCCGCCAGGCAACTTCCACCGCAATCCATTCTGGATCGACAGCATTGGCCACTTGTCGGGCTTCATTATGAATGCTAGTGATAACACCGATTCGAAGAACCAAGTGTTCGTCAATCATGGATGGGATTCGATGCGATGCCTGAAGAAGTTCGATCCTAGTGTCACTTACCGCACTTATGTGAGGATGCAACCCTGGAAAGACTCAATTTGGGCAGGTGATGTCTATATGTTTGAGGGAGATGACATCGTCGCTGTGTACGGTGGTGTTAAGGTACGTTGAGAAGAGTCATCCAATATTTCCGAAAACAAACTAACAGAATGCGATGTAGTTCCAAGCTCTGGCACGGAAGATCCTTGACATGGCTCTTCCTCCTGGTGGAGGAGCTCCAGCGCCCAGGCCAGCCGCCAAGCGTGTTCCTGGTCCCATCGATGTTCAGAAGGCAAAGCCTACCGCGGCCAAAAAGGCTTCACCTTCGCCGAAATCTACAAAGCCAAATCTGGCTTCTCGCGCTCTTGGAATCCTCGCCGAAGAGGTCGGACTTTCAGCTGCTGAGCTGACTGATGAGCTCAACTTCGCTGATTACGGAGTTGACTCTCTCCTCTCGCTGACTGTCACTGGGCGATACCGTGAGGAGATGGGAATCGACCTTGACTCCTCTGTCTTCGTGGATAATCCAACAGTGAAAGACTTCAAACGTCTCATTGCTCAAATGGGCCCTGCTGAAAGCAGTGATGGATCAAGCAGCGAAGGCGACATGTCCTCCGCCGCGTCGGAGAGCAGCCTCTCGTCTCCAAACACCAGTGGCCTACCCACTCCTGCAGATGAGAAGTCGATGGCACACGGATTGCAGGAACAAAACGACAGTATGAGGCAGATCACTGCAATTTTGGCCGAGGAGATCGGCGTTGACCCCGGGGAGCTCAGCGGCGACGCAAACCTTGGTGAGATGGGTCTGGACTCATTGATGTCACTCACAGTTCTTGGTAAGATCCGTGAAGACCTTGATCTTGACCTTCCCGGAGAGTTCTTTATCGAGAACCAAACCCTCGATGATATCGAGACTACCTTGGATCTGAAGCCCAAGTCCGCCCCCGCAGAGCCAATCAGACTTCCTAAAGAAATCCCCGTTCCAGTGGTAGCTTCCAACACTGCCCCTAAGCACCCGCCTGCGACTTCGATCCTCCTGCAAGGAAACCCTAAGACAGCAACCCAGAGTTTGTTTTTGTTCCCTGATGGCTCAGGTTCTGCTACCTCATATGCTACCATCCCTGGCATTTCCCCCGATGTGTGTGTCTATGGACTGAACTGCCCATATATGCGCACCCCGGAGAATCTCAAGTTCAGTCTCGATGAGCTCACAGCTCCATATGTTGCTGAGATCAGACGTCGTCAGCCCACTGGCCCATACAACTTCGGTGGCTGGTCCGCCGGTGGTATTTGCGCCTACGATGCGGCGCGCCAATTGATATTCAATGAAGGCGAGCGTGTCGAGCGCCTACTCCTCCTGGACTCACCCTTCCCCATTGGATTGGAGAAGCTACCTCCTCGTCTGTATAGCTTCTTCGACACAATCGGACTGTTTGGAGAGGGCAAGGCACCTCCACCTAAGTGGCTCCTTCCTCACTTCTTGGCTTTCATCGACTCTCTAGATGCTTACAAGGCGGTTCCATTCCCCTATGAAGACCCCAAGCTGGCTGAAAAGCTCCCCAAGACCTTCATGGTCTGGGCCAAGGATGGTGTCTGCTCCAAGCCGGGTGATACCCGCCCTGCACCAGCTCCGGATGGTAGTGCAGACCCTCGTGAGATGCTCTGGTTGCTCAACAATCGCACTGACCTCGGTCCAAATGGTTGGGATACTCTTGTCGGGCCCAAGCAAGTTGGCGGAATTACCGTTATGGAGGGTGCCAATCATTTCACCATGACACGTGGCGAGAAGGCCAGTGAGTTGGCTGCATTCATTGCCAACTCAATGGCTTCGGTGTAAACACATTGCATTTTGGAACTGTGACTTGGCTAATTCTACGAACTTTGGGCATGGGCTGGCTTTTTTTTTTTTGTTCTTCTATTTATCTGTTCATCTTGTATGCTGCTGTTCAGCATAAAACTCTCTCCTTCTTCCACTGTCTTATTATCTTAGTACATACATACATAATCCATAATTTTGCCGTTCCTTGCTATTTTTGGAATATATTTTAATCACCCAATATGGAATCCAGATTGACATTTTACATTTGGAGTTTTTATTTCCAATGGCAGTAATTGAATGGCAAAGCAAATCCAACACCAAACACCCCTTCTGGTCTGGGGGGGGTCTTGAAGAGGTTATGCCTACAAATCGAACAAAGACACCTAAGATATCTATCATTGGAGCAGTGGCGAAAAACAATACCACTCAAATCGAATGAAACAGAAACACTTGATTGAAATAACACAAGACTCAGATACCGTCGCATCCGAGACCCGCTTTAGTCTCGCGAAACAAAAATCGCTCATGGGTAAATGGAAAAGTCGCAATGGAGAAAACGCCAGAAGGATGCAATGTCGTAATGAGCGGACGAAAGGAATAAAGAGCCAGCTAAGGTGACTCAACTGCTTCGCAAAGCGCAAATGCCCGGTCTGTGTACCGTGTCTAGACGTCATCGTGTGGCCGGGGTGACCGAAATGCGTGTGAAGAACGCGACCATTGGCAAAAAGCGTGGAGAGCGTGGGGGTTATTGAGTAATGTTCTCAGAAAGGCATATCTGAACTGTATCGTAACGCACTACCTCTTCCCCCATGACCCCCATTACCATTACCATTATGACCGACCCCGGGGCTGGTCGGACGGCTGCCGGCCCACTTAGGGCTTCGTGGTTGAGTGCTAGTTGAGCGAGTAGATGGACGATTCTTTCGGATTTCACGAAGCTCGTCTTCCTTCCTGCGTAGGAATTCGTCGCGCGTAGCGAGATTCAATTCTAGCTCTTCAATTCGAGCTAGATGGCGGACCGACTCGTCCTTCATGTGCAACTCACGCAGTTGGACGGCATTGCTTTCGGCCTTGCGCCTTAGTTTCTCATTTTCGGTGGCCAAACGGCGGGTTTCCGTGCCAGACTGAGCGGCCGCAGTAGACGCAGTCTGATATTGCTCTCGTGTGTACTCGGCTTGGTTTTTCTCAAACTCAGCCTTGCGTTCAAGGTTTGAATTTTCTTTGGCTAGGCGGCGAATTTCCTCGCGTGCTGTCTCCAGTTCAGCAGAACTACCACCACCATCTTTGAGTGCTTGTCTAGCTTCGTCGAGCTCGCGTTTCAGCTCTGCCCGCTCTTCTTTCAGATTAGAGATGGTTTCTTTCTGTTTCTCGACACGCTGTTCCAGAGACGGCTTAGTTTCGGTCACACGATCTCGTTCTTGGCGAGTTGCATGGAGTTCCTTGGTCCGACTCTCGTAACGGTGTTGTAGAACACCCAGTGCCTTCTCCATTTCCTGGAGTCGAGAATTTGCCCGAGCAAGCTGAGCCTGCAGCTGGGCTTTTTCATTTGCATGAATGTGTTTCATCTGAATAAGGTTCTTCTCCAATGATTGCAATTCACGGTCCAATGTTTGGCTGGAAGGTTTGGTTGACTCGGTCAACTGGCTGTTCTCTTGAGTACCAACCCGTGCACGCTTCGACGATTGTTCCTCGGGTCCGTCATCCTGTCCAACTTGTTAGTTTCATGGCGATATACCCACAAGTGGTACACTTACCAGTGTGCGTTTCTGTGCCGGCTGCATCCCCTCGTCAGATGTAGAAGAGTTGTCGCACTCTAGCTCTTCCAGGGGCACCAATTTCAAAGGCTCGATAGGAGGCAATGGCCAACCAGCAACACTATCCAAGAGGTATCCGAGAATCTCTTCGGCGTCTTCATGTACGCCGAGGGCATCATCCTGGAGATCGCCAACCTCATCATGAAGACGGGCAATGTAGTGCACAAGTAAACGTAATCGATCGGGCTCGGGTGACTCGGGCAAACAACGCTCAATATGTTCACTCGTGTTGGCGACGAGGAACCAGATGACGGGAAGCAGGTTCCCGTTTCGGGCATAAGTCGTTCGGATGTGCTGTATGGATGGACTTTTGGGTCTAAAATACGAATCCAAAGCAAAAATAGCAGATGGCGGCTTGTAAAGTTCCCGGGCAGTCTCACTGGAATGAATGCCGAAGCTGAGCGGCCCCTTGGCCAGGGAAACTTCCGAGGTGCTGCCCATTTCGTCACGGGGCTTTGTATATGCAAAGCCCTTGCCTTGGAGATAACGTTCAAGAACCGCCTGTTTCTTCTCGTCTTGGACAGCAAGAATCAGATGAAGCTCATGCGTACCTACAATCTCCATGAGATGACCTAGTAGAAGGAACTTTGCACTAGAATATTCGGCCCAGGCTGCCTCTTTCGCGAGGTCGGGGTCGGGGTCTTTCAAATGGTCAGAGATGTTTAAGTCTGGGTGGGTTGAAACATTGCTCAACCGCGTGACGACCTCTCGCATTTGTGAATACAAGACCTCTCGCTGTGTGCAGAATGTAAGTGATCCGAAGATATTCAAGGAAGATTCTCAACGCACCTCAGGCTCAGAAATTTGAGTATTTGACTGCAAGCTGTCGAAGAACTGGCGTATGCTGGTAGCTGCATCTGATAGCACTCGCTCATAGTCATCCTTCACACGAGAATCCATCGGAAGGGTGACAGCAAACTCAGATGGCCCGAGATGGACTGATCCGGGCACAACCTCATCCATGCCGGTGACAGTCAGCGCACTGGGGTGGATAGTTTGGAGTGAAGGTTGACTCATATGGCCTCCGTGAGCTAGTTCTGAGGGCGGTAGTAAAGGTTCAGAATGACCGTGGTGAACTGCAGTATGTGAATGAGAAAAGGAATCTGTGTCGGCTCTAACACTAAGCGGCGCAGTTGTTTCGGGAACAGATACGGGGATTGAAGCCTCGATATCCCCCACGGAAGATGGAGTTTCGACAGCGTTGGGCGTCTGTAATAGCTCAGATTGATTCTCTTCGCCGATTTGGGCCCAAGGGTTGCGTATCTTTTCCACAGGAGTGGACCCTGGAAATTGGCCGTATCGGTCCAAAGGAGCGTCGGAGAGAGTAGGGTCCGATGGCTTGGGCTCTTTGTCATCCATGACTTTGGTAGATGGTTCTTCTTCCAGAAGATGGCAAGGTGAAAGCACTGGCCAAATGACACCCTCAGCGCTGAAGTCTTCAGGATGTTGTGACAGTTGTTGAGAAACTGTTTCTGGGATTGAGCTTAGGTAAGTCGAATGAACGAACCCGCAGTCTGTGAGATTGTGAGCAAACTGCGAAGATTGATGTGGCACGATGAAACTACCTCTGACTACAGAGTCACACAAGCCAAGAGGCTGAGAAGTCAGATTGTTGTGAGATGGAGTACTATCAAGAGGGCAAGAGCCAAAGTGCGATAAATCAGCTCCTGAACCGGGCAGCTGAGTAGGTGTCTCAGCTATTTCAATTACCTTGGAGCTCAGTCCAAGACCAGGCGTGTTCAGGTGTGATAATTCAAGAATTCTCTTGATTTCTGCAGAATACTGTCGATGCGATGAGCATCTATCAACTGAACCGACCTTTGGTTCACAAGTCGGATCACGCTGCTGCGTATCAAAAACGACGTCGTCGTCCCAATCACCTTGTTGCAGGGAATGAGGTGGAATAGATGACTCGGGAATATATTCAAAGAATGCGGCGGTGGCCGGCGAGCGAGAATCTGTGGATACAGCCTCTAGGGACGGAGAACAATCGGAGATAGATCGGGATGGAGAGGCGGTCCTGTAAAAGCAGCCCGAGGCTTCAATGTACTGGGACTGAAGAGAATCTACTATCTCTGAAAGGTCCTCTTGTGTCACAAAGAGCAATGAGGACGCTCTTGAACGATTATCGGAACCGGCGTCGCTCTGTTCGGTCTCGTCGTCAAATGGCGAGTGGTCTTCTGGGCCTATAGTTGCTTCTGGTGATAAGAAAGAGACCTCAATGACACTGGGCGATTTAGTTGTCTCCCGTGTCAATTTTGGATTTGATTCCCTTGATAGTCGAGCTTTCCGTCTGTTCCACACATGTATAGCAAGCTCACTCGCGTTCGCTTTGGGCTCCTAGGGAAGCAAGGGAAGCGCAATTATTAGTCCAAGTTCAATAAGTATTTCTTTAATGCCTTTTATGTCCAGTAGTACCACGGGGACTCACCCAAGTTGGATCGTAAGGACCCTCCCAATCAATAAGATACTCGGTCTCTGTCTCACGGAGGATACACTTTATAGGCCACTCCTGGTCGTCCGAATCACTACCGTCGCTGCTTTCACTGCTATCGCTAACAATCACAGTTGTAGCTGGAGGCCGGTCAGCATTATTTCTTTGGTGACTATCGAGTTTCGGCTGAGGCTGCTCTCGAAACATCATGCGCGGGCGAATCTCGGGGAGATGTTGGATAACATAACGGGGGGGTGGGAGTGTAGGTTTGATACTCAAGAAAAGCTCATACGAGCTGCATTGACCCGTGACACATACAATTTCCAATTCTGGGCAACATCTAACACTTCCCCCAAACAATGCAACGGTATATGAAAGAGGGTAAATGCACGCGCAACGGGCGGACGGATAGTGAACCCGCTTCACGTGATAACGCTTATCGGCGGTGGATCTACAATGTTTGGGAATAGTGGCATCTGGTCAACGAGTATAGACTTATGTGTCTAAATAATATTTCAAATATGCAAAGCTATGCAAAGCTATGTATTGTATTTTTGGTTTATATTCACTGTTAATGTTGTATTCACAGGTTGAGACGTGGATTTGGACCAGAACCATCACTGATTATCTTGTTGCCTCTTCCACTCTTCAAAGCTGAAACCAAGCTCTGCTAGATGCTTGATCTCGCTCCGCTCGTTGCCTCGCTGTACGAAAGCACGCCTGATTTCTGGGAAATGGGCCCGCATCCATCTTTCCCGTTCACCCCACCGAGTACCAAGTTTGCCTTGTCCGCTGTTTGACAATTCAGGTCTTGGGCTGGCCTCTTCCGCCCAGTCGTAGAGAAAATTGAGGTAATCAGCATCCATAGGAAATGGGAGTAGGTGGAACTCTTTTCCGTCTCCTTTGACATCAATCTCGGAAGCCTCCCATGCCTTCATCTCATCCTTTGGTGGAAGTGTAAGCCGTCCAGACCACACACGAGAGAAGACAGCAGCGTGGTTCTCAGCCATAGGGAATGGAATAACCCGCTGTGAAAGAACTGGGAAGACGAGAGTGGGGTGCTCTATATAAAACAACTGCTGGTAGACATTCATTGTTCGCCATCCGTGGGTCACGGCCGGTGGATTGAGTGAAGACAAGAAAGGATATGAATAGAAATAACCGGTGCAGAAAACAATGGCGTCGACATGTTCCTCAATGCGACCATCTGCAAATTTTATACCTCTATCATAGGCCGTCGATGGAAGAAACTCGACTATCTCCGGGCAAATGATTTTGTCGCCATTTGGAGGTGCAGCCAAGTAGGACTCAGATCGTTGGGAGACCAGCACTTTTCCTTGGCTTACTTCGTTGATCTGGGCACCAATGTCAAGCCCCGAAGCAGAACTTCCTACCACAACCACTTTCTTTCCTTGGAAAGGTTCTGGGGAGTTGTAAAACTTGGAATGGGAGATGACACCTGGGTGTGATGCATCCCAGGCTTGTATTCCTGGGATTTCAGGTATATAGGGCACCGTGAAATGACCACTTGCAACCACCACAGCATCATAAGTGTGGGTGGTGTCGATGCCAGTTTGAAGACTTTTTGCTGTTAGACTCCAGGTACTTAGAGTTTCATCCTTGAGTTTCACATCTAAGATTTGTGTCTCAAATTGAATGAACCCTTTGATATCTTCGGCATACTCTTCAAGGTACTGTTTCACTGTCCGGTGTTTGGGGAAGAGCTGGGCTTCCGATGGGAAGGCCTTATCCGAATAGCCCATTAACTCTTTGGGAATATTCGTTTCCAGTCGATCGTACAGCGGAGACACAAATGTTGCCTCACGTCCCTCAGTGTGATTGATCCATACTGGCGTCTCAACTGGCTCATGAGGGGTTAACTGTGGGACAGTTGTCGACATCCCTTTTTTAGAGGAACTCGGAGTGTAGTTCCAAACCCCTCCCACCGAGCTTCTTTGCTCAAAGACATCAATTTGATCAAAATACTTCTCGGCAAGTAGGTATCTGAGTCAGTCAGCATGCCGTGTTGGGGGCGAGTATGTAACAACCCCGCTTACTTGACTGCAGCAAGGCCAGATGGCCCTGCGCCGATGACAGCTACTCGACGAATAGGATTCGTCATTGTCATACTTTCAACGAATTCGGGAGCTCGAGACATCAGGAGCTGTAACTGGTAAAGTATGTAGTTGAAAATGCGAGTTGGGCTGCGAGATAGGAGAGAAGGGGCCTCGAAGGATGCCAAGCGCTTCCACCATAGTGGAGCTTTATGGCACACAGCTGGAGTCTCGAACAATAGAACTCAGAGGTCTTGAAGAATATACAATATGGAGATATTTCGGACTGATACATTCAAAAGTACCTATAACAGATGTAGGGGGTGTAAAATCGATCTAAAATCGACCAATCAGCAAGTTTGATTGGACATGGATGAAGGAGGTAGTATTGGTTTTCACAATACGTCAATTACGCCAGTGTTCTCGCGTTATTACCGTGGCATTACCAGACAGAGCTGGAGCTTGTCACGTCTTTGTTGCACCGAATATTCCTCTACGTTTTCTTTCAGCCCCTGGGTCTTATTTACTCGCATTTTTCTACCTTTTTATCTTATCTCATCCCATGATTCCAGTTTGCCATGTGGACGATTTGATAGAACAACAGTCGGGCGTGGGAAAACCGGCGCAATGATTGCGATCGAATCTCCCCAAAAGTCACCCGCGCCGAATGCGGTGGCGCATTTGACCAGAGTTCCGATAGCCCAGCTTTCTCCTGATCTTGAGCTATTGACTGAGAGTTCTTTTTTTGCTGCTGTAGCACTGGTATGGCCATACTCATCTTCGACAAAGTCTGTGAGCCTTTTGTTGGCAGAGCCAGATTTCCGCCTGAGGGGCGCCAAAGGACAAATCAAGGTCACATTTCATGGACACCTTGCAGAAAAGGTCGCGGAATCGCATGTCGGAATTGGGGATACTGTCTGTCTGGCCTTGAAAGACACCAAGTTTGTTAGCAATGAAAGCGCCCAGCAGACCCCGGGAAGGTCTGTCGCGTGGGATGCGCACTTTGAGAATGGCGGGTCTCTCGAGGTATGCTGCTCCCGAACTTAACCTATAGCTTACAGAGACTTATTCTCACCCATCTAGATATTCAGAACTTCGCAACCCCCGTTGATGATATCCGTTGAGCCTCAAGTGTCAGCACCGCGTGAAACCGAACTTGCACCGCCCACAACTCCTAGTGGGAAGTCGGTCAATCCCGATCTCAACCTGCCTTCTAGTGCACGCCCCTGGGGGTCGCCAGTATTCCTCAAGTCTCCTCGGACCTCAGTTGGGGGAACAATCCGTTCCGCTTTCGATCCTTTTGTGGAAGAAGATGGATTTGTGCCAGGGAAAGGAAGAAAAAAACCTAGATACAGCTTGCACAGGGAAGATTGGCGTGTTATCAATGAACCAGAAAGTCCACATGAGCAACAAGTGCCGGTGGATTGGGAGCAGGCTTTGAATCAATCGATCGACCAAGAGCTCGAGGAGGCAGACTCGGCGAGTGAGCCCTCAGATGACCCAAAGACGGATGCTGCCCAACCTCCAACTTACACAGAGGATACACCACAAGAGCCACTTTCACTGTTTCCAAAGCCTTCCCTTGAATTGACCGGGAGTATTCTTGAAAGACGTGCCGGCGAGTCAAATGTTTTGGCCCATGAACAAGTTGATAATCGTGGAACACCTTTTCATCTGCCAACGGACACACCGCAGATTCGACCCATCCCTTCTCCGGGGCTTCCAATTCCGTCGCCGCTTATATCTAATCACTCTGGCTCCGCTGGCTATTTCCTACCATGGACCACGCCCACGCAGCCCGAAGATATTCGATCTGTTCCTACGGAAATGGAGACCACAGCATCGTCCGCAGAAACTTTCACCGAGACTCCTGATTCCGACCCCATTGATCCCATTCTAACAGAGACAGCGGAATCAGTCGATCCGGATATTGAAACCATCGAGCAGGAACATATCTTGGATGCCGGTTTCGTCTTCCACGATGATTCGGCATCATCCCCAGGCTCAGAAAGTTTGCCAGAAGAACGGGAAGTTGAGACAATCGATTCCTCCAAAGCTATTGATGGATCAGATGTCGTTGAAGCTCACGTGGTCATCAATCCTACCGGCGGCGAACCTCAAATTATAAATGAGGCACAGCAGGAGCATACTTTTGATCATCTGGATCTATCGCACAGCCAATTACCACCATCTTCAGGCTCGGAAGACGAACCGAATGACTCCACCAATGTGAACGATGAATCAGCTGTCGCTCAACCTGATACCAGTATCGAAAATCCCGCTGATGAAGCTCGAAAGGGTGGTGAGACAGACGACGACCGTCTCATTGATGTCAGTTACCTATGGCGCGATGATTCAGCATCATCTTCGCGCTCGGATGAGGACTCGGATGATGAATCACTCGAATCCTCACAAGCGATCGATGGATCAGGTAATGCTCAAACTGATCCTGGCATCGAAAATGCCAACGACAATGTGGAATCTCCTCAACAACTCGCCATATCTCATGACAAGAAACGTTCCGAGCCAGATAATTACTTAGAGAATTATCCACAAAATACCCCTGCCGTTGATCAGGATGCGATCGATGCCCTCGGAAGAATGATAGCCGTTCGAGAGGAAGAACTTGAAAGAAAGAGAGATATGGACGAGGAGAAACAAAGCGAAGATGACCTCGATGATTCATCAGCTCTAGGGGCTTTCGATCGACCACCCGGTCAAGTGTACATCGAAGAAAAGGACGAAGTGTACTATGCAGAGTCAGTGGAAAATTACGATTCACAAAATGAATATGAGGAGGCCGAGGACGATGATCTGCATAGTGATCCTCGATTTGAATTTAAATTAGACGAAGATGACTCCAGCGTCGATGAATCCAGCAGTGAAAGGTCTGAGCAGGAACACCAGCATCTACCTTCGCAGACAGGAAAACATGAAATAATCGTGCTGGACAGTGACAGTGATGATGAGCCTACTTCCAATCATCCGGTAACCGAAACTGCGCAGTCAGCTGAACTCGATGATGGCTCAAATCACTTTGAATCTGGGCAACCAGTTGTCCCTCCAGTTACAGCAAATTTTGCGACAGATGCACAAGAATATCCAGAGTTATGGTATGTCGATGGAGAGGCTGGCTATCATGGAGCCGTGGAAGAAGATTCTGAAGTTGACGAGGGCGAGGAGAGCGAAGAAAGTGAAGAGCGCGAAGACGATCAACAAGATAACCGAGTTCACGAGAGTGACATGGATGATGATGAGTCGACCCAAGACCACTATGCAATGGACAACCCCGAAAAGGACGAAGACGAAGAAATGGATGATGCAGAGCTTATCGAAGGGGCCGCCAGCGACGAATCCCATGCTACGATCAAGCTTGGCGCACAGCTAAAAATGCCAATTGATCATGACCCTGATCAGGAGCAATCAGGCAATGCTGATCCAAATTTGCTTGATATGTCTGAATCTTATCATCAAGACACATCCTCGGAAATGGCATCACCTAATCCTGAGCAGGACGACGATGAAGAAATGGATGATCTCGAGCTCATCGAACAAACTGAAAACAACGAGTCTTATGTTGTCGTCAAACGGGACGCACAGGTAGAAGTGGCGGTTGATCGGGAAGCTGACGAGGAGGAACCAAGCAATATTGATCCCCATTTGCTTGATATACCTCAGTCTCATCATCGAGACCCATCCTCGGAAATGGAAAGCCATGCCCGGCAGTCTATCGGTGGGGACGGAGACTCTGCCTTACATGTCTCTTCGTCTCCAAGAAATGTTGTGGCCGATTATCGGTTAACGCGTGAGCCAACTGTAGAAGGACCTGAGCCCCTTGGAGGTCGCGTCTCACGGTCGGTTAAACCTCCGTTCGAGCGACAACTCCTGACTCCAGACCCCACCCAGGAAAATGCATCCACACGTGAACTCGGTTATGATATTGAACCTGAAATTTCATTCACGGTCGAAGAAAATGAACCTACTAGTCTGGATGGAACGTCGCAGCCTGCTGGCTTCCCGGAGTCCGAGCAGAACGGTGATATCGACACAGGACTCAATCAAAACATCCAACAGGAGATACACGTTGATCGCCATGATGATGCTGTGGCTTCATCGAAACTCGCTGGCGCCCCGGAACCCCCAGCAACCCCCGAAGCCGGCAGCTCTGTGGAGGTTGTTATCAGCACCGAATGCCCTAGGACACCGGTAGCTCCCATTGCAGAACCCCCAGTTCCCGACCGTAATGCTTCTGGACTACGTAGCAAACTTTCCTACTTCGCCCCGCTTGCTACACTCATCGATCATTACGATGCTTTGGTCGATACCATCTCAATCGTCCACGAGGCTTCGCCGATAACCCGAGCCAAATCTGGTTCGAAAGACTGGTTCGTGACTATTCAACTTACCGATCCCTCCATGGCTGGCACAACTCTTCGTGCTCAGATTTTCCGTCGCTACAAGGCCTCAATGCCGTCATTGGTTGAAGGTACCGCTATTCTCTTACGTGACTTCAAGGTTCGGAGCCTCGATCACACTGTGATGCTTGTCAGTATGGATTCCAGCGCATGGGCTGTATTCGACGGATCTGGTCCCGATGCCGAGACGAATGGACCCCCTGTCGAATATGGCTCGCAAGAACGTGCCTACGCGTCTGGATTACGTCGATGGTATAAGGAAGTTGGCTCGGATAGGGTCGCAGATCGTATGCTCCAGGAAGCTATCGCGAGGGACAGCCAGGAGCGCGATGTGACACCAATCAGTCAAGTTCCAAGCGAGTCGGGGAGCCCAGATTCTAGGCGAGGATCCCTGCGTAAGCGCAAAAGCAATCGCAGAGTCACTATCCATGAGCTCCGCGATGGCACTCGTTATACCGAAGTCGGGTCTCCAAACAGTGGCAGCAGCAGTGTTCACGAGTTACGAGATGGCACGTTGTATGCCAATATTTGAAATGGTTGTCTTGATATCTTGATACTTGACGTGACATCTATGTCACAGTTCACATGTACCTACGGAGTAAAACAAAATAATTCACATGAAGAAACTATTATTTCTGTGCATTCAGGCGATTACCTACGCGTAGGTGACTAGCTGTATACTGATGGAGGGTGTGATGAAGCACCCCCAATGTATTCCGTGGGATCTGTCAAATGGCTACTGAGCTTTTCAAGCTCAGCCAATGACTTTATTCAATACTTTCCACAAGTACTCCCAGTTTGATGTGGGCACGGACCTACACATGGAGCTCAACAATTGGTCATGTTGATATCCAATTGGGTGCAAGTAAGGCACAACCCTCTACGCGATCTCAGGTGGGCTACGGAGAGATGGGGGTCGAGGGGTGGGGAGAGGAAGGAAGAAGAGAAGAGGAAGAAAGGTGGGAGGAGCCCTTTTATATGGTCACCTCCCACGTACCTTCCTAAAATGGACGGCCCTTTGCTCTTGCCGTTTCGACATATACTTCAGAACATGTGACCATGAATAGTACATTGTCTATCCTGCTATTTGACGGTGTGTCCATCGTGTGTCACATCTATCTACACATACATTCCGCCATGTGCCCATCTATCCCTCCGTTTCAATCATCTCGTCCACTTATCCATCAGTGCATATACTTAATTCAAACACCAGTGGATCTATCACATACAAAACTACCCTGACAGAACCATTTTACCCTCACTCTGGTATAATATCGCCCTCTCAGTCTCTGACACTTGGTCACTTTGTAACTTCTCGTCCCGGTCATTTTTGTACACAGATAAGAGTGGCATCACACCATTCTTCCATGAAGGAACCATAGCTTTGCGAGTCTTCCAAATGGTCCCTAGTAATGTTACAAGGCCCAATAGCCACACCAGCACCGGAAGAACGATCCACTGCCAATGGATGGAAACATATGTCGTGCTGATCATTGCCTGACCAGTCGTATTTGCAAAGGTTGAAGAATAAGGCGTATCCCGAATAGTCTTGGACATTGCTTCGGCGACATTATCCATAGCACAGTGCATCTGCTTGGCAGTTCCACCCGCGCAACCGGTTATGTTCGAGAGTGTGAGAAGTTGGATCAAATCCGCACTTGCGTATTGATATTGAACGGTATTGGGAATAAAGGCGAAACCGTAAGGGTCGAGGTGTGCTCGACCGGCGAAGAAATCTTGGAAGAAATATCGTATCGCTGTAAGCGTCCGCTTGTATATCAGGAAGTCTCTGTCTTTCTCGACGCCCATCTCTTGTCCCCAGGGGGAATGCATGTGATAGTTACTACCCAGATAAAAGCTTTCGAAAGACCCGTTCTTTGATATACCCAGGGTTTCTTCCTGATAGACGCCTCGCCTGACTGTGGGGCGAAAGCTGTGCACAACAGGATCAATGGCACATTCAATTGCTTGCCACTGAGGCTGTATTTTGGAATCGAGTGTCCATAGCTCTTCGACCGGTAACAGGTTATCTGGAGCCACAAGTTGGATAGGTGGTATGATGCTCTTTGTATAGACCAAAGGTTTCACCGATCCTATGGCGACTGGCGCACCCCATAGTGTACCCGGTTCCTGAACATACGCAGAAACATTACCATTGTTATCCTTAAGATAAACAGAGCAAATTTTCGTTGATGAGCTCAATCTCTGCCCCTCGAGGATATTGTCACATTTGGTTTTCAGTCGGTCTGTGATGTTCGTGCAACTCGCCCTCATTTCCAGTGTAGCAATCGGATCCCAGGTGCAGTTTCCTGAGCTACAGGTGTACCGTGGGATATTCCATGGCTTTGAAGAGTCACTATTGAATAGCGAATTGTAGATATTAGCTTTCATTGCCGGATCAAGATAGTACGCCGCTATACACGTATATTAGCTACGTTCAGATCAACAGAGTCCCACTCATCCTCTTACAAACACTCAATGGAGGCCCTAAAGCGTCATACACAGAGTTGCTTGATACGATTGCAGTCCCCGTGGGATCAACAATGAGCTTCGGGTAGTAATGGATCAAATTTTGGACAAAAGGGTCAAAGGCGATCGCGAGGAGGACAGCTAGACTACCAAGGACTGCAAAATGCCTATTTTCATGAGCTTCCAGTCCAGCTGCAACGATTAGAATATACATTCATACCTGGCTCGCTGTCTCCAAAGCAGGCTTGCACAACCCCACAATCCGCGGCTGGCCCCATCGAAGATACTCAGATCCACCAAGGGTCGACTTTGTCGTGTGAACCACACCCACTTTAGTTGCCCTATTCCCTCGCTGATAGAGAATAAAACACATCCTTTTGAGATGGTGCTCAGCCAGGAAATTACCGAGTTCAGCGAGAACGTCCAACTCGGTTGGGGATGATCATCATACTGCGTCAAGATCACAACGATCGCGACCAGAAGTGCCGAAGATAAGGCCATGGCCAGTATCTCCCAGATAAACAAGTCCGAGATAATACTCCATACTGTTGGTTTTGCTTTGTTCACTTTGGGATCCGCGGGTACGAGAGGTTCGTTGGCTGGTTCGGGGTGAGGCTCAACGAGGGTACTGGGCGGTTGTGCGGTCGTGTCCGCCTCCCGCGTATTTTGACCAGCATCTCCATGGGGTGCTGCTGATTCTTGGTCTGGGTTCATTTCAAATTGAGGGACCGCTATGAACAGATTAAAAAAATTAGAAAGTGATTAGTCTTGGTATGGCCCATATATGTTGACACACGCTAAACTAATCCTTAAAGAGCAGACTAAGCCAGCTGTCATTTCCCCTTAGCATACAACATACGTGAGGCCATATGGGGCTATGCTTGCTAGAAAAGGTAAAAAGATGTTTGCTCCATGCAGGATGCGGTTGTCTGTTTTTGGAACAGTGAAATACGGCAAAACGTAGATATCATTGAACTTCCAATTGTGCAGGAAAGACCCAGACGGAATTCTCACTGTTGTATCGAACCCCTTGCCAAGGAGACGTGGCGGTGTAGCCAAGACCTAAATCAGCCTCATCCCGTTGGGAGTCTACCTCTACGTGGTCCTGCCGACCATATCTTGTTGATATGAGTTTTCGCATTCGGAGACATTCTACCGTTCACTTGGGAACTCTGTGATTTCGTGATTTCATATCTCGTATGCAGCCACATAAATGATCATGTAGTGACCATCACCCAAACGCCGGAGATTGGAGACCTTGGCGTGGTCTGAACCCGTTGCCCTAGGTCAACAGTTACAATATCGCCGTATCTAATTGGCCATGTGCGAGGCGGTGCTGAAGCCCATAATTGAGAGGTACCTAGGTGTTCCCAGGGTATAGCTTTGTCCACTGGGATTGGTCGGCAGACTTTGGCGCCTGTGGGCAAAGGGTAGAATTTGGGCTGGAGGTGCAAAGTGCTGTCGTTGTACGGAGTACAGCGACCGGCATCGCCTTCCATGTTGGGAACGGAGAGGTCAGGTTTCAACCCCTAATCACATGACACGCTTAACAATATGTAGATAGCGCGCGAATAAGCTGTTTTGTACCTGACCAGGCAATAATTACCAGGAGGTACCAGTATGCAAGACCCAAGAGTCTATAATAAGTCGACTGGACTCGATGATTCGATGCAAACCCAGCAACCATCGAGGTCTTCGAGCAGGTCATCTGTCAACAATTTCGCCCTGCATCCTGCAGCTGCATTGCTGCATAGTGCCCGATACTGTTTGTGACTTAGTCCGGGTTACAATTTGATAGGCAAGGCATGACCGTAAGCTTATTCAAAATCTTCACCACTCCTTATCATTATGACATGGCTTTGGATCTCATCGGACATCCGAGTGGCTAACCTGCTTAAATTCTGTCTGTGCCTAGGTATATCTATGATATGGCCAGCGTCTTGCTTAGCTGATGTGTGCTGTGGGACCATATATGAGTCCTATAATCCCTATAAGATGTTACAAGCCGGTTCGTCAAGAACAAAAAGAGTGTTATTCATTCAGACTGCTAAATACAAAGAGAGAACAGAAGGAAGAAACGGTAGGAAGAGAGGTCCTCTGTGGGATCCCACCAATGCAAATCTCGCTCCCTCGCTTCAAGTATTGCAAACTTTCAAACCCGGAAGTCGTTCCCAAGAAACAATCGTTCTTGAACAGGCAGAAAAGAAAACGGAAAAGCAAATCGTCACACACTGAGCTTACTAAATCAGGTGAAATTGTCCTGATTAGGAACAGCAGAGAAAATGACTGTGATGTTGAATGTATACAGTATGAGGCTCCTAGGTGAGCCTGCGGAGGGGCCCCGTGGCCTTCCTATTGGGTCCTCAGCTCAGGCAGATCCAATAGCTTTAAGCGATCCTCGCTTATAATCCTCTTTGTTGTTACTCGATCGGGATAGTTTCTCATAAACATGTTTGTGAAGTGGGTTCCGTAATGGATCTTCTCATCTGAAGGCTGGCCATTGTAAAGCTTTCCAATTGGGGAGATCGTAGCTTGGAAGCTAGGCTCATGAAAGTAGGCGAAGGCGAAGCACTCGCGGGTATTAAGACCGACTTTGTGGGGAGTTGATGGTAGGTACGAGTTGGTAATAAACTGCATCATATCCCCTAGAGTATTTTAAGTAACAATTTCCAAGTATTTCAACGAGGAATAGACAAACCTGGGAATACCCCGAAGACTCCGGGGACAGGTGGCACATAGACCCATCCTTCATCATCTTCACGGAAGCCAGCAGCGCTCTTCTTCCAATTTTCTGGCTTCTCATCGGTCGTAGGGGGCCGAACAAATAGGCCTGAAATAATAAGCGAATATCTTCAATGATATAACGAGGATCTTACCTCCAACTTCGTCTTGGGCTGCAATAACTAATAGGCCGTAGTCCGTATGAGACCCAATACCGCGGCCCTCTTTTCCCCTTCCGTTGGTATTATACATTTCAGGGAGCCTATAATAATAAAAGTGACAACGTTAGTTTCAAGGTAGCTCAAAGTCATTCTTATTAAAATCAATCAGCCTACCTTAGGGCACGGAGATGGTGCCATCCATCCTTAGTTAAAGAAGTTAGAGTCGAAGGATCCAGACCAAGTCCATATTCGATCAGCTGAAGTAGCGTTTCTCCGCTGTCACCCAAGGAGTCTATATAAGATTGTATAGGGGTCTTCATATCAATATCTGGCCAAGGGCAAGGACCATGGCAAGGCCACTTAGCTTGCACTCGAGGCTCATCTAGGGGTAGATCCTTAGTGACTGTGAATATCTCTGAATAATCCGCAATCCCATCTGTAATCTCCTCCCCAGAAGCAATATAGCCGGCGTAGCTCTGGGTGTCCACACAAGCAGCTTTTTCGCTAGAAGGCTTCGCAAAGAATCGTTTACTGGCGGTAAACGCCTTATCACAGAGATCTTGCTGTTTTGGATTCATTGAAATCTGGAGGATACCATCTTCGCGCCACGCGTTAATCATATCCTTGCCCATTTGAACATCTGTAGGAGACCCTGTAACATTCTCGGGCAAAGTGAATGTCTTGAACTGTCCAACACGGGCCGCATGATTCGGTGGCATTGTGCTACCTAATTCGCTCGGTGCTGTAGTAGTACTCAGGCCATCTTTCTGCTCTTGAGAATATAGTCTTAGGTGGGCATGACCATTATAGTTGTCATGGATAACTGGTGAGACACTCTGATGGGAGAGCATTTTGTCCTTTTCCGGAATATTTCAATTAGCCTAAGCATTTTGTCGATATTCTATCAACTTACTGAACAGGTGGATGAGAGAAAGAAAACGGTGTGTTACTTCTCAACATTCAACGAAATAGCTCTTTATTTATATCTCGCTAATGATCAACGATGAGGGATAGTGACGTCTTTACAACGATCTTAGACTCGGATGGATGGGAATCACGTCAGACCCTTTTACTTGCAAGGACTTTTTACATAAATCTATCTCCTCTAAGGCGGTTGCATGGTCTCCTCTGGACTAGCTACAGGGGAGCCTTCTTGTCAATTGGACTTCAATGGCTATCAAAAATAGTATGATGGCCTCATTATGTCAAAGGTTGCTCATGTATCACGGAATGAAAGGCGTTGGTTATGCTATATGTAATGGTAGGGTATGTGTGCTTTTCCAAAATGGAATCACTTGCATCGCTCTACTTCTTATAGGATATCAATATTGCTGATCTAAGGTTGTGATACCCCGGCCCTTGTTCATCAGTGACTAATTACTGACTTGGAAAAGCATTATGAAACATGAAGAATATTTTCACGCTTCGTACCTTATATCACATACAATGGCGATATAAAGATCAAATGAGTGATCAAGGCTACGGGGGCATATGTAGGCTTCTTAGTTCAGCCCTCCGCCTCCTTCACGTATCATCATGTATTAGTTTCTTCATTTTGCAGATTCGATAGTAGCCACTGCTTCTTGTAATCATTTTGAAGGCTGGGTATTTCTTTGACCTTCGTTTTTAATAGATTTACACTTAGTAGGCTATACTGCAGTGGTGGTCACAAGACTGCCAATTTGGGATCAAGTTGCATGTCCAGGTGATGATGATGATTATGATGATGTACTCATTAACCTGATCTAACTCACTTTACATGCTGCCATACGGGGAGAGCCTCTCAGATGCTGCGCTTCTACAAAAAGGAGCATTCCCTTTTGCCGATGAATATCGGCGTCTGCGTCATGCTAGTGTAGAAATTTTACAACTGGAAAATGGCCTCTGTGGCATGTTTACGTAAATTGAAGTTTGGCCATCAATAGTGGTCTTACGAATATCGGCCCAATGCTCATATAGCAACTTCACAGCGTCGAGATGGCGATGTCTTAATTGCAAAGAGCATACATATGACCGGCGGATGCCCGAAGAGAAGGCCCAAGCTCTTATAGTTCATCGTCAGCATAGATGGCATTGCAGTTGATCCTGAGAAACTCGAAGTGATTCAGTCATTGAGGGTTCCCACAATCGTGAAAGGAGTACAGTCATTCCTTGGATCCTGCAATTTCTATCGTCGATTCATCCAGAGATATAGTACCATTTCGAACCCCCTACACTGATTTATCAGAAAGTATTTTTTATTCGAATGATTGACCGGTTGTGAAGTAGCGGCTCTACTTCTTAAGGAAGACCTCATGAGGCACCAGTCCTTCGACATTCCGACCTAGTTCGGCGTACTAGGGCTATAATCCACGCCTCCAACGGAGTCCTGGAGGCAATATCATTCCGGTAGTATGAGCAAGAAGACTTCTGGCACTCAGTGTCTTGAACTTTACTCAAAGACAGTGCAACCCGCAGAATTGAACTACGAAGTGCGTGGTAAAGGGCTTTGACCTATCATTCGCGCTGTCCAAAAACAGAGAGCCTAATTCGATGGCCTGACATGAAAGAATCGATTTGAAATTCTCACTGATCACCAGTCTGTTCAACACTTAATGACGATCCGCCCGATGGATCAGCGTCAAGCAAGATGGAGCGAATTCCTTTCTCAGTTCCGATCATGATCAAATACCGCTCCGAAAGGAGAAATGTCATCGCAGATGTCCTATATCGGAAAGAATGCTCTCATACGTGACAATTCGAGTTTGTTTGTGCTTATGTTGGTTTCAGGGTACTTCCACTTTTGGGAACAACTTGCAGATTGGGAAATTCGGTTGCATCGTTTACATTGGTGGGATCCCAGGGCATCTGATCCCACCAATTCTGTCTTTTCTTCTCTTCCCTGTCATTAGTATTCTGAATTGATAGAAACCAGGCTGTATGGCAATGGTACTATAGATTCAATGATACGCAACTCTCTGATTAACAATCATGAAGAAAAACACAAACTCAAATGTACGACATAATAATCAAATTTAGCACTTTTGTGTAGGACTTTTCGCTTATCAGGTCCGGCGAAATTCAGGGTCATTGAGTGGTGGTGTAATAGAATCAATGGCTTCATGTATGACTACTTTCGGATTTGTACGAAAAGGTACTTCAAGATTGTCATGGTAATTCCATAGGTCATATGATAGCTGTGCAATGAACATAGAGATTCTGACCTCATTGATTGGACCCTTCCGTTTCACGACACCGATCAAATCGTCAAATTTCCCTAAACATGGGGTTTGATCCCTGATGCCTAGCGCTCCGCAAAGCCCATTCAGAGTGTTTAACTAGGAACTTGTAATCAGTGTATTCTGACCCTTCTACATATTATAAAGACTTTAAATGTAGTTTTCACAATTTCAATCACTATATAACTATAACATCTAGAAGATCCGACAAGTGGAAGTTGAGAAATATTAATATACTTATATTCCGAGATCAGATATATTTCAATATATTTTACAATATCGAAATTATAATAAAATACTACCCAAAGATAAAGGTAGAATACGGGGACTATATATGTATAGAGTATCTAAAAAAGTCACGTTTTCTAAATTGCTTGCATTGTTTGGTGCTTTTTGGGCTTTATTGGGGCCCACTGAAGCCCACCGGGCTTTCACCCACCGGTGGGCCTGAGGACCGGGCCCAAAACCCAGTCCACTAGTGGGTTGGGGCGGGTTGGGCTTTGGGTTTGTGGGCTTTACATACTTAGGTAGGTATCAGTGATACCTATACGTCTTCGTACTCATTCCTTCTGTTGGGAGAGACTACCCTAAGAAACCCAAGTTCTAAATATCGCGGTCATATTTCTTGTTGAGATCCGCCAGGATACTTGCATCATGAGGGTGGTAAGTCTAGTAAGAATATATCTAAAAGGTCTCGCTAACATTAGTAGCACCATGGACGGGGACCGCGGCGTTACTACGAGCCCGAGGGTCGTGAATTGGACATCCACGTACTTGAAACACTGCCTACACTCGGCTGGAAGAATAAGGATTGTGTGACCGTGGATTTGTGCCGGACTTCCTTGGTTCTATGAGGAAGTTTGATCCCACTTTATGCCAGCCTCATTTGAAGAAAGTTATAGACGACGAGTATTTTCCTAGAGCTATGTCTCTAAGGTAAATCGCCGGTCTAGAGATGATCACCTTGGACAACTACACGCCGCAGGGGGTGAGCAATATCCTAGATGGTATTCGTAAAATACATCGAGCACTAGCGCGGCATAGAGTTCGTAAACAACTCAATATGATGATCGTTAAGGATGGCCCAGATAGAGTTGTTTGGCTGGATTTTGACCGAGCCCGGACATACGACAAAGATCAAATCATCGCGGAAAAAAACAACCTCATCAAGAAGGAAGCAATTATTATGGAACTCAAGGATGCCACAGTGAGTGCGCCAATTATATACACATGGTGGACTCTGTTCTAATACTCATCAACAGGCCGTTGATGCCGAGAAAGGGAAGTTAGATGAAACATACTTGTTTTACTTTGGCTCATGAGACATCGTATTTTTCCAAATACAATGTGAGAGTGAGAAGGATATAACTGTGGCAACTGGAGATGATCATATGGAATAGAGAGCACGAGACTTGCGCGTGTCTAGGAGACTTCAAATAGTCACCACGGGTATAGGCTGTTTTCCGGTAGATAGTGAAGGTCTAAATTCATCGATGTATATTTGATGGCCTAGCACTTTAATCAATAGAAGTATGATTTTACATCTTAGACTGCTTTTCTGCCGCAAAATATTCCGCGCTCACAGCAGCCTTGATCAACTGGTTGGCAATTGCCGTAGGAGGAGGCAATCGCAGCCCCCCCTTGTATTCCGGGCCAGCCTGGGCGCTCAAGTCACTGGTGCCAATGCGCAACGCCTCCTCTACCTCATCAATTTCAAACCACCGCGCATCCTCTAACTCAGGATCGTGCTGTAAAGAGATAGTCTCGTGCGCGGGGTCACTGACCTGAGCAATAGCGCCAATCATCAAATTGGCCGGATACGGCCAAGGCTGCGAGGAGTGAATAACAACGCGGGACAATGTGACACCTGATTCCTCCCACACTTCTCTCCGAACAGCATCCTCAATTGACTCGGCTGGCTCAATAAATCCAGCCAAGGTAGAATACCACCCTGGCGGGAACCGTTTGGAGCGACCGAGCAGGATGCGCTTGCCGTCGGCAGAGACCACTGCCACGATGATAGTCGGATCGGTGCGGGGGAAGCAAAGGTTTGACAGCGTAGTACGAGTATTACATTCTGGACGCTCTTCCGTCTTGCCCTCAGTTGCCCGTGCAACATCTGTCGGTGGACAGGCACGCTTAGTTCCTGCATTCACCGCCAAAGTACGGTGGCCGCATGTACCACAGAAGATATTGCGAGTGTTCCAGTCCATCAACGCACGTGCCTGTGCATAGATAGCAGCTATCCCAAATTCATTAGTTTCCTTTTTATCGATCTATGCATTGATATCGCATTTACATACCTTCATCGGCGGAGAAGGACATGACAACTCGTGTTTGGAAGAAAGACAACCCCTTCTCCTCCATGGCACTGATCACACCTTTCGCTGCAACCTGCTGCTCTTCGGAGCCCCTGGGGGTCACATCGACTGCGAAATACGGCGTTCCAGAGTATATCTTCCATGCCAACCCTCCTTCCTTGCGACTCTCGTCCAGTCCGAGGAATATAAGGGTTGGGTGTGTCTTGCGCGAATCATAGCTCTTAATCATGTCTTCCTCGGATGTATCAAAGATATCCTGGGGCACAAGCTTGCGCACGTCATCATACTTGGCATAGTGTAGCTGTGCCGGGGACGGAGTCAAAGGCGCTAGGTTGTTCAACAAAACAAACCGGGCCGAAGGGTGCTTCAGGGCCGTAGACAGGAACGGATGATCAGAGCGCAAGAACGATAGACGGTTGATTGGGGAGCCTGCAGATTTTTTTAGTCATACTACTTCCCGTATAATAAAGTCCAAAACGTCCTTACTGGAGAAGTAATTGACCGTCTCTTTGCCAAAGTGTCGGGACAACATGGATTCCGCAAGCATATGAGCTGGGTTGGGGATCTGAGGGGTTGCGCTCATTCTGTAAGGGGTAGGTTGCCAAGAATAGATGTGTAATAGGGCAGGTATATTAACAAAAGGAAGTTCTCTCAAAGATGAGTCTATTTCTATACAGATTATGTATTAGGAAGAACATGGAATCTAGGACAGATCGGAGAAATTGCATTAATCAGCGGCCCACGGCCCACCTCGGCATAATTGTGCAAACAGATTACACGTTTTGGGTCGGAATTAAGCCGACAATACTGATGTGAGAGTATATTACAGTAACGTACGGTCACACTGTTACCAGCGAAGCGGGGGAACCTGAGCTCCCCACACACGTGACCACATTCTTTTGACTCTTATCGCCGACGAGCCTCTGTGCGAAGCACAAGATACGGACCTCTCAGTCATATTCGGCACCATGGGGCACCTTGTCACTCTAGCAACATGGTAAGTCTGAACTATCTACTATTTGGACACCAGAAATCCCCGCGCTAACTCGTTCTAGCTCTTTGAACCAGTGGGCTCTCGACTTTGAGGGCAACGCGGAACGCATCATTGAGAGTATTAGGCAAGCTAAGGCTGCTGGTGCCACTTTGCGCGTTGGACCGGAGCTTGAGATTACCGGCTATGGAGTTTTGGATGGTTTCCTTGAGGGCGACACTTTCTTGCACTCATGGGAAATGCTCGCCCGCATTATCGACCACCCGGATTGCCAGGATATTGTCGTTGACGTGGGATTGCCAGTTCGCCATCGCAATGTGCGTTACAACTGTCGGTGAGTATTTCCGGTGGAACCGGTATCGCATTATCTGACATGGGCTCTGAAGTGTGATCTTCTACAACCGCAAGATCGTCCTGATTAGGCCGAAAATGTGGCTTGCCAATGGTTCGTTCAATTGCTCTCTTTACCTCTAAAAATATTTGCTGATATGTGGGTTTATCCTAGATGGCAACTATCGCGAGCACCGACACTTCACGCCATGGCAGCGTCCACAGGAAGTGGAAGACTACTATTTGGAATCAATTGTTGGAAAGATTACCGGCCAGTACAAGGTCCCATTCGGTGACGCCGTAATCAGCACAAGGGATACATGTCTGGGTCTTGAGACATGCGAGGAGCTGTTCACCCCTAATGGGTATGTGATGAGCCCTCTACGTGGCTTTGGATGCTAACAATCGATTTCAGTCCTCACGTTCCATATGGCCTAGCTGGTAAGTTTCAAATTTTCAGATGATTGCAATTATTGTCTAATTCAAATTAGGCGTTGAAATCATTTCCAATTCTTCGGGCAGCCATCATGAACTGAAGAAGCTCGACACTCGGGTCAATTTGATCACCCAAGCTACCAAATTAGTGAGTGAAAACACCGCGACAATAGTATAGCACCTTTCTTACACCTTCCAGAGCGGCGGAATCTATCTTTATGCCAATCAGCAAGGCTGTGACGGCGATCGCCTGTACTATGACGGATGTGCTATGATTGTCGTCAACGGTGACATCGTGGCTCAAGGTTCACAGTTCTCTCTGAATGACGTGGAAGTCGTCACTGCAACAGTCGACATTGAAGAAGTCCGCACCTACCGATGTAGCGCAAGCCGTGGAATGCAAGCGAGCAAGCAGTCTCCCTATGTCCGCCTAGATCTTGACATCAGGCTTTCCCGGCGAGATGAAGATGCAGAGCCTAGCCTCGCGACCGCTCAGCCCATCAAGCCGCGGTATCATGCCCCAGAGGAGGAGATTGCTCTTGGACCTGCCTGCTGGCTATGGGATTACCTCCGGAGATGTGGAGCCGCTGGCTTCTTCCTTCCTCTGAGCGGTGGTATTGACAGCTGTGCCACGGCAACCATTGTGCACTCCATGTGTCGTGAAGTGCTCAAAGCAGTGGGAGAAGGGAACGAGCAGGTAATCAAGGATGTCCGCCGGTTGTGTGCGAAGCCAGCAGATTCGGACTGGCTTCCCACCACTCCCCAGGAGATTTGCAAGTAAGTCTTATAAGTGTTGCGCCATTTTGGCCAAACTCCTCTGTCGTCATCGTTGGGATCAAATATTAAGCAACCTTTCTAGGTCTATCTTCCATACCAGCTATATGGGCACACAAAACTCAGGTCGGGAGACACGAGACAGAGCGACTCGACTGGCCAATGATATTGGATCTTACCACATTGACTTCAATTTTGATACTGTGGTTACCTCCATCATGAATTTGTTTACTGTTATCACTAACTTCCAACCTCGTTTCAAAATGCACGGTGGCACTCCTGCGGAGAATGTCGCACTTCAGAATGTGCAGGCTCGGCTCAGAATGGTTCTCTCCTACCTGTTTGCCTCCTTATTGCCGACTGTGCGTCAACGCCCTGGTGGTGGCGGTTTGCTCGTTCTCGCATCATCTAACGTCGATGGTAAGTCTATCAACATGAACATCTTACCTCGTTGATCATCATCGCTAACTGTTATCACAGAATGGTACGCCACGAATAATACACCAATTTCCTTCCTCGTGACTTACTGACTCGACCGATCTAGTTTGCGAGGCTATCTCACCAAGTACGATGCTAGTTCCGCCGATGTAAGCGTCAATCTCCGCAAATCTAAGCATCACATTCCTTCCAGGCTAACCAAAACAACCAGCTCAACCCAATTGGCTCCGTGAGCAAAGTCGACCTTAAAAAATTCATTTCCTGGTCCGGCCGAAGCTTCGACCTACCGATCCTCGAAGAGTTCATCCACGCAACACCCACCGCTGAGCTGGAACCCATCACGCACGACTACGTCCAATCCGACGAAGTCGACATGGGCGTTACGTACGCGCAACTGGGCGTTTTCGGATACTTGAGAAAGGTCTCCAAGCTAGGCCCGTACTCTATGTACGAGAAGTTGCTCCACCTGTGGGGCAACGAATACAGCCCGCGCGAGATCTACGAGAAGACCCGCCATTTCTTCTACTACTACTCCATCAACAGACACAAGATGACTGTTCTAACGCCTAGCTACCATGCTGAGCAGTACTCACCCGACGACAATCGTCATGATCTGAGACAGTTCCTTTGTATGTTTTCTCGTGCTCTAGCTTGTGGATTGCATGCTAATCTTGGTTGTATAGACCCACCGTTTACTTGGGCGTACAAGAAAATGGAAGATAACGTTAAGTACTGGGAATCTAAGGGATGGACTACTGGCAAGGGAGGGAAAAAGAGTGTCAAGGCTGATTAGACATAGATTGTCTATGTTCTGAAATCTTCAAGATGTTTTGTGTACCTGTTTTAGGTCATGCTTAATATTCATGTCTTCATCGCAATCAAGATTGGATAATTTTGAAATATGAGCTATTTCCCACACAGGCTACAAGATATCAAACTAGTTGAGACCTTTCCATGATGATTAGGAAAGGCAAGGCGCTAGTGTCGACACAGCTAGGCGCGAAAGTGAAGCAAAATTGTAAAGATACTGAAAGGACACCTGGGATATAAGAGGCCGACTATATAAAAAGCATAAGAACTTGCCTACACCGCGGAGGTTGAACTATGGTTCTTGGCTTCAGCTGCAGTGGGGCTCTAACCTTGGAATGACGCCAGCGGCTCAACACAATTGTAGTGTAGACTTACTATGTTTGCTAAACAGATTTGTTGACTTCATGAGTCGAAATCCAGTAGGGTGTATGAAGCATTATAGATCTAGATGAATAGGGGACATGAATAACGCCACGTTGAAAAAAACAAGGCGAAAAATACAAATACATTGGGGATCACGTGGCGTTGAGTGGGGCTCCCCAACATGTATTCAACTCTGCATGCAACTGCATCTCTTCACTTTTCCAACCTATCAAGGTAGTATTGCTATTCTCTGACATAATCATCATGGGCAACGAAGACAACAAGCGCAAGGATTTTCCAACCCAGAAGGACTGGGCTGATGATGAGAGCAACCCGTTCGTCGCCTTCCGGCGCTACGCCGATGAGCAGGTCTCCACCATGCTTCAATCTATCACTGGCCTTCCTTCAATGCTGACACAGCCTCACAACGGCCACTGGGATATATTTGTGGATAATAACGGCTACGACAGTCGCTTGGCTCGTCAAAGAACCGGTGATAATACAAACAACGGCTATCCAGACCGCGATACTGGAAGTGGTTATTCGGGCAATCGAGATGGAGATGATCCACGCAATGGAAACCGCTCACGACCGCGCTGGCCCGAGAACGATGATTCGTCGCACTCTCAATCCCAAGGGAAGTGGGGTAATGGAACATCCGACTTTTTTGGCCTCGATTCCTTCTTCGAACGATCATGGCTTGAGGACAGCTTCTTCCCCTTTGCATCACAACTCTTGCACTCCGGTCACAACCTTCTAGTCCGAGATATGTTCGAGGACACTGACTCGCCAGCCTGGCCAATGGGGTATATCATGTTTAGCCCGTACTCGCCTCTTCATCTAGAACGTCAAGCACATTACCAAGCACATCGTGAAAAGGGCGTTTTCTCATCCATCATGTCATCTTTACATCTCAATTCCGACCGCGACCCTTCCGAACCACAGTGGAGAGAAGCATTCGAGGATTTACTTCGACTCGAGAACGATAAGCCGATGCTCGATCGCAATGGCTCCCTTACGAGATCCGAGACCGGAAAGGAGTGGATACAGGGACTTATCAAAAGAGGCAGCCTGGGGGATAAGTGGAAGTATGTGAATGGCAGAGAGGGCCAACCTTGGTCGGGTATCATTTTCTCCGGTGCAGGTCCAGAGCAGAACCAGTCTCGGTCTTGGTCTCTACCCGAGAAAGAGGAAGAATCTGCAGATACGGAAGCTGAGAGCGAGCTGGATTTGTATGAGCGCTTCCTGCATGATATCGAAACTCGCGAACGTGAATTTTTCCGCGGTGCCTCCGAAAGCCCTCTTCTGCGTCTCCTCCTCGAGGAGCGACGACAGCAACAAGAAGAACTTGAGAAATACAGACGCAGTGCCCCAAAGGTCGATGCGCATAGCCGCGACGATAATGAGAATTGGATCGATCTTGTGTCTGGTGGAAACAAAAAATCAGTTCCTGAAACAACCAAGGACTTGCCGACCAAGATCGAGTCCAAGCCAACTGAAGCTGTCTCGGAAACGCAATCTCGCGTTGTCTCCACTATGACTCGTACGGAGCGCGTGCGGCTTCCTGATGGCTCGGTTGAGAGCAAGACGGTCAATACGAAGCGTTTCGCAGATGGCCGAGAGGAAAGTGACGAATCTGTTGAGCTTTTTCATCCTCACGAGGGTTACAAGCCTGAGTCCGATACGTCGAAGAATGGCTGGTTCTGGAAAGACTAGGATTTTGGACAATATCTACGACGAACGATCTCCTCCGGCTATGACCTTTAATATGACACCTCTTATGTCTGACTCCAGCTTATTTGCTATTCATGATTTGCATTCAACTGTTTTCTGGATGCCGGTCATCTTTCTGTAATTTACTTCCTAGTTTCGAGCCACCTGGTTATTTGTACATTCAATTATTGCATCTCACCCTGCACTGTCAAAATTGAATCCTAACTATTCAATGTCCAACTCATAACAAGAGCTATTACTATCCAATCTATTTTTGGCTGTCTTTTTAGATACCTAGTCAGGTGTGATTTCGGTATAGATATTTCTTCCCTCCAACGGTGTAGAAGAAAAGGAATTAGGGCCAAAATATAGAGCATAGGCGGCAAAATATTGACTTGGTATTAAGTGATAACATTCTGGGAGATTCTGCAACCAAGATACAACAAGCATCCCAAAAATAGCATGTTTCCATCTCACAAATGCGCCTGTTGAGGCTCCCATGCTTCATCAAATCCAGTAGAACGGACCCACATTGGCCTATCCCCCTCCTCTACAGTAGAGTCCACAGCTGTCAAACAGTTAGCACAGTGAGAAATTTGCAATATTAGGTCTCGCTGCTCACCTATGTTCCCAATCCTTAGCCACATATCCCCCTTGATCGGCACCTCAGGATGTTTGCTCTCGTATGCCTGACAGACATGCTGACCATGCGCCAAAGCCCGTGCAAGCTTAGCTAGATGTCCATCATCACCGGGATGAGCGATGCTTCGTGCGAAAATCTGAGACCAGTCTTCGTTCATGGGATAATTGGCCACCTCATCCAACAGAAGGTCAGGCGTTCCTCGAGAAATATACATCAAAAGATCAATGCGTCCCTTCCATTCCAGCATGCGCAGTTTGGATTTTTGATCCAAGAATGGGAGGATTAGAATCTTGGAAAAGAAGATAGAGGAATTGACACAATGGATGAAGAAGAAATCAAGCCTCATCTCTCTGGTTGGACGCTGCGCAGCGCTGGTGTAGTAGGCTGGGATAGATTTAGTAATAGTCCCACGCTCCATCACTCACACAATAGTGCTAAGCACATGGACTTCCAAGACTAGACTTACCGACTGTATTGATCATATCTGCCAACCGCTCCTCGACCTGGTCTTCAGAGACAGTGTATTGCGAAGCATACTTCAACATCTGCTCTGGTGCTCTGTGGAGCACACCGTCCTTGATCTTGTTAGAGTCAGACCACTTAACACTCTCAATCAGAGCCTTATCCGCCCGCATCTCATTTAAAAGCTGGAGCAACGACTTCTGTCCAGGCTTTCCGATACCACCGGCCAGTTTCTCGGCGGGTAGGAAGAATGCACGACCAAGCCAGTCATCGTGCACAGCTGCCTGTGCAAGACCTTGAGCTACAATGGCAGGCTGGTTGAATTCTATACCGAAACCGAGGTGGATGAGCGGGTGAACGAGGCCTGGATAGATTAGCCCGAGGAACATTTAATGTCCATGTTACTTATGTTATATGAAGACACTTACCGCCAAATAACCGACACATCATACTCTCCGCTCGCTCATCTCCGGCGAAGACATATATGTTCAGAACCTCCGCAACGCCCTTTGCGTCAATCTCATGCTGGAAGAAAGCTAGGTAGTTAGGGTAATGCTCTTCCTTCCCGAAATACTCCTGGAATTGAGCGACGTCATGCATGGATTGGATGACATCTTGGCTTGTTGGAAGAGCGGGTCTCTGGTATGACTTGTTCCGCTCATAGCAAGCCTTGATATCCTCAGGTGCTGCACCAAGGGCATAGATACTCAGGAGCTGGTGAGGTATGTGATCTATGTTCGCATTAGAGATAATTGTCGTGAGGAATGTCTGAAAATCACATACTATGGAACCTCTGCTCGTTGAAGAAGACATGGTGAGAGGTCATGTCTTCCTGCAGGATCTCGCTCACGGTGCGCGCAGTGTCTCCCCTCACATTTGAGCTGTAGATGCCCAAGTCTGTCACCGGTGACAGATTAATCTTAGTAGCGGTGGCCATTTTGGATGGAGTGTTGCGGAATAGTTTCCCGGGGCTGGAACTATATGAGCTGTATTGTGCGGCTAGTTGCGGAAGGGTTAGAGCAAAAGTCGTCGAAGCAGCAGAGCAGGCTGTTTGAATTGATAAATGTAGACTGGGATAGTGGCGAGCACTATTCAGCAAGAGAAGCTGGGGCTGTATAGTAGGCTTGATGCGGAATAGATGTTGGTGAGACTGAAGAATGCGGAGAAGCATGTCCTTTATATAGCTCACCTCCTTATAATAGACCGTACAACTCTCGATACATGTAGACAGCTAGGAATTCAATTCGAACCCAGGAGCCTATCAGAGTATACGATTATTCAGAAACAAAAGGCGGAGAAGTCGAGCTCGGGTCTCGGGGCTTTCTGACCAACGTCATGAGTGGCCGTCGTTTTCCAGACCGGTCTTGCTGACTTAATTTTTGCTGATTTTCGGATTTGATTAGAAAGGTCTTGGATCTAGCCATGAATGCTCTATAACACAAATAGTGTCATGTATTTTTTATTTTTTATTCTCTTTTGAACAGGTGATAATTCGGGGGTATCTGTCATTCTGGGGTGCCACGAGAAACGTCAACTACGCGCCCGAGAATATCAAGAAATTCAAGAAATTCAAGAAATTCCAAAAGAAACCAGCAAGGTATTCTTCTACGCCTCGTTCTCCCTCTCCTTCTTGCGACGTTGTCGGTCTCGTTCCATCTTCTTGAACAACGGGTGATGGCCCTTATCCTTGAGCTGCTTGTTCCTGCTCTTGTTGTACTCGATATAAGCCATATCCTCACCACCAGCCAGGCCACTGAGAGTAGTAGCACTGCGTTTAGCACCGCCTTTCTTGGCTGCCACTCGTTTGCCGGAGCGCATCGAAAAGAGATCGTCATTGACCTGCTCAACGTCGGCGGATGACTCATTCTGCAGCATGACTTCTTGCAGAAGCTCACGGCGTTCCGCTGGCGTCGAGTACGAGAGTCCTTCGTAATTATCTATGCCTTGGAGATGGGTGATGACCTTGAAAGCATAGCCCTGGTCGATCAGGAATGCCTGGCGTTTGGCTGAGTAGACCATCTCATTAGTGTCCTTGGACACGAGCGAGTAGAAGAAGGCATTGAAGCCCTCGTCATTTCGACGCTTGGCTCGTAGAATTCGTCCCAGGCGTTGGGCCTCCTGACGACGTGAGCCGTAGTGAGACGAGATTTGAATCAGACAAGTGGCCTCGGGGAGATCGAGTGAGGTGTCACCAATCTTGGACAAGAAGATGGTGTTGACCTGCTCATTGTGTTGGAAATTCTCCAGGATACGCATACGTTCATTTTGGGGAGTTCCACCGTAAATGTAAGCTTTGTTCAGCTTGAGCGCGTATCGCTCGAGGGCATAGACATTATCAGAGAACACGATGATTTTATCGCCGCGCTTCTCGTGGAAATCGATCAGGAACTGACACGCCTGGAATTTGCGAGGGTTCATGATGTATAGCAGGGCTTGTTTCCGGGAGCTCTCCCGCAGATACTCAGAATAGAATTCGGTTGTCATCGGGCACCACACCTCAGCACATTGAACCTTGGCGATGTGGCCCTGTGCAGCCAGTTCCATCCAGTTCGCTTCGTAGAGTTTCGGTCCGATCAAAAAGTTCAAATCCTTGATCTTGTCATCCTCACGAAGTAGTGTTGCTGTCAGACCAAGCTTGCTCTGTGCGGCGATTGCAGATGTGACCTTTCGGAACATGGATGCCGGCACGACGTGCACCTCGTCAAGAATCATCATACCCCATTCTCTCGATTGAAGCCAGTCCATCATCTTCTGGGCATCATAAGACCGGGCACGGGTCTGTGACACCATTGAGTATGTCGACACGATGATACCAGTCGATCGCTTGAATTTTTCTTTATGGTCCGAGGTGAAGATGGCGATATCACCCGGGTCGATAGTTGTCCACCGCAAGAACTCGTTTCGCCACTGAACCACGGACATGGAACTGGTGCAGAGGACAATGGTGCCTTTCTTGATGGTCGCCGCGGCAGTGATACCCACAAGAGTCTTACCGGCGCCGCAAGGAAGTACAATGATACCACTTTTGGCTCGTCCGTTACCGAACATTTTACTTAAACTCTTCTCCTGGTAGGACCGAATCCGCGCCGCGGGTTTCAAATCCATATCCAGATTTGGATTGACAGTATCTCCCTGGAAGTCGTACTCTTCCAAGGCGGGACACCCGATCGATTGGCAGCGGGCCTTGACCACTTCGACACCAGCAGCGGGAATTTCGAAACTGTACGTGATTGCCTCTTCAGTCTCATCCTCGCCAATGTCGTCAATGCCATAATTCACGGCTCCTCCTTCTTCAGTCTCATCCCGAGCTTTGGCAGCAGCAGCTTCCTGTTGAGTGGTCTCTCGAACGCCAGCTGCATCTTTCGTTCCAGGAATGACAAGACCGCCCATTTTCGGAGCAGCCCGTTCGATAATTCCTTCGGTACTATCCATTCTCTGGGGGCCGATCACTTCATCTTTCAGCAACCGTTGAAGCATTTCTGGATCTGTCGTTTCCACATAGTATCGATTATGCCTCAATACCATCTTGATTTTTCCGTACGACTTTGTGAACTCGATGATGAACGTCCGAATGCTTTCCGGCAGCGGGGTTTTCGACAGACGGTCCAAGAACTCAACAATATCCTGTGGTTTTAACCCAACCGAAACCGCCGCATATAAACTGTGTCCGGTCAAGCGATATTCGTGGAGATGGGTCGGACGGGAAAGCGGCTCCGCGATGGTGGTCAGGAAATCTTGGGCCTGGGGTGCCAGCGGGGAGAAACTCTCGAGGGTGATTGTGCCTTTCACAGGCTCGATCCATAACGGCCGGTTGTAGTGGTCGCGCTTCAGCGGGAGCGAAGAAAGATCTTTGTATCCAAATCGGGGGTCCGTCTTGTCCACCTGATTCTTCTTGCCAAATGCCTCGAGAGAGAACTTATTGACGACCGCTTTAGGCTCCAATTTTAGTCTCTATATTCACTTGAGGTGAGCAGACTGCCACACTATACCTTTCAAGCTGGATTCCTCTGGTAACTCTTCCTGGTCCGAGTATTCATCGCTGCTGGAAATATCGATGTCGGGGACTGGTGTAGCCCGTTTTGAAGCACCGCTAGACCGACCGGCTGGATGTAATCAGTCACCTGTCGTTTGGATGTATGCACTGAGACTTACTGTCGGCCGCTTTGCGTTTAGGAGGCATGTTTAGACTGATTCAGAGCCAAACGAATTTTTGTGTCGAGGAAACGGTATCTCAGTGAGTGAGCGTCCAGTGAGACGGAGCAACGCCCCGTTGAAGGTATCTCACTCCAGCATGGAACCAAGATGCTGCGCCGGACAAACAGATAGCGAAAAAGATCGATAATTTATTGCGGAGCGACGAGATTTAGTTCCAGTGCGATAGGAAAGAGACTTTCAGATGGAGTGGGATGTCACCCAGAGCGACGATATGTATGTGACGGAGAAAATGACTTGGGAAGAAGTCGTGAAAGTCCAAAGGCTATGCGCCGGTTGATAATTCTTGGCCTGAGGCACCAACAAAAGTCGGTCCGTGCGTAGCCGCTCAACTGACGTAGAGCATCCTTTTCTGTTACTTCACCCGACCAACTACCAAATTATACATTATGAATACGGTAATTTCCTCTATTCAATGCTTTTTGAATCATGCTAATCATAGTGCCTTTTAGATCCGATCTACCTGGTGAGCAATGATAGCTCTATCTGAATGAGCATATAAACGAACATAATTACTGATGACTCTCACTTGAGTAGGGTTGGCTGGGGCACCCTTTGCCTTGGTATGTATCCTATCAATTGCTGGCAATGGGCCAGTCACAGATCCAGCAAATCACATGTAAATAATTGACTAACAAAATTCCTACAGCTGGCGGCGGAGCATACTATTTCGCGAAGAAATCCATCAATGCCGACCGACAGGCCCGATTCGAAGCCGAAGTCAAGCGCAAGGCTCAAATGAAGCGTATGGAGGATGAGCACAAGCGCCAAGTGCATTTGCCGCCCAAGGGAACCCCGGGCAACACTAGCTTGGAGCAAGTAAGCTTCCAGAACGTCGAAGACGACGCCGCCTCGCCTAGTCTCGAAGCCTCCCATGATCCGGCGCCCACTCGGCACGAACCCTTGACCGAGGCCGAGCGTGTGTTGGAGAAAGGGAAGTACGAAACGGCACAGCCCTACCGGCCTCCGAGTGGCAACCGGTTTAGCTGAACGGTTGGCCGCGTTGTATATTTCGACACGGGATGCCCGGCTACCCCGTACGCAAACTGAAAAATAGAGGATTTCAAACAAAGTGGATCATATGGAGGCGGGGAACTCCTCGGACTCGATCTATGTATTTTTGTACTACGTTTAATTCGTTTGGTGGTAGCATCTCACTCGAGATGGGACTCGATTTAATAATGGATCAGTTTGCGCAGAGATGACTGTCTCATGATCTTTGTCTTTTCATAGCGACGACCCAGATCTCGTCATCTCCATTCTCATAAGTAAAAAATGTATTGTAAAAGCACCGTCCCATAGTGCTAGCCAAAAGAGAACCCAAACGCCGAATTCCAAGCTCCTCATAATGCATCATATCGCGACCTGAGTGTCCTGTATCGGCGCCTGCACCGACCTTCCCCGTCCAGATTCCAAGTCGTCCATAGCTTGGCGACTAGCGCGCATGGAAGCAAAGTGGGGGGTTCCTTTATGTTGAGTCAGTTTCTCCACACGAGCTTGGATTGCGAAAGCATAACACGGTACATTTTCTGCAGACTTACTTGGCGCTCGTCGATATGCCTGAGCTCCGCTGTCGCGAGCTTTCCAGGGCAGGTGGAACAAATGGGAGTACCACACCACATACAATACAACCCATGGCGACGGCACGGGCAGCGCGAGAGTCAGGACGAGGACGGTGAGCGGAGAAGTGACGGATGGAGGGACGAGCGATTTGAGATGCGATGGAAGCCATAGTGTAGAATAAGTAGAATAAGCTGGAGAGATTTATGTTCGGGAGTTTGATTGAAGCTGAAATCGAGAAAATAAAAGGGAGAATTTTATATACAGTCAGGCCATGCAATTGCGCAAGTGATCCGGGCGGGGCATATGGCCTGATCCTCGATGAGAGGGCTCATCCGTGATCAGGCGCAGGATCGGCACTTCACGCATTTCTCATAGTGCAGCGGCCTAACGCCATTGCGGGGTCTCAAGATGTGGGATCTTAGCGTAGAGAGCTTGGGCTTCATACCGGGAACTCGCTTCCGAATCTTTACTCTTTCGAATCATATGTCAGATATCTCCATGATAGCCTGGTCTGTGACTGGAGGTATAAACTTGATCAACCGGGATATACCTGACTTAAGTCTGGACATGTCTGAACATATCCCGGTGTACAATCTTACTCAACATTATCATTCTGTTCTCCGTAGGACTATTTATATTTACTGTTGTATATCAAGCCACTGAATGTCATGGCACGGAGTATGCTTTTCCCGCTTTTTTTCTGCCGCCTGCTTACCAAGACTGGAATGGGGAAATGGATCTTCATATCTAAGATATCTGATAAGGATATGGATATGAGCAGAGTACTCATTAATACAATACTTACCGAGCCCTGTATGATATCACAAGGCCGCATGAGTGGCCGTCGTCCGTCTACTGTTGTATACATACGAAGTACTCCAGAGGCTCCGTATGTTCAGACATGGAGTTTGTTAGTCTACAACATATACGGCCGGCAGAACGTTTGGATGTACAGTCACTACGCAAAAGTGCGTACACCCCTAGAGATCCACCTGTCACACCGCTCGGATTTTCGGCTCTACCGCCTACTAAACCCGCACCAACTTATGCCATAAGGCGTTCGATGGAAATTTTGGGTCATTCACTACCCAGTAGGGTAAATTCTGTCATGATAATTAGATTACAATAGGAATCTGGCGAATCTCGCGTGGATAATTTGTCCGGTAGAATATTACATAATCATATGTGTGGGACTCAAGGGTGTTAAGACTTAGTTATGCGTACTCTTGAGGATGACTGTTGTAGGTAGGTACTGTAGTGGTGAAAAGTGATAAAAGGTAAAAGGGCGGTGACAGAGGTGCCCAGTAACCTGAGAGTCTGTAGGCGGCCACGGTCAGGCTTACTGATAGTATCACGTGCGATAAAAGCTTCGATAAGAAGCCTTGACAACCTTACGGTTGATTGGAACATATGTTGGACTATCTCCTTGTTTCTCCTCGAGGTACCACTAACCATGGCGACGCCTCTTAGTGTAGTTATTGCCAAGGCTGCGTTTGCAGCTTGTCTTCTGCGTCCGGATCCTTCTTCGGTTCCTCACGATGAGATAAGCGACTTTCACACCTGCCTCGAGCGCGCTCTGTCGCATTGCTCCCCAGCCAACATTCAGGTCTGAGCCTAAGTCATTCCTGTCACCTCTCACGTCCTCTCTGCTAAACAGCTTCCCCAAACAGTCTTGCAAAGTGTGGTTACTTCGCTTCGTTGCCTTTTCATCTAATAGGGTAAAGGGCCTGGTCAAATACCTGGAAGCTCTCGCAGCATCCTTGCACCCACAGCCCACTGGATCGAAAGTCTCATCGAAGCGTCAACGTCTTCGTATCCTTTATTTGCTCAGTGATCTGTTGCACCACTGCAAATACCACCTTGGCACCACTTCCACCTTCTCCACCGTGAGCGGGTCCCTGCAGCTGCATCTTGTCAACTTGGTCGGCTACGCAGCGGCCTGTGATCGCCAAAGGAATCCACGGCACCATCGACGACTAGATGATCTGCTAGATATTTGGTCGAAGAACGAATACTTTCATCCCGATTTGGTCAACAAGCTTCGAGAAGTTGTGGCCATGGGGGGCCCTCCGCCTTCCAGTGATGCGGGCAACGAATTTGACCTAGCAAAAAAGCCTGACAAGGAGGCACCATGGATTATGCCCTCCCTACATGGAGATCCATCGCAGCCTTGGCACGAACTTCCTGCGGGCTGCATGTTGCCTCATATCATTCCCAATTGCAATATTCCCATCAAGCCTGAACTCATGAAACCGATAAAACTCCTAGGAGGTCCCGCCGATCAAGAGTCCATCGACCACCTCAAGGCCTTTCTGGCTGACGTGAACAAGCTCTTCGATCCGGAGGCTCCCTTGGTTGATGAAAATACAGACCTCGACGAGCTGGGCCAGACAGTCATCCGGGATAAGAAAACCGGCGAGATTATCGATGGCCGCAACTACTACGGATGGTCCTTTGACTTCTGTCGGAGAATGGATCCAGACAACGAGGACTCGGGCGACCGAAGCCGCAGCCGCAGCCGCAGTGGATCAAGAACCTATCATAAGCGCCGACGCTACAGTGGTAGCTCTAGCCATCAGTCCGAGTCCGAATCCCCAAGGTCATACCGACAAGGTTTCCGTCGCCGCGATGACGCGCGATCAAGAAGTCGTTCTCCACGCCATTCACGCAGTCGTGAAAGCTCTTACGCACCTCGTGAACCCACCTCACACTTCCCGCCTCCTCATCAACCTCAACATTCCTCCGCACCCATCAACTCTTTCCCCTCCACCCACAACCCCACTGGACAGTACGACCATCATACCATGGGCCCTAACACTGGCTATTCCCAAACACCAGCACCCAACTATGGATCTTGGCCTCCGCCTCCCCCTAACCCGCATATGTCGACAATGCCGTTCCCTCCACCTGGACCCGCATCCTCATCATCAGCCTTCCCTCCTCCTTACCATCACCCTCCCATGTCGCAGGGACAGAACCAGAGCCAGGGATACGGAGTGCCCCCGGGTCAGTATCACTTCCCTCTTCCTTATTCTGGCGGTCAGCAGGGTGGACCATGGGGACCTCCTCCTCCTCCTTCTCAGGGCGGGCGAGGTTGGTAATCAATTTGCACAAGAAACGATGTAAGAGTTACGCTGGAAATGAGAACGATTCAATTTGAAGCGTTGGAGAAGGCTTTTGCCCTTCCAATGCTGCGGCTTGTACGATTACAGCCCCGCCGCCGCAGCGGGATATTCATGTTCATTTAAAACAAATATGAAAGAGTACATGTACGTGTAAGTGTTGTTCCCTCTTGAATAATTTCCTGTAATATCCACCGTGCACATCGGCGGTTAGGTCAGAAGTAAGTCCAAGGATCCAAGCCAGATATGTCAAGGAGGGAGTCTGGGGAATAATATATGTCCCGTTCATGTTTGGACCTTTCGTTTAGAGACAATAACACCAGCTATTACCGGCCAACATCTAGTAAGCATCAAAATGCATCTTGTTGACCAACCAACGAAGCAATCTAAACGAAGAGACAACCGCCTATAGAAGTGTGATATTTTACGGTAACCCCCACGAATCAACGAGCACAGGTTGAATTATCCATCTGCTCGATTGCCAGTATACAACCATATGCCACAGACTTCTAGATTCGCCAGGTCGTTTGACATTAAATAAGAGCATGCATGAACAATCAGCCGGGTCTCTAATACACCCTTCATTTGGTACCAACTATCCGACAACCCTCGCGACAACCAACCCGGCCTAGCTCCAGCCATTCGTCTCGGTCTCCTACATCCCTTCGATCTACTTTCTCGCATCTATATCCCTTTGGCTCACTCCAATCCAAGTCTCACAACTATCCGCCGCGTGACAAGTCATCCCGCACTATTTACTCACCTTACACCTTTTATACTGGCATATACAACGCTCCAAGAGCAGCACGGAATCAGCCACAATTCAACTCACCACTTATCTCACGGATCTTGTATCTCTACTGTCAGTCACCACCACCATCCCAATGGTGAGCGAGAAACCACATCTTGCACCCTCCACACTCTGGTTTCTCATCTTGTCCTCGAGCCCTGGGACTAATCAGTGTCTCCCTCAGCTTCACCTAGTCTCACCTAGCCCCTACGAGGCTTATGCGTGACTAATTCATTCAGACAACATCTGCTGCATGGACATGCTGCAGCCGGACAAAGATGTCATTAACCCGCGAAGCGGGTTAGTGCCCATTATCGGTGGGCTGTAGCTTGGCTCAGCCACATCTTTACAGTGTATCTTTCTCCCTTTCTATATTTCTGAGAAAGAACATGTATCTCTCTGCCCTTTCTTTCCAGGTACCAGCTTCCACATGTGTAAGTCCTTCGGGCAAGTTCATGAGGAATCCTATGGGAATGGAAGAAACAAGAACACAGGATTGACCTCCAATACGCATATACACAGTGCTCGTATTCTAAGAAGCCCTTCGAGTCTCGACGGGCCCATGTCATTTTCTTCTGTCTTCCTCCCTTCGGCGATCTCGGCTGGTCTATCGTCGGATTTCGGGATCCAGGGATTCCACCCCTCTGGAAAGGCAAGCTATGGCATTGATTCGCTGCGCGGCTGAATCGTGTGGAATGCGCAAACTCGGGAATTGTGCCTACTGGTCTTTTCTAAGTTAGGCTCTGGTATGTGCGATTCGATCTTGACGTTGTCTGTTGTTTATTGTATGTATGTCCTCGAATGGAATTTGTACATATTTTGGCTTGTTTGGATGAAACATAAAGCTGGGTGAATCGGAATCTCGAGATTTATGCAAGGGATCCGATGGACGCAGCTTTTCACAAGATGCCATGATCGAGACTAGACCATTCTTGAAGATGGACGCCATCAACTAGCAATCTACTAGAGAGTCTGATCTATCAACCACATCCCAAAACATTAGGTTTTCCACTTATATTAAAGGTGTTATTTGAAACAAATAGAAGAAATTTCTTCTAATTGACACGACTGGCCATATGTCACGTCCAGCTACGAACATGGAAATAAGTTCCCATGATTCTACGACTGCAAAATGATCTTGAATGCAACCAATATCCATGGGTGCACTGTTCCTTCCGTGAAGATCATGTATACCTAATAGAGAGAAAAGACCCACTGTATCATGGATTTCTTCCTCTGACGCTGGCTAGGACTGTTTTTCAATATCCCGAATTTGCCATGCTTCCCAGTCTCAATATATACAATACACAGTACTCCGTATATCATTCACATATGTCGTTGGCTAATCTTTGATAAAATTAAAAGCATTCAACATATCGGTAAGGCCAAAACAGACACGGCGAACAAAATAAATAGAATACAATAAAGAATAAAGAATGCAAAGTAGTTGCTGTATATTGTCAAGAGGCTGCCTACCTCAAGGGTCTTTTTCAAGCCACAATGGTTGCGTTGACGTCAACTTGTCTTAGATTATTGGCCTTGTTTCAGCCACCCAAGCTCAATATTATATACATAGACCAAGCCCGTATAAAACTCCATTTGAATAATAGTATGCTGGCCTATCCTACGGCCTTTATCCAACCACAAAATAAGAAATAGAACGAACATGCATAAATAGCAAGAAAAGTTGCTCCAACTTGATTTCGCATAATGGTACAGGTCATGAATAGCCAACATGGGCTAGGTGGTATCGTAACAGGGTATTGTTCTCCCGAGGGACAGGCCAGTATCCTCGACTCGGAGAGATAGTCCGTCACATATCCATGGATAGCCAACAGACATAATAGAAGACAAAAAGAAATCGCTCGCAAAAAAAGTACAAGACATATAGAATACAGGTCAGTATTCCTTCACGGAAGGAACATTGAGCAGAAGGGATGATCCCTGGCCCAGGGAAATGAACTATCGTTCGTAGACTGCCCTTCATTCCAAGGAGTAACTCCAAAATTGTCATACATGACAAGAGGAAGTCACAAGAGATATTCAATACCTCTTTGATGGAACACACCGAGACAATGTCATCTAGCCCCGAAATCCAGCGAATCAAGTTGGACAACAGATAAAGGACATGCCCTGAAAATACTATGCAAAGGCAGGAAGTGGGTGAAAAGAGGTTGTGGGCAGAGAAATCAAAATCCAAAACAAATTCAAAAAAATCGCTAAAGCAGGCGCGCTATCCTGCATGAATGTCAGAGAACTCCGTGATAAGCATTGACGGAGTATAAGCGGTTGTTGGTTGATGTTATCAGAGGGCCATGCTCGTCAATGCCCAGTATCGTTATGATGCTAGCTGGTAGAGAATGGGACCGCTAAAAATAAATTAATAATCTCGTAGGTTAAGCTATCGAGGTGAAAGCGAGTGCATACCTTGACTTTTGACATAGAGCACAGCTCTAATATCCAGAATTGGCTGCAGTTATGTCCCGACCACTCATCTTGGTCTCGCCAGCATTGACAGATGTCGAAGATCCATTGGCCTGTCGGGAGACACCACCGCTGGAGGTCATGCTCAAGCGACTCTGTCCGCTGCTTTCACTCCCGCGACGAGAACCATCAGTGTCAACGAAGGAAGACATCTGGCGTTGGGTGTATTGTAGCATGGACCGGTTGTAGTCCTCCAGTGAAGCACGAGAGGGATCTAGCGACTGGTAAGGTTCGATATGGGTCTCGCTGGCCATGTTGTCCACCCTCCCAGAGTTAGAGAACATGGAGTTGATGTTATCAGATGCGTGTTGCATTTGGACGGCCTGAGTCATGGTGGAAAATGTCTGATGGTAAAATCGTCAGCTTGATACGGAAGTAAGCGTCAGCGCCACAAGCGTTGAATAATAGAATAATGATGGTTGGTTATGAGCGACGGTACAGGGATGAGGCTGATGTTTGGGACGATCATCGGTAGGTGGATGTTGGGTTGTGGGTGCGTGGAGAGTCCAGATGGTATCAGTATCCCAGTCATTTTAACATTGCTTACCTGTGGTGAGAATATTCAAGATCAAACCAGTTTGACCGGTTGTGTTGGATAAGAATGGTACTGAGGGTCGCGGGTATGCAAGATAATGTGGGAGTCAGATGGTATGTATGTTGTATGTCTGGGCCAAGGATACAAAATGATAAGGGGAAAGTGCTATGGGGTAGATTCAGGAGTTAGGGTATATACAAAGAACATTTGGATCCAATTTGCGAGGACGGTTATATATTAGACGCTGATGACTCCACAAGGGAGTATGAAATCACATCTGTGGAAGGTCAAGGATGGCAAATGCATCCAAGCTTGCCATCTCTGATAGGTCAATGACCCCAAGTTCTCCTTCGAGCGCCATAGTAAATACAGAATATCTCCACCGATTACACCGAGCGGAGCACGGTGACATAATTGGCCGAAAGGGGCTTCGAGGAGGGGGTAGGGATATATTCTCCTAGGCGAGAAACTAGGAAGTATCCATAAAACCCAGCCATCATAGTATTTGGAAATGATCATAGTCCAACCTATTGAGTATGCCCTAGAGCATGGTGTGGAGTGCAACCATCGTCAGAGAACGTTATGAACAAACTAATATCCACATGCGCACGGAGACTGGTGAACTCTGAAAGCGATATCATCAGGGTTCCACTCGTGGATGGGTCACAGTGTTCCGATGAGGTCACTGGGGAATGTGAACCATTCAGAGCCGAAGGCGTTTTGAGATCGGCACAACCACCATTCGGTCCCCTGCAGATCTTTGCCTGACGTCTACAAAACGAATCATAATTGAAGTCTCATAGGTTTTTGAGGGGCGAGGCCTATCTCGCATTCTGCACTACGGGATGGGGTCTCCTTAGGAAAGAAAATGTGGACATCTTTGTGGATACCGTGAAGCACGCTGTCATTCCGCGGATCGTGGTAGAGTACGGAGTAGAGGAGATCTGGATATATTGGTTCAAACCGGACCAATAGTCAGCTCAACATGCATCTACAATCAATGTATTCTGTAATTCGTGTGACTCAGAAGTAGTGAATGCGTCAGCAATAACAAGGTGCCGTAGGTGAGGCTCAGATCGAAGGTATGCCGTCATACCCCTAGGCATCGGGGCGACCCGAGCAATCGATTTGCTATGCGTCGGCCATCGACCACATTGTCCCCGAGCATCGCCGCTCATGGAAATGATAAACGATATCAGAGTTACCCGAGACTTTGATTATCAAAAGGGGAACGTCTGCGGAGGGTGAGCTTGTGAGGTGGAAACGACCTACAGCATACATCGTATCAGCGACATGCGAGACTTGCAGCCACAGTGGAGACACACTTTGGGAAAAGGTTTAATGAATTCTTAGACCATTTTTATTCGCTGCGGGAAAAGACAGTACAGACTTACAATGGAAACATGTGGAGTTGAACTAGTGTTTTCCAAGCTTGAGGATTTTCATTTGATGCCTGAGGCAGAATAGCACCTGACGTCAGTGAGCCCTCATCGTCAATGCATACTATACCACGGTGATTTTATCTTGACCAATGTTATTCTACATTGTAGATATTCAACCCAGCTGGGCTATTTTAGATGAACATCAGCCAAGGTACTACAATGAGGAGATCCCATGGTCCTTGGAATTTCCGATGCTCGCGACCAAACTGCGTTCCAATGTGGAAATCGATCTAGTTCACTATCTTTCTATAGGAAAAGAGATTCACCTGAATCGTTGTTACGGTGCATAGAGCTAGTGGCAGTGGTGCGCATCCAAGGATAAAGGTGGGGGGAACTTATGTATTTGCCATCGATGAAACTTGGATGGAAGTTGACATCCGCGGGGGAGGCAAATAATTGTTCAAGGTCAGCGTAACATTACAGATATCAGAGCCATGATACTATGAATTTGCACACTAGTTGTACATTCTGCTCAACATAAGAGGTCACACTATCCAGTACTACGAGTCTCCGACCTTAAAGCGACATGTTAGTGAAAACCGGAGCTTGTATCCAGCATATAGGATCTTTGCTATGGTGAATACTTCCTGGTATGAGAGACACATCAACGTCAGATGGCTTCGCAGTAAAGCAAATATTATCATTTAGAGTCATGATCGGCCGTCTCACTTTTTAGACAAACCCTTATGCAAGGATAAACCAGTCTCATTTAGCTGGCATCGGTCTAGACCGGAGTCAGTAACCTATTGTAGTGGGATCAATATACCACGGATATCAATATACAACACACAGTACAGGATTGAAGAGACACCGTTCACAAATCGGGCAGAGGGATTATAGTACTGAAATGATATCAGACCTAAGCTCTGTGTGATGTCGTGGGTAGGAGGAAAGAATTGTGGAGTACAACGTGTTGTTTTTTAGCCCCATTTGCAATATAGTCTGATGGGGCTTGAACCATACTCGCGGCGGTCCACATCAAACGTCTGATCCCGGATATGACAGCATACCATAAGGTATATTGTATAGTGCATGTATGTTGTATCAATAGTTGAGTGTGTCAGAAACAAGCAAGATATAGAGGTACCACAGCGTGCGATTCCGGGTCTCTCTCTGCCTTGAAATGTCAACAATGGATTATCAACATTATAGGTGGGCTCCACGGTCAGCTTTTGCGATTATCCCATTCAATCTTGTGCCTGGTCGGAAGTCCTGGACGACGTATGAGCCCACATGGCTTTGGTAAGCCTCAGTCTGTTCCCACCGATTCACATAAAATTTCAGATGCTGTGAGTGTTCGTACTGCATGTCGATCAATTGGGACACTCAGCTACCCGAGGTTGACAATTCGACATTACACCCCAGCCTCTGACGACGATCTGTACGATATACTAGCACAAAGGCATATGTGGTGTACATAGCGGGCACATGAGATGACCGGAAACAATTTAATTGCATGGAGTCGGTTCTTACCGACATTGCCGCACGTCATAGGACCCTACCCCCATGTCTCTGTGCATCTATCGACAGCACCATCTCCACACATTCATTATTGATTGCCTCTCGACTCGCTATGCGCCACTCGTATATTGCGGGCCGGGGTGAGTAGCCAAAAACCTGTTTTTGGATCAGATATCGGGCTCGATAGTATATTGTATATTGTACAACATTGGCGCTTATCTTGACAGCACTCGACACGCTGACATTCGATGCATCTGGACTTGTGTTTACCATCTTTTCTGGCATCATATTGGGGAAAGACAACGTCTAACTGACGTAGGGATGGATAGAACCAGTTCCAATCTCACCAATGCGTGAAATTTCACCTCTTGTTTTTTGCACTCTGGTCTCACAGATACCTTGGAAGTCATTCCACACCCTGGCGGAAGACCTCACTTTCCTTCTCTTGCAAACAGGTTCCTTTCCGTCGTTACAAGCATTGAACACCCGCTTCCCCGGCTGCGCTGTCATCTGGCATGATATGTATTGGTAGAGGCATGAAAACGGGTCCAGCACAACGTCAACACAGTTTTTCATCGGTCTCGACTCAGCAACAGACCGTCTAGGCTCGCCGATGAAAACCTTCCTTCGAACAGAAACCGGTTCTACTCCTTCGACCGTGCAGGACGCAGGACGCAGCATGCAGCAAAGATCACCCTCGCCTCCCCGGCTGCACCATGGCTCAGTGCTCATTGATGGCATTCGGCGACAGGCCATCTAGCATCCTCGGAGACTTCCTTTGACGAAAACCGGTTATATTTCTGCGAGCGTGGAGCGTGGAGCATGAAGCATGGATCATGGGGCGTACAACGTATACCATCGGAAGTCTTGAGCATGCGCTTCCTGGGTGTCTTTTGATCCTGTGGAGGCTGCGAGCATGGAGCATGGAGCATGGAGCTTAGGGCGTACAACATGGACCGTCGGACATCTGAAGCATAAGGCATACAGCTTTAGGCGTACAACGTATACCACTGGGACTCTTGAGCATGCGCTTCCCAGGTGTCGTGTGATCCTGTCGATGTGTCAACCCATCTTGGTGAAATGTAAGTCCGTCCCACAACCTAGTAGAATATTGTAGATTTTAAGATCGATCCTTGTTTTGAGAAACAAATATCAACATCAATTACTTCGCCCCCTGACTTGCTGTACGATCAATGGGCCACCATAGCTCAAGGCCAATTACTATACCGAGTATGGTTCCCTTTTTTTTGGTCAAGGCAGACAAGAACATCGTAGATTTTTCAACAAAAGTAACTAGCCCAACACGCCAGACATGGAAGGTAAAAAAATGCATCATATTATTGTTCATGCTCATGCTCACATCACACGTAACCTGTTTCAGAAGAACGTCAATACAAATCCTCCAAATAGGATAGACAGCAGCGTCAAAATAGCCTAGATATGACCATGATCTGCGCCTATATCCAGCTTTTGAACACAGATAGCAGGTGAACATACCTTTCCGGGCGCCCTGGAAGAAGAAGCGTACAACAAAGACCTGCAATGCAGCCATGGAAACCATCATCAAAGACTCAATCACACTGAAGTTGAAAATCCGACGCTCGGTACTCCGCACGGTACTGAAGTTACGGTTCTCACGTGTGCGGAAGTACTTCTGGTTGCGAGAGACGGTGGAGAGTTGCGCGGACAGCTTGTAGATAGACTCCTCCAGACTACTTGTTTGCTCAGGGCTAGCGCCCTGGCGTGAGGGCAATTGGGCGCGCTGCTCGTTCTCAACCTGTAGGTTCAATTTCTCAATTAGCAATCGTTGACCGCTTCAGTTCATCATTGTGGGAGACGTACCGCAATCTCGAAGTCGACCATCTTCTCGGCGAAGGTGGACATCTCGTTGTTGAAGCAGAAGGTGTACTCGCCCACGCTCTGCGCAGTGAAGACAAAGTCGCCCTGTCGCTCCTTTGTGCCATCTAGGACGACCTTGCCGCCCGGTGCGGTGACAACGTAGTCGACATCGAAGGAACCGCCGGATTGGACCTGCATTGTGCACTATCAGCATTCGGTACCCACCACGTGTATCCATAGCTCCGTGATCAAAGCAAAACACCACGGAATGAAATTGTTATAGCTAGATAATCAATTGGACGTACCGCGAAGTAGAAGGCCACTTTAGCATTGCTCTGATCAACGTTGGTGTAGAAGCATGCTTTCTCGTTCGCCTCAAGTCTATACGTGAGGGCGGTTGCGGTGACAGATGAGACCAAGGAGGCAAGGCCGGCGAAAAGAGCGAACCGCATTGTGAGAAAGATATACCGAGAGGATACCGTTGAGCTGGGGGGTGATATCCACGTCAGGAGATGGCGTTCTGGCCAACTTTGTGTTCCGCTGTTTGATTTGTTTGCATCCGACTAAACAAACTTCCGTATGTACGGAGTATCAACTTCACTACTTCACCAGTCTATTTTATAGAGATCCACTACATATACGAACGTAGACAATCTGCAATCATGATATAGACGGGATTGTCTTCTACTTCGACTGGTTACATGATAAAGTACGCAAAAAAAATAATAAGAGAAAGGCAAGATCATCACATCAGGGTGTCCCTTCCCTGCTCATGTACCGAGTTGCAACATACAGCTCTCTCTCAAGTCGAAAACCCCTAGCGCCATAACCTTAACACTTGTTCAACGGATGGAGAATCCATCACTCTTGCCCCAGAAGCTCCGGCTCTTGTTGGGGTGATCAAGACCCAGGAAGTCATCAGCCCCAGCTGCTACGTCTGACAAGATATCACCTGCGAGGAGTTAGTCAGACCGAGATAAGATTTTCCAATGGGATCAAGAAAGTGTACTCACCATCTTCAAGATACTTGGCATTAGAGAAGGATGTCCGGGGAACCACAGCGAACTTGATCTTCTCGAAGTTTTTGCCCTTGATGTGTGTGCGGGCGGAAAGGCGTTTCTTCGTCTCCGCGAAAAGTTCTCCAGGCTTCACAACAAATTTGAAGGGAATTCCGTGAGTTCGGTTGGGTTCACGATCGAAGCTAAACACGCTAATCAGGCGGTCATCGGTGTCCATAGTCAATTCTTCCGATGGGATCTTTTCGGCATAGAGTGTGGCGTATTCGTTTATGGCAGCCACATTTTGCTCTTCCCGAAGCTCTTTATAGACCTTTCCACTATGTGTTTCCGCGACCCGGATCGGCTCATCGCCCAGTTCCAACTTCTGCCGCAAGGCAGCCAGAAGATCTGCCACGGTGCCGCTGCGGGAAACCAAGATTTCAACGATCTCCTACTTGAGCGTTAGCCAGATTTCAGCGTGATGGGTCGGGGATGCTGAACACGAACCTCTTTGCTGATGCCATCGGTCAGCCATGCGATTTTGAAGCACTTCTTACTCTCATAATCAGTCAAACTCATGTCCAATACCTCGTAGTACAAAGCATCTGCTCGGTGCATGGTGTACCCGTAGGCACCATATTGACCATTAAGGATTTGTGAGAGATTCTGATTGATGTTTCGTTTCAAGAAAGGCTTGGCCTTGCCAGTACTGGCCATCACGGGTGCGAATCGAAGATGAGTCTCATCTACCTTGAGATGTTCCCCAACCTTTTTGGCAAATTGGTCATAGGTCATCTTGCGGCTGAGAGTCAAGTAGAAAGTCTCCCCTTCATTGGTCTTGATCGGGGCGAACTGAACTTCCATGCGGTTCAAAAGGTAATCGTAGAATTGCCGAGCGTCTGTGTAAAGTGCTGAGGGTGGCAGTTCGGACTCCTTGATTGTGCGCTGGAAGGTAATGATGTCGCCGTCCTGAATTTCAGATTGTTGGAACGTTTGCTTGGGTTTCATAACGTCTATCATGGTATGTTTGATCTCTTCGTACAGCATGAACTCTGTACCGGCGGGCCAATCCATCTTGGAAAGGATTGTGGGAGCCAGCTCGCTCACCTTCTGGCTCTTGCGAACGTAGACAGAGCAAACACCAGTCAAGGTCTGGGCTGCAATGTCAAAGTTTTTGAGGAAAATGAGGATCGAGTCACTTTCGGGCCATGGAGTAGGTTGTCCGTCTGCGCCAGTCGGTGCTACCTCCATCCACAAGCGGAAGGATTGGCCTTTAGTGCCGAATTTGTTGTACGCCTCCTCGACGGTCATTTCCTGATCGCGGATCACCTGATCAGGTCGCGTTGTCTTGTTCTGACGGTTGACCATGACCCAGAATCGAATTGCTTCTGGCTTGAGACCTCTTTCTTCGGCAATTTCCTGTGCAAATTCACTGACCTGCTTCGCCCGAAGAATCTTGTATTGCGTGGGAAGGGCCGGATCATCCGCGGGTAGATCATTGCTGGTCAGATCGAAGCCATGGTGGTTTCGGAACGCATCTTCGTTAAGGACGCCGACGTTCATGTAAAGGTGCGCCTCTTCTTTCTCCTTCTTCCGACGCAACATCTCCGCCCGGTCCTCGGACATACGTTTTTCTATTTCAAGATTAGCCAACCATTCAATTCTTGCAAGAGGTATCTCCGGGCATACCAATGTGAGAGGGCACATCGTCCTTTGTGACCGGGAAGAATACATCATCCTGCTTCGTCTTTCGGACGTAAACCAACATGTAGGCATTGTTTGTGCGGATAGCGGATCGTCCTCCAGATACTCCGTTCGTACGCTGCTGGTTGTCTCCGTAGTTCTCATCTAGGACTTCTTTGTCGGTAGCTCGGTTGACTCGGTCATCATCAAAGCGGTACCAGTGTCCATCCTTGGTGGGCTTGATGAAAGCATAGTAATGCCCGGCATCGAGGTTACCACTGTGGACGAGAACACCATGCAATTGGTATACCCAGGATTCCGACTTGTCGGCGCTCTCCGAAAGATAAGGAGCCGCATCGAACTCCATAGGGAATGTGTGATAATCATTGACCTTGGCCATCATGTCCAGGTTAAGGTCATACTCGAACCGTTTGAGGTGAAGATGCAGAACGGGGGGAAGCTCTCGAAAATGACGCCCTTCTTAGCGTCTTGCAGACCATATGGCTGTCCAGCTTCGTACTTGTTCTCCCCCTCCAACGTCTCAACCTGAATGTAATCCCTGAAGCTGTCGTCTAAGGTCTTGTTACCTCGAACGTTGAGTTGAATATCCCAGAAGTCCTCCACGCGAGAAGACTCGTAATCGACATTGATGCAAGAAATATACGTTTTTGTTTTTCCGACGAACAGATCGGGCAGGACTTTTTCTGCAACGGTGCCCTTCATCTTGTGTTCCAATCGTTCCATGAGCTTTCGTGAGAGCTCCTGTACATCTTGCTGTTCAAAGATTTGGCTGGATTGCCAGCCAAAAGATGCGGTGAGCTCGGTTGTACCAACAGCAGTATCACTGGTCTGCAGATTGTAAAATAATCTCTGGAGGGCCCACGCGCTGTTCTCACGCGTAGCTTCCTGTTCAGTCGGTATTTGGTATACGGCCTAAGAATTTTTCGTTAGTCTCAAGATGTTTGGGGAGCAATTGGAGTTTGTTCTTCTTTTGCGTACCTTGCGGAAAGCGTTTGTGAAATAGAGCGACTGCAAAAGTGAGTTCAAGTAGCATGTAGCTCCCTGGTTCCTCAATCCTACCATTCCAGTCTCCTTCTTCGAGTCGTAACTAAAAAGAAGAAATTAGCTTCACTCGGTCAAACCTCCCGGGGAGAACACACTTCTGGAAACTGTGCCACAAGACACCCGTAGGATCTTTCACTACACGAACGTAGGCCGTGACAATTGCCTCATCATCTTGCACCAATGGAACAGATTTTCCCTCCCACGCACGGCTAAACAGACCTTTGAGGTCAGCGAACCGAGTGAAACCCCAGTCCCCTTCCTCGGCAGTGAAACGGTGGGTTGCAACTTAAATCCAACTTAGCGTTCTGATCACCCAATCCCTCGAGTCTTGAATGTCTTACCATGGTGTGTATAAATGGAAGGATCGTTCACATTTGACAACACAAGTGCGAATTGCACACAGGCGTACCAGTTCTCCGGGGGTCCATTCTCCCACGCATGTTCAAGGTAAAACGAGGCGAATTCGGTCTGGTTGCCGTATGGGAAAAAGAGGATGCGCCTATCAAGTCAGATCCAATGCTACAGAGCCATAGAGCCATCTAGGCAAAGATATTTCAGTCACCCACCACGGGGATTCACCACATCGGAAGATGGGTCCGTGTGATTTGCGATCCATATTCCGCCAGTCTGATAAGCGCCATGAGTTGTGGACCTCATCTAAGGTTTCGAGATCCGGATTCTTGGGGAGGACCTTTGCCATCATCGCCGCGTCTATGTTCATGGGGGGCTCTTGGTTAGCAACCAGTAAAAAAAAGCAAAAGGGTAGTATATTTCTCGAGGGCAATGTCGTTTAGGTATCATGCTTTGTCCAGCTAAACCCATCAAGCCCCCGGTTATAGTGTAGGGAAAGAGAAGCAACAAAGAACATACGGTCATCTGCGGTCGGTGCGGATTCAGGTTCGTCGGACCCCGACCGGGATACGACGACGACATCGGTCTTTTCAGCAGGGTATTGATCATAATCATCGACAAGCATGTCGTTCTCCGCGAGCTGGTAGAACAGGGTTAGGTCCAATGACGACACTAGCGAGGGGCACGGTCGGGGCATCGCTCACGTTCTCCATCGCGGAAAGCGCCTTCCCGTCCCGGAAGGCGACAGTGTTTGTATTTTAGGGAAGATTTGTGAGTTAAAATAAGACAAGAATGTTGGAAAGAAATACACTGTAGAGCTGCAGAGCTGGTGGTGGAGGAATTTCGTCTGAACCCGCAAAATAACAAGGGCCGGAGCTAGCGGTGGCGGAGCCTCGAAGGCTCGGCAGTGGTATTGTGGACGTTTATGAGATCTGTCTTTGATTGAACACTTTTTTTGGAGTTAATAGTTGTTCATTGATTCTAAACTGTCCTTCTTTTCTTAATTACAAAGGAATCTGCTCTAACTGCCAGTGTGCAATAGTATATGAAGTACAGAGTATACAGTGAAGAAAGCCCTGTGTTATACTAGTCCGACATAGCAATGTAGATAACTCTATATATATTAGGTATGTTTGAGTTCCGCAAGGCAATTTATCTCTTTGGATCCTTTTGAAACCATCAGAAAAATGCAGCATAGGTGGCCCCCAGATCGATCCAAAGAGTCTACGAGCCTGATGCCTTAGCCCCAAGTCCGTGCGAGTGCCTAAGATCCGAGGCAACTTCGGATGAGAGTCCAAATCGTATGACATGGGAGCAATACCTAGGAACATACATATAAAAGGATATATAGAGATATGAGAGCGGCAAATAAACACAAAACCTGCCTAAAGTATCGGCGTGTTGACCGGTGTCACATGCTTGGCTCACCGCCCGGCAACCCCAAACATCTCAAGTTCCAACTACGCGGGTGCACATGATAGTGAGCACTTATATGGTCTCGATACTTCCTGGATGAGTGCATGGAGCACAATGAGGCTGTCTTATTCAGCTAGAAGCGGGCAGATCCTCAAATCTCCATCTAGACGCCTCTATTCTGGAGGTCACAGCCCTCCACCATGGCGGCCGGTTTCTGCAGTAGATGAGTATGAATGACTCACGTTTTTAAAGCTTGGAATCGGTGATACTAACTAGGATTGACTGGTAGATGGGTGGAACGAGCTATTCGGCCTATCAGTCTTCGTCAGTTGACCTTCTTTGGTCGTACTTTGACCGAACCACGACTCATCAGTTCCGCAAACTATGTCCGGACTGAGCTACCCACTCGGTAAGTTGTGAGGTAATTGGGAGAATAAAAATGGTCCGATAATAATCTTTGGTTAGGCTTGCGCATCGTCTGCGAGACATTCAGCAACTGCCATATGTGGTAGTTGCCAATCCCCATCTAACCCTTGTATATGAACTGTACTACAAAGCATTCGAGAGGGTTCGTGTGGTTCCTGAGATCAGGACCCTTGAAGATAATGATCATTTCTGTGAGATATTGAAGGAAATGCTGCGAGAGCATCTGGTTGCGATTCCCAACCTGGCGATAGGAGTGCTGGAATGTCGCCATCTTGCTCCAGCGGACGAAATGGACCGGTTAATGAACACATTATTGCGAGCGGTATGTAAAATTACCCACTGGTCGGCCTCCTAACTGACAAGTATTCTCCCGGCAGCGAATCTCTCGGCGAGTCATCGCAGAGCAACACCTAGCTCTGACGGAAACCTTCAACTCACCATGGCATTTCCCCGATTCCCACGACCGAACCGACATGAATGCAGACTTTGTGGGTGAAGTGTTCCTAAAGTGCAAGGCAAAAGAGGTAGTCGAGCGATGTGGAAAGGTCGCACAAGATCTCATGAGGAAGATATCGGGGTCGACCCAGATTCCCGCGATCACCGTCAAGGGTCATTGCGACGCGACCTTCCCATATATATTGAGCCACCTGGAATATATCATCGGGGAACTTCTCCGCAACTCAGTTCAAGCAGTGATGGAGAAATACCAGCATTCAACCGAACCCCCACCACCTATCGAAGTGCTCGTATGCGAGACCCCGCAGCATGTGATATTGCGCGTCTCTGATCAAGGAGGAGGAATTCCTCGAGAGATTCTGCCGTACCTGTGGTCCTTCAGCAAGGGTCCTCGCACGCAGACCCGGCTGGAAAATCTTGGACGGGTCCCTGCAATGGCTGCGACGATGCAAGACTTGCAAGAGTCGCAAGAGCTTAGACACATTAACCGGGATGTATACCATGAAGGATCCCTGGACACATTGACATCAAGACCGCCCGATCTCCGTCTGGGGATGGGTCTCCCAATGAGTCGAGTCTATGCTGAATATTGGGCAGGCAGTTTAGAATTGCACAGTCTGGAAGGGTATGGAGTGGATGCATTCCTGCAGATCTCGAAGCTTGGCAACAAGAACGAGCAGGTTACAACTCGGGCAGCGATTGATGCGGTGTAAGACTTGAATACTGGGGAATATTACAGTGAATATATTCCCAGTACCTCTACATCTCCAAGTCCGTCCAATGTACCTGCCCGTCAATTGTACTTGCCGTCTATGTACACAAACACCGCCACACGCTACACTCCGGACACCGCCACATTTTAAGCTAACATGTGGCGGGTGCTAGTTCGGGATGACGTCACTAGATGCTCGTTCAGCAAATCGGCTTCACGACTGCCTCAGCCTTACCAAAGCTCCTTTCAGTCCAAGTCGTGACGTCGTGGCTGAGATCAAGATGAAACGCATTAACTCTCCTACAGACGACAATATCCCTATTTATATCTTCATCCTCCTCTTTACAATTCTCCTCCTCAGCTTTCTAGCCACTACCGATTTCAAACCTCAACCCAAACCTGAACAATAAAACCGCGTACATCAAACACCGCAATCATGTCTAGCATGTCTAACACTTTCGATATGATCTGTTTGATTTTCATCACTATATTCGGTAAGTAAATTTTCTGCCTGAAAAATCCACCCACAATCCCTCCACAAAATGACCCCAGATCGCCCCTCAATCTATAGCTATCCACACCAGGATGATCCACTGACAAACCAAACAGTTCCCCCTCTTGGCGTCTTTTTGATTGCAGGCTGTGGGGTTGACTTCTGGATCAACGTCTTGCTGACATGTCTCGGGTGAGTGTGATCTGATATGCAGACTTCCGTCATATTCGAAAACTAACTAATGACATCTCCCAGCTACTTCCCCGGACACATCCATGCCTTTTACGTAGAATACGTCTACTACCAACGGCAAAATCGCGATCCACTTACTCGCGCCTCTCAACGGCCCGCACCTGGCGTCTACTCCGATCGCGTCCAGAATGGAGGCTATAATCCCGCACCCGCAGGCCAGACCTACGGTACCATCTGATCTCCTCTCGATACCTCCTAACCCTCTTTCTTCCTTAAATTGCTTGACCCAGTCTCGCGGCGGTCGGCATTCTCTACGACTTTGAACCTAAACAAGTCTCTGCCTCTGGTGTATATGTATCCATAGCGTCGATCCTTGTTCTGCTTTTGGGTATAACTGGACCCCTCTGAAACAACCAGTAAAAAGAGAGAAATGGCTTCACACTCTCCAATGCAATGCGTTTCATATGTATCATGTTCAAAATGCAATTGTAGGAGGTGAGCATTCTAGACAAGGCTCCCAAAAGTAAACAAAAAAAAACAGGTAGATCCCAACTCCCCATCTCGACAGACCCCTCTAAAAGCCTATACACTCGCCTTCTCAGCCGCCTTTGCCGCCTTTGCCGCCTCCTTAGCCCTCTTCTCAGCAGCGGCCTTCTTGTTATCCTTCACCTCGGGGAAATCAAAAGGCTCACTGCTAACAATCGTCCCACCAGTCCTCGGCGCAGCCCCAGTACCAGGTGCCCAGAATAAAGCACCAACCCAAGGCTGAACATTCCATCCAACATGAAGGGTGACATTTTGACGCTGTGCCAGACGACCAGTAACATCACTGACCTGGTACTTAGCTTTCTGACCACGGAGTCTCAAGACACCGGTCGCCAGAGCCTCCTTCTTACTCTTAGCCGACTTGGCCGATTTAGCATGGCGCTTAGCGTTTCTCTTGGCAGCGGACACAGCCTCCGATGTAACTGACGACGGAAGAAGCGCAACAACCTGGTCTTTGAGAATCTCCCATGAATAAGGCGACGGTGTCGCGGGGATGATAGTGTCCCAGATGATGGACTCCGAGGCGCGGACCTGCGAGCCGGGGATATCAGAGGAGGAGTAGGTAGCGTAGACGTAGACAAAAAGCTGCTTCGTGTTCCAGTTGAAGAGCGGGCTCAGGTCTGCGTCGAGGTCGAAGCGGAACTGGGCGTATTCCTCGCGTTTGGTTGAGTAGTAGTGCGGTCGGCCCTTGACGCTGTTGTACCGGGAAAGGGATTTAGTAAATAGATTCTTTTAATTCTTCGGTCTCTAGATTATAGGCCTGGAGGGGCAATGGAAACCAGGATCTCACTTACACCTGCACGTTCTTCAGCTGTACTGAGGCATTAGCCTCGTCTGCTGGGAAGAAGAGAACCGAGACGGCTGCCAGTGCGCTTACGACCAGCGCGACTGTAGTGAAGAAGCCGAATACAGCCTGGATGCGGTTCAAGGAGGAATGCATGGTGTGGTGGGAGACGAATGAGAAAGATGAAGCCAGCTGGACCTGTTTGGATGTTTGGGTTCTTATCGATAAGCGGCATCTATAAACTGGGGGCCGCCATCTCCACATCGACAACTCTTCAAGCTTCGTTCTTCTCTCCTCTTTTGATTTTCTCTATAACCCAGGTTTCTGCTGAGCTTAGACATCCATATTTTATATCTCAAGTCCATAGAATCTATCACGCCGGACCCTCGCTCACCCTCACCCAAAAACCAACCAACCCAACCCAACCCCACACCCTACACAATGGGCGACCACGTTCTCTTCTTCTACGGTATGTCGCTCTTCAAAGAGGCCAACGCAAAAGCTAAAAGCAACCCAGGGACCCTCATGGCACCGCAAATCCTCCACAAAGTAATCCACGGCAAGGCCAACCCAGAACCCTGGCAAAAAGCCATGCTCCGGTTCCAACCCGCCATTTTACACGGGTATCGACGACATCGCGTGCAAGATGCCGATTATCCTGGGATTGTGGCAGTTCCAGAGCCACAAAGTGACTCTCGGAACGCTGGAACATCAGTCATGGGAACCCTCGTGTCGGGATTAACAGACGGCGACATCCACCGACTGGATAGGTTCGAGGGTTCAGAGTATGAGAAGAAACAGGTGAATGTGCGCACGTTGCGGGAAGCGCGCAGTAACGAGCATAAACATGCTGGTGAGGGGGTTAGTGATGAGAGTCAACTGCGCAAAATGCTTGATAAGACGAGTACTGAGGTTGCTGATGAGGGGGAGGAAGTTTCGGCAGTGACTTATGTGTATACTGCTGGGAAGGATATGCTTGAGGATGCGGAGTGGGACTTCGAGTCATTTAAGAGGGATAAGATGGCGTGGTGGGTTAGGGCGAATGAAAGTGAGTGGTAGCTTTTTTTCATTTAGCTTGCTTATATGTAGGTAGTTATTATTGGTAGGCCGTATTAAACGATTAAATTTTGCGATGCAAGCGATGGTATCTGATGCTATGACTGTAAAGACATGAGGGGGAAAGAACCGTCCTGCTTTCATCGAGTGCCGAGGCAAGGCTATGTCTGTGGTGGGCATGGCATGACGCACACGGATTAAAACGCTAAATACAACAGTGAAGATATTCATGATGTAGACGGCCAATTCCGGTCCAGCCGGAACTGTGTTCGGATTTCGAGGTTATCGTGGATAATAGGTTTGTATCATCTCACTTGGACGAACAGACTCATCTCTTTTGAAGAGGGCCTCGTGGACTTTGTCTCTTTCGTTCTTTTCTTGTAGGGGGCGGTGGTGTACTCGGCACTTCAGGCTCTTCCTGGCTACCGGGTACCTGGATGATAGGTTCCTCCTTCTGTGGAGGGATATGAGAATTCTGCGATTTTGCATCTGCAGATGGGTGGGACAATGCTTTGGTTTGTTTCGAGGGTTTTTCGGTAGGTAAGAGATGCATCTGGTCCACGGTTGAATCTTCACCCGATTCTTCTGTCTTTGAATTCACAGTATTTGGAAGGTGGTCTGAAGGATCCGTCCCCTGCTGAGACTCAGGTACCACATCAACGTTCGGAATTTCCTCCTGACAAGGGAGGGGCGGGCCAAGGAGGAATGAAACGGGCTGTCTGACTGCCATGACAGGCTCATTGGCTTGTCCCTGTTCTTCGTATAGCTCGTCTAGGAACTTGCCAAGACGATACCGCAGGAGACCAGAACCTAGTGGAGGCCAGTCATTCTTGGAACTCATACTTCGTTGTAGCACCTTTGTGATGAACCAATCAGGGCTTTGAACAAACTTCTCCAAGTATGCCAGCAGATAGAGACCGCAGTCCCAGAAATTGGGCTGGAGGGGAATATCGCGAGCTCGCATGCCCTTGACGTCGGCTGGGTCGAGTTCTACGCCGCGTTTAGACACCGCTTCACGGCAGATGTACTCGCGAAGAATTTTGATGGTGGGGGAGCGAGGCATGTCAAGGGAGTCAAATGTGATGATTGTTGGTTGGTTGGGATCCAACTTTAAACCGGTTCTTTTCTTCTTGGATTTGTTGTTCGGTTGTGACGCCGCGGCCTGGTCTTGGGCGAGCTTTTGGGCAGCGGATTTGGAAAGATTTGGGAATGGAAGTGGGTTTTGTATGGGCGCGGACTGATCCTCTGAGCTCTTCGTATCCTGAAGCGCATGCTCATTTGCCTCGATCTGCAGGGAAGCAAGGTCCCCTCCGATATCAGATCCCTTTCGAATATCACGAGATTCACTAACCTTGTCAGAAGCATTGAGCTCTGACTTTGGCTTTGCTTCCGGCTCAGGGGTCTCTTCAATTTCCTGGATCTCACTCTCAGACGCATTGGATGACTCTTTCTGTAGAGTCGGTGTTCGGATCGGCTCCACCCCGTCGGCAGGATCAAGAGACAAGCTTGGCAAGTTGCAAATTATTGCAACGTACCAGTGTGCATTTTCATTGATGGGAACGACGATATAGTCATAACTGAAGAGATCAACGTTCCGGGTCCACTTCTCCACACCACTATAGTTAATCCCACGATCCCCCGTGGGGTGTTCGTGAGAGTTGCGAAGAAGTAGGTATTGAAAAAGTAGATCCGTTCAGCAGCCTCCTTATTAGTGCGTTCGAGATGATCCTGAAGGAAACGCATGTAGAGAGCGATCAGGTTATCGTTCAGGAAGTCGTCCCGGAGTAATCGTTCACGATCGCCGAGTGTGACCTCAGCCTTCTTCTTTCCACTTCGCGGGTACACCAGTGGTTTCTTCCAATTCTCCCTGAAAGAATCGTCCCTAAGTAGGTTGGACTTTGTCTCAGAAGTGATGTCTTCATTTGACACGTCAGGGTCGTTACCGACACGGCGGGCGGAAGACCGGGTCTCGCGTTCTGATGTATTGACGGTGGATCGGACATCGATTCCACCATCTTTACCAATAGGTCGGTTATCCTGTTGCTCCTTGACGGAAGTTCGAGAATCGGCATTGCTGTTTCCAAGTCTTCTCTTTTCTAGAGCAGATTTGATCTTGAGTAATTTGAGTTTATTGACTTCGCCATGGTCATCTCTCAAGGACATCGAAAGTTTGGGCCGTCGTGGGGGAGGAGAGCGCGCAGGATCAGGGTCATCGACCAAATCATCAAGAAGCCGCTTCTTGGGCAGCTTGTTCTCCTGTCTGTTCTTCTCCGAGAATTGCTTTTCATATCTCAAGAACGACTTGTCCATCCATTTCCTGTCTCAGTGTTAGTAAAATGCGGATTGAATGAAAAGATGGGTCATAAAACTTACATATCTCTGTTCTGGTGGTGAAACCCGGCTTGAGTCAACACTTCCAGTAGCTTCTCCTTTTCCTCGGTGGTCCAAAACTCGATATCGAGCTGATCGTCTGGTTCGACAGAACCTTGGGACAATTTCATTCTCACTTTCCGGCTGGGTTTCTCGCCGACCACAATAGTCGTGATTTTTTCGAAAAGAATTGATATTGTGTTACCTTGGCCGAGTGCATCCTCACGAAGCTCAAACCCTTTCTTGTTTGAATAAATTGGGACAGTTTCCCTCGCATCGCAAGATTTGCTCAAGGGACCGATACGGAAATACCGCAATTCATGTGTCTGATTGGAATTTTTGTGGGAGATCTTGGCCTTTTTCGTGGCCGGTGCTGGCGGTGAAAAAACCTGAACGGGGATATCGGATGGTGAGCGCTTTCGAGTCGGTCTTTCTGTATGTATAGTGGGTTTAGATGGGCGAGTGGTTTGGGTTTGTTTTTCTGACAAGGATTTTGGTACTCGATGTGTGGTGATGTCGCCCTGAAGTTCGTCTGGACTTTCCCTGCCATTGGCAAGACGACGAAAGTTCGTTAGAACTGCAGAGCTGTTCGGACCACCTTTCTTTGATCCAGCATCAATACTCCCAATGACAATGGCCTCGTTGGGCTGATTTAATCTGCGATTTGTCTGGGACAGCCGGAGATCCGTAGATCTCGCCAGATTTCGGCGCTGCTGCGCTGCTGTTTCAGTGAATTTTTCATCCCGAGAGTCAGCAGAAGAGAATTGGTCATGTTGAGGACGAATAGAGCTATGCGCTGATTTGACGCCATTCTCCGCGTCTCTGGAATTGTCACGCCGGTTGCGACGGTTTTTGGGTTGTGCCAATCGATCTATGGCTGAATTTGCTGGGGCTGTAAGGTCGACGGTTTCGCTGGTTTCACTCTGGCGCCGTATCTTGGTAGGGCGACTCGACTCCTCGAAAGCTTCATCAAATTGAGGCGACTTTCTCCGTGAAGTTTGTTGATTTGATTCTCCATACGAACGGACCGGCCCGCTGCTTCGGGCATTTTGATTATGTGCAAGTTTGTCCTGAGGAGAGAACGCAAAGCTAGACTGTGATCGAGGATCAGATGGAATGCCATTATTATGCATGTAAAGGCTGGAACTTACCCCTGGCTTTTTGTTCCTATAATGGAGGGACGCTCCGGGCTTTATCTTGACAGCATGGGAGTCACTACCAAGGGAAAAAAAAGCCGGCTGATCAGCAACGCAACTCAACACAAGCTCATACAACTCGTAGAGCATACCGATATTTGGCTCCGAACAAACGCGCCTCATCTTGCCGATTCTGGGAATCCTTCTGTTGGTCCTTGTTCAACATCTGCGACGAATCACCCGGCCTGGGAATGGGTGGGGGTATCAGCTTTGGCCTGTCGGCAGGGGAAGGCTGTGGGTTCCGATGGGACATGTCTAACCGGGTAGTTGGATTTAGAAAACGGTGGGAGAAAGGTGAGCGCAATAGTTCGTCCGCGGTTGTAGATCCAGTTGGGGACGAAAAAGTATCGACATAACTGGGAACAGCCTAAGATCGATTAGTCCCAAGTCGAATGACTGATAGCTTGCGACAAGATGACAGGCAAATTTCAGAGATAAGTGATCAAGATTAGGAGATTGTGTAGGGTCGAGCTATCAAAAAGCAATATGAACGGGCAAGGGCAAATATCGGTGGCACGCGCATGGAGATAAGAGATACACACCGATGGAAGAAGAGCGATCCCAGTGTTTCGGGGAGAGGTGGGTTCGGTCAGGTCGGTTTCAGATCCCAGAGTAAAAGAGTCGCGACCAGGCCCAGCTGGCCGAGAACGAGGAGGGGTCGAGGTCGGTCGTTCTGCACGTTGAATAGCAGATCGTTGATCTTCGGTCTGGCGTTGGCGTCGCGGTGACAAGTTAGAGAAGAGTTCGACTAGATTTTTAAACACAGGCATTAAGACAGCCAGAAGTTCATGGCAATATGCATTGCAGGAGTCTCATTCCAATTGTTCGTCTATTGTCTTCTTTTTTTTTTTTATTCATGGGACGCAAGTACGCCGCATCGTCACCTAGGCCCTAGGGCGGTCAGGATTGATTGTCGCCTGAGGGTTTAGGCAGAAAGACTTTCACTGATTGATAACTAGTTAACTATCTTGGGATATGGAATAGACGAAAGAAATAATATGTGCATTATCTGAATGATTCACCTGGTTCATACTTCATCATCGTCATCATTCACCCAAAGTGCTCGATTTCCCAATACCTCAATAGTGTGAACAATATGACAGTCTGAACACACTTACTAGGGCTTCTAGCTTGCACATGGGTTATTGTACCCATATCCTGGGACCTTTCACTAATACGTTTGGGTCCATAGTGTATGCATAAGTTCATGTAGTTGAAATATCTGGCAGAAAGCAACAGATCAAGTCTATGTGAAAGGCTCTACTTCACATAGAAGCCCCAATCCACGCAAAGCAGAGACAGCACTCTCAGGCGAGAAAACCATTAGCAGCCAGTGCTGCATTCATGTTGAGTACATAAAGGAAAAACATCACGCATGAGCTCGGCAGAGAAAAAAAAACACACACATAGCACCATAGCACAGATGAGTTCACTCAAGACATAAATCAAATCAAACCGCTGAGTTCGCCTCGATGCCCCACCGCCCCTAAGACCCAAACGCGTCCCAATGATTTCGTGATTGAAGATTTTTTTTTCGGGTTTACTATACAGGGCTCAAGGCCAGGCTGGGATCTTGGATCCGTTCATAGGGTCACAGCCGATTTAACCTTGTCCGAGTCATCTTGACCTGTTCGCCGCCGGTCTTGATGACCTGTGCCAGTGGCGGTCTTGTCGTGGCGAGCCTGGTCGATGGCAGAACGCTGAGCAATACTATCGTCGTGGCTCTTCCAGATGATATTGGTGTCTGCCGGGAAAGCAAGCAGGCGCTTGATCGTTTCTCTGTAAGGAAGTTAGCGATATTGCACTACGGCAAAGAAGAATAAGTTATAAATACCTAATCTTGATGTTGCGCCCCCCGTCAATCCTCGTCCAAACACTCAAAACATCTTCGCCGCCTCGAACACTCAGTACAGCGCCACAGACTTCATCTCCAGCCTCCGCAAACTGGTCTCCAACCATAGCCAAGAGGAGATCCTCCCAGTATCGATCGGAAACCCCCTTCTTGAAACGAACGATCCACTTGCCTCCCCGCTTGTTCGCCTCATCTTCCCAGACGGGGCGGATCCCCTTCTTAAAGATGTGGTAGTCTGAAACAGTGGGAAGAAGAGAAGGGCGTTTAAGATGGGAGTACACCGCCCAGAAGCTCTCTACCGAAGATATCGAAGCGAGCGGCACGGTGGACTTTTCGTAGTCGGAGTATTTGGGTGTCGGGGGACGATACCAGACGATCCACGTAGACTTCAACGGGTGCTCGCCAGGAGCTGCGATGGAGTTGTTCTCAAAGGCCTTGCGTGTAGCCTCATCGTGTTCCAGAGGTGTCTCCCGTCCGGGTGTTTTCAACTCGGAGCCACCGGGAGTCTTCGGCGCACCGAATGAGGCGAATGCGCCGGACCCCAGACCGAAAGCGGAGGAGGCATTGGTGGATGGGGAGGAGACACCGCCGGATAATGGGGATATTGCGTTAAATGGATTCGAGCGGCCATGCGAGCTGTCGGGTCCGAACCGCTTGGATGGGCGGGGAAGTTCGACACGAGCACTATCTTTCGTGTCTCCGGACGTTGACAGGGACAATTTGGAGGAACTAATCAAAGCAGAAACAATCCATATAAGTCACAATTGTGTAGGTTGAGGAGGGGCACACGACTAACTTTGTCCGGCGGGTCCACAGGTTTGCATTATCCATCGCGGCGGGTGAGAAGACTGCCCGAGACACGAGCGGTCATCAGGGGGAAAGAAAAGGATCCGTAAGAAGCGTTACACAGAGAGATGAGACGCCGGCGCTATGATCTCAGTGACGTAGTATAGTGGCAGAGACGGTAGATTCTGAGTGAGAAATTTCGAAGGGGAATCCAGATAAGTAAAAAAAAGTAAAAAAGGGCAAATAGAGGATATCTGTAGTTAATGAGGCTCGAGTTTAAAAAATAGCAGAGAGAAAACAAAATGTATAGAGGGGGAATCAGGTGAAGGGGAAAAGTGTCGATATGAATCGGAGACTCGGGCAGTTTGGAGGAGCAGCTTCCCTGGCCAATCACAGCCACCTCAGCCCCATTTTCGCCTGCAGCCCGCACCGTCTTTTTTCCAGTTTTCCCTTTTTCTTTCGCGTTTTTTTTTCTTCTTTTTCTTTCTTTTCTTCTTTTATATCAAGACCACCTACTCAAATCAACGCTGGCGTCTCATTCTTTTTACAGCCCTGGCGTTTCCGATGTGTGTGTCGAGATTAATTTCGCATCTAAAACCATCATCACGAGGGCTTACGAGCAACCCATGACACGTTGATGACCTGATTGACGACACATACTTTGTTTCTTTGTTTATTTTTTTGTTCTTTCTTTATAGTAAATAGGGTACGTCTACTCAATAGCAATCCACTTCCAATTCTATCTTTTCCCTATGTTTCAATGCAATGAAGAAACTCTTATGAGCTCTCTGGTAATCCGAGGACTCAACCGCCCTACTACTTTGGCCTTCGGGCTGGGCTGGTTGAGCATGTGGTCAACAGGCAAAGTCTGAGCCTTGAAACATATTTTGAAATATGTGATAGCTGTACGGAGTACTGTCTCTTGACCGATGCACTGACATGCAGTAGGTAGTTTATAGTTTACTCAAAGGTAATATCCATCGACGGAAACGCGATCAGAACAGCTACTGCGATGTACAAAGTTCATCAGTCTATTATACCTGTCCACCATTCAAATAACAACTTTGATCTAGATTGTCTTTGATCAATGGGCAATATGTAACAAAAAAAAAAAAAAAAAAAACAAGCCCGGAATAACCCCGAAAACAACCAAGGGTAGTGAATCTCGTGAAAAATGCAAACCATTCCACCAACCATGTCCGATGCAATAAAACAGCAAAAAAAAGATGAGAAAAAAAACATTTCGCAAAGAGTTGTCACTGGGCAGAGACACGATCACTTGAATCTTGCTTGGTTCGCTTGGAATCCCGATCGCTGCTGGGCACCGAAGCGTCGGCCTTGCGCTTGTCGCGGTCCTTTTGGTTCTGGTACTCCACGCGCCGGGCTTCCTTGCGGAGCGCCTTGGATTCAAACTCATGCCAGTCCCCTTCAACGTGCTCCAATCTGTAGATAAAGTTAGCATCGATAATATACGCCAGAGAGGAGGAAAACATACTCGATCGGTGGGTGAGGAGCTGGTTCCTCCGATACGAAGTAGGGATGTTTGAGAACATCCTCCGCGCTCGGCCGCTGCGAAGGGTCGTAACGGAAGATTGAGGAGATAAGATCCATCGCAGAGGTTGTCAACACATCACGGTATACATCCTCGAAAACGCGCTTCCTTCGTTCTGTTGGCCGCATCAGGTGGAACCAAGGCATCTCCACAAGGTCCGGCCACTCAGTCTTCGTAGGTGTACCCAAAGCATTGTAGATCTTGTCCATCTGGCTCAATTCGCCACCTTCACCGGGGAAAACCGCCTTTTTGGTGAACATCTCCATGCAAACGCATGCAGCGCTCCACATGTCGACAGCAGGACCATATCGGGTTTCTCCCAAGAGGAGTTCCGGAGGTCGGTACCAGATGGTAATGACCCGGTTGGTGTAGTCAAGTTGACGACTTTTAGAGAAGAACCGGGCCAGGCCAAAGTCGGCAAACTTTAACAGTCCACGATTGCTGATCAATATATTGGCTGCTTTGATGTCACGATGGAGAACCCCACGATGGTGAAGGTAATTGAGACCTTCGAACATCTGCTTCGCCAGATCCTTCTTGTGTGAAAGAGTGAGGGAAAAGGTAGGATGATTTATCAGACCAGTCAGATCGTGAGAGAGGTATTCAAAGACCATGAAACATTCGTTCTTTTCAACCATGACCTCCAAGAGGCTGACGACATTATGATTTCGAAGATGCTGGAGCAGCTTGATCTCTCGAACAGCCGTGACCGGGAAGCCATCCTTCTCGCCCTCCATTCGGATCTTCTTGAGTGCAACTTTGCGCTGGGTATAGACGTGGATTCCTTTGAACACTTTTCCATATGTTCCGGCGCCGATCACAGACTCATTGCCTGGCTTTCGGTAATACACAGATTCGGCATTAGCAAACTCCTCCGGAAGCGTGGGGCGTGGTTTGGGTCGAGTAAGAATCCGCTTCTGCTTGGGTGGCGGTGCCTGTCTCGGCGGTTCCAGGGAAGGGTCACGGCGACGATCTTGCCAGTCTGAGGGTCTGTCTGAAGGCCATTCTCCTTGTCGTCGATCACGACGTTGATCGAATCGGCGATCATCTCTTCGATCCCGCGGATCACGGAATTCTCGTGGCTCCCGGAAATCTCTGCGGTCTCGATCACGATTTCGCCCACCCCGGTCACGGCGATCGGCCCTTGACTCAGGTTTGAATTTGGGCAATGGCCCATTGGTAAACCTGTTGCGAGGTTGTTGGGGTGGTTCAGGTGCACGGGGGGGGCGGCTGGCGGATCTGCATCCTCTGGGCAAGGTCAGGTACCGGCTTTGGAGCGGGAGAAGGTGCAGCCTTTGACTTGAAAGCAAAGCTGAACTTCCCGCCCTTGTTTGCTGGTGTCGTTTCATTGGATTCGTGGGTCGGGGGTGGCATAGGTTGGAGGTTTCCGCCAGCGGATTGAGGTTGGGTCTGGTTTTCCTCTTCATCCCTATTGGGTGGCCGGAAATGACTATCACTCTCGCCAGCTCGGGGGGATTGTGGGTCATTGTGAGACTGTGGTCGATTAGGAGTTTGTGATCCATGACTATGTGCCGGGCGGGGGCTATGTTGTCCCCCACGGCCTCGTGATCCCGATGCGGTCCATTGCAGGTTGTTGAAATGTCCTCTCGCGCCGCGTTGTGAGGGTCCATTGTGATATGAATGAGGACCAGAGCCAGAAAATCGCCGATCGGGACCCTGGTTTGAAAAGTTTCCTCGAGGACCGCCACCAGAGTGGCCACCTCGGTGGGGGGCCCGCCATATGGAGATTGAGGATGATGATTGCCAGGGCCGTTAGATTGACCTTGGTTGTGATAATAGTTCCCATTGTGTGATGAATAGTCATCATGTCGATAAGGAGAGGTGTGACTTGGAGAGAGAGTTAGTATAATTCAGAATGTAACATGTAAGTGAAAGCAATAAGAAACGCACCCAGGTCCAGAATACGAAGGTGGGCCAGACCATCCTCCTCGCCCTGCAGAGTAAGGTGATGGTGGTTGCGGCGAACCGTGGTATGAGCCTGTCGACGTTTGGTTTTGAGGGTTTGCATAGGGCCGGCTATCAAGACGTGGTCGAGACGGCCGACGGCGAGGCTGGTTATTCACATCAGAGCGCATTGAATGCATTGGGAACCCATCCTGCGCATGAGTAGAATTTTCTCCAGTAGAGCCGAAATTATCAGAGTCAAAACTCGGAATCGGACGCGGTGGAGATGGAGACCGACCCGCACCGTCCACAACAGACTGGATTGGTCGAGTTGTGTTCATCGCCGAATTACGCCTCGACCTGCGAGATGATGTAGAATATCTCGAGGTTGCAGACCTTACGGAGTGCCGTGAGTTCGATCGATAGTGAGATCCGTGGTCGCTGTAATTGTCACCACCAGGGGTACGAGACCGTCGATCAGGCGAAGGATGAAACCCTCGTTCATCAATTGGTGACCTGGATCTTCCAGGACGTGAGATTTCTGGACGACGACGGTCTTTTCCTCGACGGTCCCGGCCCCGGCGTGGTGATCTTCGCCTGGGAGCACCACGACCTTGGGTGCGGCCACCTCGTTTCTTGAATGAAGGGCTTCGGTCCTGTCCTTCACCGTGATTCGGGTAGTTTGGACGCGGCGGGGGGAGATAGCCACGGCGGCTATGTGGTGAGAGGCTTCGAGTCCTTTGCCGTTTCAGTGGAGGTCCAGTTGGTGACTCGTCTCTTCGAGGACCGGGGGCTTCCCTATCGAAAGGTGCGGAAGGGTGAGCGTTCCAATTGCCGGCCGATGACACGGTTTGCGTTGGATCTAGTCGACGGCCGTTGTGAAAGTTTGGGGGTGGAGGAGAACCTCGACGAGGAGATCGATCCGGAGCGAAATCACCGAAGTCGTGAGAGGAGTCAGGGCCAAAGCGGGACGCGCGTGGTGGCGACCGCCCCGGGCGATCGAAATTGCGGTTATTGGGCCGATATGGACGGCCACGGTCACGACCTCTGTTCCTTCCTCGATCGCGGCCTGACCCTCGCCCTCTCCGTCTCTCCCTGTCACGGGGATCACGGTCTGGGTCAGCACTCCACTGGTCTCTCAACACCGGACTCGTACGGGACTCCGCCATGTGAGCGTCGCCAACGGCATCTGGCTCAATCAGAGAAATAAAGAATGTCAGCGAGGCTAGTCCTTAGAAGAAGCCTTGAACTAGAGATAATGATGAGAAGGCGCAGTGAGCGATGGCGTCCAAGCGTGTCTGCGATCGTAGGCGGGAGTCTTTCGGGTTTGGGGACCCGGAACGATAGTTTTTCCAGATTCCGAACTGTGCAAACTATCAAGCGCTGGTGAACAACGAGAACATAAGCAAGGAGAATGTTCAACAGGGCATACGCACCAATTCAGATTTATCAAATACACCGTCTCACCCTTCCAGTAAAGAACGAACACTACTAAGTCGTGGAAATTGGGCTTTCCAAGGTAGGAGACCTCGGGGTTGCTGACTGATCCACGTTGCGGCTCTACAACTTGATTCGACGGTGGGATGCTGGAAGGTTGGCGTGCAGCTGTCGAAGACAAGTGCAACCAGTACTTCTGCTTTGCTCCTCCGAGATTCTTCTGGTACCGAATATGTCGAGTCTGTGTCTGCTCAGCACGTGACAATCTGATCAGGTGGTGCCCACCTGCAGATGTTGGAGAAACATTGCTAGCCAGGCTTGCTAGCGTATTGTCTGTCTCCTTTGTGCTCGTCTTGCCCTTTTGTACAGCAGTTGCCTGTTTTTGTCAAAGCAACATTGAGACTGCGATGGCTTGTCCCACGAATGAAACTATCTACGTATTGCACAAGGCCAGATGGGCCAACATCCCCGAGGCACCATTCACTGTGAACAGGGCAATCCCGCGTAGGATTATCAGGTCACATCATAAAATCAATGGCTGGAATCTCTTATCATTCTCCTCCCAGAACCATGGAGCTGTTGGCCGATTCGAAGGGCCAATCCAACGCGAGGCGATTCTCTGTCGAAAACAACTCCGATGCTCTGTATCATAAGCAGCCAGTCAGTCTTCAATGTCCTGTAACTTGTAGATTGGTCAATTGTCGAAGTTCGAGTTGCCATGCACCGGGGAAAGAGTGCGTGCTGGAATGAAACTTTTGTCGAGATTTACAACAGATAGACTGATGGCTGACTATCTGGGCACAAATACCACTGGCACAGAAACGAAACATGGGCCGAACCCCAGATTGCGACCTCTTTTTAGATCAACCTTTGCGACTTCTGTGTCTTTATGGCTCTACCACTCAAGAACGCGAATTCCTGATGGTAACATCCAGGTGTCCAGGTCGGTTGGCTGAACAGAGGGCTGGCGACAATGGTGGGGAGCATACCGAATGAGGGGTCAATGTACGAGACGGTCAAGGCAAGAAGAGCCTAAAAGCAATGCTGGTTCAAATCCAATCCAGTAGAATGTGCAAGCCCCCCAATGTTGTGGCTGGTGATATGCTAGAGACTAGGCCCTGCGCTCAACCCCACCTCCCATATTAAATAATGAGATCAATTCCAGGACTTGAAATTGACAGTTTGTAATCTAACAGAAAGCAACATCTCATGATACCGATGTAGTTGCAAGGAACTCAAAGGCGAGGCCTGAAAGTCAGCCCGAGATGTAGCGGGATGGGCTGGAACACAAACCCCCGGCCATTCTCACCCGGGGAAACAAAGAAAAGGAACATCCCCCAGAAAGACCAGGGATCTAGATTCAGCAAAAGAAATTATTCGCCGTATAATCACAGGGGCGCACGCCATGCCGAATCAGCGAGGAACTAAGAAAGCAAAGAGGAAGGTTGATGTCATGGGCAAGGTCGAGGTTGTGCCGGAACTGAGCGTGGGGTCACATGGGGTCACGTGGTGTCATATTGTCTGGATGCATAAATCAGCCCTGACTTCTCAACACCTCATAGAGAGGGAGGTTTTGCTTACAGAATATACTACCAGCGATGTCTCCCACTACGGCTTTTGAGTGACAAGCGGTTTTGGACAGAGATGACACTAATGTGTTTACTGCGCCTTTGACACATGTCGCCACACGACTGATTCCGTTTGTTGTCCCGTCCGGGTGGTTGCTTATATCAATCTCATTCATAGTATCGTCCTAACACACTATGTATTTATATTGCCTCAGAGGGATTATAACGTTTTTTCCAACGTATATCTCTCCATTATCAGAATCCGGGACTGCATGTTTAGCACAACAGTGCCAATCCCATCGCCTATCAGTATCTAGGCGCAAAAAGAATATGTCTCTACCTTGGTCAAAACCCGAGAAGAATTGATAATAATACAAGTTTATTCGTACATACTCTACATCAAATTTGACATCCCCCTCACTCTCGCAACTACTTCAGATCACCCCCACCTCACTTTCTGCTTACATTGTAAGCATGATTCACCTCAGAAACTACTCATACACACATTGAAGTATTCTTAAATCAATCCTCACAAGGAGGATTGATCATCCCCACCGTCGAGAAGGAAACGACGGAGATGGGGCGACACAGGCCCCTCAGAGTCCTCCGAGTCCTCCTCGGGCTCCTCCCAGATGATTCCGTGGGGCATAGCCCCGTTCCCATTGGAGGCCCCATTGCCATGGGCGGCCCCGGGAGAACTAGCAGGAGGTGCCCCGGCCCCAGGGGTCTCCTGCGAACTGATAGATTCAGTATCAGTTCGGTTTTGCCCGGTCAGGGCCGCCCGGATCTGTGACTGGAGGGCAGCCATGGGGACTTGTGGGAGTGTGCCCACCGGGGAGTTTGGAGGAGCCGAGGCCCCTAGGCCACCAGACACGTGTGGAGTAACTGGCTGGACAGCCAGAGGGTTTGCAGCAGCTCGAACCGGTTGAGCAACCGGCAAGTCAGTGGCGGTGGGCAAATCTGTGTCAACCGGTGTATTTTGGGCAGCCGAAATATTTGGGCCAACCGGCGAGTTTGCAGCGGGTGAACTTGGGGCAGCCGACAAGTCAGGGCCAACCGGCAAGTTTTGAGTAGTACCAGAACTTGGAGCAGTCTGGATGTTTGAAGTAGCGGGCAAACTCGAAGCACCAGGAGCAGTTGACGAAGCAGGCGCGGTGGATGAATTGGGGTTTGCGCGCCGCGGGAACCAAGGAAGGTCGGGCATAGGAAGCATGACACCGTGGAATCTGGCAGGCCGCATTCTTATGATATGGGCACCACTGTCATTGATCACGATCCAAGGAGGCGTTCTGCTGTTCAGGCTGCGTGGGTTGGACATGGGCTGAAGATTTTCAGGGCGAATGCCGGCAATAAGCTGCTGTCGAATGAGCCAGGCTTGAAGGATGCGGTCTTGGGAATAAGGAATGGCACCTTCAGGCACCAGATCTGGCTCGCGTGCGAGTGTGTAAGGGTTACCATATTCGGTGTACCGGGGTCGCTGAGGTGCTGTCGTAGGAGGATTTCCCAAAGTGCTTGGACCAGCAGAAGCTTGGTGACCAGCTGCCATTGGGTAGGGAGACGGAGGTTGGTGGTGAGAAGAAAGATCTTGGGGATGATGAACAGAACCTGTGGGATCAGGTGTCTCGTAACGATCATGTGGGATTGGCTCGGATAGACCGGCTTCAGTGGAAGGCTGGGTTTCATATCGCTCAGGCATGTCCATTGGGGATGGCTGCAATCGACGTTCGGCACTGGCATCGTACAAGGATTGGCTGGGGTCGTTAGCAAGCTGCGAGCTTCCACGCTGGGGGTCATTGAACATGGGAGAAGCTTGATGCTGGGTGTCATAGAGTGCCAAAGAAGCTTGATGAGCTTGATGCTGAGCTTCGGCTTCTCTGCGCGCATTGACTCGATTGGCTTCGTTGATTCTTTGCAATCTGGCTAGATGGATATAGAAATCGGGATGCACAGGTGGCTCGCTAGAGTCAGAATCAGGATTATCGTCAGCTGCCAGGTGCGCCTGGAGAATTTCAAGGCTGGGTTGATGGGACCAATTTGAGGGTCCAGGCTCGACAGGATCATTGCCGCCGGCAGAGTCATCAGTACCAGTGGGTTGGTTGACTCCGGTGGACTGGTTGGCACCAGCAGACTCATTGGCATCAGTGGGCTCGTTAATGAAGTCAGTGATATCTTCCCCGGAAGGAAGATTCGAGGAGCCAGGGGAGGCTGAGGGTTGGGGGTGGTTATCCATTATGTTGAACTGGATACTTTGTTGGCAAAAATGCCTTTTGGTAGGTGAATCAACCTTCAATTCTATGTTAGTAAGTCTCATGCTTGATTGGATCAGATATATTCAACATACCTGCAATCCAATGTTGTCAGGGCAGACCCCTTGGATGCAGGGTAGTTTGTAAGAAGCCTTTTCGCAAATGTATCAGTGACATGTCTCATAGCAAGTCAATAAGCAGGCATAGATCAGATCAAAAGGAATATCAGATGAAAGTAAACAGTATACAAAGAAACATCAGATCATATTTTCTTCAAAGAAAAATATGACCATCATGGAAGGGGACAAGCCCAGCTTCCATGTGGAATCAATATTAGATTTCAACCCCTGAAGCCCTGGAAACTGTTGCTTTATGCAACACACATAAGAAGGGTAACGGGATCAACTCGCACAGGACTTACGGAGACAGATAAGACTGATGCCACGAAATGTAGTTGTAAAGCTGCTTGCGGCGGTCCTGGTAGCCCTGATGTTTTGACAGGCAAGGCTGGGATGGACGTGACTTGATGCACACACACCTCAAATGCAGTGAGAATTCAGAAGGAAAAACAAGTAAAGATGAATGAATGAAGACCTCCGGGTGATGTAGAGTTCAAGAATCGGATGCAGAGTTGGATGGAGATGGTTGAAACAGGAAGAGCTGGAATGGTTCACGAGGAAAGAAAAGAACAGAACAAAAGACGTGTTCTGGAGAACCCATCGTCGCGGCAACTGTGAGAAGCGACTCGACGATGTAAGCGACTCGACGATGTAAGCGACTCGACGATGTAAGCGACTCGACGATGTAAGCGACTCGACGATGTAAGCGACTCGACGATGTAAGCGACTCGACGATGTAAGCGACTCGACGATGTAAGCCATTAGTCGCCGGGAGTGGTCCATACACTGAGATACCAAATATGTAGGATTTGGCGCCAGCGAGGTCGCCGGTGCAGGACCACTGGCAATATCTTCAAGCCGACGAAACACTTGGGAACCAGAGATATCTATCTATGTCCTTATACGACCTCCCTTGATCAAAGCTCGGAGCTTTCAGTAGTATCGTAAAAGCCCTAACACAGGCCATATAGGTCTATAGAAATCGACTGCAGGTCGACAACTCAATAATTTTCCCTGCCCAGGATCGATACACTAGGTCTAATTGTTCTAAATCAGGAAAGAAGAGATGAAAAGAAGGTTGTACATTGGTTCTAATACATACATCGTATCTAAGTGGACATTACTAGAATTGCCGTAAGCGGCATGGGATCAAGTGTTGAAACAGCCTTGCGAGTGCTATCGAGTGAGATCTCAACAGACCGTAGAGCAAAGGCCTCTTGAGGGTTTGTGTTAGTAAGGTAGGAGACAGGGAATGAGGGAGATTTTTTTCTACCTCGAGCCCATCATCGGCTGAGGAAGAGGTATTTGCCATTTCCCACGAAGTCAACGGCTCTAAAGGAGCTTGGAAACTTCAGAAAGGAAGGGACATGACAAACAACAGAGCGAAGATTCGCCCAAGTATGTGCAGGAGAACCGAGACAGAGAAGACCAGAGAAACACCAATCCACGCTTAACATGTAAAGTAAAAAGCAAGACCCAAAACCTGTTGAAAGGTCACCACCCAAAACTCCAAGAAACCAAAAATCAACTACCTAAATTTAGGTTGGGGAAGCGGAGATGGAGTATTTATCTCCGGTTCAGCAGAGTCAAGAACTCTTCGCGAGTCTTGGCGCTGGAACGCATACATCCCAGCATACAGCTAGTAGTGGTGGTGCTGCTAACCTTCTGAACACCGCGCATAACCATGCAAAGGTGGGAAGATTCCATAACGACACCGACGCCGCGAGGCTGGAGAACCTCTGAAATCGCTAACGCCACTTGCTTGGTAAGACGCTCCTGGACCTGAAGTCTGCGAGAGAACATCTCTGCCAGGCGAGCCAATTTTGACAAACCAAGGACGCGGCGGTCAGGGATATATCCGATATGCATCTGGAAGTTGTTAAAACGATATCAGCACAGTATGATATGTAGCAATTCTTACCTTTCCGGTGAACGGCACCATATGATGCTCGCACATCGAGAAGACGTCGATGTCCTTGACAATGACCAACTCATCGTGGTCCTCGTGGAAGACAGCGTTGTTGACCAAATCCCGGACATTCTCCTCGTAGCCCTTGGTGAAGTAGAGCATGGCCTTGGCGTATCGCATGGGAGTCTCCAGAAGACCCTCTCTTTCCGGATCCTCGCCAATACATTCCAGAATTGTTCGAATAGCTCCAGACATCTTCTCTAGTCGTTGTTCGGTCTCCTCGGGGGTCGACTCCTTCCGCTGTCGGGTTCCCGGGCCTAGATGACAGTTAGAAGAATGTACCAATATACTGGTGTCCACCGACGGGGCTCATATCACTAACAAGGCCAGCTGAGACCATCAAAGTCGATAGGAGGGTTCAATGTGTAGGGGCTAGCAGGTCGGCTGACAGTGGTTGAAGGCGTCAATGGGGCGGCCGCATCCCGGGGATCGCGGGGAGGGTCATTCAAGCTAGGACTAGAGCCCAGAGATTAGCAGTGAAATTGACAATGTCATGACCATCAAGGTTGATATTCGCTGTATACATACCGCACTGGCGCCACACTGCGAATTGGCACGGAGGCACTGGAAACGGCGTGGGTGGGGGCGGCTCCAGTCTCAGTTTCGGCCTCGGTCTCGGTCTTGGACTCGGGCTTGGCCTCAGAAGATTCAAAATCAATGGGAATTCGAGGTTCAAAAGAAGAACGAATGGATGTATTAAGACTCTCACGCTCACGAGAATCACGGGCGCCCGTTGATCGTTGTAGCGGGGAGCTACCGTTCAGCATGTGAGACGGGATAGCTGAAGGCTTGGGGCTAGGAGTATCAGAACCCATGATGAATATGAAGTTGATTGAAAGTAAAAAAGGAGAAAAGATGTTCACGACTTATATATACTGAACATCTGAAGTCAGAGTCATTTTTTTTTCTAGCAAACGCTAACTTTCTTTTGTCCCCCTCATCGCCCCCCACCAATCACCACCAATCAGAACTCACCAGGATGATGACATGCTCCCCGCGGGATAAACGGACTCTGGGGCCGATGCATAGTAGATCGATGTATAACATATCTATATACTGCGTAGTGATATATACATTCTTTATTTCTACTTCTAGGCATATAGTTCCACGTTACATTCAGGTAGTGGAACGTGAGTGAATGCACTTTGGTGTGAAAACGGTGTGAAATATATATTTCTAGCCCCGGAGGTGAGAGGAGAGCAACAGGGTACTTATGGCAAAAGATACTGATATTACTGTAACTCCTATGGCTAAGATGCCCGATTCTGAACTGATTGTTACATTTCTTTGAATCCATGTGCCAACGCTTCATGGGTATATTGTGTCTAAAAAGAGCCCAGTACGGAGTATACATACAAGAGTTGTCCCCTCCCCCTTGATTAGAAGCATTATGTTAGTCAAAGAACATATATATGCAGATGCTGTGTGACTTAGATCTATCATATGTAGGCTGGTGACCATGGGTAACAATAACATACATGCGCTTCAATACTCCGTATATATCCGATTATGGAAATATTAGGGCACCATGTTGCTAGTAACAAGAACCCTCACCATATGGAAGTCCAATGTAATGGTGTTTTGATGATTATTCACTATGGTCTTAATTCACCTATATCAAAGAAGCACCGATATGAAAAATGATTGGAGTCCGGTAGAGATAATATCACGCCTCAATTTCTTCTGTTGGGACATCCTCCAAGTCCTTGCCCACAATTGCATCTGCTACCTTCCATACCTGCAATAGATTGTCCTCAGCAGCAGAACACAGAACCCAAGGGTCGCTTAGGTTCCAGCTAAAGTCCGAGATACGGTTCGTGTGTCCACCGTGCATAAAGAGACTAGAGAAAATAGTCAGTGAGAAATCCAAACACGTTTTATGACGAGGGGGAAAAAAGAAGTGGTCACTCACAGCTCTGGTGGCCCATCTTGAGCATCCTCAGGGGTTTGCTCCTCGCCTGCCCGGCTGAGGTCCCAGAACATGATCTTGCGGTCATAACTGGAACTTGCCAGGACCGACTCCTCGAATGGATGCCATGAGATAGATTGCACCGAATCAGTGTGGCCCTCTAGTGAGTGGAGCTTCGAGTTCAGGTTACGGAGATCCCAGATACCGATAGTCTTATCAGCAGAACCCGTGGCCAGGATTGTCTCGGAAGCCGGGTTGAAAGAAATGGAGTTGATGGCATCGCGGTGCTGGCCTTCAGCCGAAGCAGCCGCACGAGTGGAATCATCTTGGCGGGTATCAAGGATTTGAAGCGTGATGTCATCGGAGACAGTTCCGATGAGAGAGGAGTGGAGAGGGTGATGTTGAACGTCGTTGACGATCGAGGAGTGGTGCGTGAAAGTCCGGCTGGGCCGCACTGCCTTGTTGCCCTTGGTGTATGTAGTAATATCCCTGTGGTGAGCCTCATTAGCTGCTACTCACACCAAATCTCAGATTTCGTGTATTGGGCCCGCTTACCAAAGCCGAACAGTCTTGTCCTCACTGCCCGTTGCGAGGTGGCCGGCCACGTGAGGGTTCCAGCTAAGCCCGAAGCCTTCAGCTTCATGACCTAAGAGCTCCATTTGAGGGTTCACTGTGCCAGTTGGCAAGCTGGGGTGCTTAGAGCGATCCCAGATCATCACCCGACCATCCGTGCACATTGTAGCAATGATATTCGGGTTTTGTGGCTGATAACGAGCCTTGTTGACCTCGCCCTTGTGATCGATCTTTTGCACAATGTTAAACTTGATCTCCATCTGAGCCTTCTTTGAACCCCCGCCATAGCCTCCAATCTCTCCCTTCTCTTCGTCATAGTCGTCCGGGTTTGGGGCATTAGGGTTTGGGAGTTGCACTTGAGCAATCTGAAGGTAGTTCTGCGCTTCACCAGTGGTATGTGTGCCAATGAGGAGA